TCGGATCCCGCTCCCGATCATCGAGGACCTCTTCGACCGGTTGTGGGGCGTCTGCATCTTCACCGTCATGGACATGATGTCCGGCTATCATCAGATGCTGGTGGACGAGGCGTCGCGCAAGTACACGGCTTTCCGGACGCACAAGGAGACGTACGAGTGGTGCGTCGCGCCCATGGGGATGGCCGGTACCCCGGGATACTGGACGCGGTTGATGACGTCGCTCTTTGGCCACTTGCCGTTTTGCGTCATCTACATGGACGATATGGCCATCTGCTCCCGCACCTTGGACGAGCACGTCACGCACGTCGCAACGGTGCTCAAGCTGTGCCGCGACGCCAAGTTGTACGTCAACCTCGGCAAGTGCGAGTTTGGGGTGCCATCTATCTCGTTCCTCGGGCACGAGATTTCGGCCGCCGGGCTCGCGGTGTGCTCCAAGAAGGTCCGCGCTATTGAGCGCTGGGGCGCCCCGAGCAACCGCAAGGAGTTGTTGAGCTTCCTCGGCCTGGCCGGCTACTACCGCAAGTTCATCTGCGACTACGCCGAGATCGTGCGCCCGATGGCTGCGCTTACGAAGGAAAAACGCCTTGGACTTGGGGCGCCGATCAAGCTGCAGCGTTCTCCACGATCAAGCTTGCGCTGCAACAGGCGCCGGTGCTGGCGATGCCCGCCCTCGAAGAACGCTTCATCGTGACCACTGACGCCTCGGCGTATTGCGTCGGTGCGGTCCTCTCGCAGCTCGACGCCGCCGGTGACGACGCCCCATCGCGTTCCTCTCCAAGAAATTGGGTGCGCATGAGGTCAACTGGCCGGCCTACGAGCAAGAGCTGTACGCAATCAAGGTGGCGCTCACCAAGTGGCGCCACTACTTGCTCAGCCAGCCCTTTGACGTGTACACGGACAACAGCGCCTGTCGCTGGTTTTTGACGACGCAGCAGCTGAACCCCAAGATGACGCGGTGGCTGGATTTTTTCAGCCAATTTTCGTTCGAGATGCACCACCGCCCGGGTGTCCAGAATGTGGTCGCGGACGCGCTCTCTCGCCCGCCCGTGCCGGCTTCCGCCCCCGTCGCCGACGCCGTCCCGCGACCGGCTGCACCGGTACGCGTGGTGTCAGCAACGGCGCCGGCCCCTGCTGACGTCAGCGTCCACACCGCGCGATTCGCGACTGAGCATGCGTGCGACGCCGCGTGTGTCGAGCGCGGCCGTTCCGTGCAGCGCCACCGCGCGCGGCGAGTCGAGCTGCAACGTATGACCGAGCCCGACCGCGCCGTGTGGTTGAACTACGCCGCACTGGGGGAGGAGACGGTCGTACCGGTCGGCCAGCGACAAGTGCACGTCGTCAACCACGTCGCCCAAGTCGAGTTCTCCAGCGTCGCCATGTCGCCCGAGCGGCGCCAAGCCTTCAAGGATGGATACCGGCGCGACGCCAGTTTCACGACCGACGCAACGAAGTACGAACGGGCCAACGGCTTCATGTACCTACGCACCAGCGACCAGGTGTGGCGCCTGTGTGTTCCGGACGACGAAGTGCTGCGCACCGCGCTCATCGCCGACTGCCACGACGGCCCACTCGCGGCGCACCCAGGCGTACGCCGCACGCAGCTGCTGGTCAAGCAATGGTACTACTGGCCGTCGATGGCCGCCGACATCGAGCTGTATGTCGCCACGTGCGAGACGTGCGCGCGGTACAAGTCCAACACGCGCCGCGCTAACGGCTTGATGATGCCGATCGAGGTGCCAACGACGCCATGGCACACGGTGACGATCGACTGGATCGGCGGCCTTCCAGTGTCGAACGGCTTCGACTCGATCATGACGGTCGTCGACAAGTTGTCGAAGCGGTCCAAGTACGTCGCGACGCACACCACGACCGACGCGCCCAAGGCAGCGCGCGAATTCTTCGATCATGTGGTGCGCCACCACGGACTGCCCAAGCGCATCATCAGCGACCGCGACCCGCGCTTTACGAGCGAGTTCTGGACGGCGCTCATGGGCATCATGGGTGTCAAGCACAGCAAGACGACCAGCCACCGAGCCCAAGCCGACGGCCAGTCGGAGCGCCAGAACCGCACCGTCGAAGATTCGCTGCGATGCATGTGCTCGTACCTAGGAAGCGACTGGAGCACCCAGCTCGCTACGATCGAGTATGCCCACATGGGGCTCGTCCAAGGGTCAACGGGGCTCACACCCTTCGAGATTGACACCGGTCGGCAGCTGGCCAACCCGGTGCTGCCAGAAGACTTCCCAGGCAACGACTTCGCACGCCAGTTCGCGGAGAACCGGCAGCGCGTGATCGCCAAGGCCATCGAGAACAACAAGAAGGCGCAAGACCGGCAGAAGAAGTATTACGACAAGTCGCGCGCTGATGTGTCGTTCGCCGTGGGCGACTACACGTACCTTGCGACTCGAGACCTGCCGTTGCGCCACGCCAGCAACACGGCCGACGGGTCCGAACGACCCAAGTTGGTGCCGCGCTACGTCGGGCCGTTTAAGGTGGTCGGCAAGATCGGCGCCAACGCCTACAAGCTCGACCTGCCGCCGTCGATGCGGCGCATGCACCCAGTGTTCAACGTCGATCGACTCAAGGCGAGCCCGGGCAACCCCGAGCAGTTCCAGACGCGGCCGCTGCCCAAGGCAACGCCGGTGCTCTTCGATGAAAACACCGGCGAGCAGCTCCACATCGTCGAGAAGCTGCTGGCCGCCCGCCAAGTCAACCGCCAGCGGGAATACCTTGTCCAATGGCACGGCCTTCCGCGCCACGAAGCGTCGTGGGAGCGCGAACGCAGCATCAAGCACGTGGCCCACTGGCCGCGGCTCACGCAAGACCTTCGGGAGCGCCGAGCAAGCGAGCTTGATCAAGACCGCCAAGGACGGCCGCGCCGCCGGCAAGGGCCAGTACGCCAAGACGCGCCAGGCATCCGTCGGAGTACACGCGGGCGAGACGCAACAGTCGCCATGAACACGTTCGGGTTCCAAGCGGCACCGTCTGGCCTGCCGGACGCTCCGTCGCATTGGCCGACGCCTCGAGCCCGAGACGCGCGCGAGCATCGCCAAGAACAAGCTGCGCCGCGCACGACCGCGGCCTCCGCGGCGGCGGACGTCCGAGACGCTTACCACCAAGCACCGCTCGAGAATGGCCGCCATTCGGGGGAGAGTGTAACGACTGACCGCGGTAACTACCGTCCGAGCCGGCCAGCTGGCGCCAACATCGGGTCGCGTGCCCGGTGGTAAGCCATCGGGCACAGCCGCGCAAGATCGCTACAGTGTACTAGCCCCACGATTGGCTGCGAGCTCTGCAGCCAATCGCCGATAGACTAAGTGAGCTCGCGCTTCTCGCGAGCTCTTGTAATTCACTTTTGGATTTGCCTCACAATAGACTCTGCTCTCTAAGCCTTCAACGCGACCTTACACCTCGAGAGACGCCAGCGACTGAGGCGGCGTCAGCGACTGGAGGTCGCGGTGCAGGACGATCGGCAACGTGATCTTGGTGCGACCTAGAAAACGGGGCGCCTCGGGAGCGGGGAGCGGACATTTCAATAGCGTAGAAAATAGGAGTAATGGCGAGGTCGACTGCCTTTGGTGTCATCGTCGCAATTCACGCGTCCTGCGCCGAGTGGCGGCTTCTCTACAACAACCAGCGCGCGCGTCCTCCTTGAAGCCAGTGGTCTGCGATGCTACGGGACGCAGCAACGAGCCCAGCGACGCGCCTCGACTCGGACGCGCACCGCGATGTCGAGTCCCAACTGCGCAAGATTGCGAAGCTCTTGGATGGTGTTGATGAACGAGTCTGCTTGGTATTTATCCTAATGGAAGATCATGAACTATTTAGTTTGAGGTTGCGGTGTAGTGGTCGCTGGAATGGACCAAGGGAATAGCCCGGGTCGAGATCCATTGCCAGCTGTAGCAGCCAGAATTGGGGTACCATGGGCGGCGGGCGGCCTTACTGCCGTCGTCGGGACGTCAAAGTCGACCGGCACGTTGATATGATCATGCAGATCGCAAAAAGTCAGAAGCAGCCCACGACGAGCGTCCAGGGCGCCGATGCTACGCCGTCGTCGTTCGACATGGCGGCTTGAAGGCCGGATCGTTGCGCCATCCTAGCAAAATGCAACACTGCGTTTCACCATCGATCGCCACGTTATTCAACTTTATTTTACAGCAAGAGTTGCTCTTCTGCGCGGCAGATCATCCATAACTTTCCTCGGACTGTTGACTGCAATGGTTGATCAGACTACTAGAATCTCGCATTCCATCATGGTCGACATCGTCCAATGTGTCGTCACGCAGCCACACACCTCGGTCGCCGCATCGAGAAGAGGACGAGCGCTTTCAGTCGACTTTCGTAGACTTGCGTGGCCTCTTGCTAAAGCACATGCAACGACGACCTCGCTAGCAACCGATTCGACGCGAGTTTCTACCAGCCCGACACGATGATGCTGGACGGTCCACTCCAGCAGAATGAAATCAGAACGGCGCCAACGACTGCGGCTCAACTGTTTGAGGGTCCCGGTTGTCCATCGTCGAGCTGGTAAAAAATCACCGACAACCTGCTCCGTCGATGGCGCTAGAACCTCGTCAAGTCGGAGGAGTGCACCCTTGCCTCGGTCCAGCGCATGATCTATTCTTTATGCAGGTGAAGAGCTTGTACCTCTGGAACAGGATGCATCAACCGATCTTATCGAATATCGGAGGTAGTCACGTGGCGCGTCGACAAGCAAGCATGAAATCACTCGATTCTGTGCGGAGAACACGTAGCATTTGGTGTGGCAAAGCAATGGTATGCAGCGTTCCTATTCATTCTGGCACCGGCGCACGAATAGGAAACCATGCATGACGTTCCAGACGTTAACAACACGACTAGACAAGGTGGCCCACGGCCAAGGGAATCAAAACAATAATCCCTAGCCCACGGCAGACAGCATGTGTTTGCCCAAAAGCACGCAAGGATGGTCTTCCATTTACGCATTTACACCGTTCGACTTGCGTGTCGCATTGCATAGCCTACAGAAATGGTCGCGTCGACGACGCTGGCAGACGCGGAGGCCCCGGGTACAGGGGGGTGAGCCGGTTGCGTGCGGGAAGTTGGGGCGGCGCAGGGTACTCGCACCCGGTCTCGGCCGGTCGTGGCGCCAAAGAGCTCGCAGCAACGATGTGGTCACCGCCCACGGCTTGCTTCATCGCGAGAAAGTTTGGTGGTGCGGGGTAGTCGTCGGCCGCCAGTGGTGCGTCGTCATCGGAGGCTCTTCCCATGGCCTGAACGACTGGCGGTGCCGGGGACTCCAGAGAATCTGGACGACGGCGGACGTCGACGGAAACGTCCTGCGCCGGGATCGCATCGGTGGCGTCGTCGTCGTTGACGTCGTGGTCGATACCCATGTCGTCATCAGTGTCCTCATCGGTGCTGCAGAGATCGATAATGTCGTGGTTGTCGGCGTCACTTTGGTTGTCGTTGTCCGAGTCGAGAAGAACAATCATGTCACTGCGGTCGTCGTCGTCACGATCGGAGCCGCCTTCCACATCGTCGGAAATGCTAGGCAAGGCACCCCGAGCCGATGCAGTCGCGTGGACGTCTTGAACGGACGCCACTGGCGCTGCGTCGGCAATGGACGCCGGCGGCTCTGGGGCGAGCAACAGTGCATCGTCGGCAGCGACGGCCACTGGCAAATCAGCCCACCCAAAGTCAATGGCATTGAGCTGCGCCACGATCGTTGTCGTAATATTGGCTGCTGTGAGGCGCCGCAACCCAAACACAACGTCACCGAGTCGTAGGCAATGGGTTGACGCTGGCCAGGCCACGCTGACATCGACAGAGAACGTTTGAGGCACGTCCAAATGACCGTGGAACGCCTTGAACATTGCGAGCGCCTGGAACGTGATCGCCCACCGAGCTTGGCGGTCGAATTGCCGGGCGTCGAGGGCCGGCTGCAGATGCTCAAACGCTTGTCCGACCTCGAGCTCGAGCAAAAGTGCGGCCACCGACATGGATCGTAGTGCGACCGGACATGCCGGCGATATGGCGCCAAGGAGAGTCGACTCGCTCGGGCGTGGCGTCGCGTGCAGCCACAGATCCAGCGCAACGAGGTGGTCGCAGCGTTCGTTTGCGTCGCTGTCAACCTCGGGCGCGGAGATCGCTCGAGCTGCCGGCTGCTCGTGAGCGACGCTTGGCAGGGGCACGGCGACTGGCGACGGTGGCACAACCACTGGCGGTGTGTTGGTAGCGTCTGGCGGCTCCCATGCCTGCATGCGGACAGGAGGTATCATCGTAAGCGTTGCGAACGTCGCTGCCGTGGCCGGTGGCAGTAGACGCAGCCGCTTTGCCGTGTGCATGCGCTCGACGAAGCGTCCGAGCTGCAGGCCGACAAGGTCGTCTGGCCAAGTAGATGGTGCTACAAACGTCATTGGGACCGCCCGCATTGCACCGTAGAGGCTTGAAAAGTGCTCAAGACCGCGCAAGACATTGGCCCACGTCGCGTCGACGTTGAAAACAAAGCCGACGCCTTCGAGGTCGCAGCGCTGTGCAACCTTGAGCGCCTGAGCCTTCAAGCCGACCGACCACGCGAGGTCGCCGAGGGCCAAGCCGCGCCAGGCGTTCATCCAGAAGCCGCCTGACTGAGGCACGACAAAGTCGATGTGCACGGCGCAAGTGCCAAACTCGGTGCGGTACATGTCCAGCAGCTTGAGAAATGTAACAAAGTCGGGCAGATCGGCGAAAAAGCCGGCCTCACGGAGCCGTTGGGCGTCGGCCTCGGGCAGCTCGTAGACATGGGCGCGTAGTGACGCGAGCGCGAGGTCCAAGGCGACGTAGTGCATCGGAAGAGGCCACACGTCCGCGTCGGGCGGCACGACAAACCCGTCGGGCACATTGGCGTGGCCGTTCAGACGCTGAAAGACAACGAGGGCTTCAATCTGGTCTGACCACGCGACGAGTTGAGCCAATGGAGCGCGCTTGCCCGGAAGATGCACGACGCAAAACGTCGTCTTGCTTCGCAGACGCCAAAGAAACCCAAGCGCGTCGAGGTCGCTCGTTCGTTGCACTCGCTCGGGCGTGTGAACGCGGCATTCAAAGCGCAGATTGTTGACGACGCGGCCAAGCGGGAGGTGGTGCAGGTGACGTGGGTTCGACGCCGGCACGACGTACGTCGTCGGCACCGCGAGGTCGCCGTGCTCTTCCCGGTACAAGCACAGCGCCTCGAACCGATGCGCCCAGCTCCACCGGCGGTAGTGGACCACAGGCTTCCAGTCAAAACCCAGCGCATCCAGTGTCGCCTTGTTCACTGGATCGACCGTGGGCTGCGTGCGCAGAGAGGCCACGCGCCGTCCGAGCTGGAGACCATGGGTGGAGGCTGGCCATGCTGCCGTCGTCGGGACGACAAAGTCGACCGGTACGTCGAGATGATCATGCAGCCCACGAAAGGTCTGAAGCGCTTGCACAGCGGCTGGCCAGAGCGCCGACGCTGCTTCGTCGTTGGACGCAGTCGCTTGACCGTCGCCCGGTCCCGCCATCCAAGCCAGCTGCAAAATGTGCTGCAAGTAAAAAGAGAGCTGCTTCCAACGGCCCTTTGCGTGGTTGGTCGAATTAGGGCAAGAGACCGTTGGCGCCTCGTCCGGCGACGCAAGGCAATCGCCGCCACCTCGCACCACCACCACGTGAAAGCACCGTTTCTATCAACTTAAAACACGCGACATGTCGCATTTCGTGCTGCATTCAAGATCGCAACGCCGTCTGCGATCGCAAGTAGTTGAGGGCGCGGTCGAGGCCGTGGGCAGCGATCGTCGGCGCCGTCGTTGCAAAGCAGATGCGGTAGTAGCCCGGCGCCGGTGCATGCTGCGCTTCGCCCGGCGTCATGATGATCTTGGCGTTCGTAAACAGCGTCTGGGTCAGCGCCTGCTCGGCCGCAAACGTTGGCGCATCCAGAAACTCGCGGAGGTCGATCCAAACAAACATCCCGGCGGCCGCGGGCACATATGGCACGCGATGCGCCTCCAGAACAGCGGCGATGGCGGCGTACGAGGACCGGAGGAGCGCTTTGTTCTCGGCGAGGTACGCGCTGCACCACGGCAGGTCGGCGAGCATCGTCGCGAGGCTGTCGAGGAGGACGTTCGGGACGCCGGAAAAGTACAAGACGTTCGAGAGCGCTTGACGAACGTCGTCGTTGCTGCTGTGGAGGACGCCGACGCGCAAACCGGACGTCGCCCAGTCCTTGGAGAAGCCCCAGATGACGTGCACGTGCGACGGCAGGTGCACGTGCCCCGTGGCCGCATCGACCGTCCCCACCGACACGATCGCCGACTCGAAAGCGTCGGCGCTGTTTTCGGGCGTGTGCACCGAGTTGGCGTAGATCTCGTCGACAATCAGGTGCAGTTGCTTCGAGGCGCACCAGTCGGCCAACGCCCGGATCGTGTCGGCGCTGCGGATGCGTCCGAGCGGGTTGTCGGGATTCAGGACGACGACCGACTTGGGCGAGGTGCCTGCCGCGACCGCGCGGTCGTATGCAGCGTCAAAGGCGGAAAGCGAGAGATCGTACGAGCGCGTCATGGGAACGTCGAGGACCTTGGTGCCCGCGACAACCGAAAAGTCGTTGTAGAGTGCACCGTACGTGGGTGTTGGAAGAAGGAGGCCGTCGCCGTCGTCGTGGAGAAGCGAGCTCAAGTGGGCGAGGAGCGACCCGGCGCCGCTCGAGACACAGAGATGGCTTGGGTCGATGCCATTGTTCGACGAAGGCGATGGCAAGAGCGTCGCGTTGATGAAGCGCGCGTACGCGTCCTTGAAGCCTACAACGTGGCGGTCGCTCTTACGCCGTAGTACGACGGACAGCGATCCTACCGGCGCGGCCCGTAAAGTCGTCGTAGCCCAAGGCCGACTTGTCGACGCCGGCGAGACTGGCGTGGAGCTTGCCGAGAAACTAGACGTTGCCGTGAGCGAGGTGCGCGGGGAAGATTGGCGTGTAGTACCTTGGGCGCGTTGAGGATGCGGTTCTCGGCGACCGAGACCGCCACGTAGCCGTCGAGGTTGGCCTCGGTCGCATGGTCCTTCATGGCCTCCATGGTCATGGCCCAGTACGAGAGCGCGGGCTGCAGCGCGCGCTGGCCACGCGTCGAGAGGCTCGCCATTGTGGTCAAGTGGGTACGTGATCGAATCCAGAATGATACCAACTCCGAATTCGGCTCGATAAAAATCCCTCAAAGTGCGAGTTCACCGGTGGCAAATGCTCCATTATCTCCAACCGCTGGGCGCTCGCCCGCTGACCCTCGGGCAAGGGTATACCCTTGCCTCGAGGTAGCCCCTCACAGGTCATTCCAGTAGGCGTGAGAGCTAGGCGCGAGCGGCTCTACCACCTACTACCTACTGCTGGCGAGCAACGTGAGGTTGATTACGGGGACACGGTTGCCGCAGTCGCTGCTTCGTACAGAGTGCACAGCTCTTCTTACGGCAACTAGCCTAGGAGGAGGACCTTCTTAGTACGAAGCCTCTACACTGCGCATGGGCGCACCAAGGCGAAGCTTCGTCCGTGGCCGGCCGTGAACCCACATTTGCCGCTCCCCGGTGGTTTGGCCAATACGACGACCTAACTTCAACATGCGGAAACGCTCTCAGAAAGATAGTAGCATCACTGCACTAGAGGAATATCTCCATTGCACCTAATAGAGATGCTAGGGAATTTCCAATCGCACTTACCAGAGTCGGCTGGCATGGAAAAGGCCGAGCTGTACGAGGTGCTGAACCGACAGCTCGTGGAGCTCCATGCGTCGCTCGACCAGATGCAGAAGAACCTCCAGCGCACGACCGCCGTGAGCGCGCAGACGCACAGCATGAGCCACGCCTTCCTCGGCATGTACGACGTCGTCTCTGCCACCTCATCTCATGCACGATGGCGTAGCGTCCAGCCCAGCAATCCGCTGAGTGAGATCGGCGCCGAGAAGAAGCTCCGGACCAAGGCCGTCGCCTTCGAGTAAGCTGCTAAGAACACAGCCATGGAGCACCTCGGCGCTCGTCAAGGCGAAATGCGAGTCGACGCGGCGACCACGCCACCGAGACTGCAACCAAGGCAATGTGGATACCAGCCCATGCAATGCAACAGCGTTTTGGTTCAGCATGCTTTGCAGCGCTATTGCGGATGGGTGTACGGGCTTGGTTCCAAGTCCTCGACACACGACCCGAACATCGAGCCACAGCGATGCGTAGCAGCGACTCGGTTGATCCGATGCGAGCGACAACCTTTGTACTCCAACATACTAGTACACGAGAAGCAAGTCGTTGTTGTCGCATGGAGTGATCCGAAGCGGTCGCCACTAGCTTGCGAGAGAGCCACTTGGACTCACTTGGCGATGATGCGGTCGACTGCATGCACTTGACGACTGCTGTCGGCTGAAGCATCCACTCGCTCAATCGAGTCGTTCAGCGAAAGCAAGACGGTTGCGGCCCATGGCTTCAACCGCGCTCTGCTACTGTATCGCAGATGCCCTTCCTATCTCGATACGTACAGGACTCTGGAGGCGGCGTGTCGTTCGGCAGTAGTGCAGTAGAAACGGCGAATCCGTGCGTCGTTGGGCTTAGAGACGACTGGTTTTCTGCTTCCTGAGGACGAGGCGCCAACGGTCGCACGATCAACCAACGGACCAACCACGCAAGAGCCCGTTGCCGCTCTTGCCGCCCTTTCTCTTTGAACATAAAAAAACGTGGCGATCGGCAAGCACATTTCCCAGTCTGCTACGATGGCGCAACGAAGTGGCCTTGAAGCGACGCCGTCGAACGACGGTAGGGGGGCAGCGCTCTGGGCAGCCGCTGTGCAAGCGCTTCAGACCTTCCGTGGGCTGCATGGGCATCTTGATGTGCCGGTCGACTTTGACGTTCCGACGACGGCAGCATGGCCAGCCGCCGTCCATGGCCTCCAGCTCGGGCGGCTTGTGGCCTTTCTGCGCACACAGACCACGGTCGATGCGGCGCACAAGGCGACACTGGACGCGCTGGGTTTTGACTGGAAGCCTGTGGTCCATTACCGCCGGTGGAGCTGGGACCATCGGTTCGAGGCGCTCTGCTTGTACCGGGAAAAGCACGGCGACCTCGCGGTGCCCGCAAAGTACGTCGTGCCGGCGTCGTACCCACGTCACCTGCAACGCTTCCCGCTTGGCCACATCGTCAACCATCTGCGCTCTGTAAGCTGCGTCCACACGCCCGAGCGAGTGCAACGAACGAGCGACCTCGACGCGCTTGGGTTTCTTTGGCGTCTGCGATGCAATACGACATTTTGTGTCGTGCATCGTGCGGGAAATCTCCCGCCCATGTCACAACTCGTCGAGTGGTCCGACCAGATTGAAGCGCTTCTTCTTTTCGGCGTCTGCACGGCCATACCAATGTGCCTGACGGGTTTGTCGTACCGCCCGACGCGGACGTGTGGCCTCTTCCGATGCACCGTGTCGCCCTCGATCTCGCGCTCGCGTCGCTGCGCGCGCATGTCTACGAACTGCCGAGCACTGATGCCAAGCAGCTCCGCGACGCCGGTTTCTTTGACGATCTGCCCGACTTTGGCACATTTGTCAAGCTGCTGGACATGTACCGCACCGAGTTTGGCACTTGCGCCGTGCACATCGACTTTGTCGTGCCTCGGATGGGCGGTCTCTGGATGAACGCCTGGCGCGGCTTGGCCCTCGGCGACCTCGCGTGGTCGGTCGGCTTGAAGATTCGGGCGCTCACGGCTGTGCAGCGCTGCGACCTCGAAGGCGCTGGCTTTGTCTTCAACGTCGACGCGACGTGGGCGACTGTCTTGCGTGGGCTTGAGCACTTTGCAAGCCTCTATGGTGCAATGCGGGCGGTGCCTACGACGTTTGTGGCGCCATCTACTTGGCCAGACGACCTTGTCGGCCTGCAGCTCGGACGCTATGTCGAGCGCATGCACACGGCAAAGCGACTGCGTCTGCTGCCACCGGCCACGGCAGCAACCTTCGCAGCGCTCACGATGATCCCTCCCGCCCACCAGCTGGCATGGGAGCCTCCAGACGCTGCAAACACACCATCAGTGGTTCGGCCACCGTCGCCAGTCGCTGTACCTCTGCCAAGCGTCGCTCACGAACAACCGGTGGTACAGGCGGCTCCCGCGCCCGAGGTTGACAGCGACGCGGACCAACGCTGCGACCACCTCGTTGCGCTGGATCTGTGGCTCCACGCGACGCCACGCCCGAGCGAATCGACTCTCCTCGGCGCCATATCGCCGGCGTGTCCGGTCGCACTACGATCGATGTCGGTGGCCGCACTTTTGCTCGAGCTCGAGGTCGGACAAGCGTTTGAGCATCTGCAGCCGGCCCTCGACGCCCGGCAATTCGACCGCCAAGCTCGGTGGGCGATCACGTTCCAGGCGCTCGCAATGTTCAAGGCGTTCCACGGTCATTTGGACGTGCCTCAAACGTTCTCTGTCGATGTCAGCGTGGCCTGGCCAGCGTCAACCCATTGCCTACGACTCGGTGACGTTGTGTTTGGGCTGCGGCGCCTCACAGCAGCCAAAATGACGACGACGATCGTGGCGCAGCTCAATGCCATTGACTTTGGGTGGGCTGCTTTGGCCGTGGCCGTCGCTGCCGACAATGCACTCTTGCTCGCCCCAGCGCCACCGGCGTCCATTGCCGACGCAGCGCCAGTGGCGTCCGTTCAAGACGTCCACGCGACTGCATCGGCTCGGGGTGCCTTGCCTAGCATTTCCGACGATGTGGAAGGCGGCTCCGATCGTGACGACGACGACCGCAGCACCAAGACGGCCATCAAACGCAACAAACCGATCGAAAACAAGAGCCACGACATCATCGATGTCTGTAGCACCGATGACGACGACGACAACCACGGAGACGACGACAACCACGGAGACGACGACACGCGTATCAACGACGTCGTCAAAGCCGAAGACGCGCCGGCGCAGGCGATCCGCACCGGCGTCTGCCGCCGCCCAAACAACGCGGAGACGACGGCGCCCGTTCGACACCAACTTGCGGATGGGTGGGCGGTCTCGCCTCGTGGCTACCCCGTCGTCATGCAACACCTCGACGAAGGGTTTCCGTGGCGCGTCTGTCTTGACGAACTCCGGCGGTACTTTATCAAGCACAAGCACTCGAACGTCCCGTCCAAGTACGTATCGGAAACGAACGAAGTGCCGCTGGGATGGCTCGTGCACCAGTTGCGGCTACGTCGACATGTCTTGACAGAGTCCCAACAGCTCGAACTCGAGGTACTGCAGTTCAAGTGGTAGCCATTTTGAGTAAGGGATCCGTTTGAATGTATTCGGTATCTTGCGCTAGATCTGTCGGAGCGTCGGCAAGCGTCCGTGCAGAATGAGAAGCATGCCTCAGCTGCGCGCACGGGTATCTCAATCGTCTGAACGACAAACACACGAAGAAACACACAGTGCCTTGTCCCGACACAATCAATCGTATGGGCTCTAGCTGCAGACGACCCATTACGTTACATGATGGGCAACTAACCATACTCGCAGCGAGGTCAGAATCCGTCCTTAGAGTTGAAAGTCCAATCATAACTCGACTACCTGCTGTAAACTAGCAGCAGTTCCGTTGAAACAACCTCGAGAACATAAGAGAACACGTCCGTCCTTGGCAATGGTGCGACGATTTTTGACGTTTTTCTGTGTTGTCAATTGCATCATCTTCAAAGGTGTGGCTGCGCACTGGACGCACCGTAGCTTCTTCTCTTATGATGATGTTTAACAACTGTGAACAAGCAAAGCAAACCTTGCTATGCAACTCTCGAGGCAACTGGAGGGCTACCGGTACAGTACTTTGGTTGTGTTCACTAGCGGTATCCATCGTCCCAGTACTTGATCTCGCCGTTGCTGACCAACGAGTGGCGGAGAGAGCGATGACGCGTATATGCCGGCTCGCGGTTTGAGTTGCAGGAACCAATCACAAGTCGTGATCACAGTCTTGGCTGAGCGACAGAAATCAAGCAGTCAGTGTGTGGCTCTCACGCTTGAAGGGACCCACTGGATTCACAACATCTGGTTGCACTTGCCACTGGATTCTTACAGGCACGAGTAGTTTGACTGACGCCCAGTATACCGGCTATGTACGTCTGTTCCAGCTTCAAGTCGCCCCGTCTCCTCGCACCCCTGCCGACGAGCCCTCAGTCAGCTCCCTCAGCCTTCGACAGCGAGGCCGATGGCCTTAGGACACACTTTTCATTTCGTTAGCATGCGCCGAGGGCTACTACTAGTACTGTTTGGGGCGTCAGTGTCGGCTCGCGACGACACGTGCGCGGTCGCGCCGGCCACGCGCCTCGACTGCTACCCGACGACGAAGCACTTTCCCAACGCGACCGAGGAGGCCTGCCGTGCCCAGGGCTGCTGCTGGGACGCGGCGCAGTCGATCCCGTGTGCGTTTGGGCGGGTTCCGGAGCCGACGCCGGCGGCGTGCAGCGCCGTCGTTCCGTCGTCGCGCATGGCTTGCCGCAACCCGCGCTACTTTTTGTCGCCCAACTCGGCAACCGAGTGCGCTCATATGGGCTGCTGCTTTGACACGACGTCGGGCGAGTGCTTCCAGCCGCGCACGACGGGCTACGAACTCGACACGGCGTCGTGGCACGAGACCGCCACGGGCTTCTCAGGCACACTGCGTCAGCCGGCAGGCGCGCGCGGGCCGTTTGGCAACGACATTCGCACGCTTGCGCTGGAGGTGGACACGCAAGACGACTCTCGCGTCCGCGTCCGCATCACGGACCCGACGTTTCCGCGCTTTGAAGTGCCCCTCAACATCTCGGCAACACCGACGGCTGCCATCGGCAACCGCGCCTACGACGTCCGCGTGACGTCGGCGCCGTTCGGGATTGCCGTCGTTCGACGCGCAACGGGCGAGACGCTTTTCAACTCGACACCGACACCGACGGGAAATGGCCTCATCTTTGAGAACCAGTTTCTTGAGCTCTCGACGTCGACGCCGACGCAAGCGACATTCTTTGGCCTCGGCGAGCACGTCGGAACGTTCTTGGCACCGGCGGACGGCGACCACTTTACGATCTGGGCGCGCGACCAAGTAGCCAACAAGTACCACGCCCACACGCGCAACGGCAGCGACAACGTCTACGGCGTGCATCCCTTCTACGTCCGGCGCGAAGCCACTGGCGCCGCCCACGGTGTCTTTCTCTTGAACGCCAACGCAATCGAAGTCGTTGCGCAGCCGCAGTCGCTCACGTTCCGGACAGTCGGCGGCATCCTGGATTTCTTTGTGTTTGCGGGACCGACGCCGGCGGCCGCGGTCGCGCAGTACACGGGCCTCGTCGGCCGCCCGGCGCTGCCGCCGTACTGGGCGCTCGGGTACCACCTCTGCCGGTGGCAGAACCTCAAGAACCCGCACCCAGACCACCGCCTCTCGGACGTTGTGAGTACGCTCCAGCGCATGCGCGACTTTGGCGTGCCGCACGACGGGCAGTGGACCGACATTGACGCGATGGACCGCAAGATGGACTTTACGTGGAGCGACGACGCCTTCCCGATCGCGGACGTCGTCGCGTTCATTGACGACCTCCACGCCCACGACCAACACTATATCCCGATTGTGGACGCGGGCATCGCTGTGGCGTCGCCGGCGTACGCCGATGGCGTCGCGTCGCAAGTCTTTATGCGAGACCCCGGCAACGGTAGCTGGGAGCAGGACAAGGCGTGGCCGGGCATGGTGGCCTTCACCGACTTTTACCACCCGAACGCGTCGGCGTTCTGGGAAGCCCAGCTCCGGTCCTACTATGCGACGGCCCAATACGACGGCATCTGGCTCGACATGAACGAGCCGAGCAGTTTTTGCACCGAGGGCGGGCGCGGCAGCCAGTCGTGCTTTCCGAATGACACGTACGTCGCGCCGGCCTTTGTCAAGTCGGCCGACGTCATGGGTCCGTTCGACCCGTACCGGCAGCCGTACGTGCCGGGGCAAAAGGTCGCAGCGACCGGCAACCTCGCGTTCAAGACCGCAGCCCTCGGCGCCCACCACGTCAACTCGATCCACTACAACCTCCATTCGCTCTACGGGCACGCCAACGTGATGGCGACGCGCCAAGCCGTCGACCATATTCGGGGCAAGCGGACGCTCATTCTGACGCGCTCGACGTACGCTGGCGACGGACAGTACGCGGCGCACTGGCTAGGCGACAACGCGGCGACGTGGACCGACATGCGCCAGAGCATCGCCGGCGTCTTGGCGGCCAATGTCTTTGGGATGCCGATGGTCGGGCCGGACGTCTGCGGCTTCCGCGCCAACACGACGCGCGAGCTCTGTATTCGGTGGCACCAAGCCGCCGTGCTCTTCCCGTTCATGCGCAACCACAACGAAGCCGAGCGCGACCAGGCGCCCGTCGACTTTGACGTTGACGCGATCGACATGATCAAGCAGACGCTTCTGAAGCGGTACGCGCTGCTGCCGGCGCTCTACACGGCGCTGTACCACGCCGCCGTCGACGGCGCGACGGTCGTCCGGTCGTTGTACTTTGAATTCCCCGACGACGCGGCGACGGTGCAAATCGAGTCGCAGTACCTCCTCGGGTCGTCGCTCCTCGTGGCGCCCGTGCTGACGCCGACGGCTACGATGGTCGACGTCTACTTTCCAAAGGCGCTTTGGTTTGACCTCTGGAGCGGCGAGCGTGTGCAGACGACCGGTGGCCGCCGTGTCACAGTCGACGCACCATTGGAGACCGTGCCCATGTACCTCCGTGGCGGTGCCATTGTGCCGCTGCAGGCACCGTCGACGACGACGACCGCAAGCCGCAAGAACCCTTTCAGCTTGAAGATCGCGCTCTCCGCGACCGGGGATGCCGTTGGCGACTTGTACATGGACAGCGGCGACTCGATCGACCCGCTTCGCACGGCAGCGTTCACGCGTCTTTCCTTTGGCGCCACCCAAGAGGCGAGCGGTGTCCTCAAGATCACATCGACGATCACAGCGAGCGGCTACACGGGGCCCGAAACCAAGGTCCACCTCGAGACCATCCAAGTGTACGGCGCCAAGGACGCTATGACGTGGCAGGTCGACGGCGCCGATGCCACGTGGAACGCTACGACTGGCGTCCTCACCCTCTCGGGCTTGGCGCTTCCCATCGCCGAGCCCTTTACGCTGACGGTCCGTCCCAGTCACGAAGCGCCTAACGGCAGTGCATCGTCGGTCGGTGCGTCGTGGATTGTGTGGGTCGTCGTTGCCGGCATCGTTGCCACGGCGCTCATCGTTGTGCACCGCTGCTACCAGCGCCGTCATGGCTACCGCCGTGTCGCCTAGTGAGTTGGCATGGAATCAGGATATCGTAAATCGAGCGTACACTGTAGCATCCTAGAGTGTTTCGTTTCTTTTGGTGGACGAGTGAGATCTGCATCTGAACAGGTCGTGCATTGCCAGGCGCGAGCTTGACTCGCTTGCACAAGTAGAGTCTTACATGCTTCGGTGGCTTCATCATCGACACTGGCATAGTTGTCATGTAGTAGTTGGACACCAAGTCACAGAACGAGGGTTGAGAGGCCGTAGCGTTTGCTACAGATTAGGCCACACGTCGTGAATCCATCGTTTAGTTCTCGACAGCACACGCCTTGTATTCGAACCGACTCGCTGTTTTCCAGCTCTTGAAGCTAAATGGCTCTAAAAATAAGTGCTCTCGACGGACGCTCTGAGCGATCCCTCAGCCGCATCGCGCACGTCGATCGGTCGACGCATCCGGCTGTCGATTTTGGTTTCGGCATACACCGAGAACAAGGTCACGCCAATTATCGGCATATGCCGATACAAAGCGCATGCTGGATTTGCCGTTAAGAGTGTTTTTGGTGTGGCAAAGATACGAATAATACCTGCGTTTGTATTGATTCGCTCCAGTACCGCGTATCTGAACTGCACTTAACGGCCATTGGACCACATCGGCCCAAAACGTTTGCCCAATCAAACGCAAGTCGACTTGACGATTGCAGCGCGATGGGCGCCGACGGTACAAATGTACGCTCATCGTCCGCTTCGACCCGCTTCCTGCGCTTCTGCGTAGCCCAAGGACAGTGCGTACGGCGCCGCTATGGTAGCCTCCATGGACGCCACGTAGAACCTCGCGCACGCTCGGCTGCACCGGTAGTCCGAGCCGGTGGTGCTTTTTTATCACGATGAAATTAAATTAATAAAAATATGACGAGCATAGGTGGCCCTCATGGGTGACATTGCCGCAGTTTGTTCGCGGCTGAGCTTGGCGGCTGGCAATGGCAGAAGCGAACGACCTTCAAGGCGCCGGGTCGGACGGCAGCGAAGCGTCGGCGCTCTGGGCAGCCGCTGTGCAAGCGCTTCAGACCTTCCGTGGGCTGCATGGGCATATCGATGTGCCGGTCGACTTTGACGTCCCGACGACGGCAGCATGGCCCGACGCTGTCCATGGCCTCCAGCTCGGGCGGCTTCTGGCCTTTCTTCGCACACAGACCATGGTCGATCCAGTGTACAAGGTGATACTGGATGCGCTGGGTTTTGACTGGAAGCCCGTGTGCGTGGTGCAACGTCGTCGGTGGAGCTGGGACCATCAGTTCGAGGCGCTGTGCTTGTACCGGGAAAAGCACGGCAACCTCGCGGTGCCGACGACGTACGTCGTGCCGGCGTCGTACCCACGTCACTTGCACCACCTCCCGCTTGGCCGCGTCGTCAACATTCTGCGCTGTCAAAGCCGCGTTCACACGCCCGAGCGAGTGCAACAAACGAGCGACCTCGACGCGCTTGGGTTTCGCTGGCGTCTGCGAAGCAAGACGACGTTTTGCGTCGTGCATCGTCCGGGCAAGCGCACGCCCATGTCCCAGCTCGTCGCGTGGCCCGACCAGACTGAAGCCCTCGTTGTCTTTCGGCGTCTGCACGGCCACACGAATGTGCCCGACGGGTTTCTCGTGCCAGCGATGACGCCATGGCCTCTTCCGATGCACCGCGTTGCCCTCGATCTCGCGCTCGCGTCGCTGCGCGCGCATGTCTACGAACTGCCGAGCACTGATGCCAAGCGGCTCCGCGACGCCGGTTTCTTCGCCGATCTGCCCGACTTTGGCACATTTGTCAAGCTGCTGGACATGTACCGCACCGAGTTTGGCACTTGCGCCGTGCGCATCGACTTTGTCGTGCCTCGGATGGGCGGTCTCTGGATGAACGCCTGGCGCGGCTTGGCCCTCGGCGACCTCGCGTGGTCGGTCGGCTTGAAGATTCGGGCGCTCAAGGCTGCGCAGCGCGTCGACCTCGCAGGCGTCGGCTTTGTTTTCAACGTCGACGCGACGGGGGCGACTGTCTTGCGTGGTCTTGAGCACTTCGCAATCCTCAACGGTGCAATTGCGGTGCCAACGACGTTTGTGGCGCCATCTACTTGGCCAGACGACCTTGCCGGACTGCGCCTTGGACGCTATGTCGAGCGTATGCACACGGCAAAGCGGCTGCGTCTGCTGCCACCGGCCACAACAGCAACCTTGGCAGCGCTCACGATGATCCCTCCCGCCCACCAGCTGGCGTGGGAGCCTCCGCGCGATGCGATCGAGAGAGATCAGGCTCTGCAGCAGCTTGGAGACGTCGTCCGGGACGTCCATACCGTCGTACCAGACGACTTTGTCGTGCCTACGAGTGGCTCTGCGTGGCCACTTGGCAGCCACGGCGTCCCGCTGGGCGTGCGTCTGCGCTGGTTTCGGCAGCAACACAATCTTTCTGTGCCCGTGTGCGACGAGATCCGCGCACTCCCTGTCGACACCCGCAGCGTCATCACCGACGGCGTACCACTCACTGTCGACACCCGCAGCGTCATCGCCGACGAGGTGCTACCCATTGCGCCAGCATTGACGCACCGCAGCTGGACTTTGCACGACCGAGTGCGCGCCCTCGGCTTCTATCGACATTTGCATGGCACGGCCCACGTGCCCCAAAAGTACCCAGATCAAACTGCTCCACTTTGGCCACCGGAGTTTCGAGGTCTCCAAGTCGCCACATTTGCACATAGCATTCGATATCACGACCGAAGACTCGACAAGACGCTCGAGGCGCAGCTAAAGCTCGTTGGCTTCTCGTGGGCGAACTCAGTGGCCATGTCGCGCTGCGTCAAGCGCACGACGCGTGGCACGCTTGGTGTCGGGACGGCCCCGATCGCTACGCAGGTCGCAGCGCTTCACGCGTATCAACGCCTGGTCGGTGACGTGCTTGCGATGCCCAATGACTTTGCCGTGCCACCGAACGACGCCAACTGGCCACCTGGCAGCAGCGGTATTGTGCTCTCGTTTGTGCCTCCGTCGCTGGCTTACCACTGGTTTGAGCTCGTGGAAGAAGACGAGGCAACCGTCCGAGCGTTGGGTCTCTTCACCGACGTGCCGCCCTTTGAAGCCTTTGTGCAGCTCATCTCTCGGTTCACATCCGATGGCAAGACGACCGTACCGCTGGACTTTGTTGTGCCGTCGGAGTGGTCGACGCAATGGCATGGAGCCCCGCTGGGCGAGCTCGCGTGGTCTCTCGGCGTGCGATTGGAGCATCTTGAGAAGCGGAAGTTGTGGCAGCTGGCGGCGATCGGGTTCGAGTTCAACACATCTGCGACGTGGGCCCACATTGTGGACGGACTGCGTACGTATCACGCGCGACGCGGCTCAACGGACGTACCAGAGCTCTTCATCGCGCCTCGCATTGCCACGTGGCCAGAGACCATGCACGGCATGCGCCTGGGCCATTGGGTGCAACATCTCCGCTCCGCAAGAGAGCTCTACTTGCTGCCGCCCGACACCATCGCTGCCGTTGATGCCATCGGAGCCGATGCTCCAATGCCAGAAGCCGTGCCAGTACTGGTGGGCGTGAGCACGCCGACGCCCGCTGTCTCCGAGGCCGCAACCCGCGACGCAAACGGAGCTGATGCCCCGCCGCCAGAGGCTGCAGCATTGTCGAGCGGCGAGAATACGGCGGCGCCGGCCATCCTTGCCACCGCAGCCACCACAACTGTTCAAGCAACCGCTGCCGCTGCTGATGCGCCGTTACCAGTCGTTGTGCCACCGTCGCCAGACGCTGTGCCTCTGCCAAGCGTCACTGAGGAGCAGCTAGTGGTACGAGCGGCTCCCGCGCCCGAGGTTGACAGCGACGCAAACGAGCGCTGCGACCACCTCGTTGCGCTGGATCTGTGGCTCCACGCGACGCCACGCCCGAGTGAATCGACTCTCCTCGGCGCCATATCGCCGGCATGCCCGGTCGCACTACGATCCATGTCGGTGGGCGCACTTTTGCTCGAGCTCGAGGTCGGACAAGCGTTTGAGCATCTGCAGCCGGCCCTCGACGCCCGGCAATTCGACCGCCAAGCTCGGTGGGCGATCACGTTCCAGGCGCTCGCAATGTTCAAGGCCTTCCACGGTCATTTGGACGTGCCTCAAACGTTCTCTGTCGATGTCAGCGTGGCCTGGCCCACGTCAATGCATGGCCTACGACTCGGTGACGTTGTGTTAGGGCTGCGGCGCCTCACAGCAGCCAAAATGACGACGACGATCGTGGCGCAGCTCAATGCCATTGACTTTGGGTGGGCTGCTTTGGCCGTGGCCGTCGCTGCCGACAATGCACTCTTGCTCGCCCCAGCGCCACCGGCGTCCATTGCCGACGCAGCGCCAGTGGCGTCCGTTCAAGACGTCCACGCGACTGCATCGGCTCGGGGTGCCTTGCCTAGCATTGCCGACGATGTGGAAGGCGGCTCCGATCGTGACGACGACGACCGCAGTGACACGACCGTTCGTCTCGACTCGGACAACGACAACCAAAGTGACGCCGACAACCACGACATTATCGATCTCTGCAGCACCGATGAGGACACTGATGACGACATGGGTATCGACCACGACGTCAACGACGACGACATGGGCATCGACGACGACATCAACGACGACGACGCCACCGATGCGATCCCGGCGCAGGACGTTTCCGTCGACGTCCGCCGTCGTCCAGATTCTCTGGAGTCCCCGGCACCGCCAGTCGTTCAGGCCATGGGAAGAGCCTCCGATGACGACGCACCACTGGCGGCCGACGACTACCCCGCGCCACCAAACTTTCTCGCGATGAAGCAAGCCGTGGGCGGTGACCACATCGTCGCTGCGAGCTCCTTGGTGCCACGACCGGCCGAGACCGGGTGCGAGTACCCTGCGCCGCCCCAACTTCCCGCACGCAACCGGCCCACCCCCCTGTACCCGGGGCCTCCGCGTCTGCCAGCGTCGTCGACGCGACCATTTCTGTAGGCTATGCAATGCGACACGCAAGTCGAAGGGTGTAAATGCGTAAATGGTGGTGTTGGCGTCGGTTCGCCGCTGGTTTGTGAACGGGTATCTAAGCGTGCACAGCGTTTTTGACTCGGTCAACGTGTAGCCATCTCGAAGGTCGTGTCACTGGAACGACTCGTGCGTCAGCTGCGGTAGGGCGTCGCTATCTCTGCAAACTCGACTCTGCTTGACGTTGGAGTTTTGAATGGTCACTAATAAGTACTGGATTATAGATATCAACTTGATAGTTTGGATGCATGGTGCTACATCAGGTGCATTCAATCTACTAGCAAGACATTAGTCAGTGTATACGCTCATGGGGCTCAACGTCCCCGGCCCAAGCTGAAGACGAGCCGCAAGCTGTGGGGCGCGGTGGTCCTGCGTGAGAGACCGAGTCGTGCACCGCAGAGCGACGAGGATCGGGTTGCCGCTGCCTCAATCAGTTCCTCGGCATATGCCGAATATAGGTCCACTCATATCGGCAAATGGCGACTAGGGTTTCCAGCAATTCCTACCGTTAAGAGTTTTTTTGTTTGTATACAATTTCGACTACACATAACATTTGCCGTAGATAGAACACTCCAGTGGATATCGAAAAGGCACTTAACGGTACCACGATCACCTCAACCCGAACGGTTCCACCAATCAAACGCGAGCCGCGACAAGAGAGGTTGGGAAGCATGGTGCGCAAGACGACGCCAGCCATGACCGCGTCCTTGGACGAGCTTGCAGCGCGATGGGCGCCGGCGGTACGCGAATCGCCTGCTTCTACTCGCCTCATGCGCCGCTGCGTAGGCCAAGGACAGCACGTACGACGCCGCCATGGTGGCCGGAATCTACGCCACGCACCTCGCGCAGGCCGACGCCGCCAGCGCGCGGGCCACGCTCGACACGACGGGGTACCTCGAGCGGTACCTCTGGCCGCACTTTAGCGAGAAGACTGCGACTGACAAGGCGCTGCTCTTGTCGATCGCGATCACGTCCAACGAGAAGGAAGGCCGGAACTGGGCGAGCGTGGACGGCGCAACGTTCGGGCTCTTTGTCGACGCGCTGCTTCGCCTCAAGATGGAAGCCGACGATCTCTCGCTTGTCGAACACACGTACATTCTCCGCTTCCTCATGTTTGGCATCCGGCAGCTCGAGACGAGCCATGTGGCGCGGGCGATGCTCAAGTACACGTCGCTGCCTGTCTGGGCGCACCTCTCGGAGGTCCAGCGCTCGCTTGCGTTTGCGGACCACCCGAAGCTCAAGCGCCATTGGCAGAACCGCGTCCAGGCCAAGGCGCCGAGCAGCCCGGCCGCCAAGAAGCGCAAGACGACCGTCCTCGACTTGGAAGCGGACTTTTACGCGTCGTTGATCGACGACTGCAAAGCGTGCTTGTGCTCCAACGACGAAGCTGCGGTCGAGTACCTCGTGCACAGCTTGAACCTCTTTGTGGACCTTTTGAGCCAGCTCCCGACGCGGCGCTTCCTCCGGACGCTGCTCCTCCACCGCCACTTGCTGCTCGCGTGCCGCCAGAGCCACTGGGTGACGCAGCACGAGCTGCTCGCCAAGCAAGCCGAGCTTCTCCACTTTTACGCGCATTTTCCCATCGACGACCAGACGGGTACGGGTCTCGTGTCGATTCTATCAACGTATCAAGCGTATCTCTGTTTGTGTAGGCCACGCGTGGACGACGGTCGAGCACAAGAACGAGCTGGCGGCGCGGGCGCATGCGCTGCAGCTCGCAGCGTTTGAGCAGTCGCCGGCGCTGCACCCGCTCTCGTTGCTGCCCGTGGCGCAGCTGGGCGACCGCACGATTGTGCGTCAGCAACTGGCGCCGATCCCGCACGACGTGCTGCGACCCTTTTGCATCGCGCGGGGGCTCGTGCACGAGAAGGACGACGACGACGTCGACCTCGTCGAGTGCTTTGTGGACTTCTTCTCGCAGTACACGCCGCCGTCGCTGCAGTCGCTGCCCTTGTACCCGACGGAAACGGATCTGTGGGCGTCCGACCTCGCGTCGCTCGACGGCGTTTTGCCCACGCGCAAGCTCAACTTGCAGTTTCTGAGCGTGACCGACTACCTCCTCCGCTGCTACGAGCTGTACCGGCTCGAGGCCGCGTCGGCGATCGCACGCGATCTCGAACGCGTCATTGACGCCATGGCGCCGACGCTGACGCCGGGCAACACGACCATGTTCCGCAGCCGCCACCCGATGGGCCTCGGCGTCGAGCACGTCCGCGTCGTGCGCGTCGGCAAGCCCGCGATCGGCGAGTCGCACCCGGCGCAGGTCGTCGCCCACATCAACTTGGATCTTGGCGGCCAATCGCCCGAGGTGCTTGCTGCGTGGGACAGCCTCCAGCCGCGCGACGTGGTCTTCCTCGCCGGCGTTCAGGCTGTGGAGACGATGGCGTCTCCGACGTTGAACGCAGCTGAGCGCCTGGGAATTCACGTCGTCCGTGGCGCCCAAGTGCTCGAAGTGCTCGATTCCGTCAACAAGACGGTCGGCGAGCTCCTCGAGAACGGCCGACGCTACGAGGCGAAGGGATCGCGCCGCACGTTGCGCGTGGCGCTCGACGGCGCGCAGTATGCGGCCGACCTCGCGGCGGGTGGCACCGAGCTCTACGCCCGCCTCAACGTGCTCGTGCGCCGAGTCGCCGAGAAAAACCACTTTCGATCCGTCCTCAGTACCATGCAGGAAGTGCTCCAGACGCAGCGGGTGCAGCATGCGCTTCCGTCCTGGCTCAACGACGTCTTTCTTGGCTACGGCGACCCGTCGGCCGCCCACTACCGCCAGTACGCCTCTCTCTCTCGCCACGTCACACGCTGATATCGTATCCGTAGGTTGCGGGCGAAGAGCGACGAGACGCTCCACTTGTACGATACCTTTGTCGACGGCGACCACGCGCTCGCGTCGTTTACCGAGCCCGTCTCGCTACTGGACGAAGGCAGCGGCAAGCCGATTGCCCCGGCAGCGGCGACGGCGCCCTTCCGCCTCACCTCGACGGAGGCTGGCCTCGTGCTCACGTGCGCCGCCAAGCCGGACGACGCGCCGGCGGCCAAGGGCCTTCGGTACACGCCGGCGCAGGTCGAAGCGATCCGTAGCGGCGTCCACGACGGCTTGACGCTGGTGACGGGCGCGCCGGGGACGGGCAAGACAGACGTGGCGGCGCAGATCCTGGCCAATCTGTACCGGAGCCAGCGCTCGCAGCGGATCGTGGTGGTGGCGCCGACGCCCGCGGCCGTCGCCGACCTCGGCGCCAAGCTGCTCGCCCTCGACGTCGTGGACCCGGGGCACATGGCGAGTCTGAGTGCGACGACCGTGGACGAGCACGACTTGTCGGTGGCGGGGCGCGTCACGTTTCTGCTTCTGCGCCGCGAGGCGCTCTTGGCGCAAGTCGACTCGCTCGCGTCGGCGCTCAACCTCGCGCACCTCGGCGCGTCGCACTCGTGCGCGCAAGCCCAGTACTTTTACGCGTCCCACGTGCGGCCTACGCTCGCGCACCTCGAAACCAACGACGCGCTCCGCGCCTTTTGCCACGCGACGACGGCCGACGCGATGCAAGCGTACCTCGACCAATTCTTTGGCCAGCTCGAGACGCTCGGCGCCCTCGAGATCCTCCGCACGCCCAAGCAGCGTGGCGACTACGTGCTCGTCAAGCACGCGCGGGTCGTCTTGATGACGGCCGCCGACGCCGCCAACGCCCGCGCGCGGCTTCTCGAGATGGGGTTTCAGTACGCGACCTTGGTCGTCGACGCGGCCGCGCAGGTGCCCGAGGTCGACGCGCTCGCGCCCCTCGTGCTCCAGAAGGACGCGTCCAAGCTGCGCCGCGTGGTCCTCTTGGGCGACGACAAGGCGCTGCCGCCGGCGCTTCAGAACGCTCCGCTGGCGGCGTTTTCGCAGCTGAACCAGAGTCTGCTGCTGCGCCTCGTGCGCCTCGGGGCGCCGGTCGTGCATCTCGCGAGCCAAGGCCGCACGCGTCCGTCGCTCGCGCGTCTCTACGCGTCGCAGTACCCTGGCCTCTCCGACTTGCCGTGCGTGGCAGCGAGCCCGGGCTTCCAGCGCGCGAACCCTGGGTTCGCTTTTTCCGCGCAGTTTATTGACGCCCCGCGCGCGACGGCCGTAAACGGCGAGAACCGCGTCGAGGCCATGTGGATGCTCCAGCTGTTCCAGTACATGCGCCATGTCGGGATCGCCGCCACGGCCATTTCTGTGCTGACGGCGACCGAGGCGCAGAAAACGCTGCTGCTGACCATGTTCAAGCCACACGAAGCGACGCTCGGGCGCCCCGCCCACGTGGCGACGATCGACGAGAGCGTCGGGGCGCACAGTCCGTACGTGCTGCTGTCGCTCGTGCACACGACGTCGGTCGGGGCGCTGCGCGACGTGCGCCGCATCGTCGCCGCCGTCTCCCGCGCGGCCCTCGGTCTCTACATCGTCGGCAAGAAGGCGCTGTTTGAAGCGTGCGTGGACCTGACGCCGGTGCTTGGTCCGCTCTTCGATCGCCCGACGCAGCTCCAGCTGCTGCCGAACGAGCGCGTGGCGACGTGCAGCCGGCTCGAGACGGACGAGGCAGCGCCGACGACGGTCCAGAACGCCCACGAGCTCCACGAAGCGCTGGCGGCCATGACGCTTTCAGACTAAGCATCCTCGATTGAATCACAGACTCTATTCCTGCGTACTTGAAGGTTGCCATGTACAATGCAGTTTAAGGAAGGAGCTCCAAGACACGTTCAGGCGGGCGCCCGATGACGGCGCGCGCGCCATGCACGAAGATGGGCCGCTCGATGAGGCTCGGCGTCGCAACCATGGCATCAAGGAGAAGCAGGCGGTCGGCGAGCGGGTCGAGCTTGTCAAGCCCTTGGTCGCGGAAGGCTGCGTCGCCCGTGCGCATCATGAGCGTCGGCGGTGGCGTCGCCTCGGTCGGGGCGAGTTTCCGCAGGAGGCTCTCGAGGTCGGCGCGGGTCCATGCGACCTGGAGGTACTCGACGACGTCGACGTCGAGGCCGTGCTTGGCCGTGTACTCCGCGAGGAGGCCATGGGCCCCGCGGGACTTGGAGCAGCTCGGGTTGTGGAGGAGCGTCGCCATCTTGCTGATCAGGCGCATAACACGTGCTGTTACACAATCTAACGCATTATAACACTTGCCGACGCGGTCCGCTAAGTCCGCCTCGAGTATACTGAAGCGCTGTGGCAAGGGGCGTTGAAGCTCGGTAAAGTGCGCCCACTTCTTTTGCCAGCTCACGTGATAAACGCTTTGCAACCGTTGAGACGACGACGACGACGGGATGGACCGCTTGATGCTCGACAAGTTCAAGAACGCGCTGGACGATGCGTATGAGGGCGCGGCCATGGCGCACGGCTCATGGCGCATGGGCGTAGGAAAGGCGCGGTGAAGGCGCGCATGGGCTCGGAGACGGAGCGCAAGATCGAAGAAGCGCTCTCGAATAAGAACTGGGGCGCGTCAAGCACGCTCTTGAACGAGCTCGCGCAATTGACCTACGAATAGTACGCTGCCATGGAATGCGTGGGTGATGCTCATGGCTCGTTTGCGCAGCGAATCGTACAACCTTATCATGAAGAAGGTCTGGGAAGGCATGGACGTCGAGGCGCGGCAATGGCGCACGGTCTTCAAGGCGCTCACGCTCCTCGACCACTTGATCAAGAACGGCACGGAGCGTGTCGTTGAGAACGCCAGAGATCACATGTTCAAGCTGCGAACGCTCTCGGATTTCAACTACTATGACGGCTCGGCCGACAAGGGCGCCGGCGGTACGCGCTGCGTCCGTGTCTTTGTCCCGACGTCTGACTTCTTGTAGTGCGGGAAAAGGTCAAGCAAGTGCTCGAGATGCTCAATGACAACGACCGCATTCGCGACGAGCGAGAGAAGGCCAAGCGCCTCCGCGACAAGTACACGGGTGTCGGTTCCAGTGGCAGCATTGGCGGCGGCAGTGGCGGCTACAGCAACTCGGGCGGCTATGGCAATTCGGGTGGCTATGGCAACTCAGGTGGCAGCGGTGGCTACGGCAACAGCAACAGTGGCGGCTACGGCAACAGCGGCAGCGGTGGTTACGGCAACACGGACGAGCGACGAACGAGCAGCCGCGACAAGTACGACCAGGGCGGCTACGACAACCCGCGCCCGAGCAGCCGCACGGGAAGCCGCGACAAGTACGAGTACGTGCATCGATCCAGCTCTTATTGCCGACAGCCTCTGACACGCTGACAACGATAGATCGCGCCACGACGAAGACGAGTCGGAAGAGGAGGTAGGACGATGCGGCACCGCTTGAAAACGTACCACAGCATGCGTCACTGTAGGTCCGGCCCAAGGCGCGTCGCTCGTCCAAGAAGAAGGCGGCCAAGGAAGCGGTTGGCGCGCCACTCGTGATAGGAAATGGGACGCTCACCGATCGATGCCGTCGTAGGAGCCCGTGGCCGACGACGAGCCCGTGCGTGCGCCGTCGGCGGCCCCTTCTCTCTTGGACCAAGACTTCTTTTCGGCGCCGGCGGTCACCGTCCACCCCGTCGCCGACCCGTTTGCACTGCCGGCGGCCCCCGCCGCGGCGCCGGCCTTTAACAACGCGTATGGCAGTGCGCCCGTGGGCTTTGGTCAGATGCCGGCACCGACGCCGGGCTTCCCGCCGCAGCAACCCGGGATGAACCAGTTTCCGGGCGGCTTCCAGAACATGGCGCCCGCGCCTGTCATGGGCGGCATGGCCGCCGGTCAATTCGGCTCGCGTCCCAGCATGACGCAGCCGTACGGGAGCAACCCGCAGCCGGGCATGGGTCAGCAGCAACCCCTGTACGGCAGCAACGCCAGCATGGGCCAGTACGGCCAGCCGTCCAGTCAGTTTGGCGCGCCGCAACAACAGCAGCAAATGCAGCAGCAACAACAAATGCAGCCCCCGCCGGCGGTCAAGAAGGAAGAGCCGCCGCGCTCAAACGATGCGTGGGGCGCGGGCTCCAACCTCTTTGACTTGAGCAACCTCAGCAAGAGCAATGCGACGTCGACGAGCGCCGCCATGCCGGCCGCCAAGCAGCCGCCGGCGTTCGGCGCTCAGAACAGCTTCAACGGCCTCGACACACTCGCCGGCATGCCCAACAAGGGTCCTTCCAACCCGATGCCGGCGATGGGCGGGATGGCCATGGGCCAGACGCAGATGCGCCCGGCCATGGGCGGCATGAACCCCATGGGTGGCCAGCCGCAGTACGGTCAGCCGCAGTACGGCCAGCCGCAAGCGCAGTTCGGTCAGCCCCAGTACGGCCAGCCGCAGCCCCAGTACGGACAGCCGCAATACGGCCAGCCTCAGTATGGCCAGCAGCAACAACAGCAGCAGCAGTATGGCCAGCAGCAGTTTGGTGGCTTCCGCCCGTTCTAAGTATTACGACCGACCGAAGGTTGAAGACTCGAGAGATATATGACCTTGCTATATGTTCTAGTACGTCGTTAGCATGCGGCGGAGGGCGCTGGACGGCTGTCTCTATATGGGTGGGGTTTGTATAGATAGTCGATCGAACTGCAGGCTACAGGCCGCGGTACGCTGGGCGGCGGTGTAGCTTGGTCTTCTCCATCTCATCGTCGTCGTCTTCGGTCATGCGGATGTCGCCATCGTCGTCTTCGTCATCGGTCAAAGGCGCGCTCTTGCGCTTCCGCAGGCCTTCCTTGAAGCTGTACTCGTCGTCTTGCCGCACGCAGCGGTTGACCACGAGGCCCTCGAGGTAGACCACATGGCATCGTCCTTCCTTGCCGTCGTCGTCGTCGTCGTTCAAGAGGTTCTTCCTTCGGTGCTTGAGGTGCGAGCGCAGGCGGTCCTTGGGCTGCGGCGACGTCGGCGGCGTCGTCGGCGGCGCAAAGCCCGTCGGCTTGCGCAGCAGCTCGGGCACGAGGTACACGGTGTCGCGCGTCATCAACTCAACGACTCTTGGCGACTGGTGGTCGCCTGCCAAAGATCGTTTTTGGAACGTTAAGTATGCGTTTTCAGAGGTTTCGCATGGAATCCTATACGATCTCAGAGGTGTACACGCACTCGCGAAGAAGAACAAGACGCCGACGCCGACCACGGCCGGAAGAACCACGTAGTGGTGCGGGCTACTCGATCCAATCAGCGGGCTCGCGGCGCCGTCGGCGACGATGACACGAGCGACGTCGATGACGCACCTGACGGTTATTCGATCGGTGGTGCTGCCACGTAAGCGGCGGCTTTTTTCGAAGGGTTACGATGAACCCTATCCACGGAAAGGCGTCAATGCGTTGACAGACGCAGCCTCGAAGAGCGATTGCCTCTTGGCGCTGTGCTGAGGGTCGCGTGGCCGGGCAGTGGCCTGCCCTTTCTCGGGGTACCAAGTACCAAGGAAGGCGACGAGGGCGAGAAAGGTGGCGGGATGGGACGGCCGTTGGGGTGGAACGTCGTATGGAAGGAAGGTCATGCCAACGATAAATTTAAGGTAACCGCGCAAGAGAGAAGACATTGAGACATTGATTGCTCGGAGCCGGCGCTTAAATAGAAGACGAGCCATGGTGGCGTTCCATCGTCTGTGGTGCGCTAGCGGTTCATGAGGGAGCGCATGGCACGCGTCGCATGCTCCAGCTCCGCGTCGACATCATGGGCTGCTCGCGGCATGGACACTTCGGTTGTCAGTCGGTCAAAGGAGGTCCGCAGAGACTCCATCATGGCGTCGTTGCCAACGATCATCGCTTGCATGTCGTGGAGCTACGCCAAGCGCGTCATGATCCCTTCGCGCAGAGCGGTTGCGTGTACCTTGGCGACGTTTCGCTGCGAGTGTGCAGTGATGCCAAAGCAGAGGTCGGGTGCCATCTACGTCGGCCATGACCCTGCGACCTATCGCTCGAGAGCGCTGCTCACGTGGAAGTCGACGGGCGACCCGAGGGCCGAGGCGAGGGCGTCGCGCATCTCGTGCGGCCCCATGCCATCGGTGTCGTAGCCAAAGGCGCGGAGGAGGATCGCGGCCGTCGACGCCTGCCAGAGCGCTACGTACGACGTGTACTGGTCCATCGCCAATCGCCAAATGAGCGGCTTCGATATTGCGACGGTTTCGGTCCCAGCTCTTCGGTGATTGGTTGAAATTTATACGTGTCGGTGATTGGTGCGTTCACATAACCGCGCCCGGCGATTGGTTTAAATTCTCGTTTGGCGATCTTGCAGCTTCAAAGCCACTGCACCGCCGTAGCGTGTCTCGAGGTACGATTAGGTGAGGTGGGTACGAATTAAGACGCGAATTCGTAGCTTGATGCCACGCCTTCCTGAACGACCTCGTTCGTATCCCTTCGAGTCGCATCGAAGAAGCGTCTTGTTCTCTGTAGTCTGGTGGACTGCCTCGTCCCAGAAACGGCCGACGATCGACACATCATTGTCATCGCTGGATGACAAATGAGATAATATAACCCCTTCAATGCAGCAGCAGTAGACACCTCTATGGAGGCTTCGTGCAAGCCCCATGGCCATGGAAGGCAGCCCTAAAGGCTGCAGCGCAAGTCTCCCTTCCGCACCGTCTCGCAGTCGGTTACGGGTGCGTGTTATCCGGATGACCGCTATCCGGAAACACAGATCGTCGTTGACGATGGACGAGGTCGTGGAGAACCAGCGCTGGTATGCGCTCAGCGTACGTGGCATGCTCCGGGGCGACGATGAGCATGACGGTGCTGCTAGGGCTGGTCCGACAAGCTCCTGGAGAAGGACCCGCCCGCGTGGTCCGACGCGGCGCGGCGACTGGCAAAGGCCAAGCCGCCGTTGCCGCATGCCGAGTGGCACTTCTACCGCGGCGACGAGTACGACGAGAATGGCTGGCTCTACAGTGCGTCCTTCGACCTGAGCGACTTTGGCGCCAAGAATGCAGCCTCCGTCGTGCGCAGCCGCGTCTGGCTCAAGGCGTCAACAGAGCCCACACAGGCGCCGCCTCCAATGACCGATCTGCCTCTCTCACCTGTCGCAAGCGCTTCCATGGAAGCCCCGCCCGTCACTTCCGCACCTAGCACCGAGGCGCCATCGTTCACAGAAGACAAGCCCGCGCCGATTCCTGCCCCCGCGGCTGTCCCTGTCAAGCAAGGCGGGTACCTCAGCCGATTCTCGTCCGCCGCACTCAACGTTTCCAAGTCTGCGGTGGACTTTGCCGCATCCAAGTCGGTAGGCGCTGTGCTCACGGCCGCCTTGTCCGTGCACGAGGTCTCGGCGTACGCCTACGATGCCGCGCATGCGGCTGCTGTCTCGGCCCTGGCCGCCGACACGGCCGTCGCGCCGCCACGACCCAAGGGCCCGTCGGCCGCACGCAGCCCAAACGCCTCCGCCCGGCGTTTCCCCGACTTGACGCCGATGGAGAAGGCCATGGTGTCGTGCTGTGCCGACTTGGCTGTGCATCCGGTGGCCTCGGCGCCCGAGCCCGTGCTGCGGCCCGACTGCACCCAATGCAAATCGCCCTTTGGCATTAGCAAGTACCGGTATCACTGCGGGTACTGCGGCGAGGCGTACTGCCGCGACCACCTTCCGGCGACCGAGCGCCTGCACGCGTTGGGCGGCACAGCGCCCGTCAAGATCTGCGCGACCTGCGTCGATTTTCTGGCCCAAAAGATTGACATGCAGCAACGCAACTGGCGCGTCGAGCGTGTTCGGGTAGCCTCGCTTCCATGCGCTCTCCACGCGCTCAACTGTATCGCTCGTTCTAGGACTATCTCGACCGGACGCTGGCTCCGTACGTGAGCGTCTCGACCGACACGGCGCTGGACAAGGCGTTCCGGGCCGCCGAAGGCACGTTGGCGGCCGCCAAGGCTGCGCCACTGGGCGCGACCGCCAAAATGGCGGTCGTCAGCGCAGACTTCTTGCGCAAGTATGGCCGCGCGGGGCTCATCGGCTTCGTGCTCCGGAACGAGTTTATGCAGTCGTTCAACACGCTCAAGGCGCTTCTCGGGGACATGGAGTCGCTCAGCGTGCAAGACGCGGCCGTCGGGCTCTACTACTTTATGGCAACCAACCGCGGCCACCGCGGCGGCCACCCGCTGGACGAGCGCGAGATGCACGCGGGGTGCCCCATCGTACCGGATGCGCTCTTGCACGAACTCATCCGGTTCGCACCCATCACGCTCCACGCGATTTACGAGCTCGACATCCTCGACATCCAGCGCTTCGTCAAGCTCCAGGGCTTCACGCTCCTCTTTGCGTCCGTCGAACACCGCACCGCCAATCAGCCGGCGTTCGGCCTCGTGGCGCGCGCGGACGAGAAGCTCGCCGTGCTTCTAGTGCGCGGCTCCAAGTCGGTGCAGGACATTCTCACAGACCTCCAGGTGGCGCCCGGCGACGCAACATCCAGCCACGGGCCGCTGGACGCCTTTGCGCACCACGGTATGGCGCAAGCCGCCGCGTGGATCAAGGCACAGACCATTGACGCGCTGCGGGAGCTCCATGCCCGCGGGTACCGGCTCATGGTCAACGGCCACTCGCTCGGCGGCGGTGTCGCGGCGTTGCTGGCCGTCATGCTCCACGCCGAGTTTCCGGACGTGCAGTGCTATGCGTACGCCGTGCCGGCGTGTGCGAACATCGAGACGGCGGCGGCCTGCGCACCGTACGTGCACTCGGTCGTCCTCCGCGACGACTTTGTGCCGCGCGCCAAGACGCACAACATCGTGCGCCTCTCGACCGAGCTCAAGCAGTTTCGCGACGAGTGGAAGAACACGGCATTGGAGGACTGGACCGCCGTCAAGTCCCGCGTCAAGTCGGTCTGGGCGCCGCGGAAGCGCGAGTGGGCGCAGATGGAGGCCGCGCGCACCCGTGGGACGCTGCTGCCGCATTCGGAGACGCCGCTTGTCGACGCGGCGGTGCCGTCGCGCGAAGCCGCCGTCGACGCGTGGACACTCACGCGGTCGAACCTCGTTGACAAGTACTCCGAGTCGAATGGCAGCAGTCCCAAAGCACCTGTGACGCCTCGGACAACCGATGACGATGATGACGACGGTCATGAAATGGAGACCGACAGTGCTGTCGAGCTCTTTGTACCAGGACAGGTACCGACACCTCCCTCGCTCGTTGTCATGGATCCATTTTCATTGGGGATAGGTCATCCATCTCTACTACACGCACGGCGTCTACGAGGCCGCGTTCGTCGACCGCAACTGCGACGCGCTCGGAAAGATCCACGTGTTTGAGAACATGCTCAGCGACCACCTCGGCCGCAACTACCTCGCCGCCCTCCGCATCGTGCGCGACGCCCGCAAAGCGTCGAGTGCGCCGCCCCCTTGGGTGTGCTTCAACACGCACACGCGCTGCATGTGCTGCGAAGCGCCGTTTACGTGGAACTCGACGTCGCAGAGCGAAGCGCAAGCGAACCGCGACCAGCACAACTGCCGGAGCTGCGGCTGGCTCGTCTGCGACGGCTGCTCGGAGAAGCGCAAGCCGTTGCCCGAGTACGGCATCAACACGCCCGTGCGTGTCTGCGACAAGTGCTTTTATAAAGCGTAGTACATGCACGACGGAATACTATGGGTGGAAGACGCTGGACATTACGGCGCGTCGAGGACGCGGCAGGCAAACCAGTCGTAGTTGACATACGTAAAGACGTGACACCACAGGTCGGAGGGCAAGAGGCCGCTGCGGCGCCCGCGACGCGAGAGCAGCAGCGTCCGCGCCACCGCCCGGAACGTCGGCGGAAAGTACTTGTGGTACTTGCGGCACCACCGCCGGTCGGCGTGCTCGAGCTCGTAGTCGAAGCGCCCGCTTTCGGCGGCGAGCGACTCGATCTCGTCGACCTCGCAGCGCTGCCATGCGCCGCGGAGCAGTCGCTGCGTCGGCGTGCCGTAGTAGACGTACTCGCTGCCGACGCCTTCGACGACGTACGTTATGTGCCACGAGATCTGATTGCGCGTCCACGAGCCGCTCAGCGCGCATTGCTACAGAGAGGGTTGAACGACCGGAGGACAGAGAGAGGATACGGCGACCTGTGGCACAAAGTGTTCCTGGACGTAGCCCGAGACGCGGCCTTCGTCGAGCAGCTGCAGCGTAATACGAGACGCATAGACACGGCCATTGGCGCCGATCGCGCCACCGCGAAAGGTGTACGTGCCCGGCGCGAGCGGGTAGAGCGGCGAGATCGCGTCCAGCGCCGGTCCATCGCCGTCGACGATGCCAAAGTGGAAGCCGCCAGTGCCATGGAGGTTGTTGGTCGCATTGAACCACTTGCCACGCAGGCCGTGTGTCGCGTCGTAGGTGCCCACGAGGCGCAGCACGATGGTGAACTCGGGCGTCGACACATTGGCCGAGAACTGGACGTGCTTGAGGCCGTTGGGACCGTCGCAGTGGGTAGCCTCCGTGAAGGCCATGTTGCCGAGGCCGATCTCATCAGGACACTCGAGCACATGCAGGCCCACGGTGCTGTCGCCATAGAAGCGGGCGCGCAGCTTCACGGGCAGGCCGACAAGATCGCCCGCGACAAGACCTTCCTCCCACATCGCCAAGTCCGGCGTTCGGATACGACGCCGATATCCGGATATCTTGCCGCGTTCGCCAACCATTTTCATACACCATGCTCGTGCGGAATCTCGGGGCCTGCGTCGCCCGCATCGGTGCGCTCAAGGTCGCCTCGATGCGCCTGCCGACGACTGCCGCCTGCCTGCAGATGCGCAAGCTGCCGGCGATGGCCATGGCGCTGCCGCTGCGCGCGTTCTCGACGGACGCGCCGGCGGCGAACATGGGCAACCCGCGCGTCTGGGTCGGTGGTCTGCCGTATGCGACCTCCAAGGAAGACCTCGCGTCGCTCTTTGCCGAGTTTGGCACGATCGAGGCCATTGACATGACGTCCCATTTGGATGGCCGCCCCAAGGGCACGTGCATCATCACCTTCGCCTCCGGCGCCGAGGCCCACGCCGCGCTGGCCATGGACGGCAAGGTCTGTGGCACGCGCTGGATGCGCGTGCGCCTCTCGGAAGAGCGCGCCGTGACGCCGAGTCCCAAGCCCGAGAACTGCCTCAAGGTCTTCTTCGCCAACGTGCCATTCAAGACGACGGAAGATGACATCCACGACCTCTTTGAGCACTGCGGGCCGATCGCCAAGATCGTGCTCATGCGGGATCCCGCGAATGGCCGCTCGAAGGGCTATGGCTTTATCGACTTTGAAAAGACAGAAAGCACGGACGAGGCCGTCAAGCTCGCGCACAAGTACGTCCAGGGCCGCCTCATGAACGTCAACTACGCGCCCTTCTCGACGCCGGCGCGCAAGGAGCCGGCGCGCCAGATCAGCACGGTCTTCATCGCCAACCTCCCCACCGACGTCGACGAGGAGACGCTCCGGGCGATGTTTGAGCACTGCGGCGACATCCGCACGGTGCGCATGCCCGCGAACGGCACCAAGTCGTTCGCTCACATTACGTTTGCGTCTGTCGACGACGCCGCCGAGGCTTTGAAGCTCAGCGGAAGCGAGTTTGACGGTCGCCGCCTGCACGTCTCGATGGCCATCAACAAGGCGCGGCCCATCAAGCCGTAGGAGTCCGAGCCCAGACCCGCACCAGTACCCTTCCAACACACCCACACTTGATAGTCGACAGTCTGCACATAGAGAACCACCATTTACGCATTTACACCCTTCGACTTGCGTGTCGCATTGCATAGCCTACAGAAATGGTCGCGTCGACGACGCTGGCAGACGCGGAGGCCCCGGGTACAGGGGGGTGGGTCGGTTGCGTGAGGGAAGTTGGGGCGGCGCAGGGTACTCGCACCCGGCCTCGGCTGGTCGTGGCGCCAAGGAGCTCGCAGCGACGCCGCGGTCACCGCCCACGGCTTGCTTCATCGCGAGAAAGTTTGGTGGCGCGGGGTAGTCGTCGGCCGACAGTGGTGCGTCGTCATCGGAGGCTCTGCCCATGGCCTGAACGACCGGGTCGAACACGTCGCCTGCAGCTGGTACAACCGGATCCTTCGCATCGGCGGACGGTACACGCGGCGGGCTAGGATACGTGGCGTTGGACGCTGTCGTCGCTCGTGGCCTCGGACCGGCTTGGTCCACCGGTGGAGGGTCGTCGGTCTTGATCGCTTGATGGGTCTCTGGCTCTGTGGTGGCGTTGGGTGTTTTTCCAACCGTCGTTGCCAAAGCGACGGTTGGCAGGACAGGCGGGGCGGGATAGGTCACCGCCGCCGATGCCTCTCTACTTGCGCCTGTGTCGTTGCTATGAGATACGATGAGGTTGGCGGCCACAGAGTGCATCGCGGGGGCTGCTGCGTGCATGGCTCGTACCCGTCGCGGCGTCCCAACGTCGTCATTATCGCTGCTGTCGCTGCTGAGCGTGATCGGGTGGGCGTTCGACCCGTCGCCGTGTCGCCCTGCAAACACGCGCGGGGCCGCCGGGCGCTTGTCGGACGCCTTGAGCCTTGCGTTTCGCAAGTCTGCCTCGGCGCGCTCGACGAGCTTGCTGAGGCCGTTGACGATCGTCATCTTGAGGATCGGCGCGGCCGGTGGCACGTGCATATCGTCGTCGTCGTTGGCTGGGAAAAGCGTTGCGACCGTTGTGCGCGGCGCCACGCAGCGAGGAGGTTCGTCGACCGTCGAGGCGTCGCGGGCAGCCAGCTGCTTGGCTTCGAGCGCTTCGGCCTTCATCTGCTGGTCGGCAAAGTGGCGAAACACTTTTTGCAAGTCCGCCTCGAGCGTCGTGGCAAAGCCCGTGCGGTTCTCAATCTCGCGCGTCGACCGCTTGAAGTCCGCGTCGTACACTGCGGTGTTCTCGTCCAGAAACTCGCGCCAGCCGTCGACGCGCGGGCGACCCGCCTCGTCGGCCGTCGGCTCCTTCTTGACCTCGCGGATGCCGTGCAGCACTGCGTGCGTCCGGTCGCGCTCCGAGTCCGAGAGCTCTTCGTCGTCGATGTATTCACGCTCTTCGCACTCCCAGCACACTGCTTCCTGGCCGTACTCGATCGCACAGGCCGTGTGGTACACGCGATCACAGCCGTCGCAGTAGACACCTGGCTTGACGCTGTCGGCGGGCTCGTTGCAGAGAAAGCAGACGCCGTCAACGCGCTTCTTCGGCTGCCGTTGCTTCTTCTTCGTCTTGGGCGAATCGGTGAACGCCGGGTCGTCGTCGTCGTCGTCGTCGGACGACGACATGTACATCGCCATGTCGTAGGCTTCGTAGCCATCGCTGCTGCTGCTGTCGTCGTCGTCGTCGTCGTTGGACTCGACGGTGAGGTCGACCACCTTCTGCAATTTGGTGCGAATCTCTTCATCGTCGTCGCTGACCACCGTCACGTCGTTGTCGGGCGGGCCGCTGATGTCGACGTCGTGCTTGTCGCTGGATTTCAAGTTCTGGAAAAAGAGGAGAACTTTGCGCGAGCACTCGCCGACGGGCGGCGGTGGCGGCAGCGCCCGCCGAGGCTTTGTCACGGGGCTCGACACGATCGCAGACGTCGGAAGCGCAGGCTTCTTGCGCTTCACCGTGACCACGTGCGGTGCGGCTGGCGTTCCCGGCGCAAGTGGTGCTGGCTTGTGTTCGAGGGCGGCCGCTGCAACGCCGCTGCTCGCGCTGGTGTGCATCGGTGGAGGTAGCACGGCACAGTTGCTCGCGGCAGGCGCGCCGTCATCGTCGCGTTGCCGCTTGGCCGGGTTGCCGTCCATGGCAGTTGGCCCGTCGCTGGTTCGCAGCGGACGCTTCGCGCTGTGCTTTTCCACGTCTGGGGAAGCCGTGCGCAATGGTTTCTCAAAGTCGCTGCTGTCGTACACCAACGCATCATAGCATCTGGACATGAGCGGTCGGGACAAGTCGTCGCGCAAGGCGGGCGTCCACTCAAAGAATATTGGCGGTGTCGATCGTTGCATTGATAGCGCTGGCGGCGAGGGCGCTTGTTGCGGCGGTGGCGCGGGGCGCGATGCTGGCGGCGCGCGCGGCGAGGGCGACGGGCGCGATGCGGGCCGGCGGACCACGCTGTCGTCCTCGTCGTCGGACGATGAGACGAGATCGACGACGTCTGTCGGCGGCTTTGCGCATCTACTGCAGGCCACCACCATGAGCGCCATCGAGGTCGCCGCAAGCGCACGTACTCGTTCATTCGTCCTCGCCGCCCCATTCTGGAATTTATGCAATTATTGGCCAATGAGCGTCCCCTGCGGTGCAAGCTCAACGGCAACGACATCTTGTCAAGGCGGAGGCAGTGGACAATAATGACGTGAGATTACATGGTAGTGCTATTCAGTGCGGTTGTTTCTATGGGTGGCATGGCACTGCGCTTGGCGCGACGGGCTTGGAGCAGCCCGCGGCGGCGCGCCCCCGGCGGGAAGCCGTCGCTGTCCAGGATTGTCCATGCCTGCATGAGAAGCGTCCAATTCGGGTGGCACGCACCCAGGGAAGGCGGTGGCGGGAGCGGCGTAGGAGCCGATGGCATGTTGTCTGATGCGCAGCTCGCGTCCTCGTGCTTGATGATACTGGTCGGCGGCGGTCGAGGAGCATCGTTGGCGTCGTCTCGAATGTGTCGTTTGCGCTTGCCCGGCTTGATGGTCGGTGTTGTCGGTGTTGCCATCTCGGGCTTGGGCGAGGTATACTCGGTGGAGTGCGCTTGGGCGACTTCTGGCGCCCCGCTGCCCGCAGCGCGACGGTTGTGCAAATGGACTTTCTCTGTCGCCTCGAGCTTGGGCAGCGGATCGCGTCGTAGCGCAGGCGGCGCCATGGCAGGAGGCGTCGACAGCCGCGCGAGGCGAGGAGACAGCATATTTAACGGCAAGTTGGCTGCGAGGAGCGGCGCCGGCACGATCGACTGACCTGGCATCGACACTCGAATCGCGGTCGACCTAGGGGGCGCCGCAGCCGCTTTTATCGGCGTCCCCGGCTTGGTGGCAAGTGTTGGCTTTGTCTCGGCTATGTGACGGCGGACATGTGCTGGAGCCGCAGGTGCAGGTTGCGCGCTCGATGCGGGCGTCGGATCGGCAGGCGCTGGAGGTGGGCTGGATTCGGAGGGCGGGCAGGGTGTTGCGACTGCAACCGGCTTGGCATCGTCGTGCGCAGACGCGTTCTCTGGTATTCGGTTCGATGTTGTTGTCGCAGCAGCTTGCGCGGGTGCTGCAGCCTTCGGCTTCGTTTCGGTCTTGGGCCGCTTTGTACGCGCCGTCGCTGGCGCGTTGGTGGTGGGCGCTGCGTGCGCTTGGCGTTTGGAAGATGCACGCGGCTTGGCATTCGTCTCGGTGGGCGTCGCTGGCGAGGTCGATGCTGCACGCGCCTTGGCATTGGCGGGCTTGGCCGGTCGGGCCCCGATCGGCGCGTCGTCGTCGTCGTCGTCGTCGGACGAGAGGAGCTCGATGACCTCGGGCGGCTTGTCGACGGCGAAGTGGAAGCTGCAGTCGTCGCACCAGATCGTGATGCCCCGCACGATCTTCTCGCACACGACGCAGCGGGGCTTCTTGCGGGCCATCGTCTCCGTCGCCCGAATGCCAGCGCAGCCAATCCGCCAATCACCGCGCCACTCTTTTCGACCAATCACGTGCGCGCAAAGCCTCTGCGACATGTTGCAACAGCCAATCCGCAGCCGAGCGCCCTGTCAATTTGCCGGTGCTCTGGCGCGTTCGCGGACAGGGCCGGAAGTTGCGCCGATGTCTCTCATCGTCATGAGCTCGCTACATCGCCGACGACCAAGGCCATCGATGGCCTTGCCACTGCTACGACTAGAAGCCAAGCTTCGTGGCGCTTGATGGACTCCAGGCCGGTGCATGGATGTGCTGCCACGGTGGTGAGGCTTGGGGTGGGCCTGTGATTGCAGCCAAGATGCGAGACTGGCGCCCACCTGCGTGCCCACCGCGTTGATTTTCTTTGGCAAGAACGAGTCTGTAAATGGTTTTACGCGCTATCGACGTTGTGGATGAAGCGGCCGAGGATGAGGAGGGCGTCTTGCATGTCGCTCAACGAGCAGAACTCGTTGTCGCCGTGGTAGACGGAGCTCTTGCCAAAGCCCGCGAGCGTCAGGTCCAAGCCCGCGCGCTGGAGGTCGCGGACCAGCGGGAGCGACCCCATGATCGCAAACGGGTTGGACTCGCCCTTGACGGCCTTGGTCGCTTCGCTGAACGACTGGAAGCCGATCGAGTCGAGCGCGCACGCAATGCCTTCAATCGAATGGTCGCCCAGCGTGAGCTCGAGCTTCCCGACCAAGTCTTCCTTGGGCAGCGTGTACTTGGAGTGCGGGCCACGGCCTTCGAGCGCCGAGATGTCCTCGTTCATCTCGGCCACGTAGCTACTGAGCTTCTCGCGGAGCTACGAGACGCCAGTGTAAGAAAGTTGTCGGAGGAGGATAGCCGTACGTCTTGCATGTCGTAGAAGGGCGAGAGACGCACGTCGCCCGAGACCTTGCACCACGGCGGGATCTGGTTGACGCCATTCGTTGAGCCTTCGACCTACATGCACGCGCTGTTTGTTGGGAATCAACGACCGAGGAAGGACGGAACCTGCGTCGGCTTCATCGTCGACGCGCATGCAAAGTTGTACGGGATCTCGCTCTCGTGCTGGGGAAAGTCTGCGTAAAAGCGCTTCTGGAGCTCGTTCACTGCGTCCATTGCCATCTCGAGGGCGTTCATGCCGAGATGGGGCAGGCCGCTGTGGAAGAGCTTGCCGGTCGCCTTGAGCGTCCATGTGAGCGACCCCGCTAAGCTCCGTCATCAGTGGTTACGCTACATCACAGAAGCACACGTACCCGTGCCAATGCACGGCTGGCTGTCCGAGCAGTCGACCCACAAGACCGGGCCGTTCTTGAGGAAATCGATGGCACCGGAGGCCATGAGCGTCTCGACGCCGACGCCGGCGATGTCGCCGTTCTCCTCCGAGACGATCAAGACCGCCGAGATCGTCTTGTCGGTCACAACCTCGTTCTTGGCCAGCTCGAGGAAGAGTTCTAGTACGTGTGTACGTGAACGAGGTCGAGAGAGACGTTAGGGGAGTACGCGTGACGAGTGCGACGTGGCCGAGGCAGTCGGTCGTGCCGCGCCCGTAGAGCTTGTCGCCTTCGACCGTGAGCTTGAACGGGTCGCGCTCCCAGCCTTCCGGGTTGGCGGGCACGACGTCCATGTGCATGCCCACAAAGTTGATGGTTTCCTCCGGCTTGGTGGCGCCGGGGTACTGGAGGATCAAGTGGCCGCGGCCTTCGTGGAACGCAATGCGCTGGGCCTCAATGACGCCGCCGTTCTGCTTGAGATACGGGCTCAATTCGTCCAGCACGATGTCCGAGATCAAGTCTTCCTTGGGAATCAAACCGAGACTCGGGGCGTTCTGGACATGTTCCTGGACCAAAACACCCATGAGGCTCCATGCATAGTTGTACGAGGGAGCCTACGGCGACATCCATAAACTTGGAGAGGAGCGCAATGTAGCTGTCCGCGTCCAGCGCGAGGTCCAAGACCGACGTCATCGTAGTGTCTGAAAGCAAAATGCGAAATGACGAAGGGCACGACGAGGCAAAAGTCATCCATTAGATTCTCGCGCGCTCTATGTGCAACTTGAAGCCTGCGACACACGTCCCTTCCTGCCCGTCCGCCTCCTCGCAGAAATTCCTCCATGCTGCTTCCTTGATCACGGAAAGGCCAATCAAGGACATAGATGTGTCTATTTCCTCGGGCCAATCTAGGAGGACCAAGCTTCTTGCTGATCCGGCGCGCTCAGGTCACGGCGCTGGTTGCGTTCTCTCAGACGTTAAACGTCCAGCCGTGTTGAATTCAAATGACCAGAGATAAACGCTGAACGAGGACATGCGAAGAGGGTGGCTACAAAGAGCGCGGACGTTGCAGGCAGCGTCAAGCGCATGACGTGGCAGGCGGACAGACCGGTGACTGTTGGAAGTGCAAGTACATACGCTGGCGTGCATCTACCTTGCTATTTGTATGCAACGTGATCGCACTATACTAGTACTTAGATGATGATGGCGTCGGAGTTGCACCGATGGGATGGGTTGCAGCGTGCGACGTGGTGGCAAGAATGCACGAGCACATGTCGTCCGTCGTGCTTGCGAAGGGTGCTAAGGCTACTACCTATCCCGAGAGCTGACGAGGCTAGAGGAGCAGCCTTTGAAAAGGCTCTTGCAAGGTGTGACGAGCTCAGAAACTCGGCCAACGGACCCTTGCGACGCTGCTGCCAGTGGTACCATATCATGCTCTGTGTTCGCTTCGCGAGCGCTTAGCATTCGCCCGCGCAATACCTGCACCTTTCACTCATCACGTGGTGCCTTGCTCGATTCCAGCCGCTAATCGACAGCAGAGGGTCGATGGATTGGCGCTGCTAAGCGCCCAAACGCATGAGAAGAAGTCTTTGTTGCATTTATACACGGGGCGGATTCGGTGGCGCTTACGCCGTGTCGACGTTGTGGATGAAGCGGCCGAGCATGCGGATGCCATCGACCATGTCGCTGAGGAGGCAGTACTCGTTGTCGCCGTGGTAGACGGAGCTCTTGCCAAAGCCCGTGAGCGTCAGGTCCAAGCCCGCGCGCTGGAGGTCGCGGACCAGCGGGAGCGACCCCATGATCGAGTACGGGTTGGACTCGCCCTTGACGTGCTTGGTCGCTTCGTGGAACGCCTTGAAGCCGATCGAATCGAGCGAGCAAGCAATGCCCTCCATGTAGTTTTCAGCCAGCGTCAGCTCGAGCTTCCCCACGAGGTTTTCCTTGGGCAGCGAGTACTTGGAGTGCGGGCCACGCGACGCGAGCGACTCAATGTTGGCGTTCATGTCGGCAACGTAGCTCAAAAGCTTCTCTTGCAGCTAAGCATACACGAGTGGTGAGATGATGATCGCAAGCAGGGAATGGTCCTACGTCTTGCATGTCGTAGAAGGGCGAGAGACGCACGTCGCCCGAGACCTTGCACCACGGCGGGATCTGGTTGATGCCGTTCGTCGAACTTTCAATCTATCAATCAAATCAATGCATGTCGCAAGAAGGGAGTTGCCTCGTACGCGGGTCGGCTTGAGCGTCGACGCGCACGCAAAGTTGTACGGCAGCTCCTTCTCGTGCTGGGGAAAGTCCTCGTAGAAGCGGTTCTGGAGCTCCTTGATCGCGTCCATGGCCATCTCGAGGGCGTTCATGCCGAGATGGGGCAGGCCGCTGTGGAAGAGCTTGCCGGTCGCCTTGAGCGTCCATGTGAGCGCACCAGCTATGAATACGACGAGATATATCAGTTTACATCTTGACATTGTATGGCGTGCGTTTGTACCCGTGCCAATGCAAGGCTGGCTGTCCGAGCAGTCGACCCACAAGACCGGGCCGTTCTTGAGGAAATCAATCTTGCCCGTCTCCATGAGCGTTTCGACGCCGACGCCAGCGATGTCGCCGTTCTCTTCCGAAGCAATCATGACGGCCGAGATCGTCTTCTGCGTCACGACTTGCTTCTTGGCCAATTCGATAAAGAGCTCTAGCCATGTGCACGGTAAGACACGCATGCCTAGGAAGGAAACAGCTTACGCGTGACGAGCGCAACGTGGCCGAGGCAGTCGGTCGTGCCTCGCCCGTAGAGCTTGTCGTCTTCGACGCTCAGCTTGAACGGGTCGCGCTCCCAGCCTTCCGGGTTGGCGGGCACGACATCCATGTGCGAGCCGACAAAGTTGATGGTTTCCTCGGCCTTGGACGTGCCGGGGTACTTGAGGATCAAGTGGCCGCGGCCTTCGTGGAACGCAATGCGCTGAGCCTCAATGACGCCGCCGTTCTGCTTGAGGTACGGCGCGAGGGCCTCGAGGACGATGTCGGAGACCATGTCTTCCTTGGGGATGAGCCCCAGGCCGGGCGCGTTCTGGACTTGCTCCTATAAGCGGTGGCTATAAGTCGCTGCTCAGATCCATAGATAGAATCCATACCGCAACGTCAATGAGCTTGCGGAGGAGCGCCACGTAGGCGTCTTGGTCGAGCGTCAAATCGAGCGGCGAGGCCATGCTGGCGAATTCGGAAATGAAGGGGTCGCCAATTTGCACTTGGATTTCTGCCAATCACCATCCCGATGTCACGCCTCCGCCAATCAGAGCAAAGATTGGATTCCAAAAGAACCTTGGTGTCGCGGCCATATTATTTCACATGCACACTGGCGAATTGTATGTTATTTAAAAGAAAGTGGCGACTCACGACCATAGCTGAGCCAGGCCCTTTAGTTGTTTAGTCGATGACTCAAATGTCGTCGACTACGAGTACAGTTGACTTTAGCGGGTCTCTTTTAACTAAGGAATTGAGCCTTTGACCTGATTCTTCTTCCTCTTTAACTTTAAGGTTGGGCACGGTAGAGAACGTTGGGTAGACGCGATCGCACCCGCCACACGTCGCGCCCAAAATGGAGCGACCAGGCGCGAAACACAACCAGACGTACTCCGTCGCCGCAGCTTCATCGTCATGTCCGTCGCAGAAGCTGTACTTCCGTCCTTCTTTTGGGGTTGACGCATTCTTTGAGAGCACAGAGAGCAAAAACGATCCGTGTTTTGACAAGGAAATCCTATCTACCTAGGCGTTATCGACCGTCTGCGCAAAGTGCGCGAGGATCGCCATGCCATCGACCATGTCGCTGAGGAGGCAGTACTCGTTGTCGCCGTGGTAGACGGAGCTCTTGCCAAAGCCCGTGAGCGTCAGGTCCAAGCCCGCGCGCTGGAGGTCGCGGACCAGCGGGAGCGACCCCATCGTCGCAAACGGATGCGACTCGCCCTTGACGGCCTTGACGGCGGCGTCGAACGACTGGAAGCCGAGTGCATCGAGGTAGCAAGCAATGCCTTCCGAGTAGTCGCTGTCGAGCGTCAGCTCGAGCTTCCCCACGAGGTTCTCTTTCGGCAGTGAGTACTTGGAGTGCGGGCCACGCGACGCGAGCGACTCAATGTTGGCGTTCATGTCGGCCACGTACCCATGGAGCTTCTCTTGGAGCTAAGCATACAAACACGGCATAAGAACACGCAAGCAGGGAATGGTCCTACGTCGGTCATGTCGTAGAAGGGCGAGAGACGCACGTCGCCCGAGACCTTGCACCACGGTGGGATCTGGTTGATGCCGTTCGTCGAGCTTTCAATCTATCAAGACAATACGAATGCATACATGACGCAAGAAGGGAGTTGCCTCGTACGCGGGTCGGCTTCAAAGTCGACGCCGTGGCAAAGTTGTACGGGAGCTCCTTCTCGTGCTGGGGAAAGTCCTTGTAAAAGCGCGTTTGAAGCTCGTTCACCGCGTCCATGGCCATCTCGAGGGCGTTCATGCCGAGATGGGGCAGGCCGCTGTGGAAGAGCTTGCCCGTGGCGCGCAGCGACCACGTGATGACACCGGCTACGTCATCAATGCGTTTCCTTCGCCATGACACTCGAGTCCATACCGGTGCCGATGCAGGGCTGGCTGTCCGAGCAGTCGATCCAGAGCACCGGGCCGTTCTTGAGAAAGTCGATCTTGCCCGTCTCCATGAGGTTTTCGACGCCGACGCCAGGGATATCACTGTTCTCTTCCGAAGCAATCATGACGGCCGAGATCGTCTTCTGCGTCACGACTTGGTGCTTGGCCAATTCGAGAAAGAACTCTACCGCCAACATGAGATGCAAGACCGATCGTCGAGCGTACGCGTGACGAGCGCGACGTGGCCGAGGCAGTCGGTCGTGCCTCGTCCGTAGAGCTTGTCGCCTTCGACGCTCAGCTTGAACGGGTCGCGCTCCCAGCCTTCCGGGTTGGCGGGCACCACATCCAAGTGCGAGCCGACAAAGTTGATCGTCTCGGTCGCCTTGGACGTGCCGGGGTACTTGAGGATCAAGTGGCCGCGGCCCTCCTGGAAGCTCACGCGCTGAGCCTCAATGACGCCGCCGTTCTGCTTGAGGTACGGCGCGAGGGCCTCGAGGACGATGTCGGAGACCATGTCTTCCTTGGGGATGAGCCCCAGGCCGGGCGCGTTCTGGACTTGCTCCTATAAGCGGTGGCTATCAGTCGCTGCTCAGATCCATAGGTAGAATCCACACCGCAACGTCAATGAGCTTGCGGAGGAGGTCGACGTAGGCGTCTTGGTCGAGCGTAAGGGCGCCGAGGCTGGGCATGGCGTCCGTCGTCGCTTTCCAAATTTGAGTCGCTGCGACGCCACCTCAAACTCAATCCGGATACCGACAACGTATGTTTGAGTCAATTTGTTGAGTTTCTGGTGTAATCGACGATGGAGCCGACAGAACTCTGGGAGGATGCAGCGACGCAGGCGAAGCGCAAGCAGCGCAAGGTCGCATGGAAGGACTCGTACATGCGCATCTACGGCATGGCGCCGACGCAGCGGCAGCAAGACGAGACCGGCGCGACGATCGTCACGGAGGTCCAGTGCCTCTTCTGCGCCAGCTTTGGCCGCGAGCAGCAGCCGCCGGCCGGCGACGCCGCACCCGCCGACGAGGCCGCAAACGAAGACGCGCGCAAGCGAGCGCGCAAGAAGTCGTCCAACGTCAAGTACTTTGTGACGTTCCGCGTCGACCAGTTCACACAGCACCTCGCGCGCGAGCACCCGGCCAAGTGGGCCGCGTACCAAGAAATCCGCAAGAACCCGGACGCTGTCGCCGCCTTCTTCCCCGAACCAGCGGCGCCGACCTCCGTGTACGACGAGTCGTTCTTCTTCAAGGACATGGCGCCGATCACGTACCAAGCGACCGACGGCGACGTGCTCTCGTTTCGCGAGTACTGCGCCGACGAGTTCATCCTCGGCAAGCCCATGCACGAGTGGTGTCGCTTCGCCGTAAGTCTCCTTCTCACACGCATGCAACAACCCTGCGTCCATCGTGGCTAGGTCTGCTTCTGGCACGGCTTCCGCAGCGACTCCAGCGAGAGCGACGCGACCATTCGCCGACCCTGGAACGTCCTCGACGACGCGGTGCTGCAGGCCAAGCGGCGCATCGACGCTGCGTTCGAGTTTATGGAGCTCCTCGGCCTCCGACTGTTTGCGTTTCAGGACACGGATATCGTCCCCGATGGCCACGAGCACCACTGGGACGTCATCTTGCCCTACCTCCAGGGCAAAATGCGCGAGAGCTCGATTCGTTGTCTCTATGGCGCCGCCAACCTCGTCGCCAACCGGAGGTACATGCACGGCGCGGCCACGTCGCCGTCGCTCAGCGTCTACCTCGAGGCCGCGGCACAGGTCAAGCGCGCGATGCGCCTCACGCACCTCTTGGGCGGCGACAACTTTGTGCTCTGGAACGGCCGGGACGGCGCGCCGTCGCTCCTGAGCACCGACATGGCCAAGGATGATGTGCATTACGCCATGTTCCTGCGCATGGTCGTCGAGTACAAGACGTCGCTCGGAGCCACGTTCCAGCTGCTGTTGAAACCCAAGCCCGTGGATGTACTGTACCTACTACCTGCGTTCAAGGTCCATGACGATATGGATATAGCCGCTGCAACCCACGTACGACCGGGACGTGGCGACGACGCTCTGCTTTCTGCTCCGCCACCGCCTGCAGATGCACTTCAAGATCTGCGTCTCGCCGTCCTCGTCGCGTGCTGGCGTCGAGGCCATGCACGACGTTGCGTATGCCAGCATGACCAAAAGCCTCGGTAATGTCTCTGCACGACGCGTGCGTCTGCAAGGAGGTGCGTAGGCTCGGTCGACTGCAGCATCGGCGAGAGCTACCACGTGCTCTCGGACGCCAAGCACGCCGCGCTGCTCATGCGCACCGTACGCATCGTTGTGATGGCACTGGAACCGATCGATGAATTAGGTCATCCAACAACAGGGGTTGTCGCCCGGCGGGCTCGCCCTCGACATCCGCGTCCGGCGCGAATCGACGTCGTTGAAAGACCTCGTCGTCGCGCACATCAGCGCGATGGACACCCTGGCGCGCGGGCTCCGGAAGGCCGCCACCATGTACCTCAAAGGCGAGCTCGACCGCAAGGTGCAGGCGCGGTATGCGTCGTGGGACTGCCAGCTCGGGCGGCAGATCGAAGGCCGCGACACGACGTTCGAGCTGCTTGCGACCAAGAGCGCGCGGCACGAACCATTGGCGTCCGGCGAGATCGAGACCTTTGACCTGCTCTTTCAGCGCGGTCTCTCGTCGTAATACAGATCGTCGAACAAGTTAGAAGAGACATCGTATTGGCATGTAGGTGTAGGTTGAACACAGATAAAAGAAAGGGAAGAGGAGACTCAATGCATCGCATCGCGCTTGCGCTGCCACGACATTTGCGAAAACTGCGGGCTCTGGGGCACTGTCACGTGCCGCTTCTTGGCCGGGTCCTTGACGTCTTTCGCCGTCTTGTGCACCATGGACGCCGACACGGACGACGGGAGACGCGCGAACGTCTTTTTTGAGCAGATTGACGTAGTAGAGCCGGCCCGTCTACGAAACGATTGAGAAGATGATGACGGAAGAAGCCGCACCTTGGCGTCGGTCCGGCGCTCCCAGTTCTTGGGCAAGACAACCTTCTTGAGCAAATCGCTGGCCAGACGCGTCGTGGTCTTGATCAGGCCAGGCTTGGTCGTCGGTGGCACGGTTGACGGCGGCGCCGACGACACCGACGGGACCACAGGCTTGCCCGGATGGTCCCACGTGCTCGTCTTGGTCGCGTGGTCGACGTAATACACGCGGTTGTACTTTTTGTTGAAGCGCTCCTCCCACCCCGGTGGCAACGGAGGCTTTTCGTCCTTGTTGTGGTCTTGGTTGGACGGCGGGCGTTGCTGCTGCCGAATGTTCTGAATCGCTTCCAGCAGCTCGTTGGCTTCGTCGTCGTCGTCGTCGTTGTCATCGCTCTCGCTCCACTTGTGTTCGTCCTGGCTGTCAAGACTCGGCTTCTTGGCCATGCCTTCAACGAGCACCTCCATGCGCTCGTCGTCCGAGTCGAAGACGTCGCTGTCCCGGCGCGGGTTCGAGTTGGTCGACGGCGCGCTCTCCATATACGACGAGACGCTGTGCTGGACCCAGCTCTCTTTCGCTGGCGACGCCGTGATTGTCTCGGGCACGCCGCTGTCTTTAGGCGGCGTCGCCGATGCGCACTCGTTGTTGACCTTGACATTGGCGCGTGGCGCGCTCAAGCTGTCGACGTTCTGCTCGACCTCCTTGCTCGACTTGGACTCGCGACGACTCGGCGGCCGCTCGATCTCGACCGGCACCTTGGCCACCTCGTCCTTCTTGCTGAAGAGGCGCACTTCGTTTTGGATAAAGCCCCGAAGCTTCCCGAGGCTAAACTCTTTTTGGTCGAAATCAAAGTCGAACGTGTCGGCGACCTAAAGGACTCGGACTCGCAACGTCGTTTCAAAGAGGAAACGAGTACCTTGAACTCCAACGGCTCGCCAAACTGGAGACGCACCGTCTTGAAATACGGGTGCTGCAACGCTTGGTCGGCTGTGATACGGCGCTGGGGGTTGACGCACAGCAGCCGGCGCAAGAGGCTAATGGCTTCCGGACTCGCCTTGCGGAAGGCCTTTGTGAGCGCTTGCGGAGACGCGCGTGGAAGAGACTCGAGGAACTTGAGCGCGTCACCTTCGACCTCGTAGCCGCTAATCAACTCCGTGAGCACCCATGTTACTGATCCACTGTATCGCCCACCGCTTCTCTTTCGGTGGGATCGGAAGCACGGAGAAGACGCGCGTGAGCTGGTCGATGAAGTCGGAGCCCGGAAACAGCGGCTTGCGGTTCAAGAGCTCGCCGAAAATGCACCCGATGGACCACATGTCGACAGCTACCGCGCGGCCGTCAGTGGTTGCAATGCAAGTCCTCGTACCTTCAGCGTACGAGCCATTAGGCGCGAGCATGATCTCGGGCGGGCGGTACCAGCGCGTCACGACGTACTCGGTCATGAGCGCGTCTTTCGCGACTGGCGCGTCCGAGTGGCTGCACGTCCGACCGTTGGGGACGAAGCGAGACAAGCCAAAGTCGGTGATCTTGACATCACAGTTTTTGCTAATGAGAATGTTGCCAGGCTTCAAGTCCCGGTGGAGGACGCCGTTTTCGTGGAGGGCTTTGGCGCCACAGAGGAGCTGGTACATGATGGCGCTACAGTGGATTTATCGCATGAGCGACCTTTGTAAACAGATCGAGCGTACGCAATGTGATTCTCCTCGAGCTTGGTCTTGCTCTGGATCAGCCGATGCAAATCCGTGTCGACGAGGCCCATCATGATGTACAGCTCGTCCTTGGCGATGCACGTGCTCAGGTTCTGGAGCGACGCAATCTACGCCACACCTCGTGAGTTCACTTCTGCAACATGCGGCATCTCTCGTACGTTCGGGTGGTCTTCAAAGTAGCGCATGAGACGAATTTCGCGCAGCGTGTGCTTGGCGTCCCACTCGTCCCCTGCCATGGGCGTGATCTTCTTGATCGCGACTTGCTGGAGAAGCTCTGTGTCATTGGCCGAGCTACAGTATCGCATGAGCACCATTGAAAAGCGAGGCATCTCGGACCAGACGACGCCGTACGAGCCTTCACCAAGCACGTGGATAGCTTCGTACTTCGGCGGCACGTTAAACTCGCAGCCTTTTAACGTGAAGCCGAGGCCCGGTGCATAGTCGCCGTCGTCCGACGTCACTTTCACAGCTTCTTCCGGTGTCTCGTGACTGCTCGGCGTTGGCTTGGCCGCCTTGGCCTGGAAGGCGAGGACTTCGTCTTTGATGTACTGCCGCAGCGTCTCCAGCGGGAGGGATTGGTCCTCGAAGGCGAATTCGAGCGAGTGCGAGAGCTGCAGTGGTGGGATGGCGCCCCACTCGACGTCGACGCCCTTGAAGAAAGGGTGGGCGAGCGCTTCGTCGACCGAGATGCGCTCTTTGGGGTTGAAGCAGAGGAGCTTCTCGAGGAGGTCCTTCGTGTCGGGGTGCTTGCCTTTGCAGATCTTCTCGAGCGCGTTCGGTGGCGTTGCGGGCAGCGAGGCGAGGAATTTGAGTGCGTCCTTCTCGACCGTGTAGCCTCTGCTTCGCACATGAGACACGGGATCTTTCGCCTCAGACGCACCGCTTGTGCTTGGGTGGAATGTCAATGACCTTGAAGACCCGCGTGAGCTGGTCCATGAAATCGGAGCCCGGGAAGAGCGGCTTGCGTGTTACGAGCTCGCCGAGGATGCAGCCAACCGACCACATGTCGACAGCTACGACAATATATTGCCGTGAGATGTTACTTTTGCGTACGTTACCGCCATCGTAGACGCCGTTCGGTGCCAGCATGAGCTCGGGCGGCCGGTACCACCGCGTGACAACGTCTAGAGAGTTTTAGGTGGCTAATATACCAGCAATGGCGCGTACACTCGGTCATAGGCGAAGACACGGGGTCTGTCGAGTCAGGGTCGTGGTTCTGAAGGTCTTTGGGCACCATACGGGCCAGGCCAAAGTCTGTGATCTGCAGTGGCGACGTTAGCACGCGACCCCAGCGTACGAAGTACCTTGAGCTCGCAGTCCTTGTTGACGAGGAGGTTGCCTGGTTTGAGGTCGCGATGGAGGACGCCATTGTCGTGCATGGCCTTGACGCCCGAGAGCAGCTGGTACATGATGACGCTGTAGGGCAACGACGATGAGACGCGATACAGACCCTGTCGAGATGTCGTACCGGATGTGGCCGTCCGTGAGCGGGCACGAGCTCTGGATGAGGCGGTGGAGGTCCGTGTCGGCGAGCTCCATCATCATGTACAGCTCGTCCTTCTCGACCGACATGGTCAAGTCCTTGAGTGAGATGATCTAATCGCAATATCGATTGATGCCATGCGGCAGCTTCAGGCGCGTACGTTTTCGTGCTCGCCAAGGCAGCGCATGAGGCGGATCTCGCGCAGCGTATGCGTGGCATCCCACTCGTCGCCGGCCATGGGCGTGATCTTCTTGATCGCGAGCTTCTCTTGCGTCGTCGTGTTGAGGACGGAGCAGACGACGCCGTACGAGCCCTGGCCGATGGCGTCGAGCGGCTCGTACTTGGGCTCGACGTGGAAGGTGCAGCCGTTGATCGTGAAGCCGAACTCATGCTTCACGGGCGTCGCGTGCTTGGGCATGGACGCTCGATAGGAAGAATCGAATTACGTCGACCTCGGCGCTCTTGCAGCCGCGAGCGTGAAACGCTCGGCTTTTTATATCTACCGGTCGACGCCTTTGATTGGCTGAAATCGCCCACAAGTCAGCGATGATTGGGGCACCTCCGCGCGTTATTTAACCGCCCTATCACGCCTAATTATAAACAAAAGCTATTTAAGTCGGACCTGCATTTAGACCACGACAGGCATCCTCGACGCATGACATGGCGCGTACGCGGCGGACGAGAGGCCCATGCGCCGCACCATACGCCCATCATCTCTTCTGCAGTAGTATTTAGCAAGCAGGTATTCTGTATATTGACGGGTGTTTTTAAAATGGCACCTTCCACCACGCAATGAACTCTTCCCAGTCGATCGTGCCACTAGGTTCATGATGTGATGGGCGCCGAGCAGCTGCAAGTAGATACCTGCCATCAGCGTCAAACTCCATGATGAGGTACTCGAGCTCTTCCTTGGAGAGCGGCTCGCCGAGGTCTTCGGCGATCTTGCCGAGTTCTTCGGCGTCAATGTCGCCGGTCCCGTCCTACACGTGCAGCGAGGTTGACGTTCTCGCATCATATTAAAGCAGCGTCGAGTACCTCGTCGTAGTCGTCGAAGACCTTGCGCAGCTCTTGCTCGTGCTCTAGCGACAGCGCCTACGACGTCGCTACATGAGCCTTCTTCGTCCCGCTGCTCTTGTCCGCACCATGACAACAAATCTCAACTGCGCCGGTTCGACGACCGGTTACCGCCGCCGTTTCAGCCTCGGTATCCGGCCTCGCACAACCGGATTCCATTTCAGCCAATGGCATTGGACGTGGCGTGATTTGGCGCGTTGTGATTGGCGGATGGAATGCGGCGCACTTATCCTTGGAGAAGGCATTGAGCAGTCGGCCCTGCCATGCACATGCGCTGGCACATCCTCGGAGCGGTCATCGTTGGCGCCATGGCCTGCGGCGACAACTCGCCGCCCAACCGCCTCGACACATGCGCCACGTACGCGACGCGGTGCCCACGGGACGACACGTACGAGCTGGCTATGCACAATGGCTGCCCGCGCTGCTTTCATCGCATAACGTGCAAGGTCCACGCCGAGCTTGACGAGCAGGCGCTTACGCTCAGCAGCAAAGCGCCCGTCTTGAAGGCCGCGTTTGGTAATGTCGTGCGCGAAGACGCGGTGCTCGTTGCGCACAAGGGCATGCTCGCGGCCATTGCCGCCATTTGCGCCCTCGTCGGCGTTCTGATTGCTGCTGCGATGCGCAAGCGACGACAAGCGCCCACGAGCTACTACTCGCGCATTCGCAATCCACTCATGGAGGACGCCGACGAGAACGATGACTTGAACCCGTTCTGCCAAAAGCTGCCTCTCGACGACGCATCCCTGGTGCGCCAGAGTCCTCGCGCGCAAGGCGTTTTGGCCAAGATACTCCAGCTAAAATAGTTGTAGCATGCTGTAAACACACTTTACGATGCTGGGCAGTCAAGCCAATGTCTCATGGCGTTTTGCCGTCAATCGATCAATGGAAGCAGTGCTCTCACAGGTTCCGTACGGGGTGAGCTGGCACCTGTACGTTGTATTGGGCGTGAGCCCGAAGCGATGGTCATGTGCGAGAACCGCGCCGTGGCCCGAAAACGTCTGCGCAGCGAAGGCTGACTGTTGATTTTGATAGAGTCGGATGCCACGCTGCTGTTTCGTCGCTCTGCACAAGTTAGCCGACCACTGATTGAACGCAACCCGATACTGTTGGCGCTCCAGACGCTGGTCGACAAACGAGATGTATTATGTGTGACATGCTGTTGAGAAGCCTTCGACTCTATGCGTCGTCGTCCATGTCCATGGCGGGCGTGTAGAGCACGGCTGCATCTTGCACCCGGACGACCTTGCTAAAGTAGCGGCGACTGAGAAGACCCTTTTCGCCAACGCCAGGACACAAGAGGACGTTGTTGGCCGAGCGGTAAAACGGGATGCCATCCGCTAGCACCTTGGCGACGTCGACGTAGATCTTGAGCTGGACGGATGTGCGCATGCCGCTAATGACCTCGTTCGCGCCAACGTCGCCGGCGGCAAAGTGGATGTGGTTGCGCTTCATGCGGCAAAGGCCTTGGTGGAAGATGGCCTCCCAATGGCGCAGGTACGTGCCGTGGATGCAGATGAGGCCAATGGCCTCGTCCGCGCGGACAGGCGTCAGCAGCTCCGTGTCCAGCACAACCGGAATCGAATGGCCCTGGTTGGCACGGATGCGCCACTGGCTGCTATCGGCGTCATTCATATCGAGCGAGAAGCGCTGCTTCGAGTCCAGCGCCACGACGCGCTCGAGGTCGGCGAGCGCGAACTTTTTGAAGTCGCGCATGGCAAAGATCGCGCTCAGCGGCACGTAGCCGTCGGCCGAGATCGGGAGCTTGAGGCTCACGGCGCCATGGCGCAGTACGTACGTCAGCCGCTTGGAGAACCGGACGTCGTCGGAGCTGAGCGCCATTGATGAAATGTCCTACCAACTGCGACCCACATGGACCATCACTCACGTTTTTTTGGGTGCGTTTAGACGCGAACGTTCTCCGCATCTTCGTTGCGCGATCTTGAGATCTTAGTTCCCAAGATTGATACTCAAGGACTGTCCACTCCTGGTGCTCGATGACCACCACCTAAAGCACCCGCCAGGACACAAAGAAGTCCTGCGACGGGCCATACATCTGCCACGCTGTGCAAGGCTCGGAGGCTAAAAGCACCACGTCGAAGTGGCCTCGATCACGCGTCGCGATTGCAGACTTGGATAGAATCGCGACCGCGCAGCCACCCATGACTACCCAACGAGCTTTCATCGTTCAGAGCACTCGAACACTCTGCCCTCCGGCTCGACAATCTCGTGCTTCAACGTTGTTGCAAACGCCATAAATTGGCCGCAAGTGTCAAATTCAACTACTCGAGCAAGCTCGATTGCACCGCGACGGCGATCGCAGCACTCTGAAACATGGAGAACGGTTTGGTATAGTAGACAAAGAACTTGCTCGCCGCGGCGTCCTACTCGATCCCCAATCACATCGACGCACACAACGTCATCATCACCTACCCTTCCTTGTCGATGCGTAGCCACGACGTTGCTGTCTTTGGACACTTGACGTCCACAAGTGGGTTTGCGAATTTCTACACGATTCAGTGCCATCTCTACGAGTGCAAATGAAGGGAGTGCGCACCTCGAGGACCGAGGAGCAGATCTGGGCAGCGTCTCTGGGCGCGGCTTTGCCTCGAAGCAAACTCAAGAGCGTGTTCTAGCGCTGGTTAGGAGCTTTGATGGTGCGCCGTCGCCCACCTGAGGTTGCAGCTGCACGTCCAGCTCATGCTTGCCGTCGCGTAGCTCGAGCGTAAAGACGCTGCGCTGCTTGATGTGCGGGCACACCATCTACTCAGATGGATCGCGTCAACGTATCTTCTTGCTCTCCCACGACCTTGTAGCGCTTGCCAAGGGGCGTCTGTGCTACCGAGAGCTTTCCCGCATAGCCTGGGTTGTTACGCTTGCACGCTTTACTCTCACTCAAGCTAAAACAACATTGGATGAGACGCCAAAGATTGGAAGAAGTCACGTTACCTGAACCGAATTTTGAGCTTGTTGGCGCAGCTCCGGCCGTAGAGACAGAACTCTTGCTGCGTCTCGGTGACTTGCGGAAGGTAGATCTTGAAGTACTTGGCGCCATATTGCTTGAGCATCGTCTACGAAGAACCAGGAAGGTTACGCGCCCATTCTACTCGTCCCCTGGATGTCGTACTTGGTCCGAGAGGCATAGCTCCATGATGAGTACGCCCGTATCCACGGGCCGCAGATGCAGAAACCCTAGCGGACTCTTGCGCAGCGCGACATCGTCGTCCTACAAGCCTCGTTCTCAGATTGTCGTCGTCGTTGGCGTCTACCTCGTTGTCGATGGCGACGCTGCGACGCTTCTCGGTCTCGACAGGCGGCGCTAAGACCACCGTCGCGTCGGCCGGCGGCGCATCCGTCTTCTCCGCAGCCGGTCGGTCGTTGACAAACCAGTCCTGGGAAGCGTCGTCGTCGTCCGAGTCGGCCTCCTGGAACTGCGCCTGGAGCCTACAACGATCTCTTTAAGTACTTATCCATACGATCAGGGAGATGGCCAACTTGGACGAGAGCGCGACGTGGGCAGGCGATAGGTGCGTCTCCCGCCGGACCTCGGTCGCCTTCTTGGACCGGTCGACGCACGGGCTCGCTTGCATGCCCGTGTATTTTTAGCCGTCGCACCGTTTCGACGGCGACGGCGACGATCGGCGACGACGCTTCTCCTCCCGTGTCGTCGATCGACGCCGGTGCGCCACGAGGCTGCAACGGCTGCAACGGGACGCCCCGTCGCCAAGGTCGCGACCCCGACGATAGACGCGCTCGACGACGGCCATGACGTGGCAGCCTAAAAATAGGTCATTTGCATCGCGATGGCCGACTACTACGACGCGCTGCGGGACGCGGTCTGGAACGACGACCTCGAAGCGCTCCAGATGTGCATGCACGCCGGTCGCATCGACGTCAACCACACCGACTCGGTATGCTCGTGGCGTGCGTGATTCCATCTTGCGAGGCGCTGCGTAGGCAGGGCAAACGCTGCTGCACCTCGCGTCGTTCTGGGGCCGGACCGAGATTGTGCGACTGCTCGTGTCGCTCGGTCTAGCACGACGTGCATATCAAGCATGCAACGAGTGAGATGTTTGTGTAGGCGCGAGCATGAAGGCCAAGAATGCAGTAGACGCGCTCGTCCTCCTCTGCGTGCGATCATGGTGGGTGGCTTGTCGTAGGCTGGCTGCACCGCCCTCGACTTGGCGATTCACTGGGGCCACTCGGCGACGGCCGAGATGATTCGCTTGCGCGGTACGCGCGTCCTCGCGACGTGAGCGCTGAGGCGGATATATGCTAGGTGGCCTCAGCGTCTGGGAGGAAAAGATGGGGCTGCTCCAAATGCAAGTCGAAGATCTCTCGACCACGCTTGCCGACTGCGAAGCCGAGAACCGCCACAAAGACAGCCAGCTCCAAGCTTATCGCACCGAGATTCTGGAGCTACACACCAAGTGGCGCGCGACGCTTGATCTGCTCGACGCGGAAACCAAAAAGGGCGTCGCCTTGCAGGCGCGGCACGACGAGCTCGCACGCGTCACGGACAAGCTGCGCACCGACCTCGCGGGCCTCAAGCAAGAGTTGCACGAGGCGCAGCTCGAGGCCATTCGCATCGACATGGAGCGCGTGGCGGCCGAGACGACGCGGGACGCCAGTCTGCAGCAGCGCGAGGTCGCGGTGCGCGCGGCCGCCGACGCGTACGCTGTTCAAGTCGAGCGACTTCGCGACTGGCAGGCCGCCGAAGCCGCGGCGGTCATGATGGAGACGCAGCGCAACGCCGCGTGGACCGAGCGCGACGCCGTACCTTTTTCGTGTTCTCTCTTTTCGTGACCGGAGGTGTAGATTAAACTGCGGGCCAGTGCGGTGGCGATCGAGCTGCGGCTCGTCACGGAGCGACTCGAATTCACCCAAAGCGAGCTCACGGCGCTGCGCCAAGAGACGCTCGAGTTTACGGAGGCGAAGCGCAAGGAAGAGATCCGCCAGCGCCGCGCGATGCGGGCGCTCGAAGTTATCTCTGCCGACGACCGCCTCGAGAAGCTAAGTAAGGCCAAGGAGTATGGCAACCGGTCCAAGAACCAACCCTCGGTGCGAAGAATGCGTCGCCATCGTCGTAACATTGCTGTGTAGCAAGAGAGTAGCCAGAGCCCCACAGCGATGCGTGCGCAGACGGCGGTGGCACTCGTATCGCAGGAGCTGCACCCAGACCTCGCGGTCTTTGAAGAGGCTTTTGTGCACACGGTCAAGACGTTCACGGAGGCGCGGCGCGACAAGTGGGCGGCGCTCGCGATCCAGACGAACGAAGGCCAGAGCCAAGCGCGCTTTGCCGTCGCTCGGCCTCTCTTTAAGCCTGCGTCGGCCAGCCCCGCGGGTTACTCCCGTCGTCGCAGCGAGCACTCATGACAGGCGACGTAGGCGCCAAAGTCAACTGCGCGGTGTACGGCAAGTACGCCAAGACGCAGGGACGCCCCGCAACGGACCACCGGGCCAAAGTCCAGCGGCATACGCAGCTGCCTCCGATGCTCACCAAGTAGAGCATAGTAGGTGTAGGGTAATTTAATGAGATTTAATGAGACAGACGATGTCTCGGAGCTCGCGCATCCGCGCCGTTTTCTTTTTTTTCCACGTTTTTCGGTAAACAATCCCGTCGCAGAGGATGCCGGCAGAGCATGTTGCGGATCGTTGCTTGTGCGTCATGTCATGACGGTCAGAGTACATGGACCGTTCGGCGGCGACGGGTTGATTGTGGTCGGCAGCGAGGCGGTGGTACCGTCCCAAGTCAATCGCGCGGGCTAAATGAGGCCCCTGACTATGGCCACCTCGCGGATACGAAGTAGTTTACTGTGCTTCATCGTTGTTCTGCTCGACGTGGCGAAATTGTACCAGGTACACCAACGACCCTTTCAAGTCGCGTGGGTGGTTGCCAGTGTTCTGCTTCTGGCGGTTCAACACCCCCAAAACGGTGTTCTGCGACGTTGGAGCCAAAACGATCTCGCCGAGCTATTTTAGCTTTTCCGGTCCTCGTCCCCCGAGACAGGTCGGCAATTTTCACCTCTTCACCCCAGCTCATATCTGCAACCCGACTGCAGCGAGAACTACCAACACGATGGCTGAGTGCAACATGAACACCCACTTCTGCGTCAAGAACATCAATGGGACATCGGGACCGCGGTACGCCAAGTCGAGCTCCAAGACCGAGAGCTCGTGGCTGGAGATGTGGCGCCAAGCGACCGGGTCGAACCGACGGACTTGTTGCATCAACGGCTGCGCGAGAGAGGATCTGGTTGGCGCTCACGTCATGATCACGGACCGACGCTCGGACAACACTTGGTACCTCGCCCCCTTGTGCAAGGGACACAACCACTGCTCCAACACAAATGGGATGTGGATCGCTCGAAACGTCACCCTCATCCCAGTCTCAAATTGAGTCCCAGGAAGCGCCAAGAGTAGAGTAACTCTAATCTCAAGACGCGAAAGCACCAACGATAGTTATAGCCAAGGTCCACGTGCCCCATCCTGATTGCAGTAGACGACCAACGAGCGAGACGCAGGATGGACGAGACCATGGAGGCCCCTCGAGAAGCTCAGGTTTGCATTCACTCTCGTAGGTGCAACAAGAGGAGGCGCGTCGGCATACATGTTCAGCTCCTATGTGTCGTCTCTTGAGTCGCAAAGAGTACATGGGGGCGCGTCACGACGCCCCGGGGCGGCGGATCTGTGCCAAAGCGGACGGAAGTCGCCATCGCGCGGCGCGGCGAGGACGACGACTTGGGCCGCGTCGGTGACTCGGGCGCGGCAAAGCATAGTGTGCGCATCGAGTTGGGGTCGTACTTGGTCGGGCTCGTCGTCGTCGTCGTCGTTGTTGTTGTCGGCGCCTGCCGAATCGCCGCCATGAGCTGCGTCGTCTCCTTCTTGTACATGGTTTTTGTGAGCTCGAACGTCGCGGAGAGGGTGTGCAGCTCCGACTCGAGGCGCAATATTGTGCGTTGCTGGCCCAAAGGTGATTCGTTCGAGGGGACTGCTGGATACAACCACGTACCGCTGCGCGGAGAGCGGTCTCGGTCGCCTGCGCTTGTCCGTGAAGAGAGCACTGCGTCGCCTCCAAGTCCTTGCAGCGCTGCCGGAGCTCGTTGCAGAGTGTCGCGTCGCCGACGTCCGGTGTCGCCTCCAGAGCGCGCAGCCGACCGTGGACGCGCGTGACCTCACTTTGCAGCGCTTGCATCTCCTAGGGCCCGCGTCGCATGTGTGTTTTTGCTTGATTGTACCTTGTCTTTGGACTCGAGAATGGCCGATTGGGCGTCTGCGTGGCGCTCGATGTCCAAGCTCACGGCCGCGTTCAGGTACTCGCACTGCCGGCGCATGTTCTACGCATCTTCGCATCCTATCGACGCGTCTCAAGGTGCACTTACGAACGCTACGTGGTCGACGACCGGCGAGAGAGTCTCGACGGCGCGGCTACAGGTCGCATCGAGGAGGTCGCGCATCTCGGTTTCTGCGCGGTCCAAGACGTCGCCGTAGACGCGGCGCGTGTCGGACGACAGCGACTTCTTGCGCAAGTCGACCATGATGCGGTCGCGCCAGTCCTGCACGCGCACTGCGTTCTCCTCGCGCACGTACGTGGCCGCAATCGTTTTGCGCAAATGGTCCATGAGCTCGGCCGTGCCCGCGAGGAACGTTGCCCGCGCATCTGCCAACCACTGTCGTCTCTACGTCAAGCATCGTGCAGACGCACCTTTGGGCACGAGGCCGCGTTTGGCCAACGTCGAGTGGCATGCGGCCAACGCCGCCGTCTCGGCTCGCTGCTGCATGCGACAAGTCGTCGACGGTTTCACGTTGCACTTTCTTTAGACATGCATACTATCAAGGCCTCACCCTTTACGACCTTGATACTATATTTGACTAGACAAGGACGTCGGGGGTGTGGACGATGTGCAGTAGCTCGTGAAAGAGGTGCCACGCGTGCGTGCCTTGGAGCGGCTCGTCGCGCAGAATGTGTTCGAGCGGTGTCACGAGGCGCAAGCCGGCGGTGCTGTCGAGGTGCGTCTGGCGCTCGATGCCGGTGACAATCTCGTGGCTCGTGGCGGCCCAGACGTTTTTCAAAAGGGCGTACGTCAGGTCGGCGTGTTGGAGGAGCATGCCGTCGCTCGGTGCGGCAAAGAGAAGCAGCGTCTTCTCGAAGAGAGCGCTCGCCTCGATCGGCACAACGCCGCACTCCAAACACGCCGCGCTACAGTGCAGCGGCTTGGGCCGCGCCGCCACCTACAGGATGGTTCGTCGCCACATACATTGGTTGCAGCGACACACCCGCAGCGCCGCTTGGTACGCGCTGGCCGCAGCGTACGGGTGCGCGCGGGCGTTGAAGCCGGCGACGATGGTCCGGAACGTCTCGAACGAGTCGACCGCTTGCCCGAAGCTCGTCTCGATGTGCAGCTTGGTGGTCGCGTAGCGCGCTTCCCACTCGTCGACGCAGATGGCCAGCACTGCGTAGAGAGGGATCCACATGGTCCCGTAGATCTGCGCCAAGCTCGCGACCTTGGCCTTGGCGCGTTGCAGCGCGTCATTCGAGAAATGCGACAACACGATGTTCATGGCGTCGAACGCTTGCTGCTGGCCGACAAACTCGCCGCCGTCGCTCTCGACGAGGTAGTAGCCGTCGTGCGACACCTTGGCGAGCACGTGCAACGCGTGCAGAGCAAACCAAAACGCCATGCGCGGGAGCGCGTCGACGCCCGCGAGGCCCAAGAGGCGGCTCCAGAGATGGATCTTCTCGCTCTGCGTGTCGAGGTGCGAGAGACTCGTTACGAGGTCCACGAGCCGCTCGTTCGCAAAGCGAGGCACGCGGAAGCGCTCGAGGAAGATGCGGTACACCATGTCTTGCGGCGACAAGGCGAGGAGCTCCGTAGGCGCTTGCGCTTTGCTGCCGTCAGAAGCGCCGCTCGAGAGCTGCAGGATGATCTCGTTGATGACGAACGAGAGGATCCGATGCGTCGCGGCCACCGTATAGTTGTATGGCACGTACTCGGCGCGCAAATGCTGGACGCAGTGCTGGAACGATGCAGGCACTGTTCGCTTGTGGTCTCCGAGGCGCTTGTTGGGCGTCTGCTCCAACGAGGGCGCCACCACTACTCGGCGCGTCTTAGCCGAAGCGAAAACAAGTAACATGGAATACCATGCGCGGTGGCCGCCATGCGCACAGCTTGCTTTATGTGGCGAGGCCCGGTGCTCTGCGCTGTGAGCGGTGCCGTCTCTGTTTGGGCACTTCGGCCGCAGCGTCGGCGAACCGGTGCTCTCGATTGGCTCTCCACTGTCGCGATGAGCTCTTGCAGCTGGCCTTCCATTTCAAGCAGTTCTTGGATCGGTGGAATGAAGAACGCGTGTTGCCACACCAGCTGCGGGTCCCATCCGAGCGTGCAGTCGGGACTGCTCAGCGTGGTGAGGAGGGCGAGGCGCTTCAGCGCTGCTTCAAGCTCCGTGCTCACGGCGCTGGCTTCGAAGCTCGAGAGCACGCTATGGCCATGGTGCTACAATACGATCCAGAATTCGCTGATAACTCCGTGCTGTCGCACCGTCGCGGCATCCTCTGAAGACGCGGATGCGAACGCCCGCACAAACGTATCGCTATGAGCAAGGCTGAACTTGGCGTCCAGCGACCGGCGGAGCTCCTCGACGATCTCAATGCCGGTGCAGAAGCGGGGCGCGGCGCGCGGCTGGTCTGGGAACGCGTCCAGCACGGTCTGGACGAGCTGGCTCGTCAGACGCACGAGAATCTGATCCTAGACGCCCGCGTGGCCATTGATCGTTTTCGAATCCAAGACGTACGGCAGCCAGATACTTGTTGAGGTCGTTTCGGAGGCGAATGCCAAGGTCCTTCTCGGCCGCCACAATCTTGTGCTTGTGCTGGAGCTTTCCATGGAGCACGTCCATGGTCGCACGCTGCTGCTCGTGGCGTCGCTCGAGCTGGTCGACTTCCACCTACACCAGGTTCACAAATTCATATTCAGATCCAAATCCAGTTGTACTTTGAGGGTCTTGAGGGTCTGGCTGAGCACAACGATCTCGTCTTCGATCGACTTGTTCATCGAGGCCATCGTGCTCGAGACGCCGTGCCAAAGACCGTAGAGAAAGTGACTCGAGGTCGGGCACTTGTCAAAGAGTAGCCGCGAGAGCTCGTACATGACCGCGTCGGCGTAGTCGAGCGTCAGCGTGAGCTTGGCGTGGCACTCGGTTTCCATCGCCTGCGCTGTGCAGAGCTTCTCGTAGCGCAGGCGCTGCCACTGGAAGAGATAGTTCACTTGGTCTTTCGAGAGCGGCGGCCGAGCCTACATCCGCGTCTCAATAGTCTCAACGTTGAAAGGATTTTTAACCTTGGGGAACTCGACGACCGTCCACGGCTTGGACGAGTCCATCGCGTGCAGATTCAGCGAGACGGAGCGCAAGTCGAAGCGCGACTCGACGGGGCAGTAGTTGTAGATGCGCTGGATGACTTCGTCCTCGGGCACCTAGCAACAGCGTACACCCCAATGCGATGCAGCTCGTCGTACGCGGGTCGGCGGAAAGGCGCGGCACCGGCGAACGTGCCGGTACGAGTTGTCGGGTGCGACCTTGGGCAGCTCAAGGCGGCGGGCGGAGGCGCGCGTCTCATACGCAGCCTTGTCGGTGAGCTCAAACGCGAGCGAGGGTGGCTTGCTGCAGCGATGCCGCGGCGACGCGAGCGCGAGCTTGAGCTCTCGTAGCTGCGCCCGCGGAGACGGCGCGCTCGGCGCTTGCTCGGGGCCGATCGCGGCGACAAACGACGCGACTTGCGTTCGATCTTTGGCGGCCTTGCGCACGAGCATCGCCTCCATGCGGTCGAGCAGGCCTGCGAGTAGCTTGGTCCAACCCACATGCACGCGATGGCCGTCGTCGTCGTCGCTGAAGCACGCTTGGACGACTTCCAGCGCGATCGTCAATGTGTCTAAAGGCGTGAGTGGGTGGTCCGGGTCCGACTCGGCGGCGACAGCATCCGCGATCTTGCGCGCCACGAGCGCAGCGCTCCATGGGAACTGCACCTCGCTCGTAGCCTCGCCCTCCTATATAATAGGCGTAGTGTTCCGATCAAGTTTGTTGTGACGTGGAGGCACCCGCAAACGAGGCAGCGGCTGCGACGTCGGTAGAGAAGCCAGCGCCTGGTCGAGTCGTCGCTGGAGGTTGCACAGGATTGTATCGAGCTCCTTGCGCTGGTGGTCGTCGAGCTCCGTCTGGAGCACGCCAAGCGGCTTTCCTCGCTCGAGGACGGCGACGGGCTCGGGGAGGTTGGGGAGCACAACACCGAGCCGTGTTCGCTTGAAGACCTTGCCCTCGCCTGCCCCGACCATCGTACGAGCCTTGAAACCGCCACGAAGAAAGGGCAGCACTAAACCCACCCAACTCTGTCTCGCACCCAAACCATGACGCAGCTGGTGTCCGATCCCGCCCCTACCCAACCGCCGATGACCGTGTGCAACAGCACGCGCCGAAGCGTCGACAAGGCGTCCTGAGCCTCGCGCGCTGCCCGCTGCTTTCGGCCGCGCTGTCGGCGCCGTCAACTCACTGCCTCGCCGCTGCTCGTCGTCGTTTGCAACAGCTGGGCGTTTACACGACACGGACGTGGCAACGTCATGGAAGTGAGTTGCGTGCATTTAGAGCCATCTGCGCGGGTGACTTTGCCCTTTGGGTGCATTCTTCAATTCGCCTCGACACCGACACGGACCAGTACACAGCATGGGCAACGCAGCCTCGGACATCTCAATCTTCGCCGACGGCGAAATGGAGCACGAGTTTGCAGCGCACGGCGGCACGGGCGACGTCTCGGTCAAGGAGCTCATCTCCGAGGGCTACAACATGGTCATCGACTCGGTCATCCGCCCGCCGCGCGCCACGTACGACCTCGAGGAGCTCGGGCCCGAGACGCTGACGCTGCATGACCCGCTGTCGCAGGATGTCGTGTACGCCAAGCGCGTCGACTTTACGCTCCGCAACGAGCGCCACCTCAACCTCTCGTGCTCGCACTGGCGGCTGCTGCAGAACGACGAGCTGACGCCGCGGCCGGTACCCTTGCCTCTTATGTGGCACTCGATGTGACGTGCGCGTGGATCTTGTAGAGCTCGTGCTTGGTCTACCTGCACTCGAACCTCGGCTCGCGCAAGGACGTGCTCAAGCTCCGTGACGAAGCGCTCGCGCTCGGCTTCTCGGTCCTCGCGTTCGACTGCTCGGGGTCGGGCAACTCGGACGGCATCTACGTCACGATGGGCTGGAACGAGTCGATGGACCTCAAGAGCGTGCTCGACCACCTCGAGGGCGACGACAGCGTCCTCGACGTCGTCCTCTACGCGCACAGCATGGGCGGGTACCCCGCGCTCCTCAACATTGCGAGCCGCGCCCAGGACAAGACGCACGAAGTTGCGATCGCCGGCGCCAACGTCGACGCGATCCCCGCCCCCTTCCGCCGCAGCAACATGGCGCCGTACACCAAGCCGATCCGCGGCCTCGTTCTCGACAGCGGTAGCATCATTATGATCTCCATCAGCTGCATCCTCCTCATCCGCTTGTAATAGCGTACAGCACGATGGACATGGTCACAGACGAGCTCGTCATGGGCGTGCGCCAGGAAGGCTTCCAAATCCCCAAGATGCTCCTCAAGACGGCCACGAAATGGGTCGAAAAGTCGGTCGAGAAGCGCGCGGACGTCGACCTCACGGTGCTCCGCCCGGTCGAGTTTGCGCCCATGTGCAAAGTGCCCGCGCTGCTCGTGTACGGTCTCAAGGACGAGTACATTATGCCGGAAAACGCCTTGGAGCTCGACGCCAAGTACGCAGGCCCGCACGCGACGATGGCCCTCGACGTCGACCACTACGCCAAGCGCGATCTCCACTCGTACCGAACGTCGCTCCTCTTCCTGCGCACCGTCGTCACCAAGCTCAACGAGGCCAACTACGAAGAAACCTTGTCGCCGCCATTTCAGGACGAGCTGCGCCGCATCAAGGCTGCCGTTTTTCGCAAGGCGGCCGTGTAATAATGACATACCAATGATCTTTGTCAATACGACGATTGTCCTATTGTCCTTGCCACCAGAACCGAATAATGTACAATATCGTCTACTGCGAGTTACGCGGTTACCAGTAGTCTTCGATGAGCGGTTGGGCTTCTCGGACGACGACGCGGTCGCACTCCCCGACGCCGAGCACGACAGGAAATCGTAATCTTTGATCTCAAAGTCCTCGACAAAGTCGTACTCGTCCGGCTTGGCTTCGGACACGTCGTCGTCGTCGTCGCCGCCATGGCGCGAGAGCAGCTCGGCGTCGACGATGCTCGCAAAATGGACACGGAGCTCGACGATCTGGCCGTACGGGAACGGGCCCAGAAACGCCTTGTCGAACGCGAGCCGGAGCAGCGTGTCGCAGACGCAGTAGTCGTCGGTGCGGCCCCAGTGCGACGTCCGGTACGGGGCGGTCGCGCGCCGCAGCGACTCGGTCGAGAATTTCAGCGTCTCGTAGACGTCAAAGGCCTCGTCGCACGCGAGGATCGCATCGGCGTGGAGCTTGAGGAGCGTGAGGCCAATGCGGTGGATGACCTTGGCGCCTTCGGCGAAGAAGACGTCCCAGACCCGCAGCGTCGTCTCGAGCGGAAGCGAATTCACAAAGAGGCAGAGGAACCACTTGAACGTGAGCGGCGCGAGGTGCACGTGGAGGGTACTGAGGTGCGACGCGACGTCGGGCAGCTTTTGCGCGACGAGCGCGTGAAAGACGTGCTGGTCGACGCGGGATCCGACCATCGACGTCGTATGGTACTCGGGCACCAAGTCTTCAATGACGCAGGCCAGGACCCAGAACGCTTCTTCCTCGCCCATGTACACGAGCAACACGGCGACGAGGAAGTTCATGCTCTGGCAGTACCCGACGCTCGGGTTGCGGAGGCTGTACATGGAGAGAACCCGGCGCAGCTCCGAGACGTTGCCCTCGCGCTCTTCGCGCGAGTCGGGCTCTTGCGGAAAGGTCCGGTACAAATCCTTCTCGATTTCGTTGCCCACGTCGTCCGGCACTTCGTCGACGCGCCAGAGCAGCGCGTCGTACTGCGCATCGGGCGGCGCGGACGACCGCTTCTGCTCGGCGCCGCTGCAGAGGAACCACACTTGGCCGCGGTACTCGATCGGAATGCCGGCACGCAGCATCGACTCGACCTGCCATTGGCCGAGCGAGAAGCCCATGAAGCCCATGTTGCCAGCGTCCGAGAGCGACCGCCGGCGAAAGCCCGACGACGACGACGACGCCTCGTGTTTTGGCTTTAGCGGGCCATGGAACGAGGCGCGTGACCGCTCCGTGTCGTGCGCGACAGCGTCTTCTTCGACGCGGCGCCGCCATTTCTGGAACCAGCTGAGTTCCCACTCCTTGGAAATGAACTTTTCTTCCCACTTCTTCTTCTTCATGCTCGTCATCGTTGTCAACTCAATCTGCTCGTCAAAGCTGAGCGGCTCGCGCCCTGGCGAGCTCAGGCTCTCGAGGAACCGGCAGCGAAAGTGATTCGAGCCGTTGCAATTGCACGTCGTATGAAGCGTCGGGCTCTTGCGGTACTTGCTGGCGGCGCGTGGCTGGGCTTTCTCCGTCGAGAAGAAGCGGCGCCGGCCCGCCTTCGTGGGCGAGCAGGACATGGAGTGGCGCAGCACGCGCGCATGCGTCTTGCGCTTCTCTTGCGGCAGCGCGAAGCGCTCGCGCGGGCGCATGCACTTGAGGAAGCCGCCATGGCCGTCGTCGTGGCCCGCATGTGCCATAGGACCCGTCGGCGCAGTAACAATCGATCTGCCGAGGCCAGTACCTCGGCGAGACCTAGATCTGATTTTTTAGTGGGTCACCGCCTTTTTATTCGCCCTATCACTTGCTTTTTGTATGTCATCTGGGTGGGCAGCCGTAATTAAATGCACTTGTCGCGTGCCCCGTACCGTCGGGTCCTAATTAGGCTCCAAAACAGGATCTCGGAGCCCAAGGCAGTTACAGCCGCTTGCGTTTCGGAAGATCGCATCATTTGGTGGACGGACGATGGCCGACGGCGCGTGGAAGAGCATCCGCTTCGACGAGCTCCATGTGGGTGAGAAGATCGGCGGTGGCGGCGTGGGCATCGTCTACAGTGGCACGTACCGCGAGAAGCCCGTCGCGCTCAAGACGCTGGTGCGGCGACTCGAACGATACCACGCACGCCCAATTGCTTGATGGAATAGTTTGATCCGCGCGTCGACCAAGCGCTCAAGGACGAGTACATGGACGAGCTGCTCGTCATGAGGTAGCACGCTTCGAGGTGGTATCGCGCCTCAAACTGCCGCTCTAGCAAGCTGCAGCACCCGCACATTGTGCACTTTATCGGCGCGTGCATGGAAGCGCCCAACTTGTGTTTCGTCATGGAGCTCTGCAACATGTCGCTCTTCGACCGCCTTCACCGCACGAACCTCGCGCTGAGCGTGACCGAGCTCGTCGAGATGGCGGTGCGTGTCCTACACTGTACATGTACCACTCCATGTCTCTCACACGCATCGCAGACGGGCGTCGCCGACGCCATGATGTATCTCCATGCGCAGTCGCCGGCCATCATTCATCGGTACATGCTGCAAACGGTGTCCTTGGATGGTCATTGCTGCGTGTGCACAGCGACCTCAAGAGCCAGAACGTGCTCCTGGACATGCACGGCGTAGTCAAGCTCTGCGACTTCGGCCTCGTGTGGTGCGTCGTCTGCTGCGTGGTAAAGAGGTTTCAACCTGCGTAGCACCAAGGAGACGACGGCGGGGACACCAGCGTACATGCCGCCCGAGCTGCTCGCGGGGCGTCCGTTCTCCAAGGCTGTCGACGTGTACATGTATGGCGTCCTGCTCTGGGAGGTGATGTGTGTTTCTGCTGCTTGACTGCGATCTCCTCATCGCGTCTAGCTCTTTGCTCGGGACGTGCCGTTTCGCGGCTACGACGTCGACGACATCCAGCGCAAGGTGCTCGCGGGCGACCGGCCTCAGATCCCGACGCTCGACTGCCCTCAAAAGTGCAAGGTACAAGGATTGCGGCTCGCATCGTAGTGGAAGATTTTGCGGCTAGGAACTCATTCGCATGTGCTGGGACCACGACCCGGCGCGCCGCCCGTCCTTCAAGACGATCCATGCGACGCTACGCGAGATCGACTGCGCGGCCGAGTTCCATCGCGCGATGGACCACGTCATGGAGGAAGACGCGCTCGACTGTCTCGTCAAGAAGCGGAAATAGCGCGCTTCAGCGTCGACCGACCTTCCAACTTCTTCACTGCTGCAATACGAAGAAGCTTCATACATTGACCTCTTCGTCGCTTTGTATGAACGCGGTCCTTGCAGTGGCGAGGATCGGAGTCATCGCTGTCTTTTGTCGATGACCGGTGCAGGTATCACCCACCGCAACTTGGAGGTCGAGCACGAGAGGGCTGCTCGCCACCCCTAGCGACCACGAGGCTTTCTCTGCAGACGAAGTCTTTGTGTCTGTGTGCACGCCAGTGGGACGCCACCGCAATGAACGTCTCTCGACAAAGTTCCGCCTCCATAAGCACAAGACCACGTTATCGTCGGGGTTCAAGGCGCAAACAAGTCGAGGCCGAGGTCGTTCCAGCGCTCGGTGCGCTCGGCGCGGAAGCCGGGGAGCACTATTAGCAAGGTACATTGGCCAGACTCACAGATCATTATGCATTACCTGGGCCCAAGAGCGGACCGCCGCTCTCTTCCGCGTTCAGGTCCATGCCCAGCGGGATCTCGATCTCTACGCAGGTGGAGCGAGGGTCAGGATCATGCTCATCTACCGTCGTCCGAGAGGCAGTCTTGCATCCATGCTTCGTCCACGACGTCCAGCAACATGCGCTCGCGGAAGACAGAGACCACCTTGCTGTCCTAGTTAGTACATGGCGCTGATGAGACGTCATCGACATCGCTGGCCGCACCATGGATGTCGAAGATCGAAGTTCAAAAACGAAGTTGCAACCGGCGAAGGCGTTGACAAGAGCAGCAAGGGCGGACAATTCGCCGCGTCGTCGGTAGCCAGTGGCATGCAGCGTCCCAGATCCTGCGGAGATGGATCTACCACGGGCGTCAGAAGCAGCCTTCGTGCACGTCGCAGGCGGCTTGGGCCGAGGGCGCGATGCTGATAAGAGCACACCGACGACGTGTTCAACATAAATGCACTCATTACCGAGCTTACTGCTCGCCCGACTGCTGGGCCTTCTTTGCTCAAACTGTGCAGGTGTCCACGTCTTCATCTGGAGCGCGTGGATCGAGGTCATTTCTTCCTTGAGCGCTTCGTTCACGGCGCGCTGGCGCTGGAGCAGCCCCATGCCCTCAAAGAGCGGGCTCACGACAATGACGCTGAACTTGGTGCCGCAGCCGTCCGAGTTGTCTTCGACCTGGATGTACGTCACTTGCAGCGCCGCTTCGAGCTTCGCAGAGAGTTCGGCCGTGGTCACCATCGTCGTGTCAAGAGGGATTCGCAAATGAATTCGTTCAACCCGCGAGCACGGTTATCCGGACGTCGCTCCTCGTTATCCGGTATGCGACTGGGACATCCCGCGATGCATCATCGTTTGGGATGATGGCATCGGGTGATGCATCGATGCACTCGATGATGCCATCGCCCAAGCCATTGGCAGCCAGGAGCCACTGCGCCCATGCAAGAGCTGGAGCGGACGACGGTGGACGCAGCTTCCATGACGGCAGTGCACAGTGGCTACTACCCATCCTTCCCATGCCCCTTGCACTTCAGGACACTGGCAGCTCGTAAACGCATCCCGCAGAAGCCTTGACGCTTGTTTATGGCTCATCACGTCCTTTCTTTGGGATTCCACGCCATCCCAGAACGGTATAATCCGATAGTATGCACAGCGAGCAATGGTCCCCACCATCAATGCAACCTACGCCGAGGGCGGAGCTAGCAACGCAGGCGGGCGCCACCGTAGGCGGCCTGATGCTACGTCGTTCGATGCGTGATCGTGTCCGTACGGCGCTTCCGCCCTGCAGCGCCGTGCCCCTTCTCTAATGGTGTAGTCGGATCGGACATGGAGGATGTTGATTCGTTCGTAAATCGAATATTTTTGACCAGTAAGCCGCAACGTTGCGCGGATTGGTGCAAAATCGACCAATGAAGCGAGCTGGCTTGCGATTGGTGGAGATCGAAATCGTCGTTTTGGATTGGGTGGTCGCGGCGTGTGCTCGGCCCATGCAACTAAGATCTACGAAGCATACTCCATTTAGCAGTGATCTACAAGTGAGCTTCTATACCATGTCTGACGCCGCCGTGAACCCCAAGGCCTACCCGCTCGCCGACGCCAAGCTTACCGTGAGCATCCTCGACCTCGTGCAGCAGGCCACCAACTACAAGCAGATCAAGAAGGGCGCCAACGAGGCCACCAAGACGCTCAACCGCGGTATCTCCGAGTTCATCGTGATGGCCGCCGACACGGAGCCGCTTGAGATCCTCCTCCACTTGCCGCTCCTCTGCGAAGACAAGAACGTCCCGTACGTCTTTGTCCCGTCCAAGGTCGCCCTTGGCCGTGCCTGCGGCGTCTCGCGCCCGGTCATCTCGGCCTCGATCACGTCCAACGACGCGTCGCAGCTCGGCCCCCAGATCCGCGCCATGCGCGAACAGATCGAGCAGCTCCTCATCTAAGCATGGGATCGAGCCACGACTTGAGCGCATGTAACTTAACACATGTAAATTTAAATGCTCCCCGAGAATCCTTTATTTGTTGGTGACCATGAGCACGTACTCGCGCGAGCTTTCGCCAAAGGTCAGCACGTCGCGCTCGCGGAGCTCAATGTAGCGCGAGTGGTCAATCTTCTTGCCGTTCAGAAACGTGTGGTTCGTGCTCTTGAGGTCCATGATGTACGGCTTGATGGTCTGGATGAGCTCGGGCTGGTCGAGCTCCGACGCCCGGTGCTCCGTCACGCGCAGCCGGAACTGCAATACCGCGTGCTGTTTGGAGATCGACTCGTGCTCCATGAAGACGTCGGCCACCTTCTTGTCGCGACCAAAGAGGCACGCGCTCTGCCGGTGCAAGTGCAGCGTAGCTAAACGACCACCATGAGCTCCTTCTCGATTGCGATCGAACGCACCAATGTTTTCATCCTTCTTGAAGACGTAGAGGCGCCAGCGCTTGTCGGGCACGCGGGCTTCGGGCGGCTCGCACCACTTCATGACAACGCCATTCCGCGTGTTGCCCGTCGCGCTGTCTTTCGCCAAAGCGCCGCTCAAACCAAAGTTGGGCTTCTGCACGACAACAGGCTCCTCGTTCGGGTCCTTGGGCTCCTCGGGCTGACCCCAGCTACAGAGACGAGTACATGCATGAGCCTCAGCACTCGCCATCGCATGGGCCTTACGCAAACTTCTCGCCCTTGCCGCCATCCACGAGGTGTGTAAAGTCGCGTGGCTTGACGTTGCCATTGCGCTGACGCGGCTCTCGGCTGCGGGACCGCGACCGCTGTCGGGCGTCGCTCCGGTCACGCGACCGGGATCGGGATCGGCGGCGACGGTCGGCCATCGCTCGTCTGTTTTCTTGCTGCGTTTGATGGCTGGTCCAAGCCTCGACTCGGTTTTAGTTTTACCCATTGTCCCATTTCAAGGGCTCCTCATTTGTATATTGTTATCGCGCCCATCAACTGGGAGAAAGGTGGGAAATAGCGCTTGCCTAGTTAGTCGGCGCCTAGTCGATCGGGCACGGACCAACACTCATATCGAACAAACAAACCTGCAGCGACTGCGTCATTTGCCATGTCGACGACCGACGCGCCGACCGACGCGACGCCGACGCTCGCGGAGCTGCAGCAGTCGCACCCTGGCGCAAGCCTCGACCTCGTCCCGCTCTTCACCTCGCGCAGCGTCCACGAGATTGCGGCGCGCGTCGACTTTCTCCTGCGATCGAGCCAGCGCATGCTGCTGCACGAAGAGCTTCCGCGCGCCTGTGGCTCGGTCACCAGCGTAGATGCTCTTGAGATCTTCCTCCTCTTCCTCGAGCATCAAGCCACGGTACGCCGCTGCCTGCACGACGAGCCTCTTTCGATAGTGCTTGTAGAAACACCCGACCGCTTTGAGCGTGACCATGTCGCTGCTGCCGCTGCTGCCCACCGCCGAGCTCATGCCCTCGAGCGTGCAAGAGGCGGCGACGCGCTTCTTCCAAAAGCATCTTCCGATCAAGGCGACCAACACGTCCATGACGGGTCTCTTTTGCGCCTTGTACCACGTCCCAATGCCCCTGCGCGTCGACACGTTCAACGCATGGCTGCGCCTCGACTCGGTGGCCGCGCTCAAGTTTCTCGAGGCCGCCGACGTCGCGGCCCACGTCGATTTAGATGCGACCCTGCGCCTCCTCGTCGAGAAGACGCACTTTAACGCGGCGGATCGCCTCGCCGTGCACGTGCCGTCGCTTCAGCGGGCGTACGTGCAGGCGCTCGTCGACACGTACGCGGACGCCAAGGTCACGAAGAAGCGCATCACCCGCTTCAACTTTCTCCCGGACGACTTTCCCGAGTTTGTCGCGCGGTAGACCTTGCACGAGCCGTCTCGATGCTCATGATGCGACTGCATAGGCGACGCCGGGCGACCATCAAGTACCTCGTCAAGGCCGGGCAGTACGGCGACGTCGACCAAGCCGTCGGTGGCGACGCAAGTGCGATGAAGTTTGCCTGCCGCTGCGCCTACGACACGTGCGGCGCCGACAGCGACGTCACCAGGCAGTTTGTGCAGCAGTACAACCTTGGCAGTCTCTTTCCCGACGTCGTTGCATCGCAGGACGCCGGCGACCTCTCGCTGTTAATGGACGACCCGCCGCGCCTCGATGGCTTTGCCTCGATCCTCACGTACCTTCCGAGCAGCCACGTCTGCTTTCTCGCGTCGCCGGTTGACGTTGCCGGCGTTGTGAAAGACTTGCTCTCGGCGCCGTTTGTCGGTCTCGACTGCGAGTGGCGCGCCTCGTACAACTCGTTTACGTCGACCGGCAGTGCGGGAAACCCGTGCGCGCTGCTGCAGCTAGCGACAAGCACGCATGTCTACCTCGTCGACATGCTCGTGCCTGGCATGCTGGAGCCGTTGGCGCCGTGGCTGGCGTCGCCGTCGTCGCTCAAGCTCGGCTTTGACATCAAGAGCGACCTCGCCGCGCTCCAAGCGCCCGTCGTGTGTGGCGTCGTGGACCTGCAGACGGTCGCCAAGAAGACGAGTCTTCTCCCCTCGAACCGGCCGTCGCTCTCGGACCTCGCGCTCAATTACCTCGGCCTCCCACTCGACAAGCGCGTGCGCATGTCCAACTGGGAGCGCCGCCCGCTCACGGCGATGCAATGCGAGTACGCGGCCTTGGACGCCTACGTGCTCGTCGCAGCATACGCCGCCGCCATCTCAGCACCGAGCGTCGCGGCGGCTGTCGCCCACTGCCGCTACGACGCCAGTTCAGACACGAATTAACCGTAATAGTACATTCTAGACGCGTTAGGCGGCCATGAAGCTCGAGAGCGCGTCAGCAAACACGACGGGCTCCGACTCGGCGGGCAGCAAAAGATGTTGTTGGATCGCCGGCGGCAGCGCCGATGCTTTGAGAAAAAACTCGTTGAGTTTGAGCTGGAGCATGTCCTTCTCTTCGCTCAGGATGCGCAGCTGCGCGACCGCGTCGTGGGCCATCGACGCACGCGCCGTCACATCGGCCAGTCGCGCCGCTTCGACGGCGTCCAATTGCGCTCGCAGCGCCGTCTCTGTTTGCAGCGACTCGGTGAGGCGGTCGACGAGCGCCGTCCGCGCGATGGCCTCGTCCGCGCGCGCTGCCTCCAGCTGCACCATCTCGCGTTTCAACGACGCGATCGACTCGTTGGCTGTCTTGATTTCGAGCTCTCGCTGCCGCAACGCTTCGTGGAGACTCGCGATGGTCTCTTGCGCCGCCGCGAGCTCGTCGCGCGTCCGGCGCGTCTCGTTGTTTTCCATCTTGGCGCGGGCGAGCGCCGCGGCGTGGGCCTTGGCCTGCAAGGATTGTTCCTGCTGCAGCCGCGCTTCCAGCGTCGCCTTTTCTCGGCAAAAGTGCTCGGTGAGCGTCGCGTGCTTGGCCTTGTACGCGGCGTCCAACGCATCGCGCTCGTTTGCGAGCTTGTCGTCGGTCCACGCGGCGTACGCGGCGGCGGTCGCTTGCTGGAAACAGGCTGCGCCATCGGCCGCGATGCGCTCGCTCCAGACGCGATGCTTGGCCGGGCCTCGGCACGCGGCGTGGTACTTTGCCGAAACTTCCAGGAGCGCGGACGCGGGCTCGAGAGTGCTATCCGCCGTCACCGCGTGCCAGAGCTGCGTGCACAGCGCAGAGCAGAACGCCTCAGAGTGGGCGTCCAGCGAGTCCCGCTGGTCGCGATCGAGGCGCCGCAGCGCGTCCCACAGCGCTGCCTTGGCCTTGGACCGCGCCGGCGCGTGGGGAAAAGTCGCGCGGGACGCGAAGAGTGCGAGCGCCATGCGAGAAACGTCGTCGTGCAGCGTCTCGTACGCGGGCAGCTCGAGCGGCGGCGACTCGGTGACCGCGCCGTCCATCGCGTCCCGGTACGTCTGGAGCGCATCCGCGATGATGGGCTCGCATTGCAGGTCGACAATGTGGTCCCAGGCGGAGAGCAGGTCCAGGGCGCCGTCGGCCGTTGGCTGCAGACACGCATCGAGGAACGCGACAAGGAGCGGGCCGGTGAACGTCACGTTGAAGAGCCGCTTCTCGGGCAGCGCGTCTAGGAGGTTGGTGCGGCAGGCGCTCAGAAAAGCGTCGTCGGCGTCGGTAGGCAGCTCGATCGCGCAAACGTGACGTGCCTTGGCGAGCTGTGCGTCACGCGGGCGACCGCCGACGTCGGGCCAAGCGCTCGGTGTGAAGACAGGCGCTGCACTGGGCGTGACCCAGGCCATCAATGGCAGAAACGGAGCTACGTCAGGTGTGTCGTTGCTGAGCCCTTGTAGCAAGTGCGCCGCTGCGTCGACTTCGCCGCTGCCAATGTGGAGGACAAGGCTTGCGAGTGCGAGGGCCACTGCGCGGAGAGGGCTCGGACCCGACGGCAGCTGCAGATCGAGCAATAGGGCGCACCGACCGGATTGCATATAGTCGGCCGAGCCTACAATGTAGATGCCAGGCGCGGTGCTGGACTCGTCGCGGGCGGGCGGACCGTCGCCGAGCACACGGCTCGCATCGCGCAGCCGGTCGGGCCCGCCCGAGACGACAAGCGTGCCAATGGGGTACTCGAAGCCTTGGAGGAAGGCGACGCCTGCGGCGGCGAGGTGCATCGTCTCGCCGTCGTCCTCGACAAGCCGGATCGGCGCCGGCGGCCATTCCCACACGACCTCTTCCGTCATCACTCGCAATTTGCAATAGCCAATCAAATCGCATCGAAGATTTTGAGCCCATGGGCTCGCGCTGGCAGCAGCTCTACGGTCGCGCCGCGCCGTCCGAGAACCAAGAGACCCGTGACGACGACTCGTGGGTCGACGCGTGGCAGCGGCATGTGCTCGTCGACGACGCGCGTCACCGCATCCTCGACAACAACGACGACAGTGACGACGACGACGTGGCGTTTCCGTGGCCTCCGCCCCTGAGCCATCTCGATGCTGCGCCCGAGGTCGACGCCGACGTCCAAGCTCAAGCCAAGAAGCACATCCAGGCGTGGCTGTACGTCGAAGAGTCGGCCAAGACCATCAAGTAGGCGATCTACTGCGTGCAGCATTGCCCATCATGGTGGGATCGATCTGTAGGCAAGCGCTGCATACAGGGAAGCCGTCGCGGGCAAAGCGACAGGTGAGCGCATCAGCAGCGGCCAGGATGTGACAAGAACGTGGCACGCGTAGATTCTGCAGCAACCACCGCCAACAGTTGTGAGAACACGGCCAGTCGCCGCTGCTCGGCACGTCCAGCGCCATGTCGCGCCAGCGCCCACCAAGGTCAAGGCACCCACGCTCTCTCGTTCCGCTGCCCGTAGCACGCCCAAGACGGGCCCTGCTTTGCTGGCAGAGGAGCCTACTCATCGCACTCGAAGTGCTTTGTCGGTGAAGCCGCGGGCTCATAGCGCCACGAAAGAGCTGTCCCGCCAAGAGGTTGTCGCGTCGCGCCGACTCGCTCAGGAGATCACTCGCGTCTCGGCGCTGCAGGAAGCCAACGCCCAGCGCACGTATGCCCGCACCATTCTCCGCAAGATGTGGGGTGCGTGGGCTGATTCAGCGCTGCGTGGACGCGCCGAGCTGCAGCACGCAACCCGCACGCACCGCCTCGCGGTGCTGCAGCGACATCTGCACGCATGGCGCCGCGTGACGCAAGCGTATCAACGTGCGCGTGCTGCCGCCCACGCGCAAGCACGGCTCGAGACGCTCCGGGTGCTCGACCACCTCGCGGGCCAGCACCACCGCGCGAAATGTCTCTTTCGGTGCTTTGTGCACTGGCGCGCATTCGCAGCGCGCAGCAAGCGCGAGAAGGCGCAGGGTGTCGGCGCCAGCCAGCGCCGGCAGCTGGCCGCGACACTGCTGACCGCTGCGTTGGCACCAGAGGCTGCGTCTCACCGCGACTGCGGGACATCGCCGGCCTTTCCAAAGCAGAACGTCGTGCGTCGGTCGGTGCAGCTATGGACGCTCCAAGCCGCTGCCAGCCCCGTGAAGGGCCAGGCTACGAGTCCGCTGCTGCAGAAAAAGCCAAAACCCAAAGTCAAAATACAGCGGTGCGACGCGCCACCTCCCGCCGCCATTGTCGACATGCACGCGCGCATGGCCGAGCGGAAGGCGCGCTGGGACCTGCTGCAAGAAAAGTATAAGCTCAAGCAAGCCATGGCCGCCGAGGTCGAGGCGCAGATGCGCGCGGCCCAAGCCGCCGCGGCCGAGGAGGAGCGTCTGGCTGCGATCGAGCGCAAGCGGGCTCTGAAGCGGTACACTTGCAAGATAGTCGCACCGGATCACGACGTCTGCGTGTAGCGAGGCGCAGCGTAAGGAGGAGGCGGCGTTGCAGGAGAAGGAGCTGCGTCGCCAGCAACTGGTGCTTGCCAAGCGCCACGCCGCGCGCGCCACCGTCTACTGGCGCGGGTTTCTCCCGTGGTGGCACCGGCACGTCTACTCCAAGTACGTACCCTGAGCCTACGCGTGGACTCATGCATCTTTAGACGGCAAGTGACCAAAGCCCTCAATTGGCACCACGACACGCTGCTCTGCTATGCATTTCGTGCGTGGACGAGGTTTCTACTGGCTGCGCGGGCCGATCGAGCGCGTGCCGAGGACGAAGCGCTCGATGATGCGCGATGGTACTATCAGTACCGGCGCATGCGCGTGCTCTTTGCGCAGTGGAAGGTACTCGCGCGTATGCCATGGAAGACACATCGAGGCTGCGTAGGCAACCCGCATGCAAACACAACGCAAGGCCGAGAGCATTGCTCAGCAGCACGGTTGGCAGCTCGTCGCCACGGTGTGGCACGGCATGCATGCTCGCGTGGCGGCGCGCGCCGAACGACTCCAAGCGGCGCAGAGGCAGAGGACGCGACGGCAATGCGCCCATGTTGTGGCCACGTGGCGCGCGTTTGTGCGTGGGTCGCAAGCGGCGGCCGCGGCCGAGAAGGAGAAAGAGGCCATGCGGCGACAAGTGTTCGAGTGGCTACGCGAGGCCGGGTAAATGTATATTCTCAAACACGACAATCCAATCAACGCAGCCTAGCTGAACCGACGCTTCTGGTTGAAGCGGCGCATCTCGTGTATTGCCGAGTCGAGCGGTTCTTGGCTCGCCGACATGGTGCGCGCCTACGGAGTCGAATGCGTGAGGAGAGAGGCGAGGAGGAGGATGGGCGTACGCGGATCCACGGGTGCTCGAGCGCTTGCTCGGCGCTAAAGCGCTGGACCGGGTCGACGTTGAGGAGGTTGCGCAAGAACGACTTGGCGAGCTCCGAGACGTTGGTCCAGTACGGGTCGGGGAACTCGAGGATGCCCGACGTGATCTTCCGGTACACCGACTCCATGCCCGTCTCGTCCTCGGTGAACGGCGGGAACCCGCAGAGCATGATGTACACGACGACGCCGAGGCTCCAGAGGTCCACCTTGCTGTCGTAGCCATTGTCGTTGAGCACCTCTGGCGCTAGAAAGAGGTCATCATCATGAGCTTTTGTCAAGTGTTGAAACAGGTCCGTACCGACGTAGTAGTCGGTGCCGCAGCTCGTGTACGCGCGGCCGCGGACGTTGGCACGACCGTACCCGGTCATATCGTCGTCTTCGTCTTCGAGGATTTTGGCGATACCAAAGTCGCTGATCTTGATGTCATGGCGGCTGTCGCTCGTCGCCAAGAGGAGGTTCTCGGGCTTGATGTCCCGATGCAAGATGTTGTGGTCGTGGAGGTACTCGATCGCGAGGAGGAGGTTCGCGACGATCTCGGTCGCTTGGCGCTCCGAGTAGACACCGACTTGGACGATGCGGTCAAAGAGCTCGCCGCCCGTCGCCCTAGCACGCATAGGATACAGGCCCTGCACCAACACGTCGGGTGATGGATGTACCGCTCCATGACGAGGTAGAGCTCCGTGTCGCTCTCATAGACCGCCTCGAGGCTAATGATGTTGGGATGCTTCACTCGCATCAGGACCGCGATCTCGTCGCGGAGGCTCTTCTTCTTCAGGCAGAGCTGCTTGTTGATGACCTTGACGGCGAACTGCTCGTTGGAGGTCTTGTGGCGGCAGGCGTACACCATGGAGACGCTGCCTCGTCCGATAAGCTCGCCGATCTCGAACCAGTGGTGGAACATGGCGGGCGTGTGCACGTCCGCGAGGCCATGCGTCACGAGGAGCTCTTCCTCCTTCCGGAAGAACGCCGAGAGCGGGGGGGCTAGCCTCCATGATGAGCCATCTCCCTCATGGAGGTCGATGAGGACGTACCATGGAACGCGGGGGCCGTCATCTTGCTTCAGATACGACGTCTTCTGCGGTAGTAGCGACGTGTAGGGCTGCTTGCGATGTCTACCTTGACATGCAAAGCAATTAAACCCAACCTTCCGCGGGCCGGAGCATTTCCACCAATCAAACGCGAAGAAGCATAAGTGCAGCCAATCCGATGCGCGGACGCTGCTGAAAATATTTGTCGTCTATACCTGCGCCCCAAAACCGAGGGACGACCACCCATCCCACATCTTGGGCGCGGCTGCGTCGCCATGGCGTCGACTCGACAGGCCGATCACGATGCTCCATGCATCGCTCCCATCGTCTCGGGAAAATGGTCGAATTGGACCTTGCAGTTGCGCGCGCAGGTGGTTCCTGTTGCCGGTTGTGATGATGATGACCTCATGTCCCCACGTTACCATGTTGAAACCGATTCGAGGCAGGAGGAACGTCGCCGAAGACCGGTGCCGTGGACGCGAGCCCGTGCAGAAGTCGCTTGGTGAGTCTTGATGCACGGAGGAGCGGTGGTTGGCAGTAGGGCGATCTGTCGCGACACCGCTGTTAGGTCATTCGACTGGGCCAGTCGTTGCAAAAGGCGCAGCCGATATTGCGGCCCATCGTGCTCACGGCACCAAGTACATACTACACATCAACCAGGAAAAGGCCAAGATTCTCATGTTCAAGGACCATGCAGTTGCGATGGCATTCGAGAAGAGACACAGACTGAGCCCGTGACATTAGGAAACGAATCTTTTCCCATCGCTTCGCAGCCCATGAAGCCCCTAGAGCCATGAGTGAAGGCAATCGGGCCAAGCCGCGTCTCTTTGCCGAGTGCCATCCGTCGGCGCCTCTAAAAGTCGATATCCGGATGCGGACAGAAATCCTGTGGCCGCAAGTTTCTCGATCCTTCTTCTCATGCTCGCGACGACGTCGAGGCTCGTGCTGCGGCCGATGGCGGCCCGGAGTTTGCCGCGAAGGGACTTTTCCAAGGAGGCGTTCGCCAAGCACACGGCCAAGTTCAAGGAGATCATGAAGCAGTACGGCAAGGTCGCCGTCGTTGTGCACTCGTCGGTCTTTGTGACCACGCTCGGCGTTGCCTTCTCGGCCATCGAGTATGGCATCGACATCCGCGAAGCCCACATTCCGTTCGTCGACATGTCCAAGATCGACCCGAACGCGGGCACGCTCCTGCTCGCCTACTTGGCGACCGTTGCCACAGGTGCGTCGGCGTCATGGTTATAGCCTCCTTATCATGGTCATGCGTAGGCCCAGTACGCGGCGGACTCACGATCGCCGTCACGCCGTGGATCGCTCGCTTCCTGCGCAAGCGTGGCAAGTGGGCGCCACCTCCGACCACGCCCAAGTAAGACATAGACGCCAACCACTTTAAATACACAGCATTGCCTGACGCATTGTCGCTCGAGACAGCCATCTCCGTCAGTGCTGGAAAGGGCTATCACATGCAGTACGCCCTTCCTGGCCTCTCGCGAGGCTAGGTCAACCACCACCTGCCGGGATACGAGGAGCATAAGCAAGCTGGATAAGCTGGGTCGAAGAGCGTCCATGATGCCACAGCGCCTGCCACTTTCGCCTTGCCGTCAATCGCCTTTTAATCCGGATAATAGGCGGCAGTAACCGTACAACCAAGATCGAAGCACGCCGCAGGATGTGGCAATCGACGTCAGAAGCGATCGCGGAAGAGCTGCTGCAGGAGCTTGTCGGGCGATGGGAGACGCTCGACGTCGGGAGCGTCTTTGCGCAAGACCAGCTGGCCGCGCTCTGGCGGGTCTCGTTTCCATCATCGCCGCCTGAAATGCCATTGACGCCGCACCCGCGCTGGCTCGAGCTCGGGTTCTCGTCGCCCGAGCCATGGCTCGACATCCACACGACGCTGCACCTGCATTGCATTCTGTACGTTGCGGAGCACCAGCACAAGCTGTACATGCAGCTCCTGCGGCGAAATGACTTTCCCGTGATGCAGACCCTTCTAAGGCTCCTCGATACGCTCGTGGCGCATATTGATGGCAAGGCGCCGTGCCCGTGCTGTAGCGCGCCGCGGCAAGGCGACCTCTACGACGGCCTTGAGTGCTTGTACGAGCAGCGCCAAGGCAACGAGCTCGAACTCCTCTTCACACGCATGATCATCGAGTACCAGGCCTCCTCAGCGCCGTTGAGCCGCCGCCTCCGCGAAACACGGCAGCGGATGGAGGCCCTCATGCGACAGAGACCTGCGGTCCGCGCGCTTCTCACGACGCCAATACAGACTTCGTGGTGCGACGTCTGCCGAGTCCTCTCGCCCTACCAGTTCTGATTGATTGAGAGATGCTATGTGTAACACTTGACATAACACGAAATAGCAACGGTTCAGCGTACGTTATAACACCTCTCGTCATCGACTCAGCGGTTGGGGTTTCGGTATTGGTAAGTAACCGTGTTAGAAAAACGCAAAGTCGCACAGCATGTCTGCAATCACCGGCCGGCGGAACCCTACCCCCTCAGTGTCATGGACAACGAACGCTCATAGGCCCGTTGCGGCAAAGGCAGTCCATGTGGCGCGCTTGGAACCAGTCACCCCACTGAACCTGCGCGACGATAGAAAAGTGAACGACGCCGAAGTCTGCAGGAGCGACGATCGCCCGCTCGGCGGCTAGCGCAGCATCCCTGAGGCTGCACCACGTGATGCGAGCATAACATGACGGATGACGGGGTGCTTCCTTGGGATCTAGGTGCACGCTTCCTTTTCTGGAGAATCGCCCAATGCACAACCGCACATGACTGAGCCAAGGTGGATTACGGTAGCATAACATTGCATTGAAGGACCTGCCCGCAAAAACCTCGTCAGCACCCCAACTTCGAGCGTGCTTCTTCGAGGGACAGAAGCCATGGTCTACGCGCTTTCGATACAAGACCTTGGTCTTAAACACTATTCTTAGTCGATGACGTTATACGTCGCGTCGGTTTTCATACAAATGCAAGGTAAACTTGGAGGGGTTGTGGTCGTGAGTTGCGTCACCCTGCCTCATGCGATGGAAAGCATACAAATATCAAGTACAAGTGTGAGGCTGACAGTGGGCGTTTGCACATGTCGCTGCTTCGAACTTCGCTCTCCCGCATTGCTGTGGCGAAAACGATCACATGCGAATCGCCGACGCCCGAGAATTTTTGATGTGGTCGGCGCTGGATCCATACAGAGAGCGAGGTTCGCGGCCACATGGTCGCATCTATTTTATTCCAGCGATCGCGTCAGCTTTCGTGGCCGTGCTTTCTCCAAACTGTCTCGGTTTCCAATCCCCCGGTATGGTCATATTTGAGCTCATGGTGCCAGTGCCAACTGAACCTTGCCCGTTTGACCGGTTCTACAAATTCTTCGCCGTCCACGAAACGGGGACCACGAGCTCTCGTACCGGAGATTTGTGGGTTTACAAACCCGTGCACCAATCCAGGTGCGGCGGTTTGAGACACTGGTGGGAAACACGTGGTCGAGCCGGTTCGGACCGAAGCATGACATCGATCCCACGGCTGTTCATTTTTCAAGTCGCGCCTCGATGCCCACCCGCCAGCACGTGACGCTGCCACCGCTCATGCACCTCTGCGGCCACGCTGCTGGCTGCCACCGCTTCGCCAAGGTGCACGGCGCCTGCCTCCACCACGCTCGGGAAGCCCAAAAACCCGTCATCGTGACGTCGCCCAGTGTCCGCGTGTGCATCTTTCCTGGCTGCGAGAAGCAAGCGAAGCGCAAGCGCGTCTGCATGGACCATGGCGGCCGCCACATGTGCAAGATGGATGGCTGCCAAAAGTGCGCGCACAAGGGCGGCTTCTGCATCGCCCACGGTGGCGGTCGCCGCTGCACGGTCGAAGGCTGTACCAAGAGCGCGCAGACCGGTGGGACCTGCTACAGCCACGGCGGCGGCAAGCACGGCAACCGCCACTACTGCAAGTGGGAAGGCTGCCAGCGTTGCGCGCACAAGGGCGGGTTCTGTGTGAGTCACGGTGGCGGCCGCCGCTGCAACGTCGACGGTTGCTCGCGGAGCGCCCAAGTCGGCGGCGCGTGCTACAGCCACGGCGGTGGCAAGCGCTGCAGCGTCGACGGCTGCAACCACGCGGGTCGTATGAGCGGCTTCTGCATCAAGCACAAGAAGATGGTCGACGCCGGGTCGTCGCCCAAGAGCCTATCCTGCTAATGCACTCCTATTTAAGCAAGCCTATCCTAATACTATTTGTTTCGATTACAATAAAGTACAGTACCACCTCGTCCTCGTGTCCATCCAGGTCATGTCCATGTTGCACGTGATCCCATCTGTATGCAAGCGACGACTGCGATGTAACATGTAAGACGACTTTACTGGACGTCAACTCAGGCGACAACCGACGACACGCGACGATGGGCAGTTGGCGAGCGGAGAAGGGGAGAGCTGGGGAGGCTCCGCGCGTCCTTGGAGCTCGATTGCCGACTGAGGAGGTACTTTTGCGCATGCGTCCGGACCTGCGTGTAGGACCGGGTCGGTACGACGTGCGTCGCGATGAGCTTCCACGACCGGCCGTAGAGTTTGTAGCCGGTGAGGAACCGGTCGTGCTCGTCCTGCGTCCATCGACCGCGCTGCGTCTGCCGCTCGTCGGTGCTGCTGCTGTCGGTCGAGCTCGCATCGTCGTCCAACGACAGTTGCTTCTCGTCGTCGCCCACCGACGGTTGCGTCTCGTCGTCGTCGGACGCGGGCCAGACGTCGGCCTTGCGGGGCGATGGGACGTCAAAGGCGTCGGCCACGTCCACGCCGAGGTCGACGTCGATCATCTCCATCGCTGGGTCGAAGAAGAGGTCCATGTTCGGGTCCATGCTCAGGTCCATGCTCAGGTCCATGCTCAGGTCCATGCTCAGGTCCATGCTGCAGTCGAGGTCGAGGTCCATGCTGAGGTCGAGGTCGAGGTCCATGGCGCGCGACAAGCCCGCGCGCTATAAATAGAGAGTGGGGTATTCCTTCGTTGCATATCTTGTGGGCTGCATGGAAGGGATCGTCAATCCAGACGGCCGGAGCCTACTCCCTCGAAAAGCGCGGCGACTTCGCGATCCTTCGTCGTGGCGCGACCAAAAGATTTCGGGAACGCCGGATACCATTCGTGTATCCGGATGCGTCTGGCCATTGCGGATTTGTATAAGGGGCCATCGAGGCTGGGGATTGGCGGTTGGCTCAACAAAGAGATAGATTCGCGGCCGCAGGATGGACGACCGGAAGAGCTACGTGGTCACTGCGCACAAGCCGACGAGCGTCTCGCACTCGGTCGTCGGGCGCTTCACGGGCGCCAGCGACGTCAACCTCGTCCTCGCCAAGACCACGCGCGTCGAGATCCATCTGCTCACGCCCGAAGGGCTCACGCCCGTCCACGACGTGGCGATCTATGGCCGCATCACGATGCTCGAGGTGTTCCGCCCGCCCTCGTCGCCCGTGGACCTTCTCTTTGTGTGCACGCAGCGGTACTGTAGCCTCGGCGCACGGCGTAAAGGGTTCAATGCGTGGCGGTAGGCACCAGTTTTGCGTCTTGGCGTACGATCCGGCGACCAAGAGCATTGTCACGCGGGCCCAAGGCAACATTCGCGACCCGATTGGCCGCATGAGCGACGTCGTCACGAGCGGCAACATTGACCCGGAAGGCCGCCTCATTGGCATGAACCTCTACGAAGGTACGCGAGAACGACGACGACGCGTCGCTCCAATCTATTCTGGTGGTAGGCTACTTCAAAGTCATCCCCATGGACGCGAGTGGCAAGCTCTCGGACGCGTTCAACATTCGCATGGACGAGCTCCGCGTCATTGACGTCAAGTTTCTCTTTGGCTGCGCCAAGCCCACGATCGCGGTTCTGTACGAAGACCAGAAGGGGCGACACGTCAAGACGTACGTCGTCTTGGCAAAGGAGCGGGAGCTGGCCGAAGGGCCATGGAGCCAGTCGCACGTCGAGTCGAGCGCCAACTTGCTCATTCCCGTGCCGGCGCCCGCCGGCGGCGTCCTCATCGTGAGCCAGCAGATGATCGTGTACCACAACGGCAGCACGTGCCACGCGATCTCGATGCAGAGCACGATCATCCAGGTGTACGGGCAGGTTGACCGCGACGGCTCGCGCTTCCTCTTGGCCGACCAGTTTGGTCTTCTCCAGGTCGTCGCGCTCCAGCGCAACAAGGACACGGTCACCGGCATTGCGCTCGAAGTGCTCGGCGAGACCAGCATCGCGTCGACGCTCTCGTACCTGGACAACGGCGTCGTCTTTGTCGGCAGCGCGACCGGCGACTCGCAGCTCGTCAAGCTCCTGCCCGCGCGCGACGCCGCGACTGGCTCGTACCTCGAGGTGCTCGATGCCTACGTCAACATTGGTCCGATCGTCGACTTCGTTGTGATGGACCTCGACCGCCAAGGCCAAGGCCAGGTGGTCACCTGCAGCGGCGCGTACAAGGACGGGTCTCTCCGCGTCATCCGCAACGGCATTGGCATCAACGAGCAGGCGGCGACCGAGCTCCCCGGCATCAAGGGCATGTGGGCGCTGCGCACGTCGTTTGCCGCCGACCAAGATGCGTACCTTGTCCAGAGCTTTGTGAGCGAGACGCGCGTGCTTGGTTTCTCGGCGGACGGCGACGACGGCGACGTCGAGCTCGCCGAGCACGAGATCAAGGGCTTGAACCCGGCCAAGACGCTCCTGTGCCGCAACGTGCTTGGCGATGCGTGGCTCCAAGTCACCGAATTTGACGTGCGCCTCATTGCGTGTGCGACCAGCGACGTTGTTGCGACGTGGAAGGCGCCGGGCCGCATCACGGTCGCCGCCGCGAACCCGTGCCAAGCTGTCGTTGCGATCGCCGGCGGCGTCCTCGTCTACTTTGAAATCGACGGCGCGCAGCTGCACCTTGTGGCGGAGACGCGCCTGCCCCACGAGATTGCGTGCCTCGACATTTCGCCGCCGACGAGCGATACCAAGGGCACCCTCGACGGCCGCCACTGGGAGACGCGGCTCCCGAAAGCGTCGCGTGTCGCGGTCGGTCTCTGGTCGGAGCTCTCGGTGTCGCTGCTGGCGCTGCCGACGCTGGCGCTCGAGACCAAGCAGCTGCTCGGCGGCGACGTGCTGCCGCGCTCGGTGCTCTCGATCGCGTTTGACGGCGTGCCGCATCTGCTGGTGGGCATGGGCGACGGCACGCTGCTCGTGTACACGCTTGCGGCCGACGGGCACCTCGCGCCGCTCAAGCGCATCAGCCTCGGGACGCAGCCGATCCTCGTGTCGGCGTTCCGGTCCAAGGACGTGCTACATGTGTTTGCGGCCTCGGACCGCCCGACCGTCATCTACACCAACAACGGCAAGCTCCTCTTCTCCAACGTCAACGCCAAGGAAGTGAGCGTCATGTGCGCGTTCGACTCGCCGGCGCTGCCCGACTGCCTCGCGCTCGCGTCGCCGGACGAGCTCACGCTCGGGACGATCGACGACATCCAGAAGCTCCATGTGCAGAGCGTGCCGCTGCACGAGTGGCCGCGCCGGCTCGCGCACGACCCGATGTCGCACACGCTCGGCGTCACGACGATCAAGTACACGCTGGACGAGACGCACATGGAGGAAGTCGAGGTCGGCTACGTGCGCCTTATGGATGACCAGTCGTTTGATATGCTCCATGCGTACAAGCTGGACCCGTTCGAGATTGGGTGCGCGATCGTGTCGGCGTCGTTTGATGACGCGCGCTACTACTGCGTCGGGACAGCGTACGTGCACGAAGAAGAGCTCGAGCCGCACCAAGGCCGCATCCTCGTCTTCCAGGTCGTCGCCGGCAAGCTCGTGCTCGTGGCCGAGAAAGAGGTCAAGGGCGCGGTCTACTGCTTGAACGCGTTCCAGAACAAGCTGCTCGCCGGCATCAACAGCAAGACGCAAGTGTACAAGTGGAGCGACACGGACGACCTCGAGAAGGAGCTCGTCGCCGAGTGCGGCCACCACGGCCACACGCTCGTGCTCTTCCTCGAGTCGCGCGGCGACTTTATCGCGGTCGGCGATCTCATGAAGTCGATCTCGCTGCTCAACTACAAGGCGCTCGACGGCAGCGTCGAAGAAGTCGCGAAGGACCTCAATTCGAACTGGATGACGGCGATTGATATGCCTGAGACTGCCATGTGCTCGGGGCCGAGGCCGACTTGAACCTCTTTTGCGTGCAGCGGCAGAGCGGCGCGACGACCGACGAGGAGCGCGCGCGCCTCGAGTGCGTCGGTGAGTTTCACTTGGGCGACTTCGTCAACCGGTTCCGGCACGGGTCGCTCGTGATGCAGCCGCCGGCGTCGCAGAGCTCGCTCTTTGGGACCGTCAGTGGCATGCTCGGCGTCGTCTTGCCGCTCGACGCGACGCAGTTTACGTTCCTCTCGCGGCTCACGAGTGCGCTCAACAAGGTGTGCAAGGGCGTCGGCGGCCTCCTCCACAAGGACTGGCGCATGTACGAGAGCAAGCGCCACGTGAGCGAGGCCAAGAACTTTATCGACGGCGACCTCATCGAGAGCTTCCTCGACTTGCCGGCAGCGCGCATGGCGACGGTCGTCGATCTGCTCAACGGCGACGGCGCCATGGACGGCCGCCCGCCCGTCTCGATCGACGACGTGGTTGCGATCGTCGAAGACCTCGCGCAGCGTCATTAGCAGCTTTAAACTATATTCAATCATCTCGTCGCCTGGACCCGCTCATCTTCCTGCGTCGTCATCTCGACGTGCTTCCTGCCGCCCCTGTAGCATGCTTCCTGTAGCATGCTTCGGCAGGTGGCACCGTCCGGGCCAAAAATGGAAACTGGGATCTTGGTATCCGGATACAAGATGGCTTCGAATCGGGGATTTGCTGCTGCTGCTGCTGCTGCGATGACGAGCGAGACCAAGACCGAGGCCATGGCCGCGCCCATGGCCGACGCGGAAGCGGCTCTTGCGACGCCGGACGTCGCTCGCAAGGCGCCAGTAGAGGCAGCTGGCGGCGCAGACGAAGAAGAAGGTGGGACGCAGCCAAGTGCAGAGTTGCCGAAAGACACCCAACCTGCGATGGCGACGACGATCAACGAGCCGCCACCGACGAGCCATCTCATCGACGACCCGCACGCTCCGATCTCGCGCGACGATCTCATGCGGTCGCTCGACGCCGAGCTCAACCGGCGGCGCCCGGACACGTACATCATCACGCAGCTGTGCCACGACCTCGGGCACGTGCCATCGAGTCGGCGCGCGCGCGTGTGGCAAGCGCTCTTGCTGCCCGGCGGCGCCAAGTCGGGTGAGTGCGATATCTTTGGCCCGATCGACGCAGACGATCCAAACCAGCGCGTGATCCGCGCGGACGCGCCTCGAACGCGGCCCAAGGACTTTGACGCGCGCGACCGGTCCGGCCTCGAGCACTGCCTTCTCCACGTGCTCACGTACTACTGCAAGTGCAAGACGATTCGGTACAAGCAGGGCATGAACGAAGTGCTTGCGCCGTTCGTGCTCCTCTTCGGCCTCGACGCGCACGCCGTCGTGTACCAATGCTACTACACCTTCATCGACAAGTACCTCACCAACGTCTACTCGGACCGCGAGTTCCGGTCGCTCCAGTGCTCGATGCGATTGCTGCGGCTGCTCCTCCTCTACCACGACCCGCGGCTCTGTACGTCTCTCTTCCATATCGAGGCAACGTCTTAGGTTGCGTGCAGGTAGCTACTTGGACGAGCACGATATGACGCCCGAGCTGTACGTGACGCCATGGTTCATGACGCTCTTTGCACGCAACACGGCGCCCGACGTGCTGTTCGCGCTATGGGACGCGGTCTTGCTGCACGACGACCCGACGCTGCTGCACTTTGTCGCCCTCGCACTCCTCCAAGACCAGCGCGACGTGCTGCTGCGCGCCGACCCCGCCGAGCTGCCGCAGGTGCTCACGAGCCTCAGCATCACGAGCGTCGACCACGCGTCGTCGCTGTTGACCAAGGCGCTGCAGACCATGCACATCACGCCCACGTCGTTCCGCAAGGACATTCTCTCGGTGCTTTATCCAAATCTTAGCGGCGCGCTTAGAGTCGTGTAGGTGTGCTATCGCCCACTCACGGACCGAACCGTCTCGGCGCTCAAGCAGATCGGCGCGACGTCGTGTCTGACGCTGCACCCGTCCGAGCTCGTGTCGTACATGGCGCAGAAGGTCCAGGGCACGTTGGCCTCGAGCATGAACCTCATCATCCTCGACTGCCGCCCGTTCCCAGCGTTCCAGGAATTTCATTTGAGTCTCTCGTACCACATCGATCCGGACGTCGCGGCCAACCCTGAGGCCTTCCGCGTGCTCTTGGACGGGTTTAGCCGCATGAAGGACTGCCACTTTTGCTTTGTCGGCAGCAAGGCCAGTCGCAGCAGCGAGCCAGAAACTGCGTCCTCGTCGCCGCTGACGGACCCAGATCTGGTCGATGACGTGGCCATCTCTCGCTTCGTTGTCATGTTTCTTCAACACAACTTTGCGCACGTGAGCAAGGTGCTCGGCGGCCTCGACGCGGTCCGCGACGAGTTCCTCGCGACGCTCGACGACAGCGTTGTCGAGCAACTCGTCGTGGGCGAGTACGTCGACGACACGAGCGCGTCCTCGCTCAAGGTCAAGGCGAAGCGACTGATGGGGAAGCTCCCGACGCAGTCAGCGCTGCAGTCGCTCCAGCGGCTCAAGAGCACGATCACAAAGCCGCCGCTGCTCTTTGGGAAGGCGCCGACGACACCGCCCACCATCGATGGCGTCACGCAGTCGGCGCTCATGGTCGGGGACGACGAGTGGGTCGAAGTCTGCGTCAAGAGCAAGGAAATCCTGCGCCGCTCGTCCAAGTCGATGGCCGACGACTGGAAGCTCGTGACGTTCGAGGCCGGGAAGCTCGGCATCCTCTTCAAAGGCGTCGACCGGTCGCAGATCACGGTTGACAGCATCGTGCCGCGTGGCCAAGCCGAAGCGGCCGGGGTGCTCGAGCGCGGCGACGTCCTCGAGACCATCGACGGCGCCAACATCCGCGGGCTCCGCTTCCACGCGGTCATGGAGATGCTCCAGCGCGCGCATCGGCCCGTCTCGCTGCAGTTTAGCTCGCCGCCCACCCGGCTCTTGGACGTGCTCGACGCACTCTCCGTGCCGCCCCACGCGCCCTTGCTGCTGCGCAACGGCCCGTACTCGCTCTCGATCATTTGGGACCACGTGCCGGGCGCAACGAGATACCAGCTGCAGTTTGCGCCCCAGTCGGAGCACCGCTTCCATCCGTGGGCGACGCTGGCCGTCAAGAGCCAATCGGGCAGCGTCGTGGACCATAGCAGCGACGTGAGTGGCACGGTGGTGGGCCTCGAACCGGGCGAGAAGTACCTCTTACGCGTGCGCTGCGGCACGCCGACCAACTGGGGCATTTACAGCGAACCGAGTGCGACGATGACGACGATCGAGACAGCGTCGTCGCGCCGGCTCTTGAGCCCGAAGGCGTCGCCGAGCCACGGCACGTCGAGTCTCAGCAACATGGTCGTCTTCCTCGCCGGCGAGTGCCCGGACGTGGTCGAGTCGGGTCTCTTTTACTACCGCGTCCTCCTCGGCCTTCGGGCGCGCGCGGGCCGTCGTACGATGCATCGACCGAAGCGATTGCGCTCGAGAAAGGGTCGCTCATCAAGTGCGACGAGAAGATTCTGCGCGGCCCGCACGTGTTTGTGCGCCTCCAAGACTCGGATTTTTGGGCGTTCGAGACGACGGCCGACGGCGCGCCTGTCCTCGAGCGGCTCGCGATGGACAAGGAGCCGCCACTGCGCCACAGCGAGAGCGTCGAGAAGCACATGGCGACCGCGCCGTCGGGCTTGACGCTGCAGGCGACGGGGCCGACAACGATCGTCGTGTCGTGGGAAGCGCTTCTGGACCCGAGTGTCACCAAGTACTGCATTCAGTTTTCGAAAAACCGACTCGCGGCGCTGTGGATCTCGCGCGACCTCGTGCCGACGGAGAACTCGTGTGTGCTCACCGAGCTCACGCCAGGGACAGCATATGTCGTGCGACTCCGAGCGGGGTACGAGACGGGGTACGGCCCGTACACGGCCACGTCGGCGCCGTGTCGGACGGCCGATGCCCCGCCCGAGGTCGTCTCGCCCGATGACCTCGACGAGAATAAGCCCACGAAGCTCTTTACGATGAACGGGTGGATGGAGAAAGCGGCGGGCGCCGTCCAGCGCTTGACCAAGACCAACAGCAGCGACCAGCTCCCGGACGAGAGCGACGGCCGCCCGGTGTGGCGAGAGCCCCCGCTCGTCATCAACGTCGACGAGATGAAGCAAGCGAAGGAAGAGTTTCAGTGGTTTCCCGCCAAGAAACTCGTTGAAGACGCCAGCCCCGTCGCGTGCGAGCTCGTCGTCACCAACGGTATATTCCATCCGAAATGCGTTCAGGCACTCGATACGTGGTGCAGGTTACCTCTTGTCGGTGGAGCCCGAGGTCGATCGGCCGGGCTGGGGTCGCATCGACGAGCGCCGGCGACTCAAGCTTTTGACCAAGATCACGTCGCGCCGCACCGTGCCCAACTCGGTCGTCTTCCACTTCAAGGTACGCGTCCATTCACAGTGATCATCGAACTTTGCTGGATGAAATACCATGGTGTAGCAACACGAAGACGACGAGACGGTCGATAACGTTGCGTTCATCGTCGACGAGCGGAGCGCGTGCTTGGAGCTTGTCAAGCAGCGCTTCATGGCCATCACGGCGCCGCAGTAATTCGACTGGTTTGACGCTTGCCTATCGTTTGAAAAAGTGTGTTTTTGAGAGAAAAGGGGTGTTTTTGAGATGCATCATCGACGAGCAAGCCTCCGGCGCCCGAGAAGCCGAGCCATTCGCCTCGAACCCAGCGCGACAAAGGAACGCAGGATGGATTATTATGCAGTCGAATTAGAGCTTGCGGTAGCCGGGCCAGTCGGGCGGTGCCACAAAGTCGTGTTTGCCCATGTACTCCATGAGCGCTTCGGCAGGTCCGTCGTGGGGCTTGAGGTTCGCGAGGAGAAAGTCCAACGTGTCGTGTGCCTCACGCCACGCGCCTATCGCGAAGTCCATCACCCAACACAATTGTAGTTGGTGGCGCACCGCGGAGGTATTCGCTCACGCCCTTCTCGAACGTCGACGTGAAGCCGTTGAGGAGGCCCATTTGCAGCAGCGGCACGTCGGCGACGCCGCGCACGTGGCGGACGTTAGCGTTGACGTAGTCGCACGTGTAGAGCGCGATGGGTTTGGCGCAGCCGTCAAAGAGGACGCAGTCGATGCAGCGGCAGAACTGCTGCAGTTGCGGCGACAGCAGGTTGTAGAACGAGTGCGACATGATGAGCGGGATGTGGTAGAGCTTCGTCGTCGACTCGAGCGTCGACGCCATGTTGACGTCCGATGAGAGGTACGACGCGTCGATCTTGTACTTGCTTCCGATGCCCCTAGATCGTAGTGAGCTTTACATGGCTGCTGATGCGCTGACCGTCAATGGCCCAGCCAACGTGGAGACCGTAGCCCATCTTGACCTAACCGCATGGTGATGAAACTCAAAATGAAAAACGAGATGATTCTCTACCTGAAAGGGCGACTCAAACCGCGTTTGGAGCAGCTTGTTGGTCTGGTACGCTTTGAGTTTGGGCGAAATGTCAATGTCCACCATGGTTTTGAGAAACGCCATGAGCGCATTGTCCGCTGCCGTCGCGACGTAGACCTTGGACTGCGCCATCTTCTTGGACCCTTCTTCGTCAAAGAATAAAAAGTCGAGTTCGGCGCCTGAGGTCGTCGTGAGGTGCGCCGGTGGCCGCGCTTGGTTGATGACGGCGACGTCCGGGGAGTCTTCGGGGATCTTCCACACGAGGAGGAAGGCGTCGCCGACGTTCTTGTTGGCGTGGCCGTCGAAGGTGTAGGCGGCGTGATGGACAATGTGTCCGATCGTGTTGGTGAACATCATGACTTGCTCCTGGAGACACTCGGTGATGTCGGTGAAGCGCCGAATGTCGCAAAAGCCAAAGACCGCATGCACCTTCTTGCCCGCGATGATCGGGTTGAACTCGGCGCCCATCATGTTTTTCGAGATGATGGCCGAGCCCGCCGAGCCGTACCCGATCTGCAGCAGCCGCGCGACCTTTGTGAGCGTGTTCTGGAGCAGCTTCATCTCGTACATGGGCTTTTCCTCGTCGACGGGCGAGACCGACTTGGTCGGGTTGAGCGCCAACTGCTGCGTCAACCTCACCTAGAACCCATTTAGCTCTTTCTATTGAAGCATTGATACAAAGCACCATGCGCTCGACCGGCAAGATGACGCGCTTGTACACGTCGAGCGTGAGAAGCATGCCACCACTTGCAAAGCACGAGATGATGAAGAGCGTGCGAACAATCTCCCAGATCGCCTGCCGACCTCTCAGACACGAGGACAAGAATTCGGCCGACGCACCTCGGACTTGGCAGCGGGCCCGCCGTCAAAGATCGCGATGCTCTGGCACGGCATGTCGAGACGCGGCCACGTGCAGTTGGACGGCACAGCGACAACGTTGAGGTACTCGACGCGGTAGTTGGCGACGACGGGCGGCGCATAGATCGCCGACCCGTTGAAGAGGACGGCGTCAACGGGCCACGGCACGTGGGCGTACGTTTGCATGGCCGCGTGGACGACCGATGCGTTGGCACGCGCAATGTGCAAGTAGACGGGCTGCGTCGCGTTGATGTACGCAGCGAGTTCCCGGCCAAAGAGACTATTGGGCGGCCCTTCGGCCCACATGTGGAGCTTGGTGAGGCCATACGTGATGGGCGAGACATCGCGGGGGGTGTAGCACTAGGCTCATACTGTGAGCTGCCGTGTTTTATAAAAAACAAGAGAGAAATGACCTCGGTGAGAATGATGAGCACGGCGAGGAGGAGGAAAATGACGTGGCGGATCGTCGAGTCGGCGACTTTCTCGCCGAGGCGACTCGCGTAAAAGTTGAGCTGGCTGATCTGGTTCTTGCTGGTCATGTCTTGTTCGTACGCGTCCTCCATCGCCAGCAAGGTCCTCTGAAACTTGGCTGCCGACAACGCAAAGGTGCGCATCGGCGCCGTGTTGGTGCTCGACGCGACGCGCGCGCAAAAGTTGTGGCGAGCGTCGTCCGGCGGCGGGTACCCGCGGTACGCGCCCCGAAGCAATAGTTCAATGTGCTCCATCGTGTAGACCACCGGGCGTCCGTCGGGCGAAGCAAAGATGCGCTTGAGGTCCTCGGCCGAAAACGTCGCGCGCGGCCCGTCGCTCGGCGGCGGCGGTGACACGGCGGCCGTCGACGTGCGCGTCTGCTTGACAAGCGAGAGGCGGCGCGGGCGGTACGAGCGCTTGACCATGATTTGCTTGAACATCTTGAAGAGCGTGGCCATGCGCAGCATCCGCAGCATGCGCGCCAGGCGGAAGCCCGCCACCTTGGCGATCCTCGCGCCGCCCGAGAGCGAGAGGTTGCCGACTTGGCCGTGGAAGCTAATGAACGGGACTTCGGTGAGGAGCGTCACGGACGAGACGAGGTCGAGCCAAAAGTAAAAGCTCCAGCGGTATGAGGGTAGCACAATCGACGTCAAGAGCACGTCAAAGAGCATCACCGTAAGCACGAGGACGGTGCAGACGCCGTAGGCCACATCGCTGTGCACGCTCGTGCTGGCAATGCGCACGTTGTCCGAGAAGGTCGCGTAGATCGACGCGAGGAAGAGACCGACGACAACGGCGTTGTGCTCGCTGAAGCGTGTGAGGCGCTCCATGATGCGCTCGCGTCGGCTCAGATGCTTGAGCTCGAGCGGCCGCGAAAGCGCGCGGATGAGCTCGATCTGCGGCGCCGTGAGCGCGCGCCGGCTCTCGGCCTCCCACTGCCGACGATTCGCCTCGGCAATGTCTTGGAGAAAGCTCGCGGCCGGAAGGAACTCGGCGAGAAGCGACAGCGTCGGCTGCAGCATGAGCCGCACAAAGTTGGCTTGGATCTCGGACGTGTTGATCTGGTCGGCGTTCCGGAAGGTCGAGACGACGAGGCCCTCGCGCTTCTCGAGCGCGCCTTGCTCAAAGAACTCGCTCATGATGAGGTCGGTCCAGTGCTCGGCGAGCGTCCACTCCTTGGCCGGGTTGCAAATGTCGGCCGTGTGGAGAAGGTACCCGCAGTAGACGTACGCGTCTTCTTCCAGCAGCGCCGACGACCCGCGCGGCAGCGCGCGCATCTTGCGCAGCAGCTCGCTATGGATGCTCACGTCCGTGTACATGATGCAGCGTGCGATCGTCTTGGCAATCCGCAGCGACTCCTAAATCGTATGGTCGCATGACGCGACAAGATACGATGGATGTGATCTGCACCTGCGTCTCGAGCGTCGCAAGGAAGCCGTGTTGCTTGACGAGAGCCATCGTGCGCGCCGTGTGCATGCTTTCGAGCACTGGGTTGCGGTACGTGAGCGTGAGCGGGTGCCCGGCGTTGACGAGGAACTGGTTGGTGAGGCCGACGTGGCCAATGTCGTGGCAGAGCGACGCAATCAGCAGCGCCGACGCGGTGCGCGGCGAGAGGTACGCGTGGCCGTGGAAGCCGCGCAAGAAGACGGCGACGGTCTGCATGACGTCGACGGCGTGGAGAAACGTGTGGTACCGGCGGCTCACGATCGGCTGCGTCGTGCGCTCGACGTAGCCTTGCTGCACGTCCGCGTAGAAGGCGCCGATGGCCTCGAGCGAGAGGTTAAAGACCTCGTGGAGCTCGAAGAACGCCGAGAGCCGTTGGACGAACGCGAGCTGGGACGGCGGCGTCGAGAGCTCAAAGACGTTGAAGTTCCAGTTGGTAAAGTCGTCGCCGACATGGCCGTCGGTCGCGAGCAACTGCTTCTCGACCGCCTTGGACGTCGACCGCCGGTGCTTGGGCAGCCGCGGCGACAGCAACATCGCGTCCGTCGAGCAAGTTGCCGTTTCCAGCAGCAGTTGCGCGTGTCAGTTGCACGCCTAAAATTGGCATGTGCCGCTCATGCCGAATCCTAGGGCGACCCAAGTGTCCTGTAGCCCGCTGTGTTGCTTATGCGGCATAAGCAACACAACCCAAGCGCCCGCCGCTTGGGTTGTTTTGTTGGATCGAGTGTAGAATGTGAAATGTGAAAATCTACTTTTTGCCAAAGAAATCCATCAAATTGCTCTGCTTGGCCGTGCCAGACGTCTTGAGCACGCGCTTCTTCTTGGGCGGTGGCGCCGGCAGCTTGGCCGACACGCGCGGCTTGGGGGCGACAGGCGGCGCGGGCTCCTCATCGCCGCTCTCGACGTCTTCGTACACGCTCTCGTTGACCATGTAGCCGTGCTCGTCGATGCGCGTCTTGGTGACGAGGCGCTGGCGCTTGGCAGGCGGCGCTGTTGGCGGCTCGGGTGATCGCTTCGGTGCCTCTTCTGGCGGTCTCTGCGCGGGTGCGGGCGCTGCAACCTTGGGCGTAGGAGCCTTGGGCGTAGCAGCCTTGGGCGTAGCAGCTTTGGGTGTAGGAGCCTTGGGCGTAGGAGGCTTGGATGTAGGAGCCTTGGGCGTAGGAGGCTTGGGAGTCGACGTCGTTTTGGGCAACGGGTCGTCGTCGTCGTCGTCGTCATCGCTGTCGCACACCTTGAGACGTTTGTTGGTGGCCTTGACAAACTTGGGCATCTCGTCGTCGCTATTGTCGCTCTCGTCGTCGCTGTCGATGACGTGCGTCATCTTCTTCTTCGCCGGTGCAGGCTTGGACGTGGCAAAGAATCCGCTCTTTGCCGCCGGTTTGGGCTTGGACGACTTGGCGAACGTCGGCGTCGTCGAGATCGTCGGCTTCTCAAAGTGCTGAAACACGCTCGCCGACTCGGCGCCTTTCTTGGCCTTGCCTTGGCGCTCTGTCGCGGCCGCACAATGGACATCCGACGAGGTTGCGCTGCCAAACGACGCGGAAGGGAGACCGTCAGCAATCGTCGGAAACCACAGCGCGGTCTTGATCCCATCGTCAACAATGTTTGGGCTCTCGGCCTTGGCCGTAGCGTGGATCGCGTACAGGCTAGCGTTGGCGGCCATGCGCGAGAGTGAGATGGTCTTGCCGAGGATGGCCTTTGTCGATGGGTCGGTCGTGGTCTCCACGGCCACGTAGAGGGCGACGACGGGCTCAGCAGCGAGCGCATCTTCGAGGTGGCCACGACTCTCGCTGAGGCTCACGCCTGCAGCGCGGCTAAGGCCCACGACGCTTGGGACCTCGTTGCGGTCGAGCATCGCCGCCAGCACGTCCGCCATCTTGCAACGTGTGGTTTTAACCTCGCGCGAGTTTCGTCCTCCGCGACGCCCATTGGCTGAAAAGCGTGGGAAATGCCAGTGGTCTAAAATTGGCATGTGCCGATTCCAAGACGAGGTTTTCATTGGGCAAAATGATTTTGTTTTTTGTTCGCGCCACAACTGACGAGTGTCTCTGCTACGTCGTCCAATGCTTCCTCTCGCAGCTTCTCGCTGGCTTCGCGCCCAGCAACGCCTACTGTCTCTCAACCTCCTTTAAGTGCGCAGCTTGTCAGCTGCAACCATCGACTAGCGCTCACCATCAGCAGCCAACCGGTTGACGTTGCGAGGCCCCTGAAGTGCAACGACAGCGCAAGCGCGCGATTGAATCGTGGGTTGCTAGCGTCTTCTTGTCAATCTAAAGAAAGCTCTATATCTGCATTGAGCTCGGCGAAGGTAATACACAAATCATCAGCTTTGTTGGGTCTGTCGCGTTATCCGTACGTTTGTGTTGTTTTACCGGAAAGATACCAAACCCGCCCGCGTCGCTCATTGGTGCCACCTGTGTGCATGCGAGGTATGATTGGCGCAATGCAGTTTAAAGACTGCATATTGAGCCAATCCACGTCCGACTTGAAGTACTGTGATAACCTGGGGCTGGTATGGCAGCCACCGGTGAGTGGTGCCAGTCGAACGCTCATCATTAAGGAACGACCATGGCCAAAGCAACGTCTACCAAAGCCACGGAGGCAACGCCGATGCACTGCGCGCCGCCTGGCTACTACGGCGCCACGCTACTGCCGATGCAAAAGCATCGGCAGCGGCCCGGCAGCTTTGTGTGGTACTGTCTTACGAGCCCGCTCCAGCCATTTACGTGGCAACTCGTTGTCTTCCATACACTCCACTTGCTTCTCGCTACCCTCTCGTTCCCACTTGTGCTAGCCGGCGCCGTCGCCAGCGTCGCCCTCGTCCCGCTCTGCTGCTTGGGCCTCGTCGTCGCCAAGATTCTCGTGCGACTGGTGTCATATCTGACGCAACTCGATGTCTACCTCCACAACTGCGCCACACGGCGAGGCAGCGACTGCCTCTTGCTTGGTGAGGACCTCGATCCGTACTGTCGAGACAGCAACCGTTTGGCAACGGTCTCGAGAGCCTCGATGTACCTCACCGGCTACTACATGCTTCTCAAGCCTCCGCTTGCGTTGGTTGGCAGCTTCGGCGTGCTGGGGCTTTTTGGTCTTTCCTTGGCGACGATCGCTGCGCCATTTCTTCCGAGCCTCAACGCTCAAGGGATCCTCCTCGTGGGCCCACCCGCAGGTGCTGGGCTTCCGATGGTACTGCTGGGTCTGCTACGACTCTACGTCGCCATCTTCCTTCTCCACGTGTCGGCCAGCGGCATCAATGCGACCACCAAGCTTGTCTCGAGCACGTACCACGATGCGACCGCTTTAAGTTGTGGCAAGACGCACGACCTGCCGCGAGGTCTTATCCAAGGCCAGCAAACCATGTACTACAGCACGGTGCTTTGACAAGGCTGTTGGCACGAATATATATAAATATGCTGGCGGTTCAAAAGCGACAGCGCAAGATGCGTCAGGTCGACCAGCACGATGTGTTAGCCGGTCTGGGATGACGCGGGAATTCGTCTCCGAATAGAAATATGTGCTTTTCCTCGCTGTTCCGAAAAGACCCACCCATCTTAAAGCGTTAAAGCGATTCTTATGGCGAGAGAGCGAATGACAGATCATGCGGCAGCGAGGAGTGATGGTCTATGTGACGAAGCATTTTCAGATTCGTGTCGCATGTCGCAAGTCACGCTGGGCAAGAGATGGTACGCCTTGGGAATACCGTGCACGATACAGTAGCTGTGCAGCAAGTGCACATTTCAGATCTAAACCTGCTGCGTGGGTCGGGCGTCGGAAGCAGCCAGCGTCCCGACACTGGGCTCTTCTTAACGCCAGCGGCAAATTTGCCTCATCCCGCGAAGTGGAGGTGCGAGTAACCTTCAAAAAGCGGTGCACACCGTTTTTAGAGGCAAAGAAGAGCTTGATAGACACCCTGTATACCCGTGCTCTAAACCGGAACCAATACTGAGCCGCAGAGCACTGTGCGCAGTGGGTCGATGCCGGCTGCGTTGAAGGATGGTTGACGCTGTTGCTGCGCTGGGATTGTCGCACTTTACTACGATACCTGAGATGCTATCGTGATCCCACAACTGGCGTCGAAGTCGGAACGATTCTGTTAGCAACATAATCACATTCCGTCGTTATCTTCAAGCGACTATCATGTTGCAGCGCGCCGGCAGCAAGGTTCTCGCGCCCTTGACCGGGCGTCTCCGCATCAACGTTGGCAAGCGCCGGCCCGTCGGCACTGATGCGAAGTCTCGCCGTAAGCCTTTGCGATCCTTTACCATCGTGATCCTCACGCATGCGTCGATAGAGGTCTTCAAGGCGACTCTGGGACTCGCTATGCGGTCAGGCCTCGGCGTGCTTCTCGCCTCGGCCTTCATGACACAGTCGTCGGACCCGCAGAAGCTCTGGGCTGTCTTTCCCGAGTGGTACATCCTCGGCGGCGTCAGCTTTGTCGCCGTGTCGTGCGTCATCGCCACCGGCCGCAACGTGGGCGCGACGCTCTGTCAGGTCTTCCAGCAAAAGCTCGGGATCACATTAGCGTTTGCGTTCAACGCACTTCTCTTCTACAACTTTCAGCCGCGCCTCTTCCACTCCCAAAGCGAAGGTATCGAACGAATTCACAACCCATGCACTGAGTCGTATCGTACGTTAGTCGACGCGGCGCTGGCCGACGGCACCCTACTGCGCGTCACGCAGTCCTTCAGCGGCGAGCCCTACATGGTCAACAACCGCGATTTTTACACGGTCTTGCCCTTTATGATGGGCTTCAACGCGCTCATTTTGATCTTGCCTTTTGTACAATTTTGTCTTTCAAAACAATGACAAATGCTCATTTCTCGTGGTAGGCGTCGGGCACGCGCAAGTTTGCGATGGTCAACAACCTCTTCTTCGCGCTCACGGTCGTGAGCCCCAACGACTACAAAGACCCGACGCGGCTCAAAGCCGCCAACAACACCATGTACCAAAGCGAGACGATCGTCTGGAACCTCTTCATCTACATGTGCCTCGGCCTCATTGGCGTCGCGCTCTCGTTCCTCGTCGCCTGGATACCCTACCCACTCTTGTATGGCAATCCTCTACGACCTTCGCATCTTTGACGGATTCCAATTGTGTAGCGCGATCCGGAATCTCCAAGCAGAGACGCTGGCCGCCACCGAAACCATCGCCGAGCTCCTTCGGCTCATGGTCGACGCATACTGCTTTAAGAAGAAGCACGTCGACCAGATGCACTTTTTGCGCGTCAAGCTCCAGCGCAAATTTGAGCTCGCGACCGCCAAGAAGGACGCGATGACGTCTCTCCTTCAGGATGCGTGGTGGGAGCAGTGCATCGGCCTCGCCTCGATCCTCCACTTCAAAAAGACGGTCGTCAAGCCGTACATTACGCTCTACGCGTCGCTGCTCAACTCGCTCAAAGCGATGAGCCAAGCGATGCGTCTCGAACGCTACGACCGGCTCCACCGGAGCTTCATTCTGGAGCTCCAACCCGACATTTGCGCCGTTCAAGTGCACGCGATGGCGCTTCTGCAAGAAATCTCGCACCACGTGCATGCTGGCCACACACGTACTTATTGCTCCAAATGCACCGAACTCGCTCACTCGTTGCTGTAGAATTCCACTTGGAACATGCCGAAGCTCTGGAGCGCCACGTCGATCACTTGCTCGCGCGCTTCCACGCGACGCAGACCGCACTGTACACCAAGATGCACGCGACGCCGCCAGACGTCGAGGGCACGATGCCACTGCACCTCTTTGTCTTTGCGCTCGAGTCGCTTGCGGGCGCGATGCTCGAATTTCCCGAAATCCTTCGTCTCAAAAACCACAATACGGTATTTCGCGTCCCATTCTGGTTTTCTGGGGTGCTTACCACATGTGGTAGACGACGCGGATGCACCATTTTGTACTGCGGTCGCTGCAATCCTTTGTCGATCCTGCGCAGTATACATCTGGAAAGCTCCAGATTGCTTGCAAGGTCTGGGTCGCGCTCCTCCTTGCGAGCTTGGTTTCGGTCTACGTCTTTGGCTTTGCGTCCACGACGGCGACGACCATTGCGTTCATCATGGGCAACCAAATCGGTACGCTCTCACTTGATACGACGACCTGGATACTGACATCCCATAGGCGGCTCGTTTGGGATTTCGCTGCTCCGCGCGGTCGGTGTCGTCGCCGGCGTCATCGTGCCGTCGATTGCGCTCTCTTTATCTGCGCGTACGGCGGCGAGCATCGCGCGCTGGTCGTCGCACTGCGCAACACCGTTCTCTTTGTGTGGACCACCATGTCCATGTACGTCAAGTGGAAAGGCGGCTTGGACGCGTACGCGGGTCTTGTCTCGGCCTTTATCGCCGCCGGCATTCTGCTTCCCGATGACATGTGCCCGGCCCCCGGGTCTTTGACTTCGTACGCCAACATTGCCCAAATGACGCTCGGTGTCCTCCTCATTGTGAGCGTCGAGCTCCTGCTCTGGCCGAGCTCGGCGTTCATTCTCGTGCGCAAGAACGTCCAGAAGCATCTCTCGCTCGTCCAAGGCGCGTTTACGATCCTGTTCGAGCACAGTCTCAAGAGCGAGGGCGCGATGGACCCGTCGACGCTTGAGAAGATGCGCGTGATTGTGCAGACAACATTGCCGGGTCTTCTCGCCGAGCAAGAGGTCTTGCGCAAGGAGGCGATGTTCGAGCCGCGGCTGTGGCGCCTCGCCTTCTCCCAGCGCCGCTACGACAAGGTCATCGAGACGTGCGAGCAGCTCCTCGTGCACACCATGATCCTCTACAAGGTCGTGCTGTGGTTCCAGCACCAGCGCCCGCAGGACGTTGCCAAGAGGGTCAGCACGTCGTCGTCGTCGATCACGGAGGACTCGGTCTTCCTTGCGAGCCCGCGAGAAGCGTGGACGTTCTCGACCGAAGACGTGGGTGCAGCGATCCACGACACGTTCGACACGCTCCACGTGCTCTTTGGCAGCCAGTTTTGGTATGCAGACGTGGACCAAGCGGCGCTCTTTAGCCAGATGAAGGAGGCGTTCCGGGGCGCGGACACGGACCGCAACGGCGTCCTGGACTGCAGCGACGTCAAAGGCCTCCTTCTGCGCATCTTCGAGCAGTCGGGCGCCGTGCCGCTCGATGCTCTCGACCAGTATGTGGCTGATTTCATGGACATTGTTGACCCGACCAAGAGTGGTTCAGTGTCGTTCCCAGCGTTTATGCAAGCGCTCGAGAACGGCCTCTTGCTCGAAGTCGAAATGCAGCCCAAGGCCAAGCGGCTCGACAGCATCCAAGTCGTCGTGGATGCAAGTCCGCTCTTGACGCCGAGCTCGTGCGAAGTGCTGCCGCCCATGGACATTGAGATCATTGGCGGCGTCTCGCACGCGTACGATATTTTGGACGTCGAGACCTGCTCGCTGCTCGACGCAACGACCGGAATGCGCCACTCGTTTGCGGCGTGGGTGCTCGAGGCCCGGCGGTTCCAGGGACTCCCCATGGAGGAGCTCCTCCTCCTCAATAGTTTGATCAGCGGCGTGAGCGGCATTGCGACCAACCTCGCACTCCTTGAAGAAACCACAGTGCAGCCGTAGACTGTAGACTGAAAACATACAATTGATGTACACTAGTGTCATATCTAAGCGAGATAAGATGCGCTCTACTATGGCGCAAGCTTGTACATGCGGTACGAACGCGCCGAGTCCTTCTTGGCCCCCGAGAGGCAGCGCTCGTCGAGGACGTTGAGACGCGCGACTTGGAACGTGCGCAGGAGGTCGACTTCGTACGTGGCCGCCCCAAAGTCGATGGTGGTGAAAAACTTGAGCAGCGGTTTCCCCAACTCGACGATGCGCGACGAGCGCGTCTGGATCGTCTGGGTGACGTAGATGTGGCCACCAGGCGTAAGAAAGGCGGCGCAATGGCGCAGCGCCGCCACCGGGTCCGGCATGATCATGAGCGAAGCGCTAAAGTAGATGGCACCGTACGTCGTGGCAGGCGCAAAGTCATAGATCGACGCGTGCTGGACCGCGACGACGTCTTGGCAGCCGACGCGCGCAATGTTGGCGCGGCAGTCCGCCACGTAGTCGGCGTCATAGTCGACGCCGTCGACGATAATGGCCTTCTCGCGCACGAGTTCGAGGTTCTGGAGCAGCGCCTGCCCCGTGCCAATGCCCACGTCGAGGACCCGAGCGGTGGCGGGCAGATCGTCGAGGACCGCTTTGTACCAGCCCGCCGTGAGCTGCACGATCAGAAGGTCGTAGATGCGCCCGCGAAAGAGCTTGGTGCCAACGACGAGTGCGAGCGCGACCGCCGCTGCCGTCGCAAGATGGGCTTGCATCTTCGACACTGCCGCGTATCTCCGGATACGATCCGGACTCGGTTGAGGACAAGTTCAATTGTCCGGATCGAGTGCGCTGGCTTGGCCATGGAGGAGCGTTGCGGAGGCAACGTCTCGCTGCATGGGCATGACCTCTACACTCGCTCCTCCTTGCTTTGTACCGTCTGCGCACAGTCGCGAGGCTTGCTGGACCTGTCCTTTGTCTTGCCGAGGCAACTCAGGACGTGGGGCGGGCGTATCCGGATGGTGAACGATTGGCCAAAAGTATGATCCATTTTGCATCATGATGCTTCGAGGACTTCAGCGGCGCTCCATCTCGTCCGAGGCCATGGGCCTGCGCGACAGCGTGCGGTAATGGAGACACTGATGCAGGACGACGGGCTATATGTGCATACTCTAGCAACTTTGACTATGACAACTTCCTCTGCGCGCTCCTGCTGCCGTCCAAGGCGCAAGACGCGTACTTTGCCCTCGTGCGACGCCTCGCCGCGTCGACGCATGTGGCTCATGGCGTCCTCATAGCGCGCGTTCAACATTGAGATCGCCAAGATCAAGGACTCGGTGCGCACCAACCCGGGCGCCGGCCGCATGCGCATCCATTGGTGGCGCCAGCGCATCCACGACATCTACGCGAGCCCCAAGCCCGTGAAGGACCACTTCCTCCTCGCCGAGCTGCAGTCGGCCATCCAGCGCCACAACCTTACGCAGCGCTGGTTCGATCGTATCCTCGAAGCGCGTGTACGCTTCGCGTCTTGGATGGTGGCGGCATCTCGACTCGCGATTTTTGTAGGAACTCGACCTCGAGATGGACCAGCCCGAGACGCTCTTGCAGCTCGAGCACTACGCCGAGAAGACGGCGTCGTCGCTGCTCTACTTGGCGCTGGAATGCGTTGACGTCCGCGATGACACGGCCGACGTGGCTGCGCAGTACGATTGCCGTCGCCGTCGCCGTCATCTTATGATGTCTAGGCATGCTGGCATGGCCGTAGGCATGACCACGCTGCTTCGTGGCACTGTGTTTCACGCCAAGCACAACCACGTGTACCTCCCGAAGGCCGTCTTGGAAAAGGTCTGCTGCCTGATAAGGCCAACGGAATCGCTCATGGCGTTTCTAGCACGGGCTCGAAGCCTACGACGTGCTGCAGGGCCTCGGCGAAGACCCAGCACTCGGCGCCAAGTGCGCGCCGGCAGCTTTTGACGTGGCCTGTACGGCGCTCAACCATCTGCGGTCGGCACGCGACCTCAAGGGATCGTTGCCCAAGGCGGCGTCCCCGTCTTCTACGCGACGGTATGAGTTTGCTGTGCTCGCGATGGTTGCATCCAAGTCCTCTGCGATAGGTGCCGACACAGCTCTTCCTCGACAAGCTCGAGACGACCAATTTCAACCTCTTCGACGAGACGCTGCATGAGAGTCGGCCGCAGAAGCTTCAGCTCCAACTGCTCAAGCACTCGGTGTTCCGGTACTTTTAGAGTCTTGGATTACAAGATTACAATAATAGGAACAAAGGAGGATGTGTGCTTATTGCTTGCGGGGCTTCTTGGCCGCGGTCTCGGGCGACGCCTTGTTGTTGTTGTTGGTAGTGCGGCCTTCGCCTTTGGGGGCCGACGACGGTGCGCTCGCGTAGTTCTTCTTCTCGAGCGCCGCCAGCTGGCCCTGCAGCTGCTCGCGCTTGAGCTTGACACGGTTCTCAAACTCAAAGCCGCTTTTAAAGTAGTCGAGGCGCGACGGCGCAGCGATGTGGAGGAGCTCTTCTTCGATCGCCGAGGCCTAGAAGCGAGGCGTGATTGCTTGCATACGTGGTAGGAGGTAGGTTTCTACCGCTTGCAACAGCTCTTCGTACGTCTTGCACGTACTCGTATACGCGTCCTGGATCTTGGATCGCACGGCTTGGCGCTCCTCGATCGTCAGATACATGCGCCAGTCCTGCGGCGGCGGGCCCGACGACGATGGTAATTGCGATCGCGACGGCGCGGCGGCGCTAAGTTGCGGGTTGACGGGCGCCGTGCTCATGCGAGATCTGGATACACAGATTAAGCCCCGATTGGCGCGGGGGCAGCGCTTACGAGATCGGCGGCTGGCGGTTGTATGCAGCGGAGGCCGTGACGGCGCGCGTCATCGGCGGTGGTCCTACGACTGAAGGCGCGTGGCCGTGGTTGCTGTAGCCGGCGTGGGGTCCAGAGTACGCGTGGGGCATGGGCGCGTGACCGTGGGACGGCGGCGGCTCATGGCGATGGCCGTGACGTGGCGACCGGTCGCCCGTCGCAAGCTGGCTCAGGGATGCGGCTGCGTTCATGCTCATGTGACTCGATGGCATCGACGGCGGAACGTTCCCGCCCGAGAGCGTCCGCTTTAAGGAAGGAATTGTTACGTGGCTCATGCCGCCGTCGAGTCTCTTCCTCGACAGTTCCGCCCAAATGAGCGGTCTGAAAGCTCGACATACAAAACCCAAGTCGATCTTTCGCCGGATAAACCACCGTATCCGTATAATTCACGTTCGCAGAAAGTTCCGGTTTGGCGCCGCGCAGCTGGCGGTGCGCGATTGCCGCGGCAGCGCAAGTAATTTCGGCAAGTGCCACGTTAAAAGCCGGAGCGTAGAGAGGGAGAGGCAAACCAAGCAGCTCTCTCAAGCAACAGTAGCTGCTGAAAGCTACAGTGCAACGCAGCTAGCGAACAATGCTCGGGCTCGCGTATAGTACCTGGAGTAGAATACCTCTTCATGCAAGGTAATCAATCACAGCCGTGAAGAAAGAGAGTAAGTACCGGTAGGTCGCGAACCAGCGCCCCCTATTATTGATAGGCAGCCGCACTCATTCATCCTTCACGATTTCGTCCTATTTGGTTTGCTTCAACTACAAACCGGGATGGTTGATTCGACTGATCAAGAAGGAAATGCACGCAGCTAGGCTAGATTTTGGGCTCCATTTAAATGACTACGAGTTGTACAAGCACACATCAAGCGGGTTGCTAAAGGCCACGGTGAACGCGTGCTCCATCTGGCGCTCCAACGCAAGAACGCGAGCGCTCTCGGGCTGCCACGTACGCTGTGCGAGTGCACCGACGCTAAGTTCGTAGAGGAGCGGACTTGGCTCCGGCGTCTTGGTTCGTAAAGCGCGTCGGTCCTTCTTGCGCCGGTTGGGCTGGGCGCCTTTTGTGGCCGCTCGACGCACGGTCTGCTTGCGCGCAAAGTGCTCGGCCCACTCGTCGTTGAGTACAAACCCGTACTCGTACTCGCTGTCCGAGTCGTCCGCCTGCTCGCTTTGGGCATGCACTGCTGGCTCGACTGGATGGCTATGGTTGTTGGCAGTGGGTGTAGCTCCATACTGAGCATGATGTTGTTGCTGCGGTGGAGCATGATGCTGCTGCGGTGGAGCATGCCTATGGCGCGCGTCAAGCATCGGGTCGTAGTGCTGGGGCGCGGGAGGTGGCAGGTACGGCGAATGGACGCGGAAGGCTGGTGTGAGCCATGTCGTCGACTGCGCCGGTATGGTCGGCCATGCTTCGCAGAACGGGAACGGCGGTGGGATCCCGAGGATTGCGCTGGTGGTGTTGTCCTGCGGCCGACGCATGGGCGGATTCTAACAAATTGCATGATAGTTATAACACGGTGGTCATCCGTTGGTCATCCGGATGCCCTCTGCCAGGACGATATCAAGTGTAAGAGGTCCTGCCAGGAGTTCGCCACCAATTATCACTCCATTTCAAGCAGCAAGCACCAGCAGCATGAGCAAGCGCCAGCTCGACGCGGACGTGAACGACAGCATGGGCGAGTCCTCGGACGACGAGAACCTGACGCTGGGCGCCAACGGCGACGCCAACGAGGTCGTCGAGGTTGACTTCGTCTTTACGGACCCGTGCGAGGCCAACTTCCACTCGGTAAAGCAGCACTTGATCCAGTTCCTGCCCGCGTCCAAGCTCGACGCGTCCAACTTGGCCAACATCATTGTCGGCCAAGTCACCGTGGGCACGATCGTCTGCAACGAAGGTGAGACCGACGCCTTCGGCCTCATCACGGCCTTGAGCTTGAAGCGGTACGAGGCCGAGCCGTCGATCCAGCAGCTCATGTCGCTCGTGATCTCCAAGTGCCCGGACGCGACCAAGCCGCGCCTCGACCAGATCCTCTCGACCAGCAACGTTGGCCTTGTCATCTCGCGGCGCATGATCAACCTTCCGTACCAGCTCGTGCCCCACATGCACGACGCGTTGCAGAAGGACATTGACTGGGCGATCGAGAACGAAGCGACGCCAGAGCTCAAGAACTCGTACAAGTTTGACTACTTTCTCATGCTTGCGGGCGTTCAAGTCGAGAAGCAGGCGAAGAAGGCGCCTGCAGGCAAGAAGGCCAAGGCGGCGGCGTACACGGACCCTGCGATCAAGACGTACGACAACTTTGAGGACGAGTTCCTTGAGCAGGAGGCCGATGTGGCGTTCTCGTTTCCTGTCGAGAACGTGCTCAAGGAAGGCGCCGGTATCCAAACCGAGGTCTCGGTCTTCCTCATTAAGCGCCAGAAGCACAACGCGTCGCTCGCCAGCATTTCCGAGATGCTTAATGTTTAACTTTACTCTCAACTACGAGACCCCTTTTTCTAGCATGCGTGTCTCGTCGTCTAATGCACGCGCCATCCACGCAGTTGCGACGCCCAGCGAATTCTTCAAGGCCCGCAGCTCCTTCTCTTCCTCGGGTCGCAGAAACCGACCGCTGAGCGGCGCCTGCAATGGGCGGTTGTTGTCTTCGCGGCACACTCTAGAAGATGCAATCGTCAGCGCACTTGTGCAGAATGGGGCATCGAACCCGTGCTCCCACGTGGACGCATACGTCCGCTGCGGTGACAATGGCGCCTTGGGCCATAGCGTCGGCAGCGGTTCTCGTTTCGACGGAGTTGGGACCTGTCCAAGCTTACGCACGCGAGCGAGCATGTCGGGCGAGCATGCGGCGAGCTTGGCTTCCACCCGCTTGGGCAGCATCGGCAAGGTGCGGAGACTGTGCGAGAGATCGCGGACGCTTGGCCCAGGCTTGCTGACGGTTTGTTTTCTGTTGCGGTTCATAAGCACCTCCAGAGGGCCCAGCAGGGACGAGTCGTACATCGAAGACTTTGAGAAGCGCACGATGGGCACTTGACGCGGGGGGAGCTTTGGTAGCTGCAGCGGTCGTGCCGCCTGCTCGACTTGGTCCTGGAGCTGGTTTGTCATTGCAGCCAGGCGCTCGTTGGCCTACAAAAGTTTTGGTGAGAAATGTCTTTAGCGATATCAAGCGGTACTTGATGCTGCTCGGCAGCGATCGTTGCCGCCAACGTGCGACGAAGCTGCTCCAGTTGATGCTGGAAATCACTCTCGAGGCGGCTCAGTGCATCCTTGGCGATCTACCATTGACGCTATCCTAGTAGACAAGCAGTTGGGAAGGAAAGCATACCGCCTGATGCTCCGAGATACTGTGGCGCAGTGCCTTGCTCTCGATCGACTGGCAGCGCACGAGTTCCTTAAGCGCCATTGCGAGATGGTCCGCCGAAGGGTGTGTCAACGTCGCAGCAAAGCTCTCGAGCTGGGTCTTGTGCGCGTCAATGGCGACGTCTGCACAGACGCCTTGGGGCGTGCAGAGTCGATGGACCTTGCCAAGCGCTTCCGACAGTTGTTTCGCGCGCCTCTCTAGCACGCATTTATATGGCATCGCTACATCGTGTCGACGCTTGTACTACCTGCGTTGGCGTCAACTTCATGCTCCACTTGATTCCCGAAGAGCTGCATAAAGTCGTCCGCCGAGTCGTCTTCGGACGTTGTCGTCTCGTTCAACGGCCGCACGAGCTTGGCAGACACTGCTATCGGCTCGGACTTGCGGCGGACGTCGTCTTTACGTGGTGGAGGCAATGGGAGGTCGATTGCCGACCGCCGACGTTGGGGCTCGAGCTGCGGTCGACTGAGAAATATTTCTCGGACGCGACGAAGCTTCTGACAAGGGTACTCGGCGCCCTTGGCACCAAAGAGGATGTCTTCGCTGTCCGAGTCGTCGTCGCTCATGGCGCCTCTTCAAGATCTCGACAATTGAAGTTGGAATTGTCTCTTTTTGCACGTGTAAAATTGAAAACCACTAGGAGTGAATAATGCAGCCATGAAATAGTGTAATGCCAAGACAGGTTTTCTTCGATCTCCCTGGGCACACGCGCGTTGAAGTGCTATAACTGATGTAGGAGCCACCGGGGCCGATATACGAGTAGATATATAGTGAGCGGCCTAGGCGCAGTGAGCCTCGCACGCGGCAACGCGCTTGCTCCGTCGTTTCCTGCCACCCACAAGCTCTCCATACACTAAATCACGGGCGTTAAATTCAGTGACTGCGTGGTCGCAGAAACGCGCGTGATTGGTCCGTTGCGATCTCACCGCTTCAAGATCGTATCCGGATGGCCCCCGAACGTATAGAAAGGCCAAGCGTTGCGAGCGCATATCCGAACACGGGTCGATCCCACGTGTCATTTCTTAGCCGACCACAACCGCCATGGCCAAACCCAGTCGTCGCCACAGTCGACGCAAGGCCGCAGCCGTCGAGAACGCCAAGCAGCAGTCGGAGCCCGCCAAGGCCTCGCCCCCCGCCGATGACGCTGCGCACTACCTGTACCTTTACGCAGCGATGGTTGCAGTGGCTGTGACGTGCGCCCGCATCGACATCGTCGCGCTCGCCGTGCCGTCGCGGTACGTGGCCTCCTGGTGGCGCTTTCTCTTCGTCATCATCGTGTGCATCAACGTCCGTAACCACGCGACGCTTGGACATCGCCCGTGGCAGCTGCGCTGGGCGGCCTACGTCCTATGCAACTTTGCAGGTATGACGGTCACCCAAACGATCCGCGGCGAAACGCTGGGCTACCTACGCAGCCTCACGCCGTGGCAAGACGTCGCGTCTGCCGGTCTCCTCGTCGAGGCGCTCGTCGTCTGGAAGCCAGCGGCGCAAGCGACGAGTCTCATGGCCCTCCGCGGTCTCTGTGGGTTCCCCGTTGCCGTGTGGAAGTGCTGGAGCGTGCGCCAGCACATCCACTACGCGTACACTGCGTCCGTATCGTGGGCCAAGGTAGCTCCAATGGTCACGTCGGACATGTACGCGAGCGGCATTGCTCTCGCCTGTATCGCGCACGCCGTGAGCACGCGCTCGCTGCTGCCAACGCGACCCGCGCAGCTCCAGTGGCCAATCGAGATTGCAGCCACGGTCGCCGCGACCATCATGATTGTGCACGTTTGGCACAGCGACGACCTTCTACTGGGCTCTCTCGGGTATACCGCCATGCTGCTCTTCAACATCCACAAGTTTTGCGGCGCGCCGCTAACGTACTTAATCCTGGCCCGTGCGCGCAAAGTCGTTTGAACATTGATTTTCTACTTTTTCTTCTTGCCAGTGCGGCCTTTTGGCGCTCTCTTCGGCGCCTCGACGCGCTCCACGCATCCGATCCGGAACGTACTGCCTACAGTCCGCAGTCGTACGTCGTTTGACGCAATAGAGACATGTGTGTGGTTTTGCCTGGAATTAGGTACTTGAGATCGTCGCGCGCTTGGACGTGCCCCGCGTCATGGAGGAATCTTCCAATCATGACATTGGACTAGACCAAGAGGACAAAGAGGGTTGTACCGTGTTTGGTTTCGCCGCGCCATGTCATAGTTACGTTGGACGACTGCCGTCCGCGGGTGGCATGGCTCGAGGCAGCTCTCAAAGACGCGAAGGACGGCGCCGAAGTGCACGGCGGCGTGCCCGATGTTGCCGAGGGCGTAAAAGCAGCACGCCAAGTTGTTGAGCGACGTTGCTGTATCCACGTGCGTCTCGCCCAGCGTCTATAAGTCGACTCAGTCGACTCCAAGGTCGGCGGCGTCACCTCTTCACGCAATGTGACGGCGCGGTCAAAGCATTTCAGAGCGACGAGCGTTGCGCCGCCGTAGTAACACGTCGATCCGAGGCAGCTCCAGACGACGGCGCGACCGGGGTGCGACGGCGGCAGACTATCAACGACGCCGAGTGCCTCCTAGCACCAGATCAACGATGTAGATACATCGTCTTTGCATGCAGCGTGTACTACCATGTACAGCTGCAGGGCTTCGACGTCGCGGCGCTCCGAGTCGTAGAGCGCGCCTTTGGACAAGGCAAAGTAGAGCTGGGCCTCGGAATCCATCACGTGAAAACGGCTCGCGGCCGTGAGCTCGTCTTCGGCGTCTTGGAGCATCGACCACGCCATCTACATGGTCCCATGCGGCGTCGCAGGAGATGGATATTGAGCATAATACTTGAAGCTGACCGCTGTTTTGGTACTCGAGCGCACACTCGACCTTGCGCCGCACAGTCGTCTCGAAAGTGGGCACAGCGAGCACATCATGGACGACGACAACGTCCAGAGCATACGTGGGCCGATCTTTGCCGCGCAACACGTTGTCCTCTTCGATGCGAACCTACGGGTGTCGAGTCTTTTGAGCAGCCTCGTTTCGATCTACCTGCGCCACGTGGGCGTCCAGGACATCGAGTGTGCGCTGGGAAAGAGTCGCAATGGACTTTTGAATGTCTTGAACGAGCGTCTCGAGCCGCCCGAGCTTGGCTACGTCTAAGTATGCATCCAACCAGAAGGATAAGATCTCAGCGTGTACGGGACGATGGCCGCTGAGACTGGAGCGGGTGGATCACGGCGACGTGCGGGTCAAACTGCATGTGGTCGAGCAGGATCTTGAGGCTGTGCTCGAGCCTCGCGACTTGAATGTGCCGGCGGATGTGTCCATGCTCATCGCGGAGCAGCTTGAGATGCACAACGTGGCTCACGCGGCACAAAAGTTCCAGAAACTGCGGGTACGATAGCGCGCTGTTGTTTGTTGCGATGACTGTCGACGGCACCGCGTTCACCTCGACGAACCGGTGCCAGAACGCACTCGACTGTTTCGCCAGCTATGCAAGGGGCCGTCACGACAAGCGACCTGGGGCGAGAGGCACAATACCTCGTGCACGTCGTCGGTCGACACGAACTCGGGGTGCACAAAATAGCCACCAAAGAAATCCACGACGCCCTCGAGCGAGATGGTCTCGACGCCGATCTCGGCCGATGGCGCCACGCGTCGATACATGTGGTAGGCCTGCATCCATCCATTTGACACGTGCGATTCCAAGAAGCACGTACGTTGGCGATCGTGTGGTTGTAGAGGCGCAGCATCTCGACAGCGCCAGGTGATAACATTTGCAGCCGCAGATCGTCAAAGCCCGACGCAAGGTTCGACAAGAGTGCCGACGGCTGAAACGAAGTGACGGCCGCGACGTGGCGCCAGCTTTGCATGTCGGCGAGGAGCCGCGCGAGGCTTCGCGGCGTGGTCACATACCGAATCTTGGCGATCTTGGTCAAGGCGGTGGCGTACTCGCGCAGCGACATGGTGTCGGTCCGTGCCTTGCCTAGTCACACGCACGAATAGAATGCAGTCGTGAGGCGCGCGGCACCTTTGACGAGGTCAAAGACGGCCTTGGCGTCGACGAGCGTAAACGTCGCGTGCTGCAGAAAGTACAGCGGCTGCAAAAAGTGCGTGATGCTACTACCCGATGAGTGGTTCGATTGTAAGAAGAAGGGCGTACGTGAGGCCGTCGCTGCTGCCGCGCAAATCGTCATAAAATACCCGGACGGTCGCTGCTTCGTTGTCCGCGTCCAGCTCCATCGGACGTCGCGACAAGCCACGACTGTAGCAACCTATCTTGGGACGTGGCGTTTCTCGAACCCGTCGCCACCATATAAACGCGCTCAACAAATATACACGCGCAACGTCCTCCAAATTCTTAACGTCGCGTCATCGCACTCGGTCGATGGTTGGTTGCTTAGTTGCGCCACGAGATGCCGTTGAGGTCCTCGACGACGTACTTGAACTCGCGGAGATTCGGGATGGAAAAATCGCAGTCGTAGTGCGAGTCGCGCGTCTTGGTCGCGAGAAAGCACGTGAAAGACCCTGCCGCCCTACGCTACCCGGTTAGCACCGACAAGTATAAATGCACTCGTTGTACTTGGCCGATGCAATTGCGTTCTCGGCGCTGGTGACAACCTAACGCGAGATGAGTCCGAGTTGGCATTGACCATGACGACGCACGACAATGCCCTTGGGCTCCAGATTCAGCTCTTTGCAGAGCGTTTGGATGCCATCGGGACGGGGCATCGCAATAGCCGCTTCAAAACCCATGACAGCATCGAGCTCAAACTACAAACATTGACGACGTTCATCTCATGGTGAGCACCAAGGTCATAATATTACCTCGTCGATGAACTGCTGAAACTCGGCCTAACAGAGTTTGATCGCATCCACTGGTGATAGCCCGATAGTTGCAACCTGACGGTGCTCGGCCAACGGCGGGATCACGCAGAGCGCAAGACCACGCAGGTTGACGTACGACTAGACAGTGATGTCATAGCGCGAAATGCAAACACGTGCAGTACGAGAAAGGCGTTAGCGCCTTCGTTGACTTTGCGCGTGGGCAAGACCGAGGCAGCAGAGACCTCGACGCCAGCGCTGTCGTCCGCGACCGGCGCCACGGTTGTCTCTTGCTTGAGCGCATTGAGCTTGGCGCGCTGCTTGAGCGCGTTCATCTTTTCGAGGTACTTGGCGCGCGGGCCGTCGGCCGAGTCTTCGGTCGCCAAGACATCGACAACGGGCTTGGCCTTGCGCTGCAGTTGCTCCTCGATCGACGTGGTCTCCTCGCCTGCGCCCGGCTTGTCGTCGCCGCCCAAGACACGGTCTCGCACTACGACGCTATTCAATCGACATACCAGGACCTAGCAGCGTACTAAAGTGTGGCAAGCCCGCGAGCGTCTGCTGGACGCGGCGGCCATGCTCTGTGTCGGCCTTGGTCATGTTCTGTAGCAGGCTACGCATGTTCTGGAACATCGTGGGTTGGTGCAGCGGCGCCGCGCCGTCGCCGAGAGGAGCGTCCGTGGTCGCATGTGCCACCTCGGTCGGTGCTGCCACGTGCACTGTCGACGAGCAGAGAGCTTCGTAGTCGACGAGAACGCCACGAAGGACCTGGTTCGACACCGCGCGCTGGAGAAACTTCTTCGTCGAGGACATCCGTGAGATTGCAGCGTCATGCCATTGGCGCACCTTGTTGGATAGCACGCAGGCCATTGGTGGAGCGTGCTTGAAATGCACAATTATCATCCAATCCAACGGCTCATTCACGTCCGCGATCATCACGCCGTGTAGCATCTACCAAAGGAATCTGTGAGCACCCAACGAAACCTTATCAAACTACTATTACATGTATAAAACTAGATCGCGTAGTCTTCGTAAAGAGCCAAGTCTTGGGCAATCCAGCGCTTGATTACATGTAGGAGCAAGGCCATAAAATATTCAACGTTGTCGGGATTATCACCTTGGCGCGCTGCGATCTTTGCTGTCGACTCCCTTGTCGTCGCAGAGCGTGCATTGAAGTACATTTGGATGTATATACTCTTGATTGAACGCTAACTGTTAAGGCTAATGCGACCCGGTCTTTTGCTGGTAGATCTGGCGAAGCGAACAAGCGACGCTGTAGCCGTTGAGGATGTATCACTCGGGAAAGATCCTTGACGTCGACGCGAAGAGCGAGGTGAGGACCGCACTGAGGCCTGACAGCATGGCCAGTCCAGTCGGAGCTCAAGTCAGCTACAGTATTTCAAGGCTTGAGCAACACGAAGCGCCGACGAGCTCGTGCATTTCGACGTCAATGCGTAGCTGTGCGACGCTTGTGCTCTCGGATCGCTTGAGTCCTTTCACCTCGTGACGAGGCGCCGCGTTGTTTTTTAGCAGCCAACATCCGCTGTTGCATCCAGCGACGGCTTGTTTGCTCTCGCAGATCCAAAGGCTTGGTCAGCGACGACACTGCTCAGGCAGGATTCACTGGAACCAAAAGCAAATTGGGCACTTCGAGCTCCTCGATGGCACAAATAGTGCGAGACAGCCAGAAGACTTGGTTGATCAACGAGCACCGCCCTACGATGTTGCACAACACATCATCGTATGTGGCGATATCACCCCATGAGGGCACGTGCCATGGACCTCTCACCCGTACTCTTGAGCTGTACTCTTGCGTGCTCGCGTACGGAATAGCATCAATGCGACGTAACGGAGCCACCGCCGACGACGCCGAGCGGACTTCAACGTCGCATGGCGGCGTCTCTCCGCGCTGCTTGCCGCCCTCTTGTTGCTCACGCGGCGCGTAATGCCAATGTGCTATGGCGACAACATCCCTCCGGGTAGAGGCCGCTCGCTCTCCGCACGCCATGACCGCGCCACGCGCTTCCATGCGTGTCTCTCGATCCATCTCTACCGCTACTACATGCAAGCTCGGCGTGCATGTAGAGAAGGGCCTCGAGGGTCGCAATGACCATGATGCGACTGCCGCCGAGCTCGTCATCCTGCACAAATAACCCTTGTCCTGCATCGCGCCTCGTGATTGGCTACAACGTATCGGCCGGTGATTGGCCAGACCTGGAATAGGCCATTTTGCAACTCGGCCCCAGACAGCCGCCCTCCCGACATGAGCACCATCCGCAACCGGTTCAACCAAGAGCAGACGCCGACGACCGAGGTCTCGCTGGGCCCCGCGGTCTACGAGGGCGAGCGCTACGGCAAGATGTCGGAGCGCCTCAAGCGCCGCAAGGTGCTCCTGCAGACCAACGACCGTGTAAGACGCTTGCCCTTGCTCGCCACCTGGCGTCTAATGGCCTCCTCTGTAGAACCCGCGCCTCGTGGGCTTTGCCATCGGCTTTCTCATCGTGTGCGCGACCATGTTCTACATCCAGTACTCGATGGCGTCGCGGAAGACCGGCAAGGCGGCGCCGACCTCGTAGTAGACGCCATTTGTAGAGATAATAGTGGTTTCCCCACGTAAGATTGCATTGCGTGACGACGACATGTTGGTTAAACGTCACTGTAGTACGACGAGGACATGCAGCTTCTAATACGAACGCGGTCGACCGTCGTGTTCGTGAATACAGCTATGGTACAAGGGCAAGCGAGAACGCCAACTTAGTCGATGGGCAACTGCTGTGTCGAGTTGCGGTCGCTCTCGGTGGGCGACGTGGCGCCGGACGACGGCGGCACTTGAGGCGACGACGCACTCGGCTTGGCCTCAGGGTTCGGCTTGGGGCGCCGGCGCATGCTCGAGATGGATCGGGACGCGGACGAGACGACACGCTCGAGCGCGAGACGCAGGTACGTTTTTGGCAGCAGGCTGAGTTCATGTGCAAGCGTGTTGACCATGCGCGGGTTGTTCACAATCATCGAATACGTCGAGACCCGCGGCTTCTCTTCCCGCAGTGGCGGCACATCTTCGTCCGTGGGCGACGCCGCCCCCGATGCCGAGCCTTCATGGCCTGTCGCACAAGCTGGGCCAGAGACCGACGTCGGCTGCAAGAAGACGTTGTTGTTGAGGAAGTTGCCTTCCGAGTTGCGCCCACGGCCCGTTTTGAAGTACGACTCGCCCGTCGACGGCAACACGGGCACGGACCCTCTTCGCAGCTCGGGCTTGGCCGCCGCCTTGTTGGCGGGCGCCAGCAGGTCACGGGTCGAGATCGGGTCCACGAGCTCTTCGACGGACGGGCGCGGGGCGTTGCGGCGAAGAAGGATGGGCATGGCGGCGAGGTTGCTGGACGAAGCTCGCGGCCAAAATTCGGGACTGAACTCTTCCGATTACCCAATTTGCGAGCTAAATATTTGTCGCATTTTAATGGCCTCCCATGCGACGTACATACAAAGAGCAAGTGATAAAATAGCGGGATATCGTGAGTAATTGGCCAGCGCCTGGACGTGCCACGTTACCATGTGGCAGTGTTGGTGGGATTTCGCATTTAATTTGCTACAAAGATCCAGTGGTTTTCGCACCAGCAACTTGCGCACCGAGGTTGCAAGAGGCGCGGAAGCCACCGACGCTACCACCACGACGCCAACGAGCGAGCGCAGTCGGCGCTAAAGCCGCGCAGGTCTTCCTCTCGCCTCTCTCGCCTCGTCGGTTTTTTAGAAATATCTAAGAGATTCGTCTCACGAGTACCCGGCCCGCCTCATGTATTCCTATGAGTAGGACACGACGGAAGATCGTGGACACGTCTGTGTTCCAGGGAAAGACGATCATCCTTCGCTCGATGCACTCTCCGCGACCTTGTGCCAATAACTCTGTCCCGACAACAACAACTCTGTGCACGCGTTCAAGCTGCTTGCCACCATGACGCTTTTGCCGCGCATAAACATCCATTGGAGTGGCAAGATCTCCGTCAAGCGACCTCCCCCACAATTGATGGTGCAAATCCAGTCGTGATTTCTCGCCCGCTGGGTGGACAGCAGGATGCTGGTCAGTTTTCAATTGCGCGCCATCAAATGACGACGACTACGAGGCGGAGAGAGCGCGAGGCCACGCTCTGAGAGCTCTGAGAGGTCTGAGTTGTGGTCATCGTGCTACGTCAACTCAGACCGTGTTCGAATCCCATTTCATCACCTTTTCGCCGCCCGAATCCGTGGACTAGGGTTGCGTGTTGTTAGACATACAAACACCAAGCGGTATGGATTGGTTGGGGCACGTCGTTTCATTGGTCGGTTTGGTTGGAGTTCTAAAGTCCAATTTGCCGAGATGTCCAAGCCGTCGTTCGCTGCGCCCGTGCCCCAGAGCGCCCGTACGCCCGCCGATGCTGCCCGATAGCGTCGCTCTTACCGTAGCTCTGTGCACTAGTGCTCTCGAAGCTCCAGGCGTTCCTGCCCCAAATGGAGAAGCAGAACGAGATCCTGGCCAAGGATCTCGCGACCGGCCAAGCGACCAAGTACAACATTGAAGTCGCCGAGGAAGACCCGGAGAAGCAAGTCATCGAGATGGTACCACCTTGATGCTATCGTACTAGCATGGATCTTACCGCGAGCCTAGAACTTTGCATTGAGCATGCTCAACGAAGATTCGGGCAGCGACAGCGACGAGGACAGCGACGACGACGAACGCGAGATCCAGCTCAAGCCGTCGGCCGCTGCGCCGCATGATATCCGTATCACACCACCGACGAGCAAGCCGTCGCCGCTTATCCAAGAACTAAGTTAATTCGATCACTCCCTCCTGTACACATACCTACATCCTCCTGCTGGTGATGATGCCTGTATCCGAAATGCATCCGAGGACAGGTGCAGCAATCGTAACTTCTGCCGTCTCTGTGGCAACCGTCCAGCACGTAACTGCAACTGGGTCTGGGATCGATCAGCATGGGCGACCCCACCTTCCGAGCGGCTGCCAACTTTGCCGCGCTCTTCGCCAAGAAGAGCGAAAACGACCAAGACATTGTGGCGCAGCAGGTGAAGGAGCTCGACGAGGCCGGGCTCTTCCGGCTCGTGACGGCCAACGACGTGCCGGGCACGCTCGCGCACCTCGCGACCGCCGAAGCCGATCTCGCCAAGCGCGACATTGTAGGCGCGACGCCGCTCCTGATTGCGTTTCTGTACCAGCACTTTGCCCTCGGCAAAGCCATCATCGAGGCGTTCCCAGGTACACGCTTCGCTTCAGCACCCTCTCCATGGACGACCTTGCGCAGTCGAGAAGGGCTACCCGTACGCGCTCATGACGTACGAAGACCGGGGGAGCGCCGTGTCGCCCTACCGCGGAGAGAACGCTCTGCACATCGCTATCGTCCACCGCAAGCTCGACATCATCGACTGGCTCGTGCAGCGTGTGCCCGACCTCCTTGTAGACAATGCAAACGTCCATGCGCTTATCTTGCGCTAGGACGCCGAGACGACCGGCTCCTTCTTCGCACCGGGCACGCCGTGCTACCTCGGTGGGACGCCACTGCTCTTTGCCTTGGCAAGTCACTTGCTGGAGGCAGCGACCCTCATCTTGGCTGCTGCCGCGAAGGCGCCTGCAGGGTCGCCGGCCGCGAAAACCTCGATCGCGATGACCGATGGTTTTGGCAACAATGCACTGCACCTCGCTGTCGTGCATGACCTTCCCGACGTCTACGACTTTGCGATCAAGCATGCCATGGCGCTGTACCCGTACGCCTGCCCCGCCCGGTTCGAGCCAGCAAACGCGGCGCCGTACGACCTCTCGGCCTTTCTAAAGCAGCTCTACGGCACAGACAAGGCCGCGTTCAGTCAGTTTCTGAGCCAACCCAATGGCGATAACCTGTGCTGCCACGTCAGGCAACGGCACGTCTCATATTGAGTGACGTAGGAGCCCGCTGACGATGGCCGCCGCCATGGGCAAAAGCACCATGTTCCAGCATATTCTGAGCGCCCAGACCACGACGGCGTGGATGTACGGGCCCGTGACGGCCAAAATGATCCCACTCCGAGGGCTCGAGGAGCCGTACGGCGCCTCACCCGCCACGGTACGGGGATTCATGCGAGCGTGAAAAGCCCATGTCGAATTTCTACATGCTCCTAGCACGTCCACAAGACTGCCATTGAGTGCCTCTGCTCGTACCGGCGGATCTCGTGCTGCATCCCCGTCGCGACCACCAGCGTCTGCACGTGTCTTCTACACGTCTGTCATGTGTGATATTAGGACACACTACGGGCGCGACTTGACCTCCTTAGCACCTTTGAGGTCAAGACGCTTATCGATAAAAAGTGGGCCTTTGTCGGCGGCGCATTGTTTCATCGCGCGTGCGTGCGCCACGTGCTGTACACGCTCGTGCTCACTGCGTCGACGCTGGCGGCAGACCACTACCGCCACCACCCGTTCAGCGTGCGGCGCGGCGGCTACTCGCTGCTCGCCGATCTCTACATTCTACTGGAGACGTATGCCAAGGTCGCACGCGAGATCCGCGAGATCCGAGTGCACGGTGCACCTCCATCCCTGTAGCGAAGTTGTCACTGCGCGCGTAGGCGTCCGCGACTACTGGCACGACACGGGGGCCGCCATGGTCGATACGGTTCTCAAGCTCAGCCAAGTGGTCATGGTCACCGGCGCCGTCGTCGCCCGTCTCCAGCGCCAGCTTGAGTGGGAAGACTGCTTTGTCGCTGGCGCGCTCCTCGGCGCGTACATGCACATGCTCTTCTTCCTCTACGGCTTCCGGCGCACGGGTGCCTTCATCGTGATGCTGCATCGCATGCTCTTCTCCGACGCCGTCCGCTTCACGCTTGTTTACGTGTCGATCCTCCTCGGCTTCGGCACGAGTTTGTATGTGATCGTCGACGCGCGCGACGGGCCTGGTCCGCTTGGCGACCGGCTCAAGTCGCTCGTGCTCGCGGCGTTCGCAGCCACGTTTTCGTTTGACGAGTACCGACTCTGCCGCATGCCGATTCCCGCCCAGCTCTTCATCTTTGCGTACATGGTGCTGGTCGTCATCGTGCTCATCAACCTCTTGATTGCCATGTCATCGCATCGATGTCGCGAGATGGAAAATCTGATGGAGCCTTGTAGGATGGGCAACACGTACGACAGCATCATCGATGGCGCCGAGCAGCGGTGGTACGCCGAGCGCGTCAACATCATGAGCAGCCTCACGACGGGGCTGGCTCGCGACGCCGTGGCGCGAAGCCGGCTCAAGTACGCTGTCGAGCTTGGCCATGGACTCGCAAAGGAGCGATACTTGCAAGTGGAGCTCGTCGACGTGGAGAAATGGCGAGCCCCGCCGCTCGTAGCGCCCGATGAGCTACCACTGCCACCGAAACCAGTGCTTGTATCGGTCGCAACGCAGACGCAGACGCGGCATCCAGTCCGAGTGCATGATGCGACGACCAACACCCCTCGGCTGCGACAAGCGACGCCCCATAAAAAGGAGTCCAAGCCTCGGCGCGCAGAGGTTGCACCAGAAACGCTCGTGCCGCTGCAGCATGTTGTTCATGGCCCCCTGCGTCGACGCCTGGGCCAGCAAGCGCAATATCAATCGTAGTGTCTGTATGTAATCTCGATAAAAGGCTAGGACAAACCAACAATGACACGCTGTTGGGATTGGGGCTGAAACGCGAAAATGTGTCGGTTTCACGTCACGCGTGTCTCTGACGCTGCCACGTCACGGATCCCAATATATCATATCTGAGTTGGGATCGCTAAATGCGGCGCCAAAGCCGTTTTCCGTTTTGGCCATGGACCGCGTCCTGTCGCACGTGAGCGGCGGCCGCGCGATGGACCGCGTTTTATCGCATGTTAGCGGCGGTCGCGTCGGAAGCATCCACGTGACGTACGAGAACGACAACGACATTGTTGCGCGGCAGTTTGCCGAGAACCTCACCGGCGTCTTCCGCCTCGTACTCGCCAACGACCTTTCCGGCGCGCTGCGGCACCTCAAAGACCGCCCGGAGGACCTTTTTAAACGCGACATTGTCGGCGCGACGCCGGTCCTTCTTGCGTACCTCACCAAGCGCTTTGAGCTGGGTCAAGCGATCATTACCGAGTGCCCTGGTACGACGTTCGCATCCAGATAAATTTTTCAACCCGAGGAACTCACGACAACCCACATTAGACCTCCAGGACAACAAGCAGCAGCTGCTGACGTACGAAGACCGTGACGTCAACATCTCGCCCTACCGCGGAGAGAACGTGCTGCACATTGCTATCGTCCACCGCAACGTCGAGGCGATTCAATGGCTCGTCGATAGGATCCCTGACCTCCTCGTACGGAGCCTTTCTCCCGGCTTAGAACCGTCTTCACGTGGACCTAGGACGCCGAAACGACAGGGTCCTTCTTCGCGCCTGGTATGCTCTGCTACTTGGGCGGCACGCCGTTGCTCTTTGCGATGGCCTCCAAGCTCGTGGACGGCGCCAAAGTCATTTTGGCCGCCGCCAAGAAGGCGCCTGCGGGGTCGCCGGCCGCCAAAACGTCCATTTGGATGACGGATCGATTTGGCAACAACGCGCTGCATCTCGCCGTCGTGCACGACCTCCCCGACGTCTACGACTTTGCGATTAAATACGCCATGTTGACGTACCCGTACGCGTGCCCACCAGACTTCACGGTTGACGCGAGCACGTACGACCTCCCGAGCTTCCTCAAGCGGCTCCAATCCGGCGACAAGACGTCGTTCAATCGGTTTCTGCGCCAGTACAACGACGATTACCTGTGCGCTGCCACGAGAACGAGGCGAGGAATGTCATTGGGTGCGTAGAACGCCGCTGACGCTCGCTGCTGCCATGGGCAAGACGGCCATGTTCCAGCACCAAATGATGCAGCAAACGACGACCGCATGGGTCTATGGACCCGTCACCGCCAAGATGATCCCGTTGCGCGACTTTGAGGAGCGGTACTACATCAAAACAACCACTCCGAGCGGCCCAAAGAACGCGGCCGCAGTGCTACCCGCCGGCGCGTCCGAGGTGCGCCACAAATGATATACGTGAAGATATCCATGCGCGTGCGTAGCTTCTTGCTGATTTGGATACAACGAGTGGTCGAACCGCCGTCGAGTGCCTCTGCTCGTACCGCATGCTCTCCAAATGCATTCCCAAGACGGCCACCGCCCAAGAAGTACGCCATTCTATCGCTTCTCCAAGTGCATCTACAAGCACTTGAGTAGGCAACGATGCGCGGTCGCCTCGAGCTCATTAGCACATATGAGGTCAAGACGCTCCTGGATAAGAAGTGGAAATTTGTCGGACTCGCCATGTGCGACAATTACGGTCCATGGGAACTTGACAAATCCGTACTAGGTTTCGCCGGGCTTTACTGCGCCACATCATCTTTACGCTCGTCTTCACGGGCTCGACGCTCTTCTCGAGCCACTACCGCGACGACTCGACGACGCTCGCCGACGCGTGGCTCCTCGTGCTCCTCGAGTGCTACGTTGTCGCGGAGATTGCTCTGCACATTTATCGCGAGCTCCGAGAAATGTGGCACCGCGGTTCTCTACTCTCTCCCCTGCTTCTCCCGTCTAAGGCGTATGCGTATAGGCTGGCGGTACACGGAAGACTCGGGCGCCGCGATGGTCGACAACGTCATCAAAGGCGCACTTGTGCTTTTGATTGTGGCCGCCGGTATCTGCCGAGCAGCCGGCAACTTTGTCACCGAAGACGGCTTTGTCGCGAGCGCGATCCTGTGCTCGTACCTGTACATGTTTTTCTTCTTGTATGGGTTCCGCACCACGGGGCCGTTCGTCGTGATGCTCCGGCGCATGCTCTTGACGGACGTGGTCCGCTTCATCCTCGTCTTCGCGTCGATACTCATGGGGTTCGCCTCCGCCTTGTACGTCGTCGTCGACAATCGCGGGGCGCCAACATCTTTCTCAACCGCATCAAGTCGCTCCTCCTCGCCGCGTTCGCTGCCACGTTTTCGTTTGACGAGTACCTCCTCAGCCGCATGCCGATTCCCGCCCAGCTCTTCATCTTTGTGTACATGGTGCTGGTCGTCATCGTGCTCATCAACCTCTTGATTGCCATGTCATCGCATCGATTTCCTCGACTTGAATTGCTCATGACCGACATCTAGGATGGGCTACTCGTACGACAGCATCATCGACTTTGCCGAGCAGCGATGGTACGCCGAGCGCGCCAACATCATGGCTAGCATGGCGAATGGCCAGTCGGTCGCGCAGCGCTCCGCCGATCGGCTCAAGTACGCCGTGAGCCTCGATGTAGGCGGCGAGACCGAGCGCTTCATTCAAGTCGAGTTTCTCGACCTGCAAGCGTGGCGGGGCACCGCTGAGAAGCACGACGCTAAGGAGGACAAGCAAGAAGAAAGGAGCAACGACAGCGTCACAAAGATCCGCGCACCGTTCGCGGCCAAGAAACCTTCGTCGCCGCGACACGTCCAAGGGCCGCCGGCGCTCTTGGAGGTCGATGAAGACCGAGAGCAAGACAAGAAGGAAGAAGACGACGCCATTGAGAGCGGCACGATAGCGGGCCTCGAAGCGACCCTCGCGCGGCTCTCGCATGGTCTCATCCAGCATTTCAGCGACGAAGCCAGCCTCGGCTACGAAGATCCCGTGAACCGCGAAGCGCTCGTGCTCGGCCACGTCGCCAAGATCAAGGAGCTCCTCGGCGCCGTCCACGCCTTCGAGTAGAGGACGCACTAGTGTTTTCGTATTGAAGTGGTAGTGCGTAGTACAATTTGTCGTTGAATAGTTGAACACACCGTCGCGTTTTTGTACAAACTATCTATCCAATATATACTATCCAAGTTGGATAGATAATACGACATTCGTCGGGCTGTGAAGAATCCAATCGCGCAACGCATGGATTGCACGAAACAGCTTTGCGACGGTTGAAGATTGACAGCGACGATGGAGAAGATGGAGCTCGTGACGACGGCGGACGGCGTGACGTGGCAGGACCGCGAGATCCGATTCGACATCTCGTCGGCGGCGATGGAGCTGCGGAAAGGCGAGGTCGCGATCGACTCGATCAACTCGGTGGAGGACACGAAGGGCAACAACGGCGACCGCGGGTCGCTTGAGATCACCAATTTGCGCCTGCTTTGGGCCTCGCACCGGTCGGCGCGCACGAACCTCAGCATCGGCTACTCTTGCATCCAGTCGGTCAAGATCCGCACGGCCACGTCCAAGCTCCGCGGCTCGACGCAGGCGCTGTACATTATGACCAAGTACGCCAGCTCGCGCTTCGAGTTCATCTTTACGTCGCTCGTCAAGGCGAGTCCGCGCCTCTTCACGACGGTCCAAGCCGTCTTCCGGTCGTATGAGACCACGAAACTGTACCGGGACCTCAAGCTCCGGGGCGCCATCATCGCCGACAAGGAGCTCCGATTGCTGCCGCACGAGCAAGTGTACACCAAGGTGATTGGCGTCTGGAACCTCAGCTCCGACCAAGGCAACCTCGGCACCTTCTTCGTCACCAACATCCGCGTCGTGTGGCACGCCAACCTCGCGGAAAACTTCAACGTGAGCATGCCGTACATGCAGATCAAGTCGGCGCGCATCCGCAACTCGAAATTTGGGCCCGCGCTTGTCATCGAGACGTCGGCCGGCTCTGGTGGCTACGTGCTCGGCTTCCGCGTCGACCCGGAGGAGAAGCTACGGGAGCTCTTCAAGGAGATCAAGAGCCTCCACGCGGTCTTCTCGGTCAATCCCATCTATGGCGTCGACTATGCCATTGAAGACAAGCCAGCGTCCCTCGACTTGCTCAAGCAGCCGCGCCAGATGGACGACGTCGAAATCGTCCAGGAAGAGTCGAGCTCCATTGACGCCTTTGCTGCCTACTACGCGGCGACCAACAAGAACCAGGACCGCCCGCCTGTTTTCTGCAAGGACATTGGCCTTGCGGTCGAGAGCCTCCCTGACGGCATCGCGCTCGGCGACCTCTGGTACGTCAACTAAGGACAGAGTGCTACTTGCATGGTCGAGAATACAACTACAATGGTCCGTCTACGAACGCGGCGTGGCGCGGACGATGCGGATGTCATCGCGGGGCCTACGCAACGCATAAGGATTTGTTCTGCAGAAGCATGCGCCACGTCGTACTTGTCGTTGGCGCCGGTCTGCACGAGGCCCATCCGCTTGATGACGCCCATGCCCTCCGAAATACGGCCAAAGACCGTGTGCTTGCCTACGAGACATAGCGTGCATGAGTTAGAGTTTCGCTCGAGCAAGAAGGTACCATCAAGCCACGGCGTCGGTGCGAGCGTGATGAAGAACTGGCTGCCATTCGTGTTCGGTCCAGCATTCGCCTATCAGAGACTTGAATGCAGTGGCATTGGCAGCAAGGATATACCATGGAGAGGATGCCAGCGCCAGTGTGCTTGAGGTCGCGCGAGATCTCGTCCTCAAACTTGCCACTACCGCGAGAAGAGCCATGACGTCGTATGTGCGAGGCGTGGCGTCGTACCCGTAGATCGATTCACCGCCACGGCCCGTTCCGGTCGGATCACCACCTTGGATCATAAAGTCCTGCGAGGCATGGGTACGACGGTCCATGCACAAGACATGTACCTTGATGATGCGATGGAAGATCGTGTTGTCGTAGTAACCACGCCGGGCGAGCTCGGTGATGTTCTTGCACGTGCGCGGGGCGTGCTGCGTGTACAGCTCCATGGTGAAGGTACCCTTCACATACATGCGTCAACCTCACAGCGCATGCTTCCATCCGGCAAGTACCATGGTCGTCTCAAAGTCCACGTAGGCGGCCATCGTGCTTCCTTGGTAGCTTGCTGGAGATGGAATGGAATGTAGCCTTGGACACCATTTTAGCCAATCATGCATGGCAAAAAAGGTCTTTTTTGGCCAATCAAACAGATTTGATTTGTCTTCCTCAATTTAAAATCATATCGGTCTTTGTATGAAACGCAGTAATTTTTATATGGCGTGGGCGGAAGTGGCAGCATATGGCTAAATATGGCATCTGCCATTATAGAGTGTTTCGCCAATTGGTCTCGATCCAAGCATCAAACGCCGACGTGACGCGGTGATTCGTGATCTACATCGTGCTCTCTATCACGGAGGTACGTTTGGGCGATTTCATTTTCCAACGAGGTTTGGTCGATTGAGCTGGGCTGCCTCAGCTGGGGCGGCGCCGTCGAGCAGCTAGTCGCATAGGATTGGTTAATAAAACAAAAAGTGGCCAATACCACGGATTTGTTTAATTAATATATTTCATAATAGTATCAAGTGGATTATTCTCTTTTATTTTATTCCACTGCATAGCAGCTTCTCAAAAACCGACAGCTGCCGATGGAGACCAGTACGCGCCGCCACCGCTCCAGGTCCCGGTCCCGATCGAAGCCGCGGTCCAAGTCCAGGTCGCGCAGTGCATCCGTCGACCGCCGGCGCCGGTTCCGACGCAGTCGCAGTGGTAGCCGCAGCGACAGCCGTGAGAACCGCCATGGGAACGCGTCGCCGTCGCCTGACCGGAGGCGGAAGAAGGAGAAGAAGGAGAAGAAGCGCAAGCACAAGAAGGAAAAGTCCAAGAAGCGTCATCCTGACAGCGCGCCGTCGTCGCCTCGCATCCACGACTCGGCCAACGTGTTTGACGCGTTTGCGCGCGCCAACGAGCCCGACGCGCCTGCCGCCGCAGCACCGGCACCAGTCGCGACGAAGCGGGACTTTTTTGCGCAGCTCAAGCATCAAGAGTCTGGCAAGGAAATGATTGGCACCGTCCATGCGTCCGGGCGCAAGGTAGAGAGCGCGACGTCGATGCTTGCGCCTGGCAACGACAACTGGGACTGCGTCAAGCCGGGTTGCAGCAACAGCAACATGAAGAAAGCGCTTTCTTGCATGAAGTGTGGCGCCATGCGCCGCATATCGGCTTGGCGGTAGACCGACGCCGATGAATCTCAATACAGTTCACATTGCCGACCCGTGCCGGATGATGAGCAGCACGAAGAATCGATGGCTGGATTACCGGACGTGGATCAATGTATGCAGTCACTTTCTAGTCGCCGTTGCTCGCTTGTCGACTTTCATCAAGCACTTACAACTAACGTAGTGGAGCCACCAGTTGCCCGCAGCTCTGGCAGCGTCGGCGCGTGCCAAACTCGGCAGCCAGCCTTACCAACTTATCGCTTCCAACGCAGCCCATACGGTGGACTTTTAGCGAACGTGGGTCTCGGTCAAGTGTATTGCATTGCGGCCCAAAGGTAGCGTCGGCCTGCTTCTTCTCGATGCTTGGAGCGCACGAAGCTGTGAAGGAGCCACGAAGCCCTGCTTGCCTTCTCCTCTTTCTAGCTATTTGCCATCCCTTGGGAACTCTTTCCTGCGCGCCGCTGCGATGCGATAGAACCCTCGGTTCGAATACAAAGCAAAGAAATGTTATGGACTAGGATGTGGTTGCTACTACTAACGACTTAGGCCTTCTTGAGCATAATGTTGAGCTGGTTGAAGAGCGATTCTTCGTGGACCTTGTCGATCGAGTCCTGCATCGCCTGGAGCGTCGCGACGAGCGTCGCGTGCGTCTCGCCCGAGAACGAGTCGATTTGGTCAAAGCACTTGAGGATCGGGTACGCCGACGTCTGGTTGACCTTGCCGATGCGCGTGAAGACTTCGATCATGAGGTCGCGGCCCTCCTGCGTCAAGACCGTGCGCTCGCGGATCTGCGTCAAGCCACGCGCCAGCGTGCGCGAGTGGTGCGTCTGGTTGATGTTGAAGTACGGCTGCGCCATGAGCGCGCGGACCTGCGTCGCAAAGTCCGAGACGCTCAGCGACGAGATCGACGCAATGTAGCTCTCGAGCATCTCGGGCGTCGCCGACCACTCGGCCGCAATGCGCGCCTGAACGGCGGCGCGGCCCTCGTACGACTCCATCTCCATAAGCTTGTGGAACGCCGCTTCCTTATCGGTGACGAACGTCGCCTTGTTGAGCATCTCGAGCGCGAGCGCGGGCGTGTCGACGACAACCTCGGACGGCAAGAGCGTCGGAAGCACGAGGGGCTTGGCGCCCGCGACGACGAGCGTGAGCAAGTGGCGCTTCAACGCACGCTGGAGGAGCTGGTCCTTGTGCGGGCCCGGCACGGACGCGTTAATGAGCTCGTGGAGCTTGGCGACGATGGCTGACGCGTGCGTGGACCAGATCGACTGCAGGAGGGCGGTCGTCGCCGTCGCAATGTGATCGTAGTGGTGGCTCAGATCGGCGCGCGACGTGATCGCGTTCTTCTCGTTCAAAATGAGCGCGCGCACGGCCGGGTTGAGGTCCTCCGCAAAGAGGATCGACGCATGGAGCTCGGCGAACGCGGGCGAAATGACCACGTCCGACTCGCCGCGCACAAGCGCCTCGATCACGCGCGCCTTCTCGGCATCCGCGACCGCGCGGTACGCAAAGTACTTGTTGACGGCGTCCGGGTCCGTGTTGGCCTGCTGGATGAGCGAGTCGCTCGAGACATTCAGCGGCTTGATCGTGCCAAAGAACGACCACTCGCGCGCGAACGAGAGGTAGTCGGGCTTGGTCGCGACGTCCGTCAAGACGATTTCGCCGGACGCCTCCTTGAGCAAGTAGACGCCTTCGCGCACGGCCTGGCCGTCCGTGATGAGCGCATAGTCGATCGGGATCTCCCACGGGCCGGCCACGTCCGTGCCGTCGAAGCGCTCAAAGCCCGTCTGCGTCATCTTGACCGTGTACGTCTGGGCGTCCGCGTCGTAGAACGTCGAGTACGCGACCTCCGGGTGGTCCGGGCGCTTGAGCCAGAGACGCGAAAAGTTGTGCAAGTCAAGGCCCGAGACCTCTTCCATGCAGCCAAACCAGTCGGCCGTCGTCGCATTGCCGTAGAGGTACTTGGTGTAGTACTTGTCGAGCGCGACGTTGAACTGCTTGTAGCCAAGAATGAGCTCCACCATGCGCACGATCTCGGGCGCCTTCTGGTACGTGACGGCCGAGACAAGCTCCTGCGTCTGGTTGAAGCCTTCGGGCTCGACACTGAGGCACGTCGCGGCCTTATCGAGCGCGATCGGACCGGTCGCCGGCGTAAACATGCGCGCGACGTCGCCGAGGCGGTGGTACTCGTGGCCAAAGATCGCGGCATGGCGCTTGCGCTCCATGTGCACGGTCACGGCCTCGTTGAGCCAGATCTCGAACGGCGACTGGCCCGTGACCTCGCTGCCGTTGATGTTGTGGTAGTACTCGTGGACCTTGACGCGCTCCATGTACTCGTACGACATGTCGCCCATGCGGCACGTCGGGCACAAGCACGAGCTCACGATCGTGGTGTTGCCGACGTTCTCCATACCGCCGTAGTTGGAGTTCTCCATGCCGATCTCGCGGTAGATCTGGCCCGTGTACTTGTAGCCCGTCTTGGTCCACACCGAGAGGAGGCGCTTGAGCTCCGCGCGGACGTCGGCCAAGCGCGCAGCGTCCTCCGGCGAGAGCGCGACCGGCGCCGGCGCCTCTTCCTCCGTGCCAATGCACAAGGGCGCGGCCTTGGCCTTGAGCGCTTCACGCTCGTTCAGAAGCGCGTAGATGGCCTTGCGCTCTTCGCAGTGGTCCGTCGCCTCGGGGCCCAAGCTCATCATGACCCAGAGGATCGAGTCGTGGAGCATCTGGACCGAGAGCTTGGCGTCCTCGGGCTCGACCGACTTGGGGAACGCAAGCAGCTCGAGAAGCGTCGTGTCGCCATCCGGGAACTCGAGCGTGCGGCGGTACGTCACGTACGTGCCGACGCCCAAGAAAAAGAGGTACGGCGCCATGTTGACCGTGTGGTTGTGGTACTTGAGCGCGTGGCGCGACGCGTCTTCGCGGCCCAAGACCTCAACCGCCTCGTGGTACACGGGCTTGCCGTCCGGCGTCGAGAAGCCGGGCGCGAGGTCGCCGTTGGTGATGATGTTGGTGTAGTTCTTGTCCGCGACAATCGTCGTCGTGTAGTACGCCTTGGCGTCCATCGTGTCAATGCACGGCACGATGCGCTGGAAGCCGTACTGCTGGCACTGCGTAATGATGGTGCGCGGGCAGCCTTCCGGCGTAAAGTCGTAGTACAAGCCTTCCAAGATGTTTTCGGTCGGGCGCGCAATCGACTCGGTGAGAATGACAAACTCGTCGCCCGTCATGACAGGCGTGTCGAGGTCGATGACCAAGAAGTGGTCGACCGTGTCGACCGTGTAGTTGAGCGGCGCGGCCGAGCCAAAGCTCGCAACGTGCGAGACAAAGTCGCGGGTCTCGCCCAGCGGCGTAAACGCGTGGAGACGCTCGACGCGCGTGATCTCGAGCGCCTTCGAGTTGAGCTTGAGCACCGTCTTGGGCTCGGCACCCGTGTACTTGAGCGTCGTCTGGAGCACGACGCGGACCTAGCCAAGATGCATGAGCTCCTTCTTGGCATGCAGGCAGCATCCACGTACTTCCTTCTCGGTCACGTCAAAGCCATGTCGAAGTGGAGCGGCTTGGTCTCGAGCGGCTCGAAATCATGGCGCGTGTAGCGGAACTTCTTGGAGGCCATGTTGTCTACGCAGCCAAGTGCAGCATGAGGCTTCATGTCCTCGTCGGAAGCATGGCCATGACCGTCGTCCAACGCGCCAGCATGGACCGGTCCATGGGCGCGCCAGGGACGATAAAGTTGCCGTCGTACCTGCGGCTTTCGAGAACGATGGCAAATTGCGGAGTGGGCCCATGGAAGTCACCCTTTCGAAACCGTTTCCGGACGATCCATCCGGATACCGTGCCCTGTATCGACGTCCATCGTCCCACTCTGTTCAGCCGGCTGTTTCGAATGTACGTACGTGTATCAATAGACAAGGGTTTGTAAGAGAATGTACGACCGTACCGTACACAGCAGCCGACTGTTTACTCTAGAAAGGCCACTGCTTGGATGAGTGTAAAAACGCATGGGCAATGTGACGTCATTTTATTGCCTCGCATACAAATATTCAATACCATGGCGTCATAAAATAGAAAAGAAGATTGCCATTTTGGGCCACTGGTCATCCTAGGGCTGGGGCCGGTGACGGATCCAAGTCGCAGCGTCCGCGCCTTTCTTTCGAGTTCGTTTGAAGTTCAATTTGGGACGGGACTGAAAACGACTTGCGATTTGTATGCGTGACACGAACGACGGGTTAGTCGACCGAGCAAGCGAAGCCGGCAATGGCCCAATGCACCTCTCGGAACTAAACCAGCAGATATTGAGCACTGCAACAGACCCAACAAAGCACTGAGTGCGTGGCGACGCGTCGGTCTGACGCTGTGCTCGAGCGAACGCAGAGTGATTTGCACCCAATCCTGCGCGCCCATGAGGCTCCACGGGGCCGTCACTACCACGTCCACGTCATACAAGAGGGTTTATACTTAAAGGATGACTTCTCTAGGGAATCCATCTCTACACAGCACCATACGTGGTGCGTCCTGGGGTTTCTAGCGGTATCTGCTTGCGAGGTGCGGGGGGTCCGGCCGCCGTGACGACGAGGATCGTGCCAGCAATGACAATGCCGCTGCCGAGGCATGTGACGGCGCCAGGGACAGTCGCGACACCCGCGGCGACGCCAAAAAGCGCGGCGAGGATCGGCTGGAGCAACATCGTGATGGACACGACGAGCGGGTCAAAGTACGCGAGGACGCGGATGAAGCCCATGCGCCCGCCAAAGTCGCAGACAGCGACGAGGTAAAACTCAATCGGGAGCCGGTCGAGCTGCCAGTTGGCCCACCCAAAGAGGCCGATCGACGCGTCGTGCGAGAGCTCGTAGGTCTCACCAAGGCACCACATCGTCGGGAAGAGGAGGAGACATACGACAATCGAATGGCAGAGCATGAAGAGCATGAACGGCATGCGCTCGCTGATCACTTTCGCTTGCATGAGGTACACGACGGCGCCGATCGCGCCGAGAAACGCGCCCGCATCTCCGAGCAGGCTCGGCCCGACAATGTCTGCGTTGGCCAACGGCGCGCCATTCGAGTCCATGGCCGTCACGACGCTGCCGGCAATGCCCACGAGCGTCCCAAAGCCCTCGGCAAACGCTACGACGTCGCCGCAGAGCGCGCGGTAGATCACAAGCAGAAGCGAGTGGCAGTTGTTGAGCACGTACACATGGGCGATCGACGTGTGGGCGAGTGCCCAGTTGAAGGACGAGTTCCAGAGCGTAAAGCCTGCCGCGCAGATGAGAATCCGGCGCGCAGTGTCCTTTGGGTTCTCAACGTGCAGACTCGTGCCGCGCTTGACGAGCGTTTGAATGAGGACGATGAGCGCGAGGACCATGGCACTGCCGCTGACCTTCCAAAAGAGCTTGAGGACTGGCGAGACGCCTTTCTCGAGGTCGAACGCAATGCCGAGCGATGAGACGGACGCGAAGGACGAGAGGAGGATCGCAATCCCAATGCACTTGTTGGCGGCCGCTGCCTTTTGCGCCGCGGCGGCGTCGCGCTCCTTGTCTGCGAGAAGAATCCACTGGTCTTGAGGCGCGTGGTTCTGAAGAAAGAGTCGGCTCGTGAACATCTCCAGTGACGACCGCTCCTTGAGCGTCAGTTCGTCGAACGGCTCGTCAATGTGCGCGGCATTCGGCGACGCTTCGCTTGTCTTGTCGTACTTGGCGAGGAGACGCGTCTCGACCGACTCAAAGGCCTCGGGCTCGGGCTGACATTCGTCAAAGTGGTCCCAGTACGGGTCCATCGGGGCCTCCATGCGTCGTGACTGGCTCATGCGCTCTTGATAAATGAGCAATGCTGTGGTAGAGGACGAGAGAGGCATGGCGCGCGTTTTCTCGCCTCATCGACACGCACCGTTGTCACCAGATGGGCGTATCCGGAAACTTGATAGTGTTTTTTGATAGCGTAAAATACGGTACACTTTGCTTTTTAGACGATGTATCGTGTTTTTCCACACAAGTCCGCAAGGAGGGCCCGTGTGCGATCCTGTCATTGCTGCGCCAAGGTGCTTGACGACGTCGCCAGGTCGCGCAGTATTATAGATACTACTACCTTGCGCGTCCAACTGCCGCGTAGTGTACGTACTGTGAACGCGAGGGCGCCATTATGATAGACCCGCACATAGACAGTGCACGACTTTCTATGAGATGGATGTATCGACAGCGACAGCTACTATTAGCTGTCGTCGCTGGTTCTGAAAGCTGTCGATCGAAACGATCGTGGCAATGCCACCAGCAGCGAGGTCCGTGCTTATGCACTTCAGAATTCCACGTATTACTACAACTTTTCGACCTACGTTTCGAGACTGTTGAGGTCGACCAAGTGGCGCATTGTGGGGCGCCTACCAACCTGATAAGCCACAATGTAGAGAGAAACCGCATGAGCTCACCCGTGGGGACAGTTCCATGGCTGGTCCAGCACCGCGAGTTGCGTCACAATCTAACCCCATACGTCCCTCTCCATGCTTGTCGTTTAAGATATTACCTTGAGCATCTCTTCCTTGTGCAGCGCGGTCCCAATCATAACAGCGCTTCGGCACGCGCGCGAGGCAAACATGGACGTGACTTTAGGCAGGCGCAGCGTCTGCGCTTGGTGCGGGGCCTCCATCAAGAGCGACGCCAGCTCCCGAACGTCTAGCGCCAAGTGTTCGGATACCCATGTCGGTGAGGATCGTTACCTGCGAGGCCAAACGTCGTGTGCTTGCTGAACGGAAGCGCCGTGAGGTGCAGCTTCTGCGTCACGGGTGCCTCGTGGTGCACAGAGAAGTGAAAGCCTTGCTTCTCAAAGATCGCCATGTGCTCGAGGATCGTCATCTCTTCGACGGCTGTCACCTCGAGGCGCAGCGGTCGGACCAGCGGTTGCTGGTGCAGAACGGTGGACTTTTGCAGCGTCTCGAACCGGAATTTTTCGTCGCTCGCGTGCTGGTCGATGATGTACAGATCGCGGCCGCAACGCGCAATGATGAAACCCAAGTTGAACTGCCCCACAACGTCCATGCGCAAAAAGTCGTCCTACGACCGTACTTTTGAGTTTCCGTGGTATGCTTGCATGGAACTACCTTGGTCAGTGTTCGCTGGAGGCGTGCCGTGGCCGCAATTTCGTCTTCGCTCTCGATGCTGCTGACGCCATCACCAGTGTAAGCAAGCGCCGCGAGCTCGCTCTGTCGCTGGAAATAGCGCTGGCGTTGGGCGCGGATGTCGGCCATCGACATGCGACCAACACACGGCGGAAACGGCTTGAGTGGCAACGACTCTCGGCGCGTGGGCTTCGTCGGCGGTGTCGCAGCGGGGGACTGCGTCGGCGTCGGGCGACCGCCGGTGCTTTCACGGCGCGGCGGCTTGGCAGACGTTGGCGTCGTCAAGAGCGAGAACTTTGCCGGCACCGGCGCCTTTGGCGGAGGGCTTGTAAAGACCGGTGCTGCTTGCGCCTCGCTGTCCGAGTCGTCGTGCAGCTGTTGCGAACTCAACTTGATCTTCTTTGCTCGCGTCAAGGGCTGATCGTCGTCGTCGTCGTCGCCACTCCCATCGACATGGTGGATCACAACCGTCGTCGACGACAGCGCGTCCGAGTTGACGTTCGTCAAGGGTTGTGTTTCAACATTGGCGCAATGAGACGGCGTTGGACTGATCTCTCTTGCGCGCTTTTTGCTTTCGATCTCTGGTGCGGAATCGTCCTGCTTCTGCGCCGGCTTGGGCGCGGTAAACGAAGGGGCCTGGGACGCACTCGAGAGGAGAGACTGCACGTGGAACGTGCCGCGCGTTGGCTCGTACAGAGCGAGGAGCTCTTCTCGGAGCGCTTCCATCACTGCGACTTCCTACCCATCTCGCTCGCTCGAAGCTTGCTTGCATGTATCTACTACCTCTTTGATGAATGTCTCGCGCTTGTCGGGCGTCACGTTGACGTCAAAGCAGCCGTTTGGTAGCCCAAAGTCGATGAAGCACGCGGGCTTGTGCTTCATTTCAAACTGCCGCCACGCTTCGTTGACAGTTTTGGTTGCCTACTCGCGGATTGTGATGTTATCTGCAGACAAACGACAGACCCACGGTCGAGAGGTCGACGGGCCGTCCGTTGACGTAGAAGAACTGCCGGTCGTTGTCGCTGCGACCGACGCCGTCGCCAACACGCGAGACAAAGCCCGTGATCGTCGCGGTCTCGCTGCCGATACTCACACGCTTTTGAACCGGCAAGAGGCTTTTGAAAAACTTGGTGCCATAGATGTTGGCCAAGTTTTCGCCCATGCCCGCGTTCTTTTGCGTCGATAGAATGGCTTGCCGCGCGTTGTTCTTGCCCGCAAAGTTGATGACCGAGAGCTGGATGTTGGCCGTGATGATGGCGTATCCCTACATCGTGACGGAAGGATGGATGCACATTGGCGTGGACGGCGCTTACCTGCAGTGTCTTGAGCAGCTTGCTGTAATGGCGCTTGATGTTTTTGACAAAGTCCTTGTGGCGCACGGCAAGTGGCTTGAAGAGGTCTTCGACGATGACGGTCGTGCCCACGGGGCGCGCTTTCTTGACCTAGTTCAATCGATGAGGTTCGCACATACACATGGCCATAGGCGTCATACGGACGAGACGAGGGCGCCAGTGTGGTCGTACGAGAGAAGCGTGCCAAGCTCATCGTCCTTGGTGCGTGTCAGCACCGAGAAGGCGCTGGCGAGCTGGCAAATGGAGCTCAGCGCCTCGCCGCGAAAGCCAAACGACGCGATGGACTCGAGGTCTTCGAAGGCCGAGATCTTGGACGTGTAGTGCTTGAGCGCCAGCGCTTCGTGGTCGGCGGCTGGCACGCCCTTGCCGTTGTCGCTCACCTCGAAGCCGACTTGGCCGTACTCCTTGAGCTTGACCTCGATGTGGGTCGCGCCAGCGTCCAGCGCGTTCTCGACGAGCTCCTTGACGGCCGTCGCGAGGTCAACGACCGACTGCCCGCTGCAGATCTTCTGCACATCGCGCTTCGGGATGCTTTTGAGCGCCATGGGACTTGGCTCTTCCAAGATCGCCGCCAAGCAAAATGGCACCAGCGCCATCTTGGATTTTTATTATAATTCCACCGCGTGGTCAACGTATTTTATTCGGTCCACCTCTTTTATACTCAATCTTGGTACATATATATAAAATGCAGGTAAAATATTACACTACCCTTTTCAACGCACCAATCAAAACCGGCGAACTCCGCGCCAAACTCCGGATAAACTCCGGGACGGTCTAAAAAAGATCCGATTGACGTTGGCCCACCATCATTGAGCAATCCGACAGCGAGACGACGAAGCATGAGCCTGCGATCGGGAACGCATGGGAAGCCCAAGGCAGCGCTGACGGTATGCTGCATGCTGCGCTGGATGAGGCTCATGCGGCAGGTAGATCATGGACAAGAAGCTGCCTGTGAACCCCAAGTACAAGGATACGCAGAGCAAGCTCAACACGGGCAACACGGTCAACAACGTCCGCTTGATCTGTACGCTGATGAGAACGATCGATCACTCATACACGATGCCATATAGCGAGCAAAGAGTTTCTTAAGCGCCGGGACGAGTCCTTCCGCCGCATTACGCCCAAGTGCTTGGCCGAACTCTTCAACGAGTACGAGGACGTTGGGAAAGGCTGCGACAGCGCGTCGCCAGAGATGGTGGCTCGCATGGTCAAGAACGCCAAAGGCGAGTACGTCATGGAGCGCCACGCCGCCGATGACAACCAAGCGCAATCGGGCGGCCCGCGCGTCGTGAGCTACGACGCCGAGGAGCGCGAAGAGTACGAAGCCCCGTACCTAATCTTGGACACGCGGCCGCGCGAAGAGTTTGTCGAGAACCGCATCCATCGAGGTAGATCCAGCGACCCGTGATCCGAAAAGGTCTTACCGATGGATTAGCGAAATCATTTCCGACCGCCTTCCTGTGCCGTGACCAATTCCTGCCCGAGATGCACCAATTCGTACGTAGTTCCTCTTCCGCTTCATGGGTTGCGCCAACCATTTCCATAGAAAAACCAAGAGAGCAAGCTTATCATCGTCTACTGCCTCGACGAGAAGCTTTCTGTCCAGGCCGCAACCCTGCTGGGCCAAAAAGGCTTTGACAATATCTACCTTCTCACCGGCGGTCTCAGCGAGTACGCGGCCGCCAACCCCGAGCACATTGAGGGCACGCCGCCGCCGCTCCCGAAGGGCCACGCGAGCCGCGACAAGAAGGCGACAAAGGACGTGTACCGGTCCGGATCGGCCATGTCGAGCGCCGCCAGCGTCAAGAGCATGTCGACGCGCAAACGAGACAACGAGTCGGATGCAAGCTCGATCGCCAGCGCTCGCTCCGTTGCGGACTCTGTCATCTCCAAGGCCACGGCTCGGAAGGCCAGCGTCCAGCACGGCGGTAGCGGCAGTCGCGGTCGCGCCGCGGCCCCAGGCGCCAACTTTCGATAGAGCACACATAATGGTCGCACAAGACACGGCAAGAGAGAGATTGTACAATGCTTGTATTGGCGTTGAGATGAAGTGGTGATTTATGGCTTGTGCAAGGCCGCTGCAAACTCGTCCATCTTCTTGGCCATGGTAATGTCGTTCATGGAGAGACCACCACAGTCGTGCGTGCTGAGCGTGACGTCGACACGGTTGTAGACATTGAACCACTCGGGGTGGTGGCAGCCCTGCTCGGCGATGAGCGCCGTCCGGGACATGAAGCTCCACGCCTCGTTAAAGTCGCGGAATTCAAAGTTGCGCTTAATGGCGTCGCGGCCGTCCACAAGCTTCCACGACGGATCGATGGTCGCGAGGGCCGTCGTCCGCTCGGCTACCGTCAGCCGCTTCGGGATCGACGTGCTCATGAACCGGCGGAGCAGCATGTTGACAAATGCGCCGCTGGATGATTGCAAACCACACGCATCCGGATATGTACGGCATCATTTTATCCGGACGTAGTGGGATCAGCCAATCATAGCGCTTAATGATCGCTCATTTCCGCCAATCAAACTTCCGACAAGTGATCTGGATCGGCTCATCATGCCACCCACGTCTAGCTTGCATCCAGTCGATGTCGACAGTTGATACCCGCACATTTCGCAAGAAATGGGCCACAATACGACATTTTTGGACACAAACTACAAGATAATGTTATTATCTACACCGACAGAATACCTCTTTCTAACCTACTTAAATGTTGTCTAGTCGCGAATGGCATGGAACGACCGCGACGCAAAGCGCACGATGTCCGAAACGAGGGAGCTGATCGCGCCACACACGGTTTCCCACGCCCACGCAATCGGCGAGCACGGCTTGCGCGGCGCGAGGGGCGTCTTCTTGCGCGGCAAGAGCGGCGTTACTTCGGACGGGTGCTCCGACTCCTTGTTGGGCGCCGCGAGCGTCGTCTTCTCAAGCAGAATATAGTACTCTTGCTCGAGCGCCGCCAGCGACATCTTGAGGCCGTTCATGGTGCACTGCATGTAACTCGCATCTTGCTCGGCCGCCTGCAGTCGCGATTCCAGCGCGGTGCGAGCTGCTTCCGAGGCGGCGTGCGCGGCCTCGAGGTCAACCACGTTGGCTTCGAGGCGCTGGATCTTCTGCTGCTTGATATCGTTAGCCATGACCCAGCGAGCCTCGCGCTCTGCGAGGTCGGCCACGCGCACGGTCAAGTCGCGCACCTGAATGGCGCACTCGTCGCGTTCGAGCTGGAGCTTCTTGGTCGCGTGACTCAGGTGGGTCTTGGCACTGAGGTTCGTCTCGTGCTCCCGCTCGAGATGCATGTACGCTTCCTTGAGATTGGCGTGGCTTTTAGACACGCCATGGCCTTGTTGCGCCAGTAGAGGATCTCGTGGTCCTGCTTGCCAATCACGTCGTCGCACGTTGCCTTCTCCCGCTCGATCGCGTGCAGTCGCTGCTCGAGGTCGACGCACTTTTGCACGGCTCTCGGCTGATAATGCGACGCGTCCGAGTCGAGCGAAGCAGTTCGCACCAAGTGGCCACAGCGCGCGGCCAGCGCATCGCGCTCCTTCTCCAGCACAAAGTACTTTTCGACGAGGAGCTGGCCGTTCGCGGCCGCCGCCTCGAGAAGATACCTCTGCTCTTCAATCTCAGCGAGGGCCGTTGCGAGCTTGCTACGTAGTGAGCGGTTGCGCGGTGGCCGAGCGTCGTCGCCAGGCGCTGGCTCGGCGGGTGCCAGCGCCAGCTGCAGCTCGTCGCTGCCCTTGGCCAGCCCGTGGTGGTCGTCGTTGTTGTCGTTGTTGTTGTCGCTGTCGCTACTGCTGTCGCCGTCAAGCCGATTGCCTCGGGACATGGTCGCCACGCGCGAGATTGGTGAGTGTCGGGAAGTAGCCCCGTCGTCTGCCATCTTCCTTCTGCCGGCCGGTCAGCCTCCTTCCGTTCAAAGATCGGGTCATTTCGGCCAATCCGTTTGTTTAACGCGTTTTTACGCTAGTGACGAGAAAGACACGCAACAGCACCTGGTTGAGAAAAACGCGTTTTTCATCATGGCAATCTTCAATGTAGCGTGCCACGACACTGATGGGAGGCCAGCGACGCTCCGAGCCAATTCACTGAGCCCATCGTTGGACCGATCATTGGACCGTTCTCTGCGCCTTTAACGCGTCGGGAGCAACTCCTCTGATTCAACAGATTACATGGTGCACTTCAAGCAGTCGGCGCAGTAGCCGAGCCTTCTAAATTTAGCCGCAGCTGCCACCATGGGCGCAGCCTGCTTCCGAGGAGGCAGTAGTACCCGCAGCCTTCTCTTCGTCGGCCTCGACGGCGCTGGCAAGTCGTGTCTCCTCTCATGGCTCGAGCCGACGAGCAGCACCACGATTGTCATCGCGCCCACCATCGGCGCCCGGCGGTGCCAGTTTGCGCGGGCCCGCATCCGCTTTCATGCCTGGGACCTCTCTGGGCACGGACGCTACCGTAGCCTGTGGCCCTACTATGCTGGCCACGTCCACGTACACGATATACGCTTCCTGCTGTCGCGGCTCTGCATGGGGCATTAGGCGATTGTGTTTGTCGTCGACGCCACCGACAAGGAGCGGCTGCCGGTCGTCCGACGCGAGCTATGGGCGCTCTTGAATCACAAAGGTCCGTTTGCGAGGATGTACCTTGAACGATGATGTGTCTAGCTCCACTAGACCATGCGACACCGCTGCTCGTCTTCCTCAACAAGTCGGAAGACCCGAACGCAGTCTCGACCAAAGAGGTGGAGCGGCGCCTCCACTTGCACCAGCTCAAGGTAGAACAGCGCAGGATGTACCGCTGCGTCAACGTCGTTTAGTGCTGCTGGCGTGTGGAGGCGTGCAGCGCCGTCACGGGTGCGGGTGTCGCGGCCGGCGTCGACTGGCTCGCGACCACGCTCCTCGACGCCGAAGCCGACAACTGCGCCCATGAGTTTGCATTTAGATCTTAGTCATGTATATTATTAGTAGATACTAGTAGATTACAATATGACGCACTCGCTGCGTGGCGGCGGCTCGACGGGACTCTCGTTGGCCGCGCGAAGCTTGGCCACGTGTTGCAGCAAGGCGAGGCTGAGGCGGCGGCGGCGCCACCACTTTTGAACCAGCACTGCCGCTTGGAGATCGACGCGCATCTGATCTTCCTTGGGGCGTGCGCCGGGCCCATACTCGACGAGGAGGCCAATGCCTGTAAAGACGCGTGGCTCCCGCAAAATGAGCTTCGACATGTGGCGCTCTTCCGCCGCATCAAAGGCCTCGACTTCGCCCATGACGGCGCGCTGAAAGTTGACCATCTCTTCTTTGAACTTGGTCTTTTTGTCTTCGCTCACAATCAGAGGCGCAATGACGGCGGCGACGACCCCGGTGGCGCCGGCCACGGTCTCGTAGCTGGCGCTGATCGTGTTCATGGCCAGCGACCGCACGCCGAGGTACGCGCCCGAGATGAGCTCGACCGGGCTGCCCGACGCGAGGCCGCGCGTGGGCAAGCGAACGACCTCGAGAAAGCCGTGGCCGAGCCGATAGACGATGCGAAACGGGTTCACAAAGAGCGACACCGTGTAGAGGCCTTGGAGCACAATGTACAGCGCTTGCTGGTGGTAGTGCCGGTACAGCTTCTCCAAGACGATGCGCTTGCTTTCGTAAATGTGCACGAAGAGCAGTTTGCTAAAGTTGAGCCGCATGTCCTTGACGTTCGAGACCGGGAGGTACATGGCGAGGCGGCGTCCAGACGGCCCCAGTGTCGCAATGTGCTTGCCGCCGTTGAGCTCGAGCGAAAAGAGGATCCGGATCGACTCGATATCGAGCTGCTCGATGTAGATCCCGTCCGTGATGGGCGCCGACGCGTCCTCGAGGCGGTAGCGCACGCGCGTGTCGACGACGGTCGCGAAACTCTCGGCCGACCCGAGGCTCTCGACGCCCTGAAAGACGCTAATGAGGTTGACGACAAACTTCTCGTCCGTCGTAATCTCGAGCTCCTGCACAATGAGCTCGACGAGCTCGACGTGGAAGGCGCCGGCGCTGCACACGTCGTTGTAGAGCATCCGAAACTGGATGACGGGCAACGCCTGCACGTCCACTTGTTCGTAAATCCCGCGGTACTGGTGGTTGAGGCAACTCTTCCAGCGGTCGCGGAGACGGACGCTCACGCCTTCCTTGCGCTTGACGCCGCGCGGCCCGAGCACCACCTTGCGGTCCATCTGGTTGTCCATCTGGAGGTTCCCGACCGCGATCGCGAGCTCGCTGCTGCCGCCGTGCGCGCTGTAGACTGCGTGGAGCCGCTGGAGCGAGAGGTACGCGACGTCGAGCCGGTTGGTGTTGTGAATGAACGACACCGCGACGCTCGAGAGCCGCACGTTGAGCGACAGGCCTGGCGTGTCCACCTCGCCCACGTCGTGCGCGTTGGGCTTGCGCGTCTTGACGTCGTCGCGCGTCGAGAGGAGCGTAAACTTGAGCGCCACCTGCGCTTGGCCAATGACGCGCCCGTCGTCCGTCGTGAGGTTCCACCAATAGCCTTGCAGATCGCTCAAGCTGCGCTCCGTGCCGTGCTGAAAGTGCTGCCACACTTTTTTCGGCAGCTTGATGTCGACGCCGCCGACGCACTGGTCCGGCACAAACTTGTCCTCGTCGCCACCGTCGACAGGTACGACCGGCATGCCCACCGAGAGCGACGACGCGGCGTCCGGGGCGCGGCCAAAGTCGAACCCGCCGGCGGGCGATCGATCGTGCTGCTCCAAGAGGCGGCGGCTCAGCTGCGACGCCGACGTGTGGCGGCCCAGGAGCTTCTCGCGGAGCGCGTGGGACGACGCCTCGTGGTCGTGCATCTTCATAAACGGGTGCGTCGGCGACTGCAGCTCGGGTGGCGTCATGGGCACTGACGCATCGCCAACGTCCACATGCAGAGACGGCATGACATCCGATTCTTCCGTCAACGCTTCGTCTTGGTCTTCGTAGAGCTCCACGCGAAGTTCCCGCGGCCGCTTGGCGCACAGAAGCGTCTCTTTGCTCTCAAAGCGGTAGACGCCATGACTCTTGATCGTTTGAGGACCAAACGTCGTCGCCTAAACAAGGGGTTTGTCCCTGGGACTCGATCAGATATATAAGAACCGTGGTGCTGGCCGTGTCGGCCACGACGCGAATGTACGCCTGGAGGGGCTTCTCGTCCGGTAGGAGCGACCGACGCACGGCGAGGATAGAGACTTCGAGACAAAACTTGGTACGGGCCACGTCGGCCGAGTCAATGCTACGCAGCACGAGGACGCGCGACGAATCTTGAAACTTGACCTCGGCCGCAATGTGCGTCTGCGCCCGGCGGTCGGCCCACACCACCGCCTCCTCCCGATCCAGACTGTCAAAGTCGCAGAGACGGAGCTGCGTCGCGTGGCGCCACTCGCCGTGGATAAAGTCCGTCAGCATCGAGACCGCCAGCTTCCTATACAATACATATCAGTATCAAACAGGCGCCGGCGTGCGTACCGCGGTTCGTCGGGGAGCTCCCACGCAAACGTCGTCGTCGAATGCGGTGGCAACACGATGGCCTCGGCGCCGCCCTGCTGCACGGCCTTGAACGCATTGCCCGAGTGATTCGCGATCCGCAGCATCGGCGGCGCGTCACGCGACAGCGTCACGACGATCGACGCGCCGACCGTGTGCACTTTGACGCGGATGCGCGGCACGTTGGCCTGCGCCGGCTCGTCGTGCCAGAGCGCGCGGGCGCCGGGCAGCCACAGCGAAAACTCTTGCTCCTCATCAATCGAGAAGAATCCGCTCCACTTGTCGCTGACGAGGTAGTTGGCGTCGGCCGCGCCACCCGCTTTTAGCCGCACTTTGCGGCCCATGAGGAGCGCGTCGCCCGGAAAGTCAAAGGCCACTTCGTGCGCGTGCGGCAGCACTTCGGTCGCCCGCGGGTCTTTGGCCGTCGACGCGACCTCGAATTTGATGTGCGTCTCGTTCACAAACACGTAGCGCGGCGAGATGATGACCTGCGTGCTGCGGTGAAACTGGCCGAGCGGTCGCTGGATCGAGACGCCAATCTCGCGCTTCGGCGCCTTCTTGGACGCCGACTTGAGCGTGATCGAGCGCTGGACGCCGACCACCGACGCGTGGAGCTTCTCCGACCACTTGGCCGTCTCGTGCGCAAACACCGTGCTCATTTCCAGCACGAGCGACGGACAGTCGAGCAGCCGTGGGCGCGGTGCGAGCAGCTGCTTGCACGACGTCGCCGGCGCGTTGGCCTCGGCGCAGCGCACGAGTAGTTCGTCCACGTGCGAGTAGTTGTACAGCCAGACGCTTGCGTAAATGACGGTGCGCGGGCTGCCATTGTCGGCGACGGTAAAGTCGAGGCGCGCGGTAAAGAGATGCGTGTCGTCCGCGACCAAGGCTGGTGTCGACGGCGCGTGCGTGTAAAACACAAGCTCTTCCGTGGGCCGGCGCTGGGTCGGGAGGTCGGCGGCCGAGATCGTCTGGTTCGAAATGTGCGTCGCCTCTTGCGAAATGCACTTGGCCAAGCTCAGCGGCGTGCTCCAGCTCGAGGCTTCTTCCGGGAGACTCAGCACCAGATGCGCATTCTTGTGGAACTGGTGCAGTTCAACCTCCTCACCCGGCGCGAGCGTGCCTTCGCAGACGATAGTCGGAGGACCGGGCACGAGCGCGACCTCGACCTTGTACTTGAGCCGAATCGGGAGCGCATTCTCAAACACAAAACCCGCGTGCAGGCGCACTTGGTACTTGGCGTCATGCCCCATGATATCGCCCTCGTCCGCGTCCGCGGTGGCGACGACTGTCTCGGTCGGCAGCACGTCGTACTGCTGCTCGCGGTACACGTTGCGCACATGCGACACAATCTCCATGAAGAAGCAGTACCCGCAGTCCAAGCTCGGGTTGATGGGCTCGAGGTACAAAATGTGGCAGCCCACTTGCTTGTGCAGCGTCGAGAGGTCCGCGATCCGCGTCCGCTTCGAGTGCAGCAGCTGCAGCACGAGGCAGTGCTCGGCCTCCGAGTAGAGCGCCGAGAGCGGCAGCGAGTACTTGGCACCCGGTGGCACGGCAAGCATCGACTAGGCATTCGGCATGAGAAACGTGGGGGAAAGAAGTCATTTCGTACGTCTCGGCGGATGATGCTCACCGACCGTCCGCGCCCGAGCGTCGGATCCAGAAAGCTGTCGGCCTCGAACGCGTCGCAGTCTGCGATCGGAAAGGTCCCGACGTTCATTGTGAGATTCGTGAGGTTCTTGAGCTGCTTGGGCGAGCTCAGCACGAGGACGCGCCGGAACTCGTCGCGCTGCGCGACCTTGACTTCAGCGACAACGTCTTCGCCGCGGATGAAAAACTTGCCGGCGCGCTGAAGTGGGCAGAGCAAGCTCCGCGGACCGCCGTCGACGAGCACTTCCAGCGCCAGCGGCGGCACGTACCCGTGTCGGATGCTTTCTGGGAGCTGCACCGCGACCTTGACGTCGCCGTCGGCCGTCTCGAGAAGCGTGTTGCTGGTCGAGCCGAGGCGGAAGGGGTCCACCGTCAGCGACCCGCCGCTGGTCACCGTCACGACACTTGACGCGGGGCCCGTGCGTGGCCGCGGCGCAAAGTGCAGCGCGACGAGATCTCGCCCGTGATGACGCCGCGCACGTCCCGGAGGCGGTGCCACTGGCAAAATTTGAGTCGCTTGGCGCCCGTCTCGGCCATGAGCGAGCCCGCGAGGTTGAGCTCGACCGTCCCGACCGGCATCCACTCGTCCGCTTTGCTCGATTGCGCATGGCCGCGAGGCGAAGCGACGGGCGACGCGTCGTGCCGCTCGTCGCGGAAAAGCATCGCCTGCGTACCGTCCAGCTGCAGCTGCACGGCGTTCTGGACTTTCGCGCTCACTTTGATGCGGAGCTTGGGCGCGACACCAGCATTCGCCCCTCCGTAGGCCATGCGAAACGTGTGGCTGAGCGACTCGAGCTGCCCGCTCGCCTCGCGCGGACTCCACCACGGCAGCAGCACCGCGTCGAGCTTGACGTCGTGGAACCGCGTGTAGCTCGGGAGGCTCCAGCCGTCGCGGACCTCGATCGTGAGCTCGCCGGGCGTCGACGTGTTGAGGTTGGCGAGGCGGATGGGCACGCCGAGGTTGTTCCACACGCTCACGCGCTCGTGCTTTTCCGAGACGGCGGGCACGAGGAAATTCGCCGCCTTGCCGGGGTTGGTTTGCTTTCGGTGCTTCTGCACCGAGCAGAGGAGCCGCACAAACGCTTCGGTAAAGTTGATGTTGAGCCGGTCGCGCGCCTTGAGGAGCACGGTGAGCTCTTGCCGCGGCGTCTTGGCCACGTCCATAGCGACCGTCCACGGCTCCACGAGCGGCTCCCAGTCGGCCAGCGCCGTGTTGTAGTAGCGCGCGAGCAGGACGATGCTCGAGGTAGATGAAAAGTCGATTTTGAACTCGCTGCCTGAGGATGCGTCGATCTCGATGCGCGAGAGCGAGAGCTTCATGACAGGGATGAACGTGTCGAGCGCGACCCTCGAGAGCGACCGCTTGACGACCTCGAACACAATCGCGTCGACGCGCAAGACGACGCTGTCGTGGATCTGCGTCCACACCGAGTAGCTCGGGCCCTGCGTGAGCGCCACGTACGCCTGGAACGACACGAGCGGTCCGAGAAACGTCATCATGGGCACGCCCTCGACGTACGTCATCGACTGGATGCTGCGCTGACTGCGTCGCGGGCGCACCGACCGCGTCGAGTGCTGCGATTCGTAGCGTCCGCTGCGCTTGATGCGCGACATGGACGTCGGTCCGTTCGGCGTCAAGTCGACCACGTGCGGCGACGACGGCGGTGACATGAACACGGGCGGGGACGTCAGCGTCGCGTTGCGGTACTTGAGGTCCTCGTCGTCCTCCAGATCGTCCAGATCGTCGTAAAAGCCCGTCCCATTCTCGTCTTCGTCTTCGTCAATGTGCTGCAGCGCCTCAAAGAGTTGATACAAAATGCGCATGCGCCCGTCGGCCTCGAGCTTGATTTGGCCAATGTCGACGCGCGAGACGCGCTGCCGGGACCGCGCGGCGAGGTCGTAGCGCACGCGGAAGCCGTCGACCTGCGCGAGGCGCAGCTGGTTGTCCTTGGTCATGACATACAGCGACGTCGCGCCGAGAACGACGTCCAGCGACTCGACGTCGGTCGTCGCGACAAAGCTGAGCGTAGCCTTCTCGACGACGCACTTGGCCACGCAGTGCTTCTCTTCAACGTACACCTCAAACATCGGCACGCGCACATCCAAGTGCAATTGCGTCGCCTTGAGGTACGGCTCGACGGTGGTCGGCGGCGGCGCATCCGACGCCCAGAGGGGCGAGAGCTCGCTGAGTGCATCACCCATCGCAGTCGCCACGTCATGCGGCAAGAGGCAGCCGCTGAGAACGAGGTTGACGCGCAGCCCGTGCTTGGCGCCGCCAAAGGGCAAACCCACCTCAGGGCTGCGAAAGCGCAGCTTCAGGTCCACGGCGCCGTTCGAGCCGCCGAGATGGTCGGACGTGATCGCCATCGGTTTGAGCTTTCCGCGCTCGACGTCGAGAAAGGTGTCGCCGAGGTACAGGACGCAGTAGGGCTTGAGCGAGCGCCGGTCGCGCACCTCGAGCTTCCCGAGCGTAAAGTCCATGGCCAACGCGCCGCTGGTTTCGAGGTTCGGCGCGTCGTGGAGCGACACGGACAGCGACGCGTCGCTGGCAAAGATGCTGACCCAGGCCGCCATGCGCTGGTACAACGACCGGGCCGTGCTGCTCGGCGTTCGCGTGTTGGCAAACGAAAACGCCAGGTGCGACCGCAGCCACGTCGGCCAGCCGACTTTGGGCAGCAGCGACCGCCGAGAGACATCCACCATCTTGCTCCGCACGGCTTGGCTCTTGACAAAGAGGCTATGGCGCCAGTCGGCGAGGTCCGACGCCGAGTACGACGCTAATAAAAACGTCGAGGTCGAGGCCACCTTTTTTCCATCCGCGATCGACTCGGTCTTGAGCGTGACTTCGAGGCAGTACGAGACGCGCGTTGGCGTGGCACCGGCAGGGCCCAAGAGATCCAAGTTGACGTGCTTGATGTGGTTGCTGGGGCGACCGGGGGACGGCGTCGACGGTGGCGGCGGTGGCGGCACCTCCCAGTCCTCCACCTGCACCATGTTGCCAACGTGCAGCACGCTCTCGATGGCCTCAACACGCTCTTCGTCAATGAGAACGCGCCCCGTGTGGTCCTCGTAGAAGCGCAAGACGCCGTACTCGTCCAGATACACAAAGAGCTCGTGCCACCGCCGAAACGCGAGCGAGAGATCTTGCCGGAAGAGCCAGCCCTTGTGCACGTCCATCGGGTGCTGGCCCATAATGTGCTGCCGCAGTCCAATCTTGTCACTTCGCGGCTGGCGACTTGAGACATCCGGCGGCGATGGAGCTGCCGTCAACGTCGCATGCCAGTGCTTGATGACGGTACCGTCCGGGTGCGCCAAGAGCAGCGTCGTCGTGTGGGACGTTGGTGGCGCGCTCGATAGGACGCCGAGCGTGTTGTGGACACTGCACGGCACGGCAAACACCAGCTGCAAGAAGCGCATTTTCGCATCGACCGCCGGTCCAATTACGTCGTTGATCGGCATCGCCACGCGCGAGCAGTGCTCGAGCAAGAACGAGTCAATGTAGACGGTCTGTGTGTGGTCGCGGAAGAGCCGTAGCACACCGGTGGCATCCAACGTCACGTAGAGTTCGTCCCAGCGCCGACACCCGAGGCGAACGTCCTCGTACATAAAGTACCCTTGCAGCACGAGATTATTTGATTCAAGGGCGTCGGGCAGCCGGTGGCGCTGGACGCGCGTTACGAGGCGCTGTCGCCGCAGCGTCGGCAGCGCAACCCGGCGCACCACGCGCCCTCGAACGTACTTTTGGATTTGGACGACGGCCGCGACGACGCGCTCGTAGACAAAAGCGTCGCGGAGCCACTCGTGCAAGCCCGCGTGGGCGTGCGCGTTGTGGATCGTGAGCTGGCTAAACACCGAGCGGTAGGCCGTCGCCGTCGCGGACGTCGCGCGGCGCATGGTCGCTTTGGCAACACCCACAAAGAGCCGGAGGCTCGCAAACGAGAGGTTGTACTTGACATTGGCCGGCGCTGGCTCCACCGCATTCGTCATCGTCGTCGACGTTGTCGAGTGCGGCGGAAGCTCCATCGACGGCGACGCCGCTGCTGTGAACGCGCTGCGGCTAAACTCGCCGAGCGCCTCGAGCACGGCGCGGCACTTGTGGCCTTCGTACACGACAACGGCGTGGCCCACGTGGCAGCCGTACTCGACCGCATACGTCGCCACGTCATCGACATCGACGCCCGGGTGGTCGACTTCGAGCGTGTTCATCGAGAGCCGAAGCGCCTGCGTCCCGCGCTCCCGCAGCATTTCGTCGAGGCTCGAGACGAGGCACGACGCTGTGGTCGCGTCCGAGGTCGACTCTTGGACGTAAAAGTGGCGCGCCGAGAGCGCGTACTTGTGGAACGAGAAGAGACCGGGGCCAAAGCCCTCGACGCCAAACGCGACTTTCTGCACGACGGCCGACGCGATGACGCGCTTAAGGCGCACGAGCACGACGCGCAGCTCGACTTCGGTCGCGACGATCGACGCCGCGGCGACGAGCTGGTTCGGCGTCGTGACGGCCGGCGCAATCTCGGGGTGCTGGAAGGTCAAAACCACCGCGTGGTCGGCGACGTGGCCGTCGAGCTGCGCCAAGAGCGTCGGGATCGACGTGAACGCAAAGGCGTCGTGGAGGCGCCGGCCGTCGACCTTGACCAACAACATGCCGGGCTTGAGCGCGTCTTTGGTCGCGGCCTGGGCAAAGCAGTTGGTGACGACGACAGCTCCCTGCTTGGTCATTTCGAGCGCCAAGCCGAGCGCGCCGCGCGCAAACTTGAGGTTGATCTCGGGGGCCGGCACGCCAAACATCTCGCCAATGTCCAAGAGGAGGCTCCGCGACACATCCGCATCATAGCGCACGCTGGCGTCGTCGCCAAAGGTCGCCGAGTTCCGCAGCGTGAGGATGGCTTCGAGCGGCAAGCGATGCTCGAGCAGGAGCAGCCGCTTCCACGCGTCCGACTTTTTGACGCTGTCCCAGTGCGTCTGCTTGAGGTGCACCTTGTGCAGCGCGTCCCAATGCACGAGGTACTCGGCCGCGTCCGCTTGCTTGTACCGCTCGCGCTCTTTGGCCTTGACGCCGTGGGCCACCGCACTGCGCCACTTGCCGTGGAGGCCAAAGCTGTCGAGCACTGCGTTCATGAGCTGGAGCTGCTCGTCATCGACCATCACAATGAGCTTCGAGAGCTCAAAGCACGCGTCGTAGCGCGGGACCGACGACGCGAGCGTCTGCAGCGCGACGTTCATCGTGAGCTTGAGCGTGACGTGGAACGGCGCGAGGACGAAGCGGTGCGTGTGTGCGTCGCCCGCAGTCGCCCACCAGTCGAGACGCGCGTTCATGTCGGCCATTGCTTTCAGCCGCGACAGCGTCGCGTGCAGCACTTTCGGGTGCGTGGACGAGTGCACAAAGTGCAGCGCGTGCGGGTCGACGTACGCCGAGAGGTTGATGGCTTGGATGAGCTTGAAGACGACGTGGTCGCCCGTGCTCGCGTCTGGTCCTGTGAATGAGCCCGTGCGCCAGTTGGCGCCCGTTGTCTCGGCGTAGAGCGCGCCGATGCTAAAGCCGATAGCAAACTTACTCCGCGTCATTAACGGCGATGTTTGGTGGTCGCCTTCGAAGCGGATGTGCACGTTCCGGAGCTCGATCTGCAAGTTGTCCATAAGCCGCGTCACGAGCCGCCCGAAGAAGCCGTCGGCGCCGTAGTAGCCTTCGTTATTCGTTGCGTCCTTGGACGACTTCTTGGCGTCGTTCGGAATCTGCGTCTTGTCGAGCGGAGGGCCGTGTATTCGCTCCAAGACATCGCGCTCGAGGGCGGCGCGCTTCTCGGCCTTGAAGTCGTCGACCTCCTTGGCCTTTTCTACATCGTCGAGCGTCCGCGGCGAGAGAATCACGAGTACGTCTGTGAGCGTGAGCTTGGCCGGCGTCATGCCCAGCGTCTTGAACGGGATGTTCATCGTGAGCGCGCCAATGAGGCCGGCCTTGAGGCGGAAGGGCGCCGAGGCCGGCACGACGCTGGGCTTGAGGTTGACGTTCTCGCAGCGGACGTTCTCGTCGTTGAAGATGTTGATGCTCAGGTCGAGCTTCTCGCTCTCGATCCAGTCTCCGAGGAGCTTCTCGGCAAGCGCCTTGAGCCGTCCCTCGATCATGCCCGGCCTCTTCCCGTTGCCGCGTTCGAGTATTTGAGTCGTGTATGCCCATACAAACCACAAGACATTAGCACCGTCTTTTTCGCATGCTTTCCCGCGCTGCGATTGGCCCATTCCAGCATGCTGCGATGCCATTGGGTAAAATGCGCGTTTCGGATGTTACCAGCACCACGCATGTGAACCAGATCCCTTGCTGCGATGATGGAGCCGCACGGAGGATGATGACGATGGAATGAGCTTACGGCTTCTTACACGACAGCTTGTGCACGCGCCAATGCGACTTTTGGCAGTCGGCGCTGCAGTAGTACTCGGCCTGGCAGCGCGAGCAGCGGTGGACGCCCTTGGCCGAGCACGACGGCGAGCCACACACGCGACCGTTCGTGGCCGGCGCAACGGGGGCCTTGGCCGCAGCTTGCGGGTTCGTCTGGCTCTGCGCGATCTTGATCCACTCGGCATCGGCGTTGATCTCGCTCAACTTGAAGTCCATGCGAACAAAGGCGTCGTCTGCATCGACGCGATGAGCCTTACGAAGACGACGCCAGCGACCGTACCGTTGTCAAAGACGCGGCCAATGAACGCGTCACCGCGCACCTCGAGCATGCGGCCGCACGCTTGCGCAATCGCCGACGCGCGCATGTTGAGCGGGAGGTTCTTCGCCGTGCCCTTGTCGTCCACGTAGAGGTTCACGCCAATGTGCTTGGCCGCAGCCGAGTTGGTGATGAGCGGAACCGAGTCCACCAAGCTGTCCATCTATCGCCCATGCAGTCGTATCATTGCAAGATTCTCGCGACGAGGCTCACCTGCAGCATCATCGACATGACCTCGTCGTTCATCGTCGAGCCCTTGGGCATCTATCGCCATCGTCAGCATGGGCGACGTCCATTGCGTGCGGAACATGTAGTAATACCTGCGCGAGGATCTGCTGGCGAAAGGCTTCGCGCTGCTCGGCGCTGGAGGCGCCACAGGACTGCTCCTTGAAGTGCGCGCGGAGGCGCTCCGTGAGGCACGAGATCTGGCCGTCAATGTCCTTTGGGAGGTCGATCTGCCACTCGGCGAGCTCCTTGTCGTCCGTCGCAGGGATGTAGACGACCGTGAATTGCTTGGCCATGGCGCACAACTTGAATGGCACGCGACCAGCCCGATCAATATTATCCGGACACACTACTTTCGATCTCGTGCGGTTTTGAATTGGTGTGACAAAATGCTTGGAAATAGTGTGAAAGATCGTGCTCAGAGGTAAAATCCAAGCCGTTGCGTTGCAACGGCGCAGTTGCGAAATTCGGGCATCGCCAGCCTTGCAGCCAGCAGCGCTGCGTCAAAGGTCCTTCTTGAGCGAATCGAAAGCAGCTCTCCGTCGCCCTCAGCGCTCCCTGCCGCCTCGTATACGGATAATTCGAGTATCCGAACATGTTTGCCGCGGTCAACCTTCCCTCCAATTTCCATTCGAGCATGTCGCCGTCGTGCGTGAGTTTGCCGAGCAGCAGCGCCAAGATGCCAACGAGAAGCCTCCGCCGCCACGCGCCCCAGGGCGAGCTCCAGCTCATCATCGGGCCCATGTTCAGCGGCAAGACCACCGAGCTCATCCGCCGCATGCGCCGCTTCCACCACGCGCAGCTCAAGTGCCTCGTCGTGCGCGCGGTCATTGACGAGCGCTACACCAAGGACGAGTACGTTTTGCCGTGTGGCATACAGTAGCTGACGGCGACGTAGCCTCGTGAGCACGCACGACAAGCAAATGATCCCGGCGACGCCCGTGAGGCGCCTCGCCGAAGTCAACGAGGTCTTTCGCCAATACGACGTCATTGGCATCGACGAAGGCCACTTTTACCCGGACGTACGACTCTGCCACGTCATCGACTCGATCGACCATGCTTGTATTGTAGCTCGACGCGTTCTGCGACATGGCCGCCGACGAAGGCAAGATTGTCATTGGTACAGGACCCTACCAACCTACTGGAGAAGCGACTCCAATATTATAGTGGCGGCGCTGGACGGCACGTTCGAGCGCAAGCCGTTCCCGCAAGTCTGCGGCCTCATTCCACAGGCCGAGAGCGTCACTAAGCTCAGCGCAGTGTGCGCGGTCTGTGGCACGGACGCCGCCTTCACGCGTCGCATCGTCAACAGCACGGCGATCGAGGTAATACCTCCACCCCCCACTGCTGCGAGTCCCTCACCATGAGTCGCAGCTCGTCGGCGGCAGCGAGATGTATCAGCCCGTGTGCCGCGCGTGCTTTACGCTGCCACAGAAAGCGGAGGACGGCGCCGAGTCGTCGTAACGTGTTGTAGCAGTCATTACCCACACAGAATATAGGAGACGCGATGATGTGTACGATATCTACTTGAACATCGTCGCGAGCGACGCATGCAGCGAAGGCGGCACATCGCTCATCCATCCGCCGCAGATCATGAGGCAGATCGAGTCGATCTTGGCAAAGTCGTCGCCCAGGATGCTCGCCAACTGGCCGTTGTACAGCGGAGCCAACTACGCGTTCGTGAGCTCTGCGTAAGTGATTTGCGAGGGGTACCGTCGCGCCGCACGCTGGCTCGACGAGGAACTTGTGGTCGCTCGCAAAGCGGAGGCAAGCAGCGACCGCGTCCTCGTCGCTGACGCTGCTCGCGTGGACACGAAGCTTCTGCGCATACGCGAACGCCGTCTCCGAGACGGCGGATGCGCCGAGCGACCGCGCCAGCGTGTTGATACTGCGGAGCGTGACGCGCGAGTTGGATGCCATGGACTGTTGCATCTTGTTGGCGCCGTGGGTCTCCATGGTCAGCACCTTTGTGGCGCTCCACCCGTACCTATCGTCCTCGGCAATAAGCTCTCTGCGTTCACAATCGAACGCACGTTTCCAGGCCCTGGCTAATGCCAGAAAAGTACCCGCCCCCACCGACAGCAACGACGATGAGATCGGGCTGCGGGATTTGCTGCGTGAGTTCGGCGATCACGCTCGAGTTCCCGTCGCTATCCACAAGAAGATGAGGCAATATGCACGCAGCCAGAGATCGAGGCGAACACAATGTCGGGGTGGTCGAACGGCGGAATGTAGGCCACGGTGCCCGACTCCTTGGTTTGCATGAAGGCGGTGGCGGCTTCGTGCGCTTCAAGCCACACCTGCAGTCGTATGTGAGACGCTGCTACGGATGTTGGAAAGACTATGTACCTTGCCCGCGACCTTGACGGTCACGCCTTCGACCTCGAGTCGCGCCCGCATGTACTCGGGCGTCGACTCGGGCACAAAGACCGTCGCCGGCACGCCAAGCTGTTGTGCGCTGCAAGCAACGGCGAGGCCTGCGTTGCCGCCCGAACTCGCGATCAAGTGTGTAGCCCCCCGTTCGACGGCGCGCTGACACTAGACACATTGCGAGTGAGCTGGTTGCTGCACGTGGCGTCGGCTGTATACCGCAAGGCCGACGCCGCGGAGCTTGAAGCTGCCCGAGGGCTGGCAGTTGTCGAGCTTGAGGAAGACCTTCTTCTTCACGAGGTGGCTGAGCACGCGGCTCTCAATCGCAGGCGTCACGACGTGCAGGGCCATAGCGATAGGCTCGTGCACTTGGGATTCGGTTGTGATCCCAAGGATTGCAACCTCGGATTGGGCCGAGGCAGTGGGATCTTCTGTGAGTGGCCAAAATACCAACAAAGCGGCGTGCTCATTGGAAGAAATTGACCCCAGGCTGAAGGTGGGGTGTGCGCTTCAAGAAGCAATCGCGCCATCACGCCCTCTACGCTACCGTGGCCAAGCTGCGTGGCCATCGGCTATGGACACGTCGCCGCCTGGCGCTCGGCAAGTGATGTTCAACCTCAAGAAACGAGCCACGATACGGTACGCCCATTGGATAAAACAGTACTTGGTCGGCTGGGATTGGCTGATTTAATCGAGATGGGATTGGCTAAAATACCGCGTGTGCAGTGGAATGATTGGTTCAGGCGATGGAATATTCCAAGTCGTGCATTATCGCGATCAGCAAGCATGGCCCAACGTCGCCTCCTCCCCCTCGGTACGCAGCTTGGCGCGTCGCTGCAGGCAAACGTACCACATGAGCTGATGCCACTTGAGTAGAACTCATCGACAAATGCATTGGCTCGCGCATGTGGATCATCATGAAGGGCGACAAGGAGTTCGTCGGGACGCTCCGCGGCTTTGACGACTACGTCAGTACGTTTGCTTAAGTTTGTTTTCATCGTCGGTATTAACGTGCGTCTAGACATGGTCCTTGACGATGTGACAGAATAGTACGCGCACGACGGATCAACTCGGAGGCTAACATCGCTGTGTAGCGAGGTGACGCCCGAAGGCAAGCGGAAGGTCCACGTCGACCAAGTGCTTTTGAACGGCAACAACGTTTGCCTCGTACGCGCCACCCAGTATCGACGCTGCTAACAACGTGCCTTTGTAGCTTGTGCCTGGTGGTTCCCCCGAAGGCGAAGAAGAAGAGCAGTAGAACTTGATAACCTCTCACCAACTCTCATGCGATTTCCGTGATTTCCCGACGTCTTTCGTAGCACTGCAGTTCCACTAGCTGGCAGCTCCTTGTAACCAACATGGCGTAGTACATTCGGATTGCATCAAGGCGCTCAGATGAGCACCCTGCGGCTGCCATCATGAGAGACAGAGATGCGGCAGCGGAACTCGAATCAATGTGCCCACGTCTTGAATCATCTGCTTGTCATCGGATGAGCGCACTGCACACAAGTTCCACACTGACATTCCGTTCTGTGGTCATTGGCGTCCGACCTGTGGGAAATGCTGGACCGCTCGAAAAAAGAGGCTGAACTTGGTCGGCGCTGAAGGCGCGGGTGGATGCCAGGGTGATACTTCGTGGCGAGGGCCCTGAGCCTCAGTCGGTAAGCGCATTGTTCTAGAGAATACGGCAAACAAAATCTTGTTTGCTTGTTCTATCTATCAAACACACTGCGGCCCTTTACTTCTTGGACTTGGACGCATTCTTCTCCTTGATCGCACGGCGGTACGACAGCTTGATCAATCGCCGCTTGTCCTCCATCGACTCCAAGTTCTCATAGCCCTTGCGCTCGAGCTCGCCAAGCGTCGGCTTGGGCTCGAGGAGCGTGAAGAGCCATTCGGGGTACTCTTCCCGGGGCTTAAGCTCGGGGTGCGCGCCATCCTTGAGGATGTTGACGGGCGCGTACTTGGTGATATCGACAGCCTCTTCAAGGACCTTGGGACCACCCTTCTTGTCCTTGGCCTTGGCAGGGGCCTTGGCGGGGCAGCGAAGCTACGGACCGCCACGGACGCGCGGGCGACTTGGGCACGGACGACGCTCTGGCGCAGGGCAAACATCGGTCGACCCAGTGATTCCGAAATGGCTTTCGCCACCAATGGCACCACTCACAATTTCAACCAATCATCATCGAGGAATCGGAATTATCCGGCAGCCGCACCATCTTGCGATCTTCGCCGGCACGCCGGCAGGGTCCCAGTGAACTACATCCTCGTACTTTTCTTAGCACGAGCGACGCCTTGACTACTCACGTGCAGAACTCTCCGAGTCACAAAGTGCGTCTCGCCCAGCTTAGCAAGACACACCATCGGATCGGAGCCCGCAAAGCTATACCTGGATCACCGAAAGCGCCCGCACCGAACTCAGAGCACCGTACTGGTGTTCGACAAACCTTTCGGTTGGCCACACTGCTGGAACGCTTGGCAGAGATGGCCCAACTCGCAGACAAAAGTTGGCGCGACTCGGGAGCACGGGCAAAATGATGAAACTAACAACAGCGTTCAATTGTAGACGGACCACAAACCCGTTCTTGTCCGCTCGGCGGACAACCACGCACGTTCGTTTCTCTCGACGCATGTCGTAAACATCCTACAAAACAGTTCCGAGTGCAATTGTACTCGCGATGCATCGGTGCTCTTGTACGTACGCCCATACAAAGCTCAAATGAAGACCATGTTGACACACGTCAATGCTCGTAATACAGCGGAATAATCTACTACTACTAGTACCGGTAGTCTTCCTCGCCTCGTTCGCGTGAGCCAAGTGCTAAGCAGACACCACTTTAGCGCGTTTAACGTCCCACAGGACTTCTCAGCACAGTCTCCATTCCGTCGGTGTCCCTGCGCCGCTCGCTTCGCGATGCGAATGCTGATTGGTCTCTATTCCGGCATCCCGAAACGCCGCGAAAATCCACGTCACGACAGCACGTTAGCTGGCCAATCAAATTTCAGGGAAAAAGCTGGCCAATGCCGCGTGTCCCAGCCGGCACGGTGGTTTTTCTGAAGCGCCGCGAAGATCTCAAAAATGCACCGCCTCCTCACGCGGCAGACACGAATTTTCCAGGCGCGGACGACTTCGAGCATGAGCAACTTCGACTACGACTTCGTGGTCATCGGCGGCGGCAGCGGCGGCATGGCGGCGGCCAAGGAAGCCGCGCGCCTCGGCGCCAAGGTCGCGCTCTTTGACTTTGTCAAGCCGACGGTCCATGGCACCAAGTGGGGCCTCGGCGGCACGTGCGTCAACGTGGGCTGCGTGCCCAAGAAGATCATGCACTACAGCGGTATCCTTGGCGCCGGCCTCCACGACGCCGCGCACCTCGGCTGGCAGGTGCCCGAGAAGGTCGAGCACAACTGGGAAACGCTCGTCGAGGCGGTCCAGGCGCACGTCAAGAAGCTCAACTTTTCGTACCGCGTCGGCCTGCGCTCCAACAAGGTCCAGTACATCAACGCGCTCGCGCGCTTTGAGGACCCGCACACGCTCTCGTACCAGGTCAAGAACGGCCCGACGCAGACGCTGACGGCCGCACACATCCTCATCGCGACGGGCGGCCGCCCCACGGTCCCCAAGGACATCCCGGGCGTCGCCGAGTACGCCATCACGAGCGACGACCTCTTCTCGCTTTCCACGGCGCCCGGCAAGACGCTCGTTGTCGGCGGCTCGTACATTGCGCTCGAGTGCGCCGGCTTCCTCAACGAACTGCACTACCCGACGACCGTCGCCGTGCGGTCGATCCTCCTCCGCGGGTTTGATCGCCAGGTGGCGGCCAAGATCCAGGACATCATGGTTGCGCAGGGCATGGACTTCCGCTTCAACACGCTTCCGACGTCGATCGTCAAGGACGAAGCCACGGGCCAGCTCCACGTCTCGTTCGCCAACTCGGAAACCCACGAAACGTTCACCGAGGCCTTCGACACGGTGCTGTACGCGGTCGGGCGCACGGCCGATACCTTCAACATTGGTCTCGAGAAGGCCGGCGTCAAGGCGCTCCCGAACGGCAAGTTTGAGACGGTCAACGAAGCCACGAACGTGCCGCACATCCACGCCGTCGGCGACGTGCTCCAGGGCAAGCCCGAGCTCACGCCCGTGGCCATTCGCGCCGGCGAGCACCTCGTGCGCCGCCTCTTCAAGCCCAACTACACCAAGACGATGAACTACGATCTGATTCCGACGACGGTGTTCACGCCGGTCGAGTACGGCACGATCGGCCTGAGCGAGGAAGAGGCGATTACGCGCTACGGCAAGGATGACATCGTCGTCTACCCGTGGGAGTTCCAGACGCTCGAGTGGGGCGCCGTCCACCGCAAGAAGGCCGAGTCGGCGCAGGAGGGCGACTACGACACGGAGTTTCCCGCCAACTGCCTCAGCAAGCTCGTGTGCCAAAAGAGCGCGAACGAGAAGGTGCTCGGCTTCCACTTTGTCGGACCGAACGCCGGCGAAGTGACGCAGGGCTTTGCCGTGGCGGTGACCATGGGCGCGACCAAGGAGGACTTTGACAACGTCATTGGCATCCACCCGACCGACGCCGAGTCGTTCATGGCGCTCACCGTCACGAAGGAGTCGGGCGCGAGCTGGGTCGCAACCGGCGGCTGCGGTGGCGGCGTCTGCGGCTAAAGCGCATGCCGTCCATGTAACAAGAAACGACCAAGTAATCGACTAATGCATTTTTGAAAATCACAACTCGTCCTTCACGGGCGCAAAGAGCTTGTCCCACGATGCCGGCGAGCCGCCGGCCACGTTGATAAAGTAGGTGCGTACAGCGTCTCGGCGCTCCTGAGTCCCGCAATGCTTGGCAAGGATCTCAGTGAGGAATGCCTCGCTACACATAGCACCGATTAATCTTGGAAAAGCCGAGTAGAAATGTACCGGCGGCTCTTCTTGGACGGCCATTTCGAGAGTTCTTGGAGGTGCAAAATGGCTTCCCACGCTTCAGCAACCGTCGCATCTGTCTCGAGGTGCATCGCTTCCTGGAGGCGAAGCTGGAGGCGGCTGCTCGTGGCGTGCGACACCATGATCGTTGGGATCGTGATGTTGTACGCTTCCCACGGCGTCTCGACCGACGGCGTCGCGAGCGGCGTCTCCTCGCGCTGGGCGACAATGACCGCGGCCGCGCCCGCGATCTGGGCCGCCGAGACCTACGTGTCCGTCATCAGAACTACGATAATAATGTCTTGAGATCCATCGACCTTGGCCAAGATGGAGCAGTTGCCGCCGAGTGCCACGAGTACGGCGTGGTCCGCAACGTCCGAGCTCAACGGGGCGCAGGCGTGTGCGGGCGACGCAACGGCCAGCTGCAGTGGGTGCTTCACCAGCGGACCGCCAAAGGTGGCGGCCAAGAAGTCAAACTTCGCTCCGTCCGCATAGGCCACGACGCCGCTGCCCGCGACGCGCATAAACTCAGAGTCACTCTCGGTCTCGGGGTGGCAGACCGAGTTCTCGCACGCCATGGGCACGAGCTTCCCGAACACGGCTTGGCGCGCCGCCGCAGCGCGGAAGAGGTCGCCTAGACAATAATTATGAGGCAACCGCGTCTAGTCTTCGACGTTGTACCGGCGCTGTGGCGCACCATGACCGTCGGGATCGTGATTTCGCCAGCAGACACGTGGGCGACTGGCCGCACGCTCTCTTCGTCCGTGCTCACGAGGATGACACCGGCAGCGCCGGCGGCCTGGGCGTGCATGGACTTGACGTCAAAGGTGCAGTTGCCACGGTCCAAGACAACGTACGCTTCGCGCACATCGTCGTTCTCGATGAGCCACTTGTCGTCGTCGTCGAAGGGCGTGCAGCCCAGCGTGTTGACGGGGAAGACGAGCTGGAGTTCGTCGGTCGGGACCGCACCGCCGTACGTGTCCTTGAAGTACTGGATCGGCGCCATGCCGTCGCGCAAGTAGATGCGACCCCAGAACGACGCCGACACCAAGGACGCGAGCGCGAGACTGCTGAGCAACCGTTGAGCCATTGAGTCGCCACTTGAAGAATGCTTCGTTTATATTGCGAGCCTTGGATTTCGAACGTCGAAAGATCGCAAAACCGCCGAAAGAATGAAATAAGAATCAAATAAATACTGCGATCAATAAATAATCGAGGACACGCAGTCGCCAATGCAGCGGGAAACGAGAGAGTCGGCGTCGAGCGTCGTGCAGCGACGACAGAGCGCACGGCCACAGATGGTGCAGGCGCCGAGACACGACGGACAGGTCGCGCAGTCGCACTGCGCACACGCGACGAAGGCTGACGTACGACACGGCGTCGCGCAGTCGTGGCACGCGCCAAAGACGTTGACGGCGTGCTCCAGAATAAAGTCGAGCACGTGTTCGAGGCTTGAAAATGGTGCGGTCTTGAGCGAGCTGGTCGCTGTACCGTGCTGAACCCAATGCAAGATGGTCGTACCCACGGACGCATCGAGGTCAGCGACCACCGCGGGGAGCTCCAGGTGGTGGTGGACGAGTGCATTGGCGAGCTGCATCTGGCGCTCGTAAGCGCTGGACTCGACGACATGCTTCGTCATGGCAGCGATCGAGTCGAGCGATGCGTCCTCGCTGAGCATGACAGAGCCGCAGCGCACAAATGCCGCAAAGAGCCACGAGGCGTGGACGTTGACCGACGGCGTCCAAGGCGGGATACCAGCAGCGTGCCACGCCGACTCGAGTGCATCTTGACGTCTCCACGCATTGCAGTGCATGTCGATGAGAACATCAACAAGCTGGTCCATTGTCGTGATCTCGATGCCGCAGTAGCACGGCAGGCCGTTCTGGAGGTAAACGAGCTTGAGCTCCAAGGGGCTGTACGCCAGCATGGGCCACTGGCGCTGGACGAGTGCAGTATGCAGCGCCTTGAAGCGCGTTTCTTGCCGAACGTGCTTCATAACGTAGCCCTCGACGACCGCAGCCACGTTATTCCATGTGTTAGTGAAGCAACTCGCTTCGACTCGGAGGCGCGTCTCGTTGCAAATGAGAGCAAACTTGGCGCTGAGTGCGGATGGCACCTTGGAGCCGAGCTGTGCGTTCTGGAGGCACACGCGAAGGATCTCACGCACGAGCACGTTGTAGTGCTGAGGGCACTTGTAGAGAAAAATCAAGTACAAGATGAGCTTCTTGGCGCTGCGCGAATGCCACCCCTCGATCCAGACGGACCCGGCATGGATGAACTCGCGAATAAACGCGTCACCGAGCGTCGTAAAGCAGTCGTGGTAGAGACGCATTGAGAGGCCGAGCGCTTGCACGGCCTTCCAGAGAAGCACTTCGTGCTGGATGTTTGCGAACGTCCGCTTCGCCACGTCGTCGAGGTTGCCGCCGCCCTGCTCGATGAACTCGTTGGCGACCCGGAACACCGAGACATGGTATGTGCTGCTGTCGATGTCGAGGTACCCCGCCATGTCTGCGACGGCTTGGCCCATCTCCTTGAGCGCGCCACGAAGTTTTCGGCGCCGGTCGGCAACAGCATTGAACTGCGCCGAGAGCGCTTGGGCAAACGACTTGGCATCGCTAAAAACGCACGGTTGAGCATGACGTAGCCGTGCCGAATGAAGCGCTGCACGTTCGCACTCTGCATCTCCTTGGCGTCGAATGTCAATGATGGCAGCGCCGCGAGAAGCTCCCACGTCCGCGAACTTTCGTCGAGCACTTGGCGAAGCATGCTCTCGATGGACTTGGACGTAAGGCCGCGCTCAGCAATGGAGTGGGCGAGGAAGCCCTTCTCGAGCCCGATGGTGGACATGGAGATCTTGAGATGGTGGAGCCACTGCACGATCTTGGCCTCGTACTGACCTTGCCGGCGCATGACGTTCATGTAGTGCTCGACCACGCTCTGCGCCGCGACGTGCACTTCGCCGAAGAAGCGGACGACGCCGTCGAGCACATAGGCGTGCAGCGGCCGAATGCTGAAAACAGTCGAGATCATAGTACCTTCGTCGGTCGTGTGCATGCGATTCGGAAACATGCAGTCGAGAACGTCTTGGAGGCGCTTGGCGCGGCCGTCGACGACGGAAGCCACTTGTGCCGCCGTGTTGATGTACTGACCAAACCCGATCTTGAGCTCGCCTTGCTCGATGAAGCTCGTCATGGTGTCGCCAAATACCGAGACGCAGGCGTCGTAGGGTAGGTCGCGGTGGTCGAGAAGCGCGTTGAGCTCTTCCTTGCGTAGCGCCTCGGCTGCAGCCTTGGAAAACGCCTTTGCTGGGGTCAAGCTCACGTCCGTGGAGACCGCGTAATCGATGACCCACTGTAGTGTCGGATCAAACTGCGACGACTGCCCGACTTGCTGCATGTGTTTCCGGAGCGCGTCCAAACGAAGCGCCTCGCGCGTCGACTGCTCGGGAATGCGAAGAATGTGGCCCGTGATGCATCGCACGACCGTCTTCAACGAGTTCTTACTCTTGGGCTGCGTAAGAAAGTCGGCGTACGTCGTGCAAAATTCGGGCGAGACGCTGCTCATCGAGACGCCTTCGTCTGCGAGTGCGAGCTCGACCTGGCGTCCGCGAAACTCCTTGATGGCTTGGCGCTTCTCCCAGCGGTGAATCTTCTTGTCTTGGATCTTCTTGAGGCCGCCGTGCCCGCCATGCTTGCGAAGCGCGCAGTACAAAGCTTCCGATTCCAAAAAGAGTTTCATGCGACCTACATACACGTGGTTCCATGCGCTTCGAAAATGCGGATTGTTGAAGTACCACGAAGAATAAACTGCAACGGCGCGAGGTCGGCATCGTTGAGCGAGAACTGCTCCTTGGCGTATGTCTTGCTGATCAGAACGCTCTTGATGGCGTGTTTGCGGTGGTCGTCGCAGAGGTTGATGAACTGCCACGGCCGGATCGCAGGACTGCCCTCCATAAGGCACACGCAGCAGCGCTTCTCCATCGCGCAGTAGAAGCGCTTGAGGTACTCACGCCAGCACGCTGCATCCATGTTGACCTCAATGTCAAGGTAGCGCGTGAACAAGGTCTTCCATTGCGCGTCGAGGAAGCCCCGGAGCGACCGGCAGGTCGCCGAGAGACGCTGGATCGACCGCCCGTCGAGGCAGCGATAGACGTCCATGAGGGTTTCCTCGGCGAGGCCGATGAGCATGGCGCTTCCTCGGTCGCAGCGGCGCTTTGCGGGGCGCGGGTCCGTCATATCCTCGTCCGTCCTGTGCTCGGCCGATCGAATTGGGCAATGAGCCCGTTTCGGGACGAGCGCCAAGTACTTCTCGCGCACTTTTCGTGAAACCCCCACTTTCGTGCGATATCATTGGCTCTCAACCGGACGATCTTTGGTCATCCGGATACGTGCCACCACAAGACACGCTCGGTTCTTGAAGTTGCGGTCAAGTCGCGCCAAGCACCATCGGGCGAGATGGTCCTGCGACATCCGCATCTTGTGCTAGAGGATGACGATGGGTTGTCGTCTAGTCATCCTATTTATCAGCTTATACAACGAGTCGGAAGGAGACCGGTCTACGTGACCGTGGCCAGGAGCGTCATGACGCCCGCGCCAGCGACGAAGAGCAGGAGCTTTTGCACCGTCGATGTCGCTTCCTGCGCATGCTCGTCCGACATTTCGTGGAACGCGAGGTAGATGAAGCTGCCCGAGCCAATGCCAAGTGCGATGGCCTGCGCCAACTGCGCCGGCGCGCCTTGGAGCTGCGACGTGAGCAACATGCCGAGAACGATGCCCAATGGCGTCATGAAGCTGTACAAGACGAGCACGGCGATGGATCGCGATGCGTTCACGCTCTCTTTGACCTTGGCAAAGTTGGCGCCGACGGCAATCGCCTCGATAAACTGGCGCAGCAGTATTAGCGTCAATGTACGAGAACAGATGCATATACCTTGTGGCTGACGATGGCGAGGGCCGTTGCAATGGCCGTGCGGCTCAGCTGCGAGTTCATGCCGAGCGTGAAGCCAGCGATGAGCGAGTGCAGCGAAAAGAGTGCGGCGAGGAGGTACGGCAAAAGCGCACTAGAGTATAATAATATGGAAGCGACAGAAAGAGAGGAAAGAGAGAGTTACCTTTCACCAGAGAAGACGACGTGCTCGCTAATGCTGCCTTCGACATGCGCGTGGACGTGTGGGTCGGCGCCGCAGCGTCCGTGGGGCTCTTCGGCCACTTCGACGGCACTCTACGTGCAAGGGCATGAGGACGCGTTCGTGCGTCGACGCGATCGGACTTGGTTGGCGCGCAAGACCACGTCGACGTCCGTCGCTTGCTTCGAGTGCTTGACGAGGGCCGACGTTTCTAGAATCGTCTTGTCGCACGAGCAGCTACCGGTCCCGTAGGACGGCCCTAGCGCACCGCGTCTCAGCGGAGGCATTGCAATGTGCCGAGACAATACCTTCATGCGCACCCAAGGGACTCGCAAAATGTCGCGGAGAATGAGACCGATGGTACGTGGACGACGCAGAGTACGCCCGCGACCGGCGCTCGACGCCGTAGGATGCGATCGAGGGGACGTGGATCTTGCACAAGCTCGTCTCGTCTATGGAGCGTCAGCATCAAGTTCTTATCTGCAAGCATTTCGCCTACAGTTGGGCTTGGCAGCAGCAGCGACGGCCATCATTTTGCCAGAGTCGCCAAGGTTGAGCAAGTCGACGGCCCAAATGAGCATGCAGCCGACGCAAGCGAGCACGTAGATCGTAGGAAAGTCTGACGGCTTGACGCCAATGGGCGTGACCATGGCGAGGTACTTGGCGTAGTGGTGCACTGCGTCCGGCAGCAAGTGGATCATGCCCGTGCTGAGGAAGACGCCGGCCGTGAGGTAGGGCAGCTTGTGCTGGATGAGGCCGTTCAAGCCCGACGACGTTGGCGTCTGCGCCGAGACGAAGAGCGGCAGCAGCGAGAAGATCACCGTGAGCACGAGCAGCACGATGCACATGAGGCTGTTGAAGACGATGATGTCCTCCATCCTTGACCCCACGCCGGCCTTGCCGCGAAACGCCGAAATGACCTCTTTGTAAAGTGCGCAGCTCCCGTAAGTGCGTTTTTAGGTCTTGGATCTCAACGTCAAAATTGCTGCGGCGAACAAGGCGTGGCAATATATTTACGATCTTATATTTGCCCGCAGTCGACGATGATGGCTTCGTGGCCAGGAAGGGGCTTGCCGGCGGCCGTCGTGGCTGCGCGCTCGATGGCTAATACTGCGTCGAGACCTTGGACCACTTGGCCAAAGACAACGTGCTTGTTGTCGAGATGCACGAGCGGCGCGCGGGTTGTGATGAAGAACTACAGCCACACGCGTCCTCACACAAACATGCACGCGGCTGGGGGTCGCACCTGGGATGTGTTGGTGTTCTTTCCCTTGTTGGCGAGCGAGAGCAGCCCGATGCGGTCGTGCGGCAGAAAATGTTCGTCCTTAAAGTGGCCCCACGCATTGCCATGCGGTGTGTTGGCATAGATCGAGGCGCCGCCAGTGCCATCGCCCTTGGTGATATCTAACGCAGTGACTTAAGGAGACGTCGTCGAGGCGTCCGTACCGCCGCCTTGAATCATAAAGTTCGTGATGATGCGATGGAACTGCGAGCCCTTAAAGTGCAGCCCGCGGCCCTACGTACGCGTCAGCACAGAAACAGAAACAGGGAAAAGGATGACCTTCTCGCCCGTGCACAAGCACCGGAAGTTCTCGGCTGCAAGCGGCACGACGTCGTCGAGGAGCCGCATCACGACGCGGTGTGTCTGCTGGCGATAGGTTATGTCGAAAAATACGGTCGGGTGTGCTTCGGTCGTCAGTGGCGCCAGGTCTTGGGGCGGCGCGGGGCAGTACTTGGCCCGCAGCTTCGCAAAGAGCTCCGCCTCGCGCCCAATGTGCTTCCGGACTACCGCGTCAACCTCGGCTAGCTTGGTCGGGTTGAACTCCTCGTAGAACGCTCGGACGCGGTCGTGCATGGTTGTCGCCGGTGCCTTGGTTTCTGCTGGTGTGCTGATTGTCGGTGGCTTGGTTGCTGCGGGTGTCGCCATCGTCGGCGCCTGGGCACTTGATGAGCTGCTCGTCGGGGCTTGACGCTGCTGCTGCCGGTGCGACGCCCACGTCTCCTTGGTCCTGGCGAGGAACGACGGAGCTTCTTGCGTCGTTTTCGCCGTTGCTTTTGCAGCCAATGTCTCTGCGCGCGAGGCTTCCCAGGCTGCGCGCGACAAGGCGCGGAAGGTCGCGCCTGGGATGTCGGCCATTTTGCACCAACTGTGCGTACCGTGGTGGACCGGAACCTCCCACACTCGATACAATGGTATCGAAAACAAGAGGCTTTATGAAAGCTGCGTGGGGAGCGTAGAGCTTCTGCAGCAATTTTTGATTTTTTCCTTTTCCCATGTATCTTTGCGCTTGGGGCAATACGATAGTGTGTGAAGCTTATGCTGATGCATCGTGATTGCTAGTTGAAAACTAATCCAACCCCCGTGAGCACGCCCACTGGGCGGGCTTCAATTTATGATATCCCCTCGGGGATTACCCTACCTCTTTTTTGCACTCCACCAGTACTGGCTGCCCACTCCTTGTCCCACATCTTCACCTTTACACCACCTTCCTTGAAAGCATTTATTATACACCTTCCTTGAAAGCTATCGAACAATTTGCGATAATCCAATTTTCTCGTTTATGCTACGCTTGTGTACAAGACGCGGTCACTCGGCCACGTGGCTGCGCAAGGCGGCGGCGACGGCCTCGGTGGACCTATCCGCCGAGATCTCGGCCACCGGCAGCGTCTGGTTGCGGCGACAGTAGTGCAGCAGAGGAGCGAACTCCATAGCAAACTCGTCCGTGCGCCCGTGCACGAGGCGCATGTCGCCACCGCAGCGCTCGAGCAGCGTGGTCGCCGAGCACGTGAGGTGCAAGAGCTACAAGCACACCGCAGTCGCCCACGTGCTATACCTATCCGAGATGTACCTTGCGCAAAGGGCCAACCGCAGCCGTAATGATCGAGAGCTGCTCCTGGACGTACGGCTTGGTGGCGCCGACGACCCGCGGGTACCCCGTCACGACAACGACCTGCGCGCCGCTTCGGCACAGCGCGTCGCGCAGCAGCTGCGCGACGAGGGCCGAGTCTTGGACAGAGGCGGGCGTCGAAAAGGCCCGCGCGTGCGCTTCGAGGAGATGCGGAACGTGCAAGTGCACGGCGCTGTGGGAGGTCGCGACGGCGAGCGTGAGTGGTGCGAGCAACTCGTGACCGATCGCGAGCACGACCCGCGGCCGCAGAGCGTCGCAGATGGGCTCGTACACGCGGGGCAGCTGCACAAAGGTGAAGGCTCGCAGCCGTGGTCCGGCAAAGTGCCGCAGGAGCTTGTCAAACTCGGGCTCCGGCGCGCTCTTCTTGCGCGCTCGATCTTCTTCGTCGGACGAGTAGTAGTCTTCGTCAGTTGGCTCGTGGGACACAGCGAGCACCTTGCGGTGCAGCACAAATACGTTCTCGATCACAGAGCCCGTCGCTTCGAATTGCTCGGCCTACGAGACGCGATTTAGCTGCAGATGGTTCTTATAGCATCGATGACCTCGGCGAGCGACCGAGGAAACCCGACGAGCAGAATCTGCTTGCCTAATCGCCGCTGCAGGAGAAAGCAAAGGAGCTTGACGACGTCGTCCGAGGCGTACTCCTGCATCGAAGCAGCAACTTCGTCCATATGCAGCACGAGGTGTCGCGGCAGGCGTGCTTGGAGCGCCGAAATCTCCACGTCGCTCAGATCAAAGTCACCCAGCACGATGGAGATGGACCATTGGCACAGGGTTGTCGATAAGGTAGCTTCGTTGGGCCCCGTGATGGTGACGATGGCCGCGCCGGCTGCCAACGGAGCCACCGCCTCGGGCACCAAGGTCTCGGACGCTGCCTGGAGAACAAAGGCGGGCGCAGAAGCGAGCACACGCAGCATCGACGCAGCCTGCATCGCACATCTCAGCATTTTCCACTGCCACAAGTGCTTCCTACCTGCGCGCTTGTTTGAGGAAACTCGTCGAGAAGCACCCGACGATTTTGCTTTTGGGCCATGTACCGTTGCAAGACTGCGAGCACCAATGCATCTGGGACAGGCTCGCTGCGTGCGACGAGGGCTGCGATGGTCTCTCCGTCCAGCGACCGCTTGAGCACCTCGGCGCGAAGTACGTCTTTGACGTTCAAGACCGTATAGCCGCGCAATCTGGCCGCGTCTTTGGCCCACGGCGCGTCCATCGCCAGGATGCCAATCGCAGGCGCCAAGAGCGGAGCCAGCACCGTACAGAGATGCGCCACGGAAGTTGGCCCCGGCAGCCACTGATGGTACAACCGACCGAGTCCGAAACACTGCTTCTCAAAAGCACCCATCGAAGCACTTTCCATCGGTTCCGTGTCGAGGAAGAGCATGAGTGGGTGCGGGGTCGCGCCAACACGACGCTGGAGCGCGCACATAAAGGCTTTGTTGCGAGTGTACGCGGGGAGGTGCAAAAGCAGGCACCGGTGGCCAGTCACGCTCGCATCAAACAGCGCAAGCAGCTGCTGCTGCGGGATCTGCTCGCCCGTTTCGATAAAGGGCCGAAGAAGTGGCTGGGATCGTCGCGCCTCGCGCTTGAGTTCGGCGCGCACAATATCGTCCCAGTCGAGGATCGTCCAGCCATGGTGGACGCCAATCGCGCGCCACTGCGCGGTCGAGAGCGCCGCGCGGGGGCTCTCTTGAACGAATACGAGCGTCGGTGCAAAGGCGTCGTGCACGTCGAGGAGGTACGAGGAGCTCGGCGCAGCCTTCGCAATGTGCAGCTGGCCAAACTATCGCGTCGGCGTCAGCCTCCTCCTCTGTGCGAAATACGCTCGTACGCGCTGAAAGAGGTCGAAAAAGTCGAGCTCCTCGGGGCTTGGCGCAAACGCGCCGTCGTCGCTCACGTACACAACCCAGGCAAACTCGGCGACGACCTACAGCAGTCATTGTACGTGTAGAATGCTTTGCCTCGGGACAGAGGTACCTTTTGAAAGGCGAGGTAAAAGCTCAGGTCGGCCGGGCAGTTGTCCAAAATCACACGCTTGGACGTGCATCGCTTGAAGGCCTTGAGTAGCACTGCGATGAGGTCCAAGCCCGGCGGCGCCTACGTCGTCTCGTCACCTTGCTCGTTGGCAAACAATATGGTCCGACCTTTTCCAGCACGAGGGTCAAGTCCATGTAGAGGTACTTGTATTGCGTCGCCATGGCCGTCGCCATGGCCGCGCGCTGCGGCGACGGGCCGTAAAACGCCACGAGATGCAGACTGCTCAACGACGGTACAAGAAGCTCCTTGGGTTGGGCGACGTCGACGATTACCGACGACGACGGCGCGTCATACGAGCACACGCTGTTGCCCTCGCTCTCGTCGCGATGAAGCGCTTGACGAATGAGGTACTTGCCGAGCCACTCTGCGGCGTCGAGCGGCGGCAGCTGCGGCTGCACTTGGCAGAGTAGCGTGAGTCCCTTTGCAAGCGCGTCGTGCAAGGTCATAGTTTCGGCCTGGAAGGGGCCGAGCTGCTGCGCGAGGACGTTGCACTTGAGCGGTGCAAGCGACCGCAGTGGCGTCTTGAAGACGAGGCGGAGCTCTCGGAGCGCACTCTGGCTCGAGTCGCTGCCGTGCGTCGCATTCTTTGTGCCGTCGATGCCAAAGCGTGCGCGAAGACTCTGCGGACTCGACGCACGCGCGGCCGCCGAGTTGGTCGGGCCCATGCACTTGCGCCACATTGCGATCGCCTTGACCCGCGAGAGCATCTACTCGCAATGTTCTAGTGCATTCAACTAGCTTTGGTGGTGACCATCGCCACGATCGGACCGCTCGACATGTACGCGATGAGTGTCGGGAAGAAGGCTTTGCCCTACGCCTCGATGGGACATGGATCCGATACGGTCTGCGCACCTCGTGCTCGGCGTAAAAGGCCATGGCGTCCTCGCGGCTCCAGTGCTGCGTTGCCTCGGCGAGGATGTCGAAGCCGAGTAGACGAATCCGCGCCTGGATCGCCGCTATCGTCTCGGGCGACGCGCCGGGCTTGATCATGGCGTACGTCTTCTCTGGCTACGAGCGAATTGAGTCGCGTACGACAAGACATCGGCGCACGAGAAGGGCGACAAAGCCGGGAAACCACTTGGTCAGCGAGCTCGGAGACGGCGAGAGGACGTCCAAGACGTTGTGCACCAGAGACGAGCCCATGTGCGCTCGGATGCTCTCGGGAAAGTACTGCTTCGCCTCCAATAGGTCCAAGGGGCCCAAAAGAAGTGCCAGCTAGACCCATACAAAAGCGTACTGCAACGAATCCCGCACGCCACGTACTACCTTGGTTGTCACCTCGAGACCTTCAAGAATCAAGGCACGACTCCGGCCTCCTTTGGCGACGCTGCCGAGCTCGCTCATGTACGCGTCGTCGTCGGGGTACGCAGCGATGAGCGCGACGTCGTCGTCGTCCAGCACCGTCTACGCGCCTGATGGATGAGAATGAATGGTCTCGCACTGGGGTGTGTACGTCGATCTGGTCCAGGACATACAAGGCGTGCATCTACAGAGACATGACTCGAAACGCGAAAAGGGCATCGAGAGCAACCTCAAACAAGGCGCTGATCGCATCCAGAAAGCAGGTCGCCGATGGCTTGAGCAGAACCAGCGACCGCTCCATGCTCGGTCGCGCCGGCGGAAACAAAACGTCCTTGTCCCGCAGCGCGCAAGTCGCCGTTGCGCTGCCGTAGAACGCATTGCGCAGCAAGGACGAGCCGTGGAGTGCGCGCAGCGGCGGCGTGGCACCCGCCACCTTCTTGGCCGCCGTGGGGTCTGCAGGGCCGATGACGCTGTTCCAGTGCTCTACCACCATAATGGAGAAATCGAGAAAGGCTGAGCAGACATCGTACCGACAGCTTGGTCGCGACCGAGGAGGAGGGCCATGCACGGCCCGCTGGTCATGAACGCAAGGGTGTCTTCAAAGGTCGGCTCGTCCCAGCAGTCACTGTCCAGCGCGCCATGACGACAAGACAACAACACCATGACAACAACGCTTACCGCATCATCTCGCGGACTTGCATGCGCGAGAGCACGACGAGCCGCTTCGCCTCGACGACGAAGCCTTCGTCTTTGATCCGCTGGAGGACGTCGTCCACGATCTTGCCGTTGCCGGGCGGAGCCTCCACGAGGCCGTCGGGGCCGACGCCGACCTTGAACCCGGTCGCAATGTCGGGCTTGAGGAGCCCAACCGTCCACGACGCTGCCGGGGCCATCTCGACCTTTCGCAAGATCCCAACTTCAACGCTTCGCCAGCTCAAAACTCAATCTCAAAATGGATTTTCTTAGCGCTCAAATTCAAAAGTGCAAAACCTCACGCGCACGCGAGACTTTCGTTGGGCACGTCCGTGACAAACATGTGCCCCGGGGCATGCGTGATCGCAAAGGCCTAGGACGCCACTTGAAATCAAGTCGCAAGAGGAGCAGGACGATCGATGTACCGGTCGGCTCGCGAGCAGGACAGCTTGGGGCGTGACGCCGCAGGCCCAGAACACCGGGACCTATTGGCGGTTGAGTTTCAGAAATACAACAACTTTTGAAGCGTACTTCGCCATCACGCATCGTCACTGCGTCACCATAGTCGGGCTTGTTGATGTCTGCGACGCCAATATCTGCGGGCGACCCCATGTGCACGGGGCTGCATCGATACGTTCAAGCACGGCATGGACGCACGGTTGACGCGTACATACCTGCCGTGGACGTTGGGGTATCGGCCGGTGATCATCGCCGCTTTGATCGCGTCGGCGGGCTTGTACGGGCGCATGCTCACGACGAGGTTTCCTATCGCCTCGCGTTAGGCATATTACCAGAACAAGATACAAAGCGCACCGGAGAAGACGCCGGCGGGATCGCACGGGACGTTGGTTCGGTACATGGGCACGTTGCACTTCTCCTCCAAGTGGCGCACGCGAAGCCCCGCCTACGCCAACTTTCGTCGATCGTCGCGCATACTACGTAAGAAGGCGCGTACGTTTTCGAGCGCGCCTTCAAAGCTGAAGGAGCATCCGAGCAAGAACGTGACAAAGTCCTAGCGCCATGCATTTGCCTCGGCCATCATTCAACATGGCAGTATTACGTCTTTCCAGTAGTCGCGGATGTCGGTGACTTCGGCCGTGAGCTTGCCGTGCTCGTAGATGCGGTACTTGGGCAGGTCTGTGCGGATGTCCGAGCCAGGCGCCGTGCGCTTCATCTCGGTGCAGCCCACATCGCTCACCTCCTATGACATGCCATTGGCACTGGTCGACCGAAGCGAGCATCGTACGAGGAGCGGGCACGGCTTGGGGTTGCGTTGGCAGAACAAGAGAAAGTCGTACGCGTGCTCCTTGGGCAGGATGACGAGGTTCGCCTGCGACGCCGCAATGAGCCACCCCCGCGACCTCGGCAATGCGTACCTGCGCGTAGCCCGGGGCATACCCGGCCGAGTTGCTCGTCAAGTTGCCGCGGCGGCACTCGGCGCGGACCTCGGACGGCGTGAGCATGGTTCACGCACCGAGTTTGGTTGCACTTTGGAAAGAGCACCCAATCGGGTTGCGTCATGCAGGTGCTCTTTTCCTGCAAATCACGTTCGCATTTCTAAACAACGATGATGACGCTATTTGCAACCCTCGATCTTTCGCATCATATAGTGTGAAGATGGAAATGCCGTCGCAGGCACAATCATGCTGGTCTAAGCGCTTGCATGTCTTCCCCACGCCGTACGCAATGCATCTACTTCTAGTCGATCTTACATGCTTGTTGTCATGCAGGTACCAACCCTTGCTGCAACGTACCGCGGGTCCCCGGAGGATGTCGTAAATAGTGTGTGGCGAGGATACTCCTTTCTGTTGATGCAGCAGCGTCGAGGTTGCAGTTGAGATATTGCGGTGCGGATGAGCTTGAGCAAGCCGATGAAGACGCTGGCGACGGCAACGTCCGCCGCAGTCGGGGCTGCGCGGCCTCTGTCATTCTGTACCCTCTCGATACGCTCAAGACGCGCATGCAGTCGCAGGCCAAGGGCGACGAGAAGACGCCGCTGGACCTCTCGCTCTACAAGGGCGTCGGCTACAAGGCGGCGCAGTCGACGCTCTCCAAGTTCCTCTACTTCTACGCGTACACGAGCATGGCCAACGCGTTGACGTCCAAGGACGCCAAGAGCCTCTCGACAGCCATGAACCTCGTCGTGGGGTACCTCGCCGAGCTCTTCCACCTCCCGCTCTCCCTCCCGCTCGAGGTCATCATCACGCGCATGCAGACGACGAAAGGCGACACCAAGCAGAGCTTTTTCCAGCTATTGCAGACGATGTGGGACGAGAACAATGGTCAGCTCGCGGGCTTCTACAAGGGCTTCTCGGCCTACTTTGTGCTTTGCCTCCAGCCCGCGATCCAATTCACGGCCTTTGAGCAGGTCAAGAAGCTCTACTTGAAGAGCAAGGCGTCTTCGTCCTTGTCGGCGATCGAGGTGTGCTGTCTGCCTAGCGAGAAGACGCATCACTAACGATGTCACTGTGCAGGCGTTCATGCTCGGCGCTGCGGCCCGCTCGTTGGCGACCCTTGTCGTCTTTCCGTACATTCGCGCCAAGGTCATCATGCAGGCCAAAGCCAAGGCTGCTGCGGGCGATGCGACGCCGCCCGAGACGATCCCGGCCATCTTGCAGCGTCTTGTACGCGACGAAGGCATCGGTTCGCTCTACCGCGGCCTGTACCCCGAGCTTACCAAGGTAGCACAGAGAATTTGACGCGACGCTCGTTGCTCACTTTTGATTGTAGGGCGCGCTCTCGGCGGCCTTTATGCTCATGGTGAAGGAGAAGATTGAGGCCTACGTGACGCTCTCGATCATGCTGACGCAAATGTACATGTCGAGTTAGAGCGCCTTGAGCTGGCGCACGACCGCCTCGGTGCGCGCGGCGTCGCCTTGCTTTGTGTAGAGTTTTGCCTACGAAAGCGATCCTAATGAGATTGTTTGAAGAGTGCGCGTTGTCGTACGAGTGACTTGAGGGTCGTTTTCGCCGCCGGGTCGAGGGCGTGGGCCGTCTGGAGCCACAGCTCGGCCTTGGCGTACTCGTGGCACCGGATGTAGGCCTCGCCGAGCAACGCCATCACCGGCGCCCTCTGAACGGCAAGCGACGCGCGCAAGTACAAGGCTTCTTCGAGCCTATAATGGCGCGAGATACGAGGAACCACTCGAGCGCCACCGCATACGATACCACGGAATCGCGCTGCTGGGTTCGTTCTTCGTAAAGAGCGCCCGAGCGTGGTCGAGGTAGATCTCAAAGACAGCAGCCGCCATCGCACCTTCGTCGGCCGCACGTGCGAGGGCGAACCCCGCCAAACGTTGTAAATCCTATGGACGCATATATCATGAGCGTGCGGGATTTTGCGAGAAGGCGATATCGCACGGGATGCGGGTACGTGATGTGGAGGCTCCACTGCTGCGCCAAGTCGAGAAAGTAGGCCGCGGGCGTCGCCTCGGTAGCAAAGTGCGCGTCGGCGGCAGCAATCGCAGCTTCGAGCGTCGCGGACGGTGGCGACAGCGGGAACCGCCGCTCGGACGGTGGCAGTACCTGGAGATCCTTCTCGAGAATGGGCTGCTTCTTCCAAAGGAGCTTCTTGACACCAGTGATCTTGAGCGTGCCGTCGTAGAGCTGGAAGAACTCGGTGCCCATGGACACATCGTGCATCTTGTCGATCGCATTGTCGGCAATCCCAAAGAGGTCGTAGAGTTCACGCTGGACAAAAACGCCGTTGAACGTCGTCGTGCTCACGAGCTCATAGCCTAGTTCAAAAGCAGGTTTCCGATAGAATCAAAAAGCACCACATACCTTTGGTCTTGCCGAGCTCGATGAGCGCCGCGAGGGACGAGCCTTGGTAGACGGACATGTCCTTGTCTTGGATAAAGACCACGTTGTTCGGAATCGTCGGGTTAAACTCGATCACGACGACCTTGGGCGCGTACGTGCGAAGGCTGTCCCAGATGTGGTAATCCGCGCCATCAATGTCGATCGACACCAGATCCACGTCGCGTGGCACCTCGTGGCGGGCCAAAATGGCCTCGAGCGAGTCGGGTCCTTCGAACGTGACAAACTGGTTGACGCACGCAACGCCCGGAAACGGCGCGTACATGGCTTGCATTTCCAGAAAGCGGTCCGTGTCGGCTTCGATGAGCACACCGCGCCAGCCCTCTTCGTGCAGAAGCTTCCACGTGTTGGAGAGGTGCTTCCCGTCCCACGCGCCAAACTCGACGCACCACCGCCCCGCACCCGACGACCGGCCTTCGTGCGCATCGAGGCGTGAAAAGACGCGCTCGAGCACGCCGTCTTCGCCGCCCTGGGACGTGACGTTGAACGAGTTCTTGATCAAATGGTCGTTCTCGGCGCGCTTCGCCGGTGGTGTCCGGCGACAAACCGGCATGGCGCCTTTTAAAATGGCGACGCCATCAGGTTAAAGTGCGTTAAATAGAGTGGCCACTCGCGGTTTCGCGGTGGCATGCCAGGATGTCATCGCCAAGCGAAACGGTCAAGTCAGATTGTGTCAACGTGCGCCCGTTGAGACTTCAAGCAACTTCACGTATAGTCCTACACAGTACGTTGTGCTCGTCACGCTACATCAACGGTGTTTAACCTGCGGCGCGTTGCGGTATAAGCCTTTGGCGCATTGATTGCGTTTGATGCGCTGCAGCGACTAACGTGACGAGTACTTCCAGTCACACGAATTCATAGTACAAGATGCATGGCCGAGCACGTTTCTACATGCGAATGCAAAGACTGGACCGGCCGGGATCAGGCCCTGTGCACCACCACCCCAAGACACTAGGTTTTATGTTTAAACACGTTAAACCTTGGACCTGGCCGTTGGATCCTGAAAGGGCGCTCCGGAAAAGTCCCGGCAACTTGCAAGCCAATCAATTGCGTGAACGTTCGTGTGCGTCCCAAGATCGATACAAAGTGCCAGTCTAGTCCTTGCATACAAACTTCAAGTGTGGTCGCACGACTGACGCAATGCTGACTTTCACGTTTTTGTGTATCGTGGTTGAAGGGCCGGGTATCGTACACCGTACATTCCATCGGCTCGTTTATATCCAAATACGTATGCTGTCCAAATGTACGCGTGTACGCTTCTCGTACGGGACGTACATTGTGGGATTTGCGAGAGGCCAATCGCCTCAAGTTCCCGCCGCACCGCACGTTTGGATTGGCCAAAATCCAAGGCACGAGCGCTGTGATTGGACACCGCCTGGCGCCCTCCCAAGATACATTGATCAAGTCGAAAGGTCAGATCGGACGTTGACACTGAAACTGTATGTCATACTTTATTCGAGTAAAAAAGAGAACTGTCGAAACGATGCGAAGTCGCTCAAATTCGCGATTGCCAGCCAAACGCCATGACCGGCTCCGTGACCGAGCTGCCGATGAAGACGGAGGCGAAGGAAGGGGCGCATGCAGGGACGCTGCAGTTCCAGGTGCGCCAGGGCCGCGAGCGCACCAACTCGGAAGAGACGGCCATGATTCTGACTGCGATGGCAGCCAACAAGGACGACCCAACACCGACCCAGGACGATGAGAAGGTCAAGGCCGACGACGACGACGAGGGGTGGAGCTCCGATGGATCGGACAAGGGTCGTCGTGGCGGGTCGAGTGCTGCCAACCGCATGAAGTACCAAGCGACCAAGCTCATCTCGATCGACGAGCTGCGCGACCACTTTGACCAGCCCATCGTCGAGGTCGCCCGTCACTTTGGCATCTGCATCACGCTCATGAAGAAGGTGTGTCGGCGCAATGGCATCAAGCGGTGGCCACATCGCCAGATTCGGTCGCTCACCAAGAGTATCAGCTCCATGGAAGCCGCCATGATGACGGCCAATGTCTCGGAACGCGAAAAGTACGAGGAGCAGATCCGGTCCCTTGTGCTCAAGCGCGACGCGGTGATTGCCGACCCGAACAAGGAAGTGTCCGTCTCCCTCGCAAAGGCATCGGTCAAGGACGAGAAGCGCTCGCCACGAAGCGCCGGCAAGCTGCATGACGACGAGGACGATCTGCAAGACGACGAGAACGGTGACGACGACGACGACAACATTGGTGGCAGTCCCGCCGTGTCCCCCAAGACGCAGCCACAGGCGGGCAAAGATGACGGTGCTGCTCGAACGTTCATTTTGCCTGCGTCGCACCCGCGCCCGCCACCGCCGCAGTACGAAGTCAAAGGTGGTCGGTGGACGGCGCAGGAGCATGCGTCCTTTCTGGAAGGCATCAAGCTCTACGGCAAAAACTGGCGCCGTGTCGCCCAAGTTGTGGGCACGCGCAACGCTGTCCAGACGCGCACGCATGCGCAAAAGTACCTTCTCAAAACGAGCGCCCACCTCGAGATCCACCTCGCGCTTCTGAACAAGGCTGCGGTTGACGAGGCGCCGTCAGCGTTCGACAAGCTCCAGGCCCTAGCAGCCAGCGCCCACGATGAAGTCGTCGGTAGTGGTCTCGACCATCTCTCGGCTGTTGTCTCCGAGGCCGCGAAGAGCCCGCGGGACAAGCTCAACTTTGCGACACCGCTCGTGCTCTCGGCGTCACCGCGTCGGCTTCCGGGTAACCCGAGCTCGTCGGCCGCGTCCACTCTGCGGAAGCTCGTACTTGCACGCAAGCCCGATGACGCGTCGCCATTGCAACCGCTTGCCAAGAAGCTCAAGCCCGTGGCCGACGAGCCATTGCCGGGCAACGAGAACGCCGTGCCCAACGCCAACTCGGGCTAGCGGCCTGCTATGGATTTTTGTATTTATTGCTGTCCATAGTCGAGTTTGCGTCCAATGACTTGTTCTTTTGTATGCTGCCATCGCACAAGAAGATCATATTTCACTTGTATAAAGATGAGGATGAGAACCGGAGTGCTGCAATCTAATGGTGGTGCGCGGCGCCCTTGTTCGGGTTGCGGTTGTCAAGCTTGAAGTACTTGTCGTAGTCCGGGACGTAGAACACCTTGCCTTCATGGAGGTTGAACCACTTAATGTACGGGGAGTCGTTGTGAGAGATGCCGATCGCGCGGTGCGAGTTGAACGAGGGCACAAGGATCGGGTTCTCCTTCGAGTTGCCCTGCGACTCTTCCGTGAAGATCGGGTCGCGCGAGAAGAGCTCGATGCCCTCCTCCGCGAGCTTGAGCTCGGCGCCCTGGCGACCGACGGCCTGGTCGATCATGTTGGGGAGGTCCTTCTCGATCGTCGAGAACGAGCGCGTCGAGCGCTTCGCGACGGTCTTGGCAAGGCTGAGCATCTCTTCAGGGTAGCAAAACGATGAATAGCAGTCACTAGCCAAACACCACCCATTGCCGCGCCAGAGCCCTGTTAAGTGCGCCGACGCCACCATCGCACTTACATGAGTCAATCCAGCTCCACTTTGTATACGTCAAACCGCACTTGAACGGACGCGCGTGTGTTTTTGTGTCGCCGCGCTTCTGATTGGCCGAAATGCGACAGAAATACGCTCCACGAACCATGGCCCAATGAGCGCGCAGGGGAACTGCCTGGCAATCCTACCCTTCGCCGCGGTTCCTCATATTATGAGAGACGGTCGGACAAGCGCAATGTACGCCCTCCGAACGACGACCCTGCTTGAGAGCACTGCGTTCGAGGTGCACGGAACTGAAGCCGAAGGCGCGCGAGCCTGCTATGCGAGTGACGAGGACGAGGCGAGGGTTGCAGTCGCCTTCAAGGACACATAGACAGGGCACGGTGTAGCTACACTTCGCGCCATGCCCATGCAACGGACGCCATGCAAAGAAAGATCCGCTGCATTCGGTACTATCGCGAGCTCGCATCATTTACGTACATCCTGCCATTCTCCTCAGAAAGAAGCGGCCGGGGACTGAGCGGAGGACGCATTTTATTCTGCTGCATCGAGGCAGCTTGTCTTTCGCTGCGCATACCACTAGATGTACCAGCAACGCCCGCCCACCGCCAACGATAGCGTGCGGGGTTGCGTATAGCGCGCTGGGTCGATATATAGGCCCGGACTTCCTTGTGCTTCGTAGCAGTTGTGCCGTTTCGAGGACAAACGGCCACGTGGCCGAAGCGGTTGCATCTGGAAAAGGACACGTTCGACGGAAAGACGCAGAGCCCAAGAGCCGTGGGACGGGCGCGTGGCTTCCTGCAAAGGGGCTCCTTGGTCGCTGTGTACGTGGCTGCATTGCACGCGTAATATCAAAATATCGCTCAAAGACCTGCCACGAAAATAAGCAAGATAGAGTTTAGATTAGAACTTGGTTGTCTATTCGACGTGGGCGGGCTTGGGCATTATGAAAAGCGACGTGGCTTCCGTGTACGTGTTGCCGTCCGCGTCCTGAACCTTGGCCTTGAGGTACACTTTCCGGCCCTCGATGCGCTCAAGCTCCGTCGTCACGATCGCGAGCGTTTGCGCCGGCAGCGGCTTGCGAAAGTTGACATTCAGATTCGCTGTGAAGCCCGCCTTGTCCATGACCCTAAACAGCACGATCAATAAATTTGCACTTGACGGCAAGGGCATCATCATCATCGTACCAGTACATGGTCCAGCCAAAGAGCTCGTCGCAAATCGTCGAGATGCACCCGCCATGCACTAAACACATGCATCTTGGTCAACGAAGCCGTCAAAAGAAATAATCACAACGTACCAATGCCCTCGTGGCCGCAGAGACTGCTCCCGAAATGCACAAAGCTCGTCGTGGACTGCTTGTCGACATGCCCAAAGACGACAAACGACTCGTACTTGCCACCAATGTTGCGCAGCGAGTGGATAAAGTGCTTCTCGACGTCAAAGAGGCTGTCGTCGCCAAAGGCCTTGTCGCTAAACACCCCTTTAGGCGACTAGGCGGAACCCCGCATCACGGATACCTCAGGTTTTCGTAGTCGGGGTTGGTGCGGTAGGCCGCGACGGGGTCCACCAGGGTTGTTGTTGTCGTCGTCGTCGTCATCGAGACCATGCTTCTTGGCGTGCGTGCAGGGGTAAATTGAAAATGATGAGCATCGGCGCGGGACTCAACCGGCAGAGTATCCCCGCGTGCCTCTTCGCGCTTTTTGCTGCAAGATTACTTTTTCTCCGCGTGTTTCGTCAACAATTCATTCCAATCAGCATACAAACATCAAGATGATTTAATTATGGTCGAAAATGACCTACATTCCGGTTTTTGGCGCTTTCCCGTGTTGATGAATGGGGGCCGATGCATCATCCGACGCCGGCGGATTCGTTAACTAGCAGCGGCATGGACGCCGCGAATCAGCGCCTCGCACCGGTGACGTGTCTCGATGACGTCTACCGATGACGTCTACCCGTGCTCGACGGCGGTGATTACTCCAACGACTCTCACTGCTGCTAAAACACCGCACAATGGACGCTTGCGTGTTGTTTTCTATAGAAAGGCAGCTCGTACAAGTGGACATCACGCTTCTGTGGGCCGCGGAAGAATGAAGAGCGCACTGGCTTCCGTGTAGAGCGTGCCGTCGTTGTCTTCGACGCGAGCTTTCATAAAGACCTGCGAATGCGTTAGCTCCAGACCGGATGATGCACTGTTTCGTCGCACCTTGCGGCCCTCGCGGCGATCGAGCTCTGTGTAGATGATCCCGCTCGTTTGTGTCGGCAGCGGCTTGCGGAAGTTGACGTTCAGATACGCCGTAAAGCCAACGTTGCCCGTGATCCTACGTACATTGATGTGTGTTGCCGCAGCTTCTTTGTGCGCGTACCAGTACATGGTCCAGCCAAAGAGTTCGTCGCAGACCGTCGAAATGCAGCCGCCGTGAACTACGAGGTGCACGCTATTAGTGGCGTAGTACAGCGCCGAACGCACCAATGCCCGTGTGGCCGCAGAGCTTCTCGCCAAAGTGCACCAGGCTGATCGTTTGCGTCTTGGCCACATCGCCGTAGACCATGAACTCTTCGTACTTGCCCTGAATGTCCGAGAGCGAGTGGATGTAGTGCTTGGTCACGTCAAAGACGTTGCTGTCGACGAGCACGTCCGTGCTAATAGCGGCGTAAGCACCATGCTCCGGCCTCGGCACGAACCTGATGTCCTGGAAGCTCGCATCGTTTGTGATCGCCTCGTACTTGGACGGCATGCTAGGCTTGACCTACACATAGAGGATCCATCGTCAGTAGCCATCAGTGTTCGCAACGAGCGTTGGCTTCTGCGCACAGGCGTCAATTCACCCCGCGCCGCATCGTTCAGTCGCTGGCGCTTGGCAAGCTAGCGCCGGCGGCGTAAGGAGCGCTACGAGTTGGTAGTAGACGTACGGGGGAAGGCGGCGCTGTGGGCTCCATGCTGCGGTCGTTGTCGCTGGGGTAAAACTGGCCGCCACGCCATCGTGGCTCCTCACCCTCGGAACGAGATGCCATTGGTCTACATTTTGAGCCAATCCCGTTGCGGGATTTGATAAGGGACTAAACGCACGCAATTCTGCGCGATCGCAGAGGACACTCAGGGTCGCACCACCAAGCGTTAATAGCCTTGATCACAGCGAGACTCGACGCGGAGTGCAGCGACGGGGTGATGGAAGTGTGTATCAAACGAGCAGGTGGCACTGCCTAGAGCATTCACAGCGTGGAGCTGCGATAATTGAAGCAACAAAACACTACATGTAGATTGGCAGGTCGTCGTTTTGAGGTGTCGTTGGATCAGGTCCGAGCTCGTAGTCAAGAGAGTCCTTCCAGAATCTGGCGTCGGCCAAACGAGCTCACCACAGCTTTCTCAGCTTGCGAGAAATCCAGCATCGGCATCCAATGCTAACGCTGCGTGGATCGTGAGCCGGTTTGCCGTATGGAGAAGCATTCGAATCGAAGGCCCTGATGTGCTCTTCTCTACGTTGTAGGAGCAAGTCTGGAGGCGGCTCTTCATTTTCCTATTGGCGCAGCGATATGCACTGCAGCAGTCTCTCTCGCGTCCTCGTGCTCGTCCTGTCGCTCGTGTTGCTCCACGTGACGGCTGCCACCGACGACCTCCAGTGCAAAACGGAGCTCCAGGCCAAGGTGCTCGACACTTTCCAGGCCAACGCAGACGCTTTCCGCCAATGCTCGTCGACGAGCTCGTACCAGATCTTCCCGTACCCCGGGTCGATGCCTTCGACACTGCAAACCGTCGCGATCTGCGGCAGCGCCCACTGCGCCGTGCTCATGAACAAGATCGCCACGTTCCCCGACTGCGAACTCGCAGGCACACCGCTGCGCCGCGTCGGCCTCGTCATGCGCCAGGTCTGCGAGGCATTCAGCCGCGGGGTTCCGGTGCCGGGCCCGCGCCAAATCGCCGATCTCATCAACAACTACCAGCCACCGGCGCCTGTGACGGCTGCACCGTCCGTGGTCCCGACATCGGTCGCGCCATCGACAGCAACGCCCAGCAGCGCACCAAGAACAACAGCTCCGTCGCCGGCGCCTGTGTTTTGCTCGTAAGCACGAGGTCGTGGCTAATGATGTGTGTGTATCGAATTGAAGATCTGTACACACAAGAACAGACATATTGTCCATCTCCAAAGGTAGATTGGACGACCTATGGGAGATGGTGAACGCTCTAAGCTTTCAAATGTATATAAAAACGACGGGAAACCAGTGGCCAACGATCGACAGAGTGCCGTCGTCGATGAGACGGGGATCGAAGCGAGGGCCACGTAAGAGTACAGAGAGAGAGCAGACGTTAAGAGAGCTCGCTCGTCCGTCGTGGTTGAGCCCGGCCTGCGGTGGACGTGGCGTCGTTTCCGGGGGTTGAACCCGTGGCCCAGAACTTTTGCGCGCGCAAAAAGTCACACTAATTCACGACGACTGAGATGGTGTACACCGTTATCCGGATTGCAACCCACGGTGCCATAGCGGGAAAGCGCGAGGGGCCCCATATTTGAGGCCAAGATGACGACGCCCGAGGTACAGCAGCCGCGACGAACGGCCTTGGCCTCATCCGTGCCATGTGTAGAAGAAGCAGAAGTCCATCGCCGCCTTCTTCTCGCCTGTCACCCGGGCAGCGGCGCCACCGGCTGCGGCGAATCTCGTCGAGGCCAAGCCTCCAGCAGCAATCGCAGCGACCAAGTCGACCGCTTCACCGATGCAGAGCAAGCCGTCGACGCCGAAGCGCACCCCGATCAAGAAAACAACCGAAGAGAGCGCAAAGCGAGAGACCACGGTTGCCGCTGTGGTATCTCTCGCCACGGCTCCGCAGCCTGAACTGGCGGTTGCGACGGTCAGTAGCACACCACCGAGCCCCGCGGTAGCGTCGCCACCCAAAGAAAAAAAGCCCGCTCCGTCGACCTCGGGATCGGCCAGTGCACCCATCGATGTGGCCATGGACAGCGACGATGCACCCGTGACGGCGACGAAGAAGCGCCGCTCGGACAATGCAAGCGAAGCTAAGGTGCCTGCAAAGAAGCTCAAGGGCAAGGCGTCGAGACGCGAAGAAGAGAACGACCACGATGATACTGCCAGCGTCGAAATTGTCGACGAGCCGCCTACGAAAGAGACGCGGAAGCGGACGCGGCCCGTGCGCCAAGCAGCCTTGGCGCCCAAAGTCGCCGAGCCCGTCGAAGTCTTGTCCAAGAAGCCGACGCCGCGTGCTGTGAAAAAGAGATTGTGCCCGAGGTCGTGGTCGCGCCACCGACTCCCGTCGTCGTCTTGTCGCCGGCGCAGCAGCAGAAGCTTGATTTGTACCTCTCCAAGCTCCACGACGCCGAGCGTGCGATCCAAAGCGGCGACCCCGTCGCCCACGAAATCTACGGCCTCGCACTCGACTCGCGACTCGAGTTGCATCCAGCGCTCCAGGACGAGTGCACTATCGCGCTAAGTTCTGAGAGCAGCGACGTTGCACCGGCGCTCAAGACGTACCTGGCGCGGTACGTGCAAGGCAGCATGGACGCACTCTCGGTGCTTGTGAGTGGCATCCGCGCTGCCTGGACGACCCTCGCGCCAGACCACGTCTTCAACAGCGCGACCGTCGAGATGGAGATCAAAGTCATGGCCGAGCGCATCGCGTATGGCGCCAAGCCAAAGAAGTCCAACCTCTTTGAAGACACGACGACGCGCGCGCTGTACGTCTGGGAGGTCGGCAAACTCGACGGGCGCTTTGGCGACGACGACTCGGTCAAGGTCATTCGCCGCATGCGCAAGCAGCGAAAGCGCACAGGCGCGTACCTCAAGACACTCGACCGCATCGTGGGCATGCTGCAGGACGCCAAGGTCGACGACTCCAAGCTCAGCGTCGAGGAGGCAAAGGCAAGCAAGTTCCTCGTCTCGGTCGAGATGGAGAAGCAGCGCGCGCTCGAGAAGGAGCAGAAGGCGACGCTCGCCCTCGAAAAAGAGGAGGCCAAGCGCAAGGAGAAGGAAGACGCGGCCGAGAAGAAGCGGTTGAAAGACCAAGCAAAGGAGGACGCCGAGGTGGCCAAGCGCCGACAGACGCTCGTCTCCTACTTCCAGCCGACGCCCGCCAAACCGACGGCCGTGCCCGCGCCACCGGTGACAGTTGATCTCTCGAACGTCGACGCTGATGCTGCAGCGCGGCTGCTTGCGATGGACAAGGCTCTCGGGCTCTCGGGCTCTTCAGCGTCCGGCGACGTGGCGGCGGTCGCGGCTCTTCGCAAGCAGCGCGCGGTTATCACACCTGGCAGCTGGTCCAGTCGCCGCGTGCGCCACCCGACACTCGGGATCAAGAAGCTGCTGCAGTTCCATGAAAACTACCGCCCCGCGTACTGCGGGACGTTCTCCAAGAAGACACGCGTGCTGCGGCGTGGTCGCAAGCCGCTGGCGCTCGTGCCATCTCTCGACTACTCGATCGACAGCGACGACGAGTGGGAGGAAGAGGAGGTCGGCGAAAGCCTCTCGGACCAAGACAGTGACGAAGACGCCGAGGACGGCGACGACGCACTCGACTATGGCGACAAGTGGCTCGCGTACGAGGACGAGGTCGACTACGTGGACCGCGCACCGGACGACGAAGCTGCGACCGAGTCGCGCCACGTCAAGGTCTCGGACATGCCCAAGGCCAGCAAGCTCACGAAGCTCGTGCCGCGGATCCTCGGGCCTTACTACACACCGTCGACGGCGCCAGAGCTCACGGCCTTTCGCATTGAGCTCCTGCACCCGATCGTCCTCGAGTCGCCGCTGCTCAAGAAGAAGGCGCCTGCGGCCGAGCCAGAGCCAGTCCCGCCTAAGGTGACGCCGACCAAGGTCGTTGCCAAACCCACGCCCTCGACCAAAGCCGGCCTCACCACGTGGCTCCAAGCCGAGACGCCGTCGTCGTAATAAACTTTTATATAAAAACCTACTATTCCTACCGTCTATCGGCTACGCCTTTTTGTGCCGGTAGCCGTCGCGCTCGGCCTCGCCCTTCTCGAAGAGCTCGATGCGGTGGCCGAGGCGGCGCGCCCGACGAAGAAACATGGTCTCGCTCACAGACGGGCGCTCGGCGGACCGCCGGGCCTTCTCGAGGAAGTCGTCCAAGTGCGGCGGCAGCTCCTGGTTCTCCATGGCCTTGGCCCTGGCGCGCGCAGCCGCGAGAAACCCAGGAGGCGCAAGCGCCTCGAGCTGGGCCGAAGTCGTTGGTTTGCGCGACCGGCGCATAAAGTCTTCTTCAAAGTCCGTGAGGCGCACGTCGTCGTTGGTGGCGTTGAGAAGCTGGTAGTCGCGAACCCGCTCGGCGCGGGAGGCCACCTCACGGGCGCTCCGCACGCGCATCTCGAGGAAGAGCACGACGAGCGCGACGATGAAGATGGCAAACCACCCGAGGTTCAGGTAGTACACCGGGTTGCTCGTGGGATTCGCGAGCGTGAGATTCGCATACGCGCAGATGGACGTCCAGACCGACATGACGTAAATGAACGACTTGACGATGCTCGCATACCTACGACGTGCCTTGTTGAAATGACAGAGGCGAATGGGACGCTTTACCAGATCGAGGACGTTTTGCAGTAGAGCGTGAGGCCAAAGAGCCCGATGTTCATGACCATGCCAATCGTTACCATGTACTCGCGGTAAAAGGTAAAGAAGAGCGCCGCGACGATCGCAATCGTCTTGCCGAGCTGACTCGCGAGCACGATGATGGGCGAAAACTTGATGTCGACGTCCTCTCGCGGAAAGAGCACCTCGGCCATGCCGGCGCTCAGGATGCCGATTGGAAGAAAGTACGAGAGGCCTGCGAGCCCGATAAACGCCAGCCTACGCGCACGCGATGAACGTCTCCCAACCTATTTCAAGAGCGTACGGGAGGTGGTCGGGGCTCCAGCACACGAGGTCGACGTCAGGATACGCGTACAAGAACGGTTGCGTGTGCGTGCACTCGGACGCGTCTTGGAACTGGTCGCACGTGCAGCAAAAGAGGAACGATAAGAACGTATTGAGAATCGCCTAGACATCATTGCACAAAACATGCGAGGGGCAAGCGTCGTACGACAAAGTGGATGCTGCTGACGATGGGCGGGAGGTCCTTGGTGAGGCGCTTGTTGAGCTTGGGGTAGCTCTTGTGAAACTTGTTGGCGCACTTGAGCAGCACGAGGTACGCAAACACGATTGCGGACGCGCCGTATGCCTTGAGGTAGAGCACGTCGAGTGGCTGCATATTGAGCGCGTCGAGGTTGATGCCTGTAATCCCGAGGCTCCCGATCGCGGCAACGAGTGTGGGCATTTGGAAGCCCGAGACCCTACGACGCATGAAAGAACGAGCGGTTGATTGGCGCGTCGCACCATTTGACAGTCTTGCTAAACGGAATGGTGTTTTGCTGCACGAGCTCCATAAAAAGGCCGTAGACCGCGAGGTAGTTGCCGTGGTAGCCAAGGACAGGGTAGAAGCGCACGGTTTGGCGCTCCTGGACCATCATGTTTTCGCTTTCTACGCATCGTTGAGCTTGCTAAAGGTATAGGATCGAGTACTACGCTTGATGAGCTGGAGAATTGAGAGCAAGACGAGAAAGTACACGACGACGAAGAAGCCACCCATGAACCACTTCATAAAGTAGTCGACAGCGTCGGCCGGTGCGTCGAGCTGTGGCAAGACGACGAAAAACAGCAGCAACGGGACGACCCAGCCGATGGCCCAGAAGCTCCAGTGCTGCCAGAAGCGCAGCCCCAAGCTCCCACTCTCCTTCATCCTAAAGGAGCAGTTGATTCGGCCTCGCACCACATTCTAGATTGTACCAGATCGTAAAGAGCTCCGAGATTGCCTTCATTGCGTGCTTGTAGATGATGATACTGTGCACAATGTCGCGCGTGAGCTTAGTGCGCGTCGTGTACTTGGACTGCAAGACATCCGTCTCGGGCCACGAGTCGTCGAGCAGGTCCAGCTTGAGCTCTTCCAAGCGCCAAAACGTGAGGTTGAGAAAGGCGCGGAGCAGACATCGGAGACCGCGCGCGTACATGCGGCGGATGCGCGGGGCGTTCTCGTCGTCCACCTCAAACGTCCATCGCGGAAAGAGATTGCGCTGGATCTCGTCGACGAGGTACCCCCACGCCATTTGCTCCGAGAGCGGGTCTTCGAGCACCTTGTCGGCGACAGGAAGCACAAACTCGGCGTACACTACGTCGGTCGGGTCCTTCTTGATCTCGTCGACGGTCTTGCCATCGTCCTTCTCGACATAGTAGTTCATGCCCACGGAGCGCGCGACCCACTGCTTGATCGCACGGCGCGACGACCGAGGAAGCAATCGGTGGTGCTGGGGCTTCTTGATGTTTGGACGGGCCCGCGTAATGAGCCCCGAGAGCTTCGTGATGTCGCTCTCAAGGTGGCGCGAGTCGAGCGCTTTGGCGTGCGCGACCGAGTCGGCGAGAGAGCCAAACGTGCGCGCTTGCGAGAGCACAAATTCAAGGTGCAGCAGTCGCGTGTGCTGGACCGGCGACAGAATAAACTGCCAGACGTTCACGGGCAGCGTCACGTGCTGCACAATGTCGAGCGACACATCTGCCCCCGTTTCGCGCCCAATGAGCGACTCGAGCTTTTGCCGAAGAAGGTAGAGCTCGGCGTGCTCAAAGTGGGTCTCAAGCGTCGCGGCGTCGCCTGTTTTAAGAAAGGCTCGGAGCAGCTCTTGCTTGGCGCTTGGCAGCGTCGGGCAGAGCTGCTCGACGAAGCGCGGCTTCAACGCGAGCGTCCCGTCGGCTGACCGGTCGGTGCCAAAGACGCGCAGGTACTTCCAGAGCAAGCCGATGCTTGCGGCGGCTTCGTGCCGCGGTAGCGTGAGCAGAGAGGCCAACGGGAAAGAGGACACGAGCGGCCGGTTGACGCCGTGAAACAAGGGGTTGGTGGGCGACGCGCTGGGGCGGCGCGCGGTGTTGGCCACCTCGGGTACGCTCGCCTTGGTCTTGCGGGCCCGCCACGCAACGAGGATGCTTTGGATCGACGAGAGCGCGAGGCGCGGGTGCTTGCACACAAACAAGACGCCACGCCCAATTCGTTGCAGCAGCGCGCGGATGGCGTCGCCGAGGCCCGCGGCTTTGATGTGCCCGACCATAAACTCATCCAAGCCGTAGCTCGAGTTGTCTTCTTTCCGCATCGTGCGGGCAAAGAGGTAGCGCGCGCTCGCGGTGAGCGTCACAAACGGCCCGACGCCGTGCACTTCGATCGCTTCGCAGAAAAGATCGGCGATCGACGCGTCAGTGTCGCACGCTTGGCCGAGGCGCCGGCGGCCGTTGGCAGCAAAATCGAGTCGGATGTCGCGCAAGACGTCCTCGGCGTGTGTGAACGAGGCTTCGTCGAGGAGGCTCCCGAGCTTCTTGCGGTCGATGATGCGCTTGAGGATGAACAAGATCTTCTTCATGTTGTTGCGCATAAAGTGCCGCCGCTCGGCGACGTTGACGTCGCGGCGCGCCTCGGGAAAGCGCACTTCGTGAAACTGCAAGAAGATGTGGCCAAAGTACGACGCGTCGAGCTGGTCAAGGACCGAGAGCACGGTCAGCGCCAGCGTCTCGAGCTGATTGACAAAGGACGTGACGCGCCGGAGCTTGGCCTCGGCGTGCGGCGTGTCGTTGGCGACGAAGCCGGTATACATTTCCAGCACCATGCTCAGCACGTGATGCACAAACGTCATGAGCCGCGCCGAGTGGTCGACCGCGTTGAGCATGTCGCCGATGCCCTTCTTGCGGTTGCGCACGAGGATGTCGCGCAGCCGATTGTCGCGGTGCTGCTCCGTAAACTGCACGCAGTAGCGCAAGACGACGTCGAACGAGTCGTCGGCCAGCGTCTCGAGCTGCGTGATCGCTTGCGTCGGGAGCAGTTCGCGGCACTCGGCGCTCAAAACGCCCGTTTTGATGCCTTTCACGACGGCCAAAAAGTACACTTTCTGAACGACGCGCACGGCGAACGCGTGGTCGCGCGCCGTGAGGCGAAGGGCGCGCTGCACGGCGCGCTGCAGTAGCTGCACGCGCGGCGCATTGTGCAGTCGGAACGCGATTGCGAGCACGTGCTGCTCGATGACGCGCCGGTCGACGCTTCCCTCGACAACTTGGGCGAGGAGCGTCGCGGCTAACATTGTCGACTCGAGCCACACATCCGTGTCGTCGAACGGGAGGAGCGGCCAGAGCACGAGCTCTACGAACGGCATGACGTGCGGCGAGAGGGCGTTGGGGAAGAACGCGTGGTGGATTTCAGGCGGTAGCGACGCCGTGATGAGCAAGTTGGTGCTTAGAAAGCTCGCAATGAGCACAAACGAGCGCAGAATGGTGGCAATCTTCTGCGGGTGCGTAGTTCCATGGTAGCGTGTGTAGAGCACGTGGGCGAGCCGTCCCACGAGGTCGAGTCCTAACCGATTGATATGAGCATGACGAGTCCAAAATTAATACGATTCGTTGGCGTACCTCGGTGGCGCACAAATTTGTAGCACGAGCTCGAGTGCTCGACCAGCGTGAGGATCGCAGCTGCTGCGTGCTCGATGCTGGCGTCGCTCAAGTGCGCGGCCGTCTCAAAATGCCGCAGGTGGTCGCTCACAAAGCGCTTCTTGGCGAGAATGCGCGCGTGGGCAGGCCAGACTTTGGAGAGCGTCGCGTGGAGCTGCAGGTGGGTACAGCAGAGGTGGTCCTGCTTGCGGTGGAAGCCGCAGAGGTACCGGACGACACCACCGAGCTCGAGCAAGAGCATGTTCATGTACGTCTCGGCCAACGACTGCGAGAGGCCCGCGGCCACCATGTTGCCAAGACTCAGAAGGAACGCAGTGGCTTCCTTGTGCCGAAGACAGACGCTGGGGCGGTCGCGGTCCGGAATCATATCGGACGAGAGACCGTAGATGCGCAACATCTGGAGCAAGTACAGCGCGTGCTGCAGGTACGTATGGTAGGCTGCATGGTCGGGCGACGCGGCTTCACCGATGGCCTTGAGGCAGACCATGGCGTGCGTCGGCGTGTTGTGCGCGCCGCCATAGTGCATGAGGAACGCCACAAAGCACCAGAGATGCAAGCTCGGGTCGCAAAAGACGGCGTCCTGCTTGCAGAGCTCGCCAAGCAGCTCCGAGACGAGGTCGACCTCAACGACCATCTCGTTATGGACGCAGAACGAGAGCACGTCGCCGAGCGGCCCCGAGAGGTTGGCCAAGTCGCAGACCATTTCGTCGGCAATGTCCAACACAAGGGTGGCCGTGCTATCGAAGACGGGCTGCGACCGAGTGGCGGTGAAGACGCCCCCAGCGTCGAGGGGCGCAACCGTGTACGCAAAGGCGACAGTAACGTCTTTCCGGTGCTCCTCCGACGCGGTGCACTCGATCGCAGTGACGAGAACGCTGCAGAAGAACGACTCTTGGATCACCGTGTCGCTGTTGTGGAGGTAGTAGCGCCGGTGCACCACCATTCTCGGCGCCTCGGACGCCGCTTGAAGCACGTACGTGACCTTGAGCACGCGGCTGATGCCACTCTTGAGGCGCAGATTGAAGGTTACGCGCCGGTAGATGGTCGCGTGGTCGACGAGGATTGAGCTGCGGCTGCTCGACGTGAGGTTGGTCTCGGTCAATAGAAGACGCGCAAGGTGGAGCGGGTTGTAGCCGCGCGCGTTGCTCGGCGAGAGGAGGTTCCTCGCTGTCTGCAACAGTGCCTGCAGAATGTCCACAAAGACCGGTTCGTTCATCCAGCTCAGAAACGCAAAGAGGTCGTTTGTGTAGAAGACACCTTTGACGCTCTCGTGGCGCGTGATTGCGCGAAGCAGCTGCGCGCACTCAAACTGACACCGCGGCGGCGCGACGCGAATGCGCTGGAGCAGCGTCTCGACGGCAAGTGCAGTTTCGAAAACAGCAGCGCTGTAGTCGCCGACGTGGCAGCTCAGATGGTACAGCGTCGCGAGCGCTTCGTTCTGGAGCCGCTCGTAGACCTCACTGCTGCTGGGGACGGCTGCAAACGCGATGCGGTAGGCAACGTTGGCGAGGCGGCTGTGGTGCGCCCGAGTCGTGTCCGTGATCGGAATGTAGATCGTCGCAAAAAAGCCCCGCAGCGCCGTGTGCAGCAACTCCAACACGTTGCTTACGAGCGGCGCGCGCGCAGGCGGCATCGACACGGCAAACGACTCGGCCAAGTGCGCGAGGAGCTCAAAGTAACTCGGGATCGCGCCGCCGACCTTGTGCCGAAAACATCTGAGGCGGTTGAGCGCATGCCGTTTTGGGTGGTCGACCGGCAGGTGCGCGTCCATCTGGACGGAACTCGCGCTGCGCAAAGACAGCCTGCGCTTACTAATCGTGTGCTCATCGTCGTCGTCGCTGTCGGGGTCCTCGTCCATCAACGGCGTCTCGAGCAAGAGCATTTCGACTGCCGGGTCCGACGCAAACCCCACGATCGCCACCAAGAGGGAGCTTGCCGTGTACGCAATCTACACGCAGATGCTTCGATTGAAAGTCACACAGAGGCAGCGACGCACCTCGAGCTCCACGCAGCCCATGGCCGCAAAAAGCTGCACGACGACCCGGCTCCCGACTGCGATGCTGCGAAAGACGTCGTGGTGTACCTCGAGGCGCTCGAGACACGCGAGCGCCGCGGTGCCCGTCGCGGCAACCAGAAGCGGGAGCGGCTCGGTTCGCTGCATGACGTGGTTGCGATGGCGCGTGCCAATCGTGACCTCGAGAAGGCCAAGGATGAGCTGCACGAGAGACTCGGCAGAGGCGGCGCGGCAGCCGCGGAGGTACTCTCGATGCCGCTCGTCATCGCACAACATCTGGACGATCGAGATGGCTGCGCACTCGGTCTCGCGCGAGTCGCGAAGCTTGAGCGCTTCGGTGAGAGCAACAAGGTGGGCCATGGCTTCAAGCGAGCGAACCGTTGCTGTCGCGTGTTTTGCAGCGTCGTCCACTGGCGGTGGCGGCGGAAAGAGATGTATCTCCAGCACCTGCCTCCCCGGCGCGTCGAGACACATGAGGTGCAGGACCTGGATCGCCTTGGCCCGGAGCTCCACCTCGTTGTCGAGCTCGAGGCACTGGAGCACATGCAGCATGAGGGGCTCCAAACTCGTGCGCATCTCCGTTTCTTGACGAAAGACGACGTCGAGCAGCGTCATAAAGTGCACGTTGGTCTTGTGCAACGCCGCGGGACGCTCGGTCCGAACAACAGCAAGCACGAGACCGACAAAACCGCGGCCGACGACGGCGCTTCTCAAATCCGGTGCGTGGCTGAGCGCGGCGAGAAGGCCGCAGGTGGCTTGCAGCAGATCGCGCCAACCGAGCGCCGGCGGGAAGGACACATGACGTTGCGGCGGCTCGAGGATTAGACTAACCTCGAGATGGTGTAGCAGGTCTGATCGACTCGCTTTCAAGGTCGCTTGGAACAGGGCCGAACCGCCGTCATCCAACACGACGAGCCACAACATCGCAGTTGCCTACATTCCATCAGCAGTTGAGCACAGGACAAGACGTACGAGTTTGCGAAGTGCGATCGACTCGCGCGACCCTGCGAGGCGGAACAGAAGCAGCAGCAGCGGCTGGCTCGCGTGCACGAGCTGGGCTGCTACCGTCGGGCCGACCGCCGTCGTCGCTGCAAAGAGCTGTTGCAGCCACTCGAGGCTCGTCGGCACGTCGTCGGCGTTGACAAACGCGTGCGTCACCACCATCGCGGTGCGGTCCAGGCGGCGCGCCGAGAACACGCCGGACGTCGCAGTGTCCAGTCGTTCGAGACACGCGAGCGCCAGCGCAAACTGGCGCCGCCCGTCGAGGCCCATAGATGTAAACATGTGGCCAGGCTTCGTGGGCGGGCTCACGGCGCATCGTCGAAATGATTTCCTCATCGCTGCGACGGTCCTGCGCTTGGGGTCCACGGGTTGCACTGTCGTCGTGCGTTGAACGCTTGTGTGCTGGAGCAAGAGCCGCAAGAGTGCTGCGTTGCTGTGCCGAAGGAGAAGCACGACGAGGACCTCGACGTTCTGGTGTGTCGCTGCCAGCACCGCCTTGTTGCTGAGCGGCAAGACGTGCACATCGTCCATGTGCTCGGCAGCGTACACGGCGTCCCCGCCATCAAGCCCCATCGGAATCGGTACGATGAGCGCCGGATTTGCTCGACCATGGCTATGTTCGAGAGCAGGCAAGTCGACAGCGTCCAGAAGAGCTTGCATCGCTGCGCGAATCTCAAACGTGATCGCCGTCGGAACGGTTCGGAGGTACAGCGCGTGACCGGGCAAGTGCAGAAACGCGTGCAGAGCGAGGAGCGCGGCGTGTCGGCTCCATCCGTGCGGCTCGCCAAGCGCGGCGGCACAGCGCTCAAAAACGACCGACCACGGGAATTGCGCCGCGTCACTGGGCGACGTCATGTGTGCGAGTATATTCTGGGCGTACATGGCCACAAACTCGAGGTAAAGCGGCGTCGGGATCGCGTCCGGGGTTTCCAGAGCGTTCCGGAGGCTGTGACAGACCGGTGTTCGAACGAGATCTGCGCCTGCCGCTGCCACGAGCGACTTGAAGACGACAAACGCATACAAGTTGATGTTGCCTTTGGGGCAAACGAGGCTTTTGAAAAAACGGTCCCACGGCTCCGCAAGCGTCAAGAGGCACGGCACGAGTCGCGGCTGCATGAGGTGCTGTAAAACCCGCATCGCAGTGTACGGCACGCTTTCGTGGCGCGGCACCTCGACGTCCGCGAGCTTGTCGTGCAGACGGTCCAAGAGGTGCCGCACCAACGGACCACCGCTCGCGTCCCAATGAGTGGCAAGCATTTCGCAGAGCGCTGGAGCCGACATCAGCAACTGGTCGAGGCACGCGAGCCAGGACACGCGCGCGTTGCGGTCGAGTATCGAGGTCACCATAGCCGGTGCTACGAGCGCCAGTAGCAGTCGGACGCGGAGGTCGCCTGGCAGCACCACGTCGATACCGAGCACGCGCAAGAGACGCATGACGACAACGCACGCACTGGGGGCACACATCTCGGCCTCAATGCTCTCCAAGCAGCGCGTGGGCCAACCAACGGCCACGGCGTGCCGGGCGTGCCGGAACGACGACGCCACCAGCGCTTGCAGTAGCCGAAACAAGGGTCGTTTGCCGCGCGCCCCGAGCGTATCGAGACCCAAAAGTGCCATGAGGTCGACAAAGAAATTGCGACCAAGTCGCTGCAGGGCAAGGCACACCTCGATGTTCTTGTCGCAGAGCACATCGAGGCAGCGCAGTCCCTACGCGGCAAACATACATCTCTAAAAGAATACGATAATTTCCATCGACGTACGGCAATGGCAGCCTCCGGCGGCAGAAACGGTAGAAGGCGCAGCATCTGTTGCACGAACACAAGCAGCGTGGGTCGCTCAAACGACAGAACACGACACTTGAAGGCATACTGAAGCACGGCAGACCACTCGACGAGAAGGTGTGCAGCGACGACCACCATCTCGGACGGCAGCGCAATGACCGCGTCGACCATCCACGAGGCCACGTCGCCGAGAAGATCGTGGATCGGCCGATGATCGAACAATCCTTGCAGCTGGTCGTGCTCCACGACAAGACGCACGAGCCGGATAACATGCAGCATCGCGCCAAGGTTGAGTTTGGCGTCGTTCCAGGCGACGAATGAGTAGTTGGCGTCTTCGGTAGCCGCCAACGCCGCCCAATTCATGCGTACAGGGAGACGACGGAGGCACATGCACACGTGGTCGGCCACCATTCGCACTGTCGAGAGCCCTTGAATGGACGCCATTGGAAAAAAGTGCACGAGGAACCCCAAAAACATACAGCGGTCCGCTGCCGTCGCAGCGGTTCGCGCGAGGAGGTAGGCCGAGTACGTCTCGAGGCCGAGGCCTTCTGTTGTAAAGAGCGTCGTGGCGTCGTCTGTCGTCTCGCAGGCTTGTGCTTCCCAGAGCCACAGAACTCGAAAAACGAGGGCGTCCACTTCGTGCAGCCCCACGAGGAGCAGCAGTCGATAGAGACGGGGTCGCGCTGGCAGCACTGCACTCAGTGGCTCGTTCTTTCCCACGCAGTATTCTGTAATGGCAACGAGAAGCCGCAGGACGGCGGGCATGTCGCGAGCTTGCACGCTCGCGTCCAGCGCCAGCGCACTAAAGTAGCGACACCACTGTGGGTGCGCAACGACGACCTGAGCGACCGTGTCTTCAAGGCAGAGCGCCGCAAGAAGGCAAAGCGTGTGGGTGTGCACGTTCCGCTTCATCTCGACGCTCAATCGCATCGCGGTTGGCTGCTGCGGTGGGTACAAGAGCTGCATCCAGCTGCCCCACCCGAGTTCGCTGCGCGTCGCGCCTTCGCAGTGTCTCCAGACAATCTGCCGAGTACGTGCGTCGGCCGTGACGCAGCTGAGGAGCTCCAAAAGCCGGGCGAGCACAAGTCCCCACGTTTCGAGCTCGGTCGTTGCGGGCAGGTGCTCCAGGTGGCGGGCGTACATGGACGCGAGGAGGGCCATGTGCGTCGGTGTGAAGAGGCTTCGACCAAGCTTCGATTGCGCAAAGATGCTTCCAAGGGCCTGCAGTGCTGTGCTCGTTTCGGGGCGCTGCCACGCCTCGCTGTTAACGTAGCGAAAGAGAATATCGGGCAATCCGACCGAGCTGAATGCGTCGGCATTTCCAGGGTGCTCCGAGAGCGACCGAATGCAGCGGAGCGAGTTGGCAAAGGCAGGAGCGCTGGGCGTCGAGGCCAGCGTCGCCAGCCCGTGACGGACGTCGCCCGACGAGTTGTTCCCAACAACGCGCTGGGCGTTGGCGGCGTTGCCGTGGCAGAGTCGCCAGAGGCAATCGAGGTAGATATCCACGTTGCTACCGCCGAGCCCGATCTGCAGCACGAGGTGCGCGACGAGGTTGGTTTTCTGGCCGAGGAGCACGCGGTACGCCACGTCTCGTGATGCGTCGATCGTCGAGAACGTGAGCATGTTGAAGAACGCGATGATTTTGCGGGCTTCGTCGTTGCTCGCCGAGTCGAGCCGCTTGAACATCTGCAGTAGCGTGGTATCGAGCGTCGCATGGAAGCCGGGGTGGGCCCAGATGGCCGCTCTCGTGGCCACGTCCTGGCAAAACAGCAGCACGAGGTGCAGGACGTCCGGCAGCATGGACCCCGGGCAGTGGCCAATGAGCTGTGCACACGCAAAGTGAAGTCCGCCGGCTGTAAACACCGTCATGAGGTCAGGGCCCACGAGGTCGTGCAGGAGGCCCGTGACCGCCCCCACGAGACCCACGTCGGTCGACCTCATGAACGACCGCATCGACAAAAAGTGCGTCATGCGCCACGTTGTAGGTATGGTAGCGCGGGCGGCAGGTACAAGCGCATAGATCTGGCGCAGAAATGCGAGAACCGTCGTCGCGACGACAGGCGCAACGCACCAGAGGTCCACGGCGTCGAGAATGCCGTGCAAGACAGCGTGCGGCGCGAACCGATCGAGGCGGAGGGTGTAAAATTGCTGAGCCAAATTCGGCTCGGCCGTCATACTCTGCAGTGCCTCGAGCGCCGAGACAACAAGCGACACATGGAGCGTCGAGAACGCCAGCGACACGAGCGCATTCATGAGGCCCGTGTCCGTCACAAAAGACGCCGCAAACGTGGCGCTTCCGGCCGCGAGGTGCGCGAGCGTCTGGATGCCGTACACTTGAAGCTGGCGCAAGTCGGCGTCTTCGCGGCAAAACGCGGCAATGCGCGGCGGCACGTCGACCAGCGCGCCATTGCAGAGGATGTTGACCATGGACGAAATGTCAGTCGAGAGGAGCGTGCGGTCCGACTCGGTAAGGTAGTACTCGTGCTGCTTCTGCGTCCAGAGAAACACTGTCGTGTGCGGCGCGCAGTGCTTGATGATGTACTTGGCCTTGGCGTACGGCTCGATGCGGCGGTCGGTCGTGAGCCAAGACGGACACCATACAATGTCGCCAGGCCTGAACGTGCGCTTCCACGGGCGTGTGTTGGGAAACCGGAACGCAAACATGCTTGGGCGGAGTTCGATTTGGATCTCGCCTTGGTTCACGAGTACCATGGACGTCTCGAGCTGGTCCTCGTTAAAGAGGGTGGGCACCGGCATGTGTCGCCCGAGTGCGCCAATCGCCTCGAGAGACAAACTTCGCAGTAAGAGACTCTTGCGCAGGTACCCAAAGAGGCCGTGGAGCGTGTGCTGGCGGCGCACGCGTGCATGGTCGTCCAAGGACTGCGTTACTCGCCGTACGGTCCGGTTGAGCTGGGCCCGGTTTTCGATGAGCGCCCGGTAGATTTGCTGTACGATCGGAAGCCGTTTGGGAGTCGCGCTCTCGGCAATGGGCAGCTGCTGTAGCGTACACCACACGGCACGTGCGACCGCGGTGCGCTCCTTCTCGTCGACGGCGTTCAAGTACTCGGCACGGGTGAGCACATAGCCCTTCTCACTTCCACTCGTATGACTCATCAAGAGCGCGTTGAGGCGCGCGACAAGGTCCACAACGACGAGGCTCTGCCGGTCGCGGTCGGCACCGAGGCTCAGTCCAGTAAACGCCTCACGCTCGACGTAGCGCTCAATTAGCCAGAGCGGCACGTTGGCGCAGCGGCCGTCGCTCAATATTGAAAGCGTCTTCGAGTCGGCACGGGAGAGCGGCTCGAGGCCGCGCGTGAGCTTGACGAGCGTCGTGGGCTTGAGCAAGTGCAGGACCCGCAGCGTCGCAAGAGCGCTAAACTTGCGTGCGTCGACCGTCGTGCTCGTGTCGATGAAAAAATACTGGCCTTCGTGCTCCGTGACGATCTGTCCAAAGAGTTGCCGCAAGATCTCGAGGTGCGACCGGACAACGCTGGCGTCGCGATTGTTGACGACTGGCAGCACTGCGTTATGGGCCTGCAGCATGTACAGCGCATTGCAGGCTTGGGGCGTCGTGACAAGTGCCATGACGACGCCCATAGACGCCTGCTTGATCTCCGTTTTGGTGTGCGCCGTGAGCACGAGGAGGCGGCTAAAAGACGCAAGTTACTCGTCACCGCGTCCCGAAGCGGCAGCTCACGACTGCACTCGAGACTCTGTCGCATGAGATCCAACGTGAGTTTGAGGATCGTCACACGGGATGGCACGATGGGCACATCGTGGAACTCGAGCTCGAGGTCCAACACCTCGAGCAGCGTCGCAAACCCGCCAAGGTGCACAAACCAATGGATGAAGCGGGCGTCGCTTCGGACGAGAGCCGAGATGACGCCGAGACCGAATGGTAGCATGGTTGCCTGCGTCACGTCGGGCGACAAGAACACGAGCGTTCGGGGCTTGGCGCGGTCTTTGCTGGTCCACGTCGTTGGGTACCGCGCGACCACGAGTCCGTTCAAGCACTCCCGAGCCCGAGTCGGCAGCTCATACTCGATCGGGTCGACGACGACGTCGAGCGGCGGCGACGGTAGCACTGCGACGAGGTACTTGCTCAGCGTTTCGACGCACGCGCTGTCCTGCACGAACGCGTGCAAGAGCACAAATCCGCGCATACGGCACGAAAAGGCGTTGGTTGACGTCGTGGCTTTGGCAAAGAACCGGTGCGCTGTCGCCGAGACGGTCTCAAACACTGCGAGGTTGTGTAGCTGCGGGTGCGAGTGTACGACGTCGTGGACGAGACGAATGTACTCGAGCTCGACATCCATGAGCCATGCGAACGACGCCGCAGAGCTCGCACTGCGTCCGTCGCGTGCGCAGACCAAAAGTAGGCGCAGTAACATGTCGATCTGAACGCTCGAGAGCGCCGACAGCTCGCCTCGACACATGCAGTTGCGAAAGAGCTTTCGGAGCACCTTCCAGAGCGAGGCCGACCCAGGCACGTGGTCGAGATGGCCGTGAAACGCATACTCGCGGAGGTCGCTCGGCACCGGATGCTCGGTCGCGAAGAAGGCGGGCACGTCGAGCGGTGGTGGCGGTCCCCGGGGCGTCAGCACGCTGGAGACGGCGGGCGTATCACGCGGCGTCGACTTCGGCAGGAGCTTGGTGTGGATCGCAAGGAGGTCCGTAAAAGCTGAAGCTCGCTGTGTGCGCCGTAAAGCGTCTTGTACACGATATCAAGTTTGTCGTCGATACCCGCAAACGACGAGAGGTCGTCGCGGCTCATATTATGCAGGTGCGCGCGCCACGTCTCGCCAATGCGGCGAAACACGGCAGCCATCGGCGCTTTTGTAGTCGCCGCAGCGACGACCGACGACTCCATTCGATGTGCGGCATTCAAATTCGTCAAGCGGCGCGTCTGCGCATTGGAGCTCACGGCATGTCGCTGGCCCTTGTGCTGGTAGAAGAGGAGGTGCGCGAGAGCATCGGCAGCAGCCATGCGCATCGTGGTTTCCACGTCAAAGCCCGGCGTCGTCGGCAGAGTGAGTGAGAGCAGCTGCCCGAGGGCCGCCAGCACACGGTCGCTGAGGTGCTCGTGGATGTAGGGAGAGAGTTGCTTGCCAAACGCGACCGTGTTGCGGTAAAACATCAACACGTTGTGGAGGCACATCATGTCCGAGACGACGTCGTCGCGGCTCAGAAGCGTGCTTGTGAGGTGCATCGTGCGACGAAAGCTCGGGTGGCGCAGCACGGTCTCGGCGGAGGCAAGGCGACAGAGCACGAGGACGCACGCGCGTAGCATGTACGGCACCTTGGCTTGTCGACTATCGAAGCGTTAATGAGGACAATCCGATTGAAGCATGGAGGTATCGCACTCATCGTCGATAATCGCAAAGACCAAGCCGGCAAACTCGAGTTTCACACCGAGGTACTCGCGAAGCCCGTCCTCGGCGCAGAGCTGTCCCAGAATCACGATTGCATCCAGCAGCGTGGCTTTCGACAAGACCAGCTTTGGGTGGTGGACGTTGGCGCAAATATCACGGAGCTTCTGCAGCGCCGTGACGCTTTGGCTTGCGAGGGGCCGCGTCGACCCCTCGAGGAAGTCACACCGGAACAAATGATTGAAGCACGCGCTGCGAAGAAGCCGGAGGGTGTGGAACACGATCGAGTCGGCGTCACGCTCGGGTGCAGTCATGTAGCTCGCGCCGTGCTCAACCGAGATGCGCTTGGAGAGAAGCAGCCACCGGCAGATGTGCGCACCGTTTGCCTATATTGCCGTGAGCAAAATGCATAAAAAGCCATGTAAACGCACCTTGCGAAATAGATCGGACGGGGCGCACAGCGGACACCCGTCACGCGTCGCGCAGCGGCAGCCGTGGACTTCGCTCGACTCGCCGTGCACCTCGAGTATCATCGTCAAAAGCTTGAGATACTATCCATTTACACAAGCTAAGCGCACGTAGTTGAGGTCAAATGTACATATTTGTAAATCTGGTGCAAATGGCGCGACACCTTGAGTTCTTCGGTCTTTGGAAAAAAAATCTTAAGCAGAAGCCGATGTTTCACTGTTCGAAACTTGCGATACTCCGACGTCCCAGATGTACTCGCGTCGTTCTCGTCTTCGTCGAGCACTTCGGCCTTACTGACGTCATCTCCATCGTCGTCGTACGCAGCTCGGGCATCGGAACCGCTGTTGACCATTTGCAGCTCATAGAAGCTACCGAGCACGTGGCCAATGTGCTTGATCGCTTGAGGCGCTGACGTGCCAAGGTACGCAGCAATGGCCGTCTCTTGCGACGCGAGGGTGAGTAGAATACACGCCAAATCCATGAGCTCGCCCAACGTCGACTCTTGGCTCAGGATCTTGACGATCGTGTCGATGCGCGACAGCTGAAGGAAGTGTGACGCGCTGTCGCCCTTGGAAACGAGCTTGGCGAGCGCCGCGCAGAGCTAATGCATATGAGAGAAACCATATCTCGGGGCGCATAACTACCATCGGCCGCAGCGGCGTATGCAAGTTGGGCTGGTCGACCGTTTGCGTCGGCTTGGTGTCGAGCGAGATGGTCTCGATCATGTGGCAAATGGCTTCGACAAGAAAATCATCGTTGACGCAGTTGAGCAAGTCGAGCTGGATGATGAGTCGAATAAGAATGTCCATGAGCAGCTGCGCATGTGCTTTCGACGCTTTGCTTTGCATGAGAAGCTCAAATTTGGTAAAGAGCCCCGCGAGGATCGGGCGTGTCTCGGGTGCGTCGAAGATTAGCGCGAGTGCCCGCCGCTGCTTCTTGTTGACGTAGATCATCGAAATTTCAAAGAGCAAGTAGACAGCCTATCAGCTCTGAATTAGACGATCTCCATCGGACGACAAAACAACCTCGATCTGGATCTTGATGTGAATGTGGCCAAAGAGTAGCACCACGGGCATGCGGGCGTCAAAGAGCATGCGCGCGAGGCACGTGTTGATCGCGTACTTGCGCAAGAGGAAGCGCGCACAGCGTAGCGCCGCGACCTGGACCTTCTCGGACGTCGTCGGGTCCAGGCAAAGGTGGTACACTCGGTCAAAATCGGGCCGCTCAAAGTACACGTCAAAGTTGTGCGTTGGCGCAAGCGGAATCAAATGCCGAATGCCATTTAGCACTTGGACGAGCACGGGCGGGTCCTTCATCTGGTGCAGCAAGCTCACAAAGGTGTCTTTGGTCCGTTTCTACGCTCGTGAAATTAACACCACGCGTGTTTTGGACAGGAGAGTACCTCGAACTTGGTGATTGCGTCGTTCTCGATGGCCTCGGTTTTGGCGACGACGCGAATGCACACTGCAATGAGGCGCAGTAGCTGGAGCAATGCGCGCATCTCGCGACTGGCCTTGTGCTTGGCGTCGTACAGCAGATTGGCGCCACTCACTTGGCGCGTCGCTTCCGAGTTGTCAACGGTCGGGTCCGGGTCCAACTCTTCGTTGCCGTCTTCAAGCAGACGCAAATGACGCGTCGATGCCTTGTTTTGTTGCTGTTGCACCATGATGAGCAGCTTATTGTAGCCAATTTCCGTCAAGAAAAATTGCGCAATGTTGGGGTCCTCAATCAGCGTCGCGAGCACGGCGCAAGTGTACTCTGCCACGATCGGGTCCGTGCTGGCGGCGGCGTCACCGAGGACCTTGAGCTTGGCGCAACTGAGGGGCGGCGGCTTCGTGCCGTCGTCGACAAGCGCGCGCGTCAGCACGGAGATACTCGTCTTTAGTGGCGCAATGACGAGCGGCAGCTGTGGCGCGTCCGAGAAGTCTTCCTTGAGAAACCACGCCTCCTTGCCTTTCGAGATGAGCACGAGACCCCATAAAAGCTCCAGCGCAAACTGTTGACCGAGCGAGATGGTGTTGGCCGCGGGCTTTTTAGCTTGCACAAAGCCAAAGAGCTTCTTTAGAAACTGCATCAGCGTCTGCTGCTCCCAGATTTCGTTGAGCGATGCGGCGCGAAACGCTGCAAACACAATGTTCTTGAGCGCAAAGCAGTAGGTCGCGACAATGTACTCTGGCGGCGTGAGCTCCTCGGCGATAAAGTAGCCCTAGTTTCATGTCAGACCACAGCGATTGTGATGCGTTGATCGCACCGTGATGGACTGGGCGACGACGATGACCTCGCGCGACTCTTTAACGGCGCCAACACTCGACGTCATGCACGAAAGTGCGCACATGAGGATAGAGTACAGCGTCGACGTGCGATCGTCTCGGTCTGCGATGCCTGCCTCGAGGTTCTCTTCCCACTCGAGCAAGTGGTCTTGCTTGGAAATGTCGTCGCGGGCGCTGCCAGGATCCGTTTCAATCGCCTGCATCTTGGATCGAAGGGACGTGAGGACCCGCGTCATGTCGTGCATGGGACGCTTTCCCGCGACGGGTGGCGGCTCGAAGACATCGATGGTGCCTTGGCGGTTGACGCGTCCCACATAAGCGTCGAATCCGTTGGACCGGCTTCGGTTGATACGTGCAATGCTTGCGTACGAGTGCTTGAGCACGCGCCGCATCGTCTGGTCGCTCACATAGCTGGCAGCGGCGCAGTGGAGTGAAATGTGTGTGCAAAGTAGGGCGGCGACCCAAATACACAGCTGCTGCTTGGTCGAAATGAACGACGTCGAGACCGTCTCGTGCAGGTCGAGCACCTTGGCCAAGACATTGTCCTTCGTGCAAATCAGCGCGATGGTCGGGTCGTAGCAAAGACAGATGAGACTCATGAGCGCGGGCAACTGCAATACGACAAGCGCCTTGTCGAGCTTGGTGTCGAGAAGATTCACAAAGAGCATAAGAAGACTCGGCATTCGCCCGTCGAGGTCCGTGGCTTTTGTGGCCAGTGCCAAGCTCGCATGGTGCTCGTCCGCGATGAGCGAGAGCAACTTAGCACCGCGAAACACCTTTTTGACAAGTCGACGTTCGACCACATCGACGGTACGGCGTCCATCATATGCGGATTGATAGCGTCGACGAGGAGCAGCGAGAGCTCCGTCACGGTCGCGCCGTAGACGCCGACAGCAACATGCGGCACCTTGCGCAGAAGCCCAAGGTGGAGGAGGGAAGCGAGGACGCGCAAGATCTCGACGTTCAAATGCGGGACTTTTCCGCGCGAGTACAAACCGAGGAGCGCTGTGGGCACGATGTCGAAAAACTTGACGAGACTGTCGAGGATCTTGATGCGGCGCGCGAGGAGGTAGATCGTGCGCAGCAAGCGCGCTTGGAGCCCCGACGCGTCGCGCAGCAGCTGAATGTAAAACATTTCGAGCGGCTTCAACAACGCTAGAACGCCCGCCATGTCGTGCTCCTGGGCCCAGCGGACGCCGGCTTTGGTGCCAATCAAGTCCAAGAAGAGCGACGTCATGGCTTCATACACATCGCTTGTCCTAAACAAATCGAGTAGCTTTCGATGCTAAAGAAAAAGGGATCTACCAGTGGCGGTTGCGGGGGCAGCCGCAGCTGCATTGGATCAGATATGATACCATGTGCTTGTCCTTGGCTCCGAGGAGCACGTCACCGATCGCTTGGAGTATGGCGCTTGTGTACACTTCGAGCTCGTCGGTCTCGATGCGCGGCAATATGTACGCTGTCCAGAGCGTGTGATGCACAATGAGCGCGCGGCTGGGCCCACACATTTCGCGCGTCAGGAGCACATGTCGAATGAGCGCTTCGCAGATGGCCTTGGTCGTGTTGTCATCGACAAACGCAGTCGTCGGGAGGAATGACGGGGCAGACAGCATGTCATGGAGCAAGCCGAGTCCGTCGCAATCGATAAAGCATTTCTACGCACAAGTAAAAATCCGAGCACGAGGTCACGCTGCCCCACCTGCTTTTGCGTGAGCGGGGGTAACGTCACGACGGACGAGAGACTCGGGACGGCCGGCACAGTTTGTTTTGGAGGTGCCAAGAGGTTTTGAAACAAGCGCAATGTTCCTACTGCGATAAAATCGGTGGTTGACTGGACTGCGGACGTCGATCCATCCTTATCGACGCAATCGTTGTTGGCGCGCTCGAGGATCCGTACTAGCAACTGCACAATCTCGGGCGTCAAAAGCGAAGGGTTGTCGCCAATCGCAGCAAAGATCTTGTCGAGTGCGATTTCCATGAGATCCTCGGCGTAACGCGTCGTAAGGCGGCCTTCGATGAGCGTGTCGTAGAGCGCCCGGCCCCGTGGCAGTCTGTCCCACGCGTTCTGGCGCTCACCAAACAGATTTTGCGTCATGAACTGCAGTCCTCTCTGCAAGAGAAAGACGCTGATAGCTGTGGCCGGCAAGGCGCCGAGCTGCACTAGTGCTTGGTTGAACGCGTTGCTCTCATGGCGCCCCGTCGTACTCGGACGGTGCGTCGCCGTAGCGTGCCGAGTCGACGACGCCAGCTCTTTGTAAAAGCGAATCGAAACACGCAAGAGCTGGTCCGAGACTGCAAACGCTACTGCGACCGACTGGACGTCTGGGTGGTGGAGGAAAAAGCTCACATTCGTATTCGCCAGCATCTCGGGGGTCAAGACCGAGCCAGTCGCGTGCCGAATGTTGAGGCCGAACGCCACGTTGACGCGGAAACCATCGTGACCTTTTTGTTGGTGCCCGTTGAGCAGGTACGTCCAAAGCCGAACGACCTCGTCCACGTACATGGCGTGGAGCTGCTCCCAGTCCGACGGTGTGGGCTGACGATCGACGTCGTCTTTGCTTTCGTCAACGGGCTCGGACAGGATCGTTTGGTCGGGCAGTGTCGACAGTAGCACAAACTCACAAAGAAGCTCATGCTCGCCCTTGAAGAAGAAACGCTGCAGTGTCGTCGACGGGATGTCGGCCGCACTGTCCCAACGAGCGCGGCGCCGCGTCGCGTCCGACGTGCTTAGAGCGACGCAGTGGGCGTGCGCTGCAAGGCAAAACTCTGATTGAAGCACGACGTGTGGCAAGTGCAATCGGGTGCGTTCAATGTTGATCTTGTCAAAACCGAGCCGCGGCTGCAAGGCACTCACGAGGTATTCTCCGATCGGACTGGGAGCATCGGCCGTCGCCGCTTCGTGCACGTGCGCCTTGACGAGCTCGAGGAGGAAGCGCATGCTCTGGGCCATCTGGACACTGTCACGGACGCGAAAGGCGCTCTCAAGGTGGGCACGATACAATCGGAACATCTTGATCAAGTACACGGCGAGTTCCTTGAAGAAGGACGGGAGCTTGCTCGCCTTGACGACCGGGTGTACGTGGGCGAGACGCGGTTCAAGTACGAGAATGCGCTCGAGATACACGTGCGATGTCACGTCTGTAAACGCGAAACGGGCCTCCTTGAGACGCACCTGGCGCTCGTCAATCGCTAGCAAAATGACCCCGACGCGGTCGTCGGGCGACGTTGCGGGCGTTGCAAAGTGCCGCAAGTGCTTCTCCGTGCAGCGCGGCGAATGGTAGTAGGAATACGCGAGTATATAGAGCAACTCGAGCATCGCGTGCAGCTTAGGCTCGAGTTGGGTGTAATTCTTGAGTAGCTGCGGCTTGAACGCCATCTCTTTTGCCGAAATGTAGCTCAGAGACGGTGTCTCGAGCGGCATCTCTTTGATACTCAGCAGCGGGAAGACGCCTTCAAAGATGGCGGCGCGCAAATAGCTCGGGAGGATCCAGCGGGACACGTGGCATGTGAGCGACAGCTTGGTTTCAAACGTTCTGAGGGTACGGATTTCCACCTCGCCCCACTCGGTAGTCTTCTCCATGAGGTGCGCGATCGCGATGACGTCGTCCATCACGGCTTTACGCCAGTCGTGCTGGATGTCGCGAACGTGGCCCGCGTCGCACGCGGCAATCTCGTCCTCGATCGCGAGCGCGAGGAGTGGAGCCACGTGGCTTGAGGCCCCCGAGTCTTCCGAGACCGCCAGCGCGTACTGGATCGGATGCGCCGGAATGAGAATCGCTTGCGCCGAGAGGTAGTCCCAGAACACTGAGATGAGGCAGTGGCGCGAGAGCGAGATCGAGCGCGGGTTAGATGCTGCGTACAAGCGGTCAATATCATCTTTGTGTCCGTCGCCGTGGTGCAGGGACGATACCCTATCCGGGCCCGATCGCAGCTTTTGGATTGCGAGTTGGACAAACACCGCATTGACCGCGGGCGCCGCTTCCGGAACCACATTGTCGTCGTCGATCGCAGAAATGGAGCTGCGTGACGCCGCCTCGAGATTTGCACGAAGCCGGCGGTGGTGCTCATCGCGCGATGACTTCTCGGGCGCCGTGTGGACTGGTCGATGATGTCGCGGGGGCGCCGCCTCCACAGTGTGATACTCGACAGCAGGTGCCGGCGCCTTTTGTTCGAGAGGGGCCCGCCGCGGCGATACGGTCTTCTCAGACGGCTTGGGGTGCGACGTCTTGCGGCGCGGTGGATCTGGATTGTCTTGGGCCGGAACGACGTTTTTAGGCTCCATGACTGGTGCCACCTGCGGGGTGGGCGCTGGCTTTTCTTTTCGAGGGGACTTGACCACGCGGATGTACTTCACGTGCTCGGGCGCTGTCGATGGTGGTGCTGCTGCGGGCGGTGGCTCGACAACAATCGGCGGCTTCTCTTCTTCTTCGTGGTGTTTGGGCGCTGGCTCTTTCCGCGGCTTGGCCGCGTGCACATATCGCTTGAGGCGCATCTGGTACAGTCCATGGGCATCCTCTGGCACGAGCAAGGTCAAGTTGCTTAGGATCGACTGTGTGTTGACCTCGTCCAAGGCGTAGTCTAGACACAGACGTGAGGCTCAGCTTCGCCAACCTTCAGTACCAAGCAACAACGTGGTGTCCGTGGCGCCGACAAGCTTCCGAAACTCGTCTTCGTGGATCGCCAAAGTCACAGGCAACGGGCAGCCCACCACTTTCGTGCGCAAGATGACGCGCTCCAGCGTCGGAAAGTAAATGAATTTGATGTGGCACTCGTGGCCAGCTAGTGTTTGCACCGTCGACAAGAGCACGTGCTTGGGGGGCTTTGGCGGCGCGACAACAACGACGGGCTCCTGCACGGACGCAAACTTGGGCACCACGACGGGTGCTTCGATGACCTCCGGTTTGTACGCCTCCTGCGGCTTGGGCTCCTGCGTCCGGCGCTGGACAAACTGCTCAAACGCGGCCTGTTGCCGCTCCTTGACCAAGTTCCGCCGCTGCTGTGCCTCCTTGGACGTTAACGGCTGGAGTGCTCGCAGACGGATGCGACTGGGAAAGGCGTCTTGAAGGAGCACTGTGCTCTCCACGTGCGCGTCGAGGACCCCGTCCTCTGTCTCGAAGACAAAGCCCTTGGGAGCGCTCGAAAGAAACCGGGCGATAAGCTCTCTCGCCGCCTTGAGGTTGGCGCTCGTATGAAGCTCGACGGTTCCGATCTTGACATCGTCGCCAGCATCTTGCGCGAGGAATACCTCCTTTAGGCTCCAGACAGCGTCGGAGCTGGTCGTGTCAAGTAACTGCTTGGATGGCGAGAGCCGCATGGACGAGTTGACGGTCGAGAAGGACATGGCGAGCGACATGGGGAGGTCGCTCGAGAAGGACGGCTTTGAGAACGCCACAGGCTTGGTCTTTCCCGGCGACGTCGGGCGCGGTGCGCTGCCTCCACCCATGGGGCGGGTCTCGCCGAGGGTCGTCGCGTCCTCGACGAGCTCATCGAGCGCGTCCGTCGGCGCGAGGAGCGCCTGCTTCTTGGCCTCGATGTCGAACAGCGCGGTCTCGAGCTTGGAGCGCTCGACCTCGTACTTGCGCTTCGAGGGCGACGCTGGCAGGTGGAAGAAGCGCTTCATCCCGCTGCCCCGTATCCTGGGTATCTTTCGAACTGCGGCCACGATACTAAATCCAGACACGGCGCTTACACTATTTGCGCGTTTCGGCGCGATACAAAGTCCAACATCAAAGCAACTATTGTTGGTCTGTCTGCCCACTCTACTCTCAGGCCTTCTTGAGCATGACGATGGCGGACGTCGCGAGCGTCGAGCCAAGGATGAGTCGGAGGTTCTCTTGCGACACGTTGAGCGTGACGTACTTGGACGTGATGGCAACGCCAGCGACGAGGCCGACGCCGATCTTGAGCGCACTCGGCAGGTGCACCGACTTCTTCTGCAGGTTGTGGTAGGTGGACGAGAGGCCCACAGGCACGATACCCAAGAGCGACGTGCCAATGATGTCGGCCTGCGGCATCTCGCTCGCCGCCGTCAAGTACGTCGTCATCTACGCATACATACATGATAAAGACACACTTCGAATGCGACGCCTACGAGAATGCCACCGCCGAGGCCGCAGAGGCCCGAGACAAAGCCCGAGATGGCACCAGCGACGAGGTACTTGGCGTTGACGGCGCAGAAGTGCGGAAAGTTCTTCGCGACTGCGTCCACGTACGCCGACGAATCGGCGTGGTGTGTGAAGTACTGCAGGTCCAAGCGCTTCTCGAGCGAAATGTTGTCCGACCGGCTCGCGTCGCTTCGACGGGCCTGGAGCTCGTGCTTAAAGTAGATGAAAGGCACGCTGATGAGCATCGCCGCCCCACGACGCGGCGCAGGTGCACTTGGCTGAGCCTACGAGGTCGGCGCTTAGGACATTGGGCAAAAAAGACGTGGTACGCACTTGTGGGCCAACTGGACGCCGACCTTGGTGAAGAAGATGGACGAGCATGTCACGAGCGCCGCCATCGGGATGTTGACACAGCCCGCCATGAGGTAGTTTACAGACCCCACGGTGGCGCTCACAGTCACGGCGGCGATCGACGTGCCGTTGATGGCTTGTTGCGTCAAGCCCGTCACTTGGCCAGCGTCTAGGATGGCAGAAAGCGAGGTGAGCTAGTGCTACGAATGTGCAATGACTCACAGGGATGATGATAATGCCACCGCCAACGCCCGTGAGGGCAGAGACCGTGCCTGCGAAGGCGCCGGTGCCCGAGGCCACGAGCCAGCTCATCTGGTTCGACTCCTTCGTCACTGTGGAGCTGGCTTGGCGGAGCTGAAGCCGGCCGACTTGCGCGCCACGACTAGTCTGCATGGCCATGGGCGCATGCTTCGCCAGCGGCTGAGCGCGGTGCATCGAGACCTTGGTCGCAGCGTTGCGGCGCACCACAGAAGCCGCCCACATTTCGAAGTCCCACGGTGGCCAACTCAAAACATCCTCGAGGTTCCCTGCCGCCGGCCTCGGTGCAATATACTAATAAAACACATCTTACAGTGGTCGACCGTCTAAACCACGCCTCTCTTTGCGCAGGTTGAGGTTCTGGAAGCTGCTTACGCCCCGCAAAATGCAGTCTTGTCTGCGTGCACCCTAGGGCGTGTCTCTGTCTGCCGATTTTAACACTGCATTGTGTGGCACGTGGCAAACGTTGGGTGATATTAGTCGTCGCGCTAATGTTGCCACTACCAAGATTGCCTTTGGACACACGATTGCCTCGACGCACCAACACCTCGCTATTGCGCTCGACCAAGATGGCGTGCCTCTCGGATCGTGTCTGGCTCCATACAGCAAGCGTCGTCCAAGCTGCAATGGCTGCTGGCGACAGAGTCTAAACCCACGCAACATATTGGTAACAGGATATCACGCACTTATGGATTGACGATGCTCCGCCACTTGTCGCTCTCGGCGTACCTCTGGACGTTCGGCGCGTACCTCGTCGTCTGGGTCGCCTTGAGCATCTCGATCCTGCACATGCTTGAGGTCGACTACAGCAGCAGCTTCTTCGCGCCCAAGACGCCGGCGCCCAAGATGCGGCCCTACCACGAGCGCCGCAACATCTCGGTCGACGACGCCTTCCTCGAGCTCTACAACTTTAGCAACTGCTACCGCCAGGTTGACTATGGTATCGTCGATGCGATCCAAGCCAAGGAGCTCTGCGGCCGCGACGATGGTACGTCCATTACGCACCTGCCAGGCGACGGGCTCTGGACCGACGGCTCCGTGTGGCGCAACTTTGGTCTCGACATGCGCGATGCCACCGCCATGGCGCTGGTCAAGAACCCAATCGAAGACGACGACGGGTACGACCCGCGCTACAAGGCGCAGTCCAGCCGCGTCATGTGCAACGACTGCCTGCTCCAGGATGTCTCCTCGTTGCTCGCCCACGTGTTTCCGCAGCATGTAAACGAGTCGGCGCCCGAGTGGCGCTGCGAACGCGGCGACTACGACACGCAGATCGAGGAGCGCGCGATCGTCGTCGCGCGCAAAAATGCCATGAGCCCGTACTACCTTCTCTCGGCGGCCATCAACGCCTGGGTCATTGCGACTCAGCAACTGCAGTGGTCGCCGTCGACGACGCGCGTCGTCTTCCTCGACAATGCTGAGCGCATGGAGTACGACAGCATCTTCCAGAAGCTTCTGAGCCCGGCCCACGACGTAGTCTACGGCAAAGACCTTGTCGGGAAGCGCGTCGGCTTTCTTAAGGATGCGCTCTTCGTGCCCTTTGAGCACTTTGGTCCGCTCACGCAGCATCTGGACGACGACCAGCCGTGTTTTGAGAGCTACCTCCTCCAGGACTTTCGCGACGCTGTCTTTGACGCGTTCAAGGTGCCACGCATCGCGCACAACCCCGTGCACGACGCGACGAGGCCTTGTGTGGTGACGATCGTGTCGCGGCGCCCCATACGTGGCCGCGACGTCAACCGCATGTGGGCCAACGAGGACGACGTGCTGCGGGCGATGCAGGACAAGTACGGGCGCCACTGCCGGTTCCAGGCCGTGGACTTTGCGACCAAGTCGATGGCCGACCAGATCGCGCTCATCGCGGAAAGCCGCGTCATCATCGGGATGCACGGCGCGGGCCTCGCCAACGTGCTCTTTGCGGCCGCACACGCGTACGTGATTGAGATCTTCCCGCTCCTGACCGAGAAGTTTGGGTACCGGAATTTGTGCCAGTACCTCGGCCTCGAGTACGTTGCGGTGCGCGACGGCTTCGACACGATCTGGCCGACGCAGCACAAGACGATCGCCCTCGACGAGTGGTTCCGGACCTTCGACTTGGTCATGGACGTTGTGCTGCACGCGCAGACCAAGACCGCGTACGAGCAGCGCAAGGCGATCCAGCGCAAGATTCACCGCCAGCACATCCTCGACGTCGAGTTTCCGGACCTCTAAAAGACCTCGAATAAAAGACGTGCTATTGGGTGTCGACACTGTAACAGCTGCCAACGATTGACTGCAGACGACGACACCTGCGACTACGGTGCCTTCCATTAGCTACGCGAGTTACTGCTCTCTCGCCCATGAGGGTGAGCGACGAGGGACGAGGCAGCGAGTCCGCGCCGTTCTTGTTGTCGCCGGTCCGAGATTGTTGCTGTCGTTCTTCTTCTGCTGACTCGTACTGTGTACGAGTGGACCGCAACATCAGCGCTCAACAAGTACTAGTACCCAAGCAGCGCCTGTCTGTCGAGAGGCAAGGAAAAGGAGCTGCGAGTGTCCAGCGTCCAAGCTACTCCCGTTGAAGTATACAGAGAGTTGGTCGCCACCCAACGCCGGTCGATGACCACCACCACAAGCAGAAGAAGAAGAAGACGTCCAAGGTGGACCATGACGCGGCTCCGTGCGCACATACGAATTCGTATCCACACCACCATGTGCCCAACCCATTGGCGCGCCTGGGAGAGATTCCGAAATGTGATTGGCCAAAATACCGCATGCTTTTCAAAGGCGAGCCAATGAGCGCGCGGTTGCCTGGTTGGCAGCACTTGCGCTTCGACAATGGCCCGCCGCCTGCCCAACATCCTCGTCACGGGGACCCCTGGCACGGGGAAGACGACGATGAGCCAAATGCTCGCGGTACCCGAAGCTCTAAGCTCCAATGCGTATGCTAACGCTTGCTTACTTAGGAAAAGATGCAGTTCCGTAACATCAACGTCGGCGACCTCGTGCGACTCGGATCCGACAGCAATGCGAATGGCTCATGCGCGACGTAGGTCAAGCAGCACAGCCTCCACTCGGGCCGCGATGAAGACTTTGACTGCTTCGTCCTGGACGAGGACAAGGTCGTCGACGAGATGGACGACGTCATGAGCTCGGCGGACGGCGGCGTGATTGTGGACTTTCACACGTGCGACTTTTTCCCCGAGCGCTGGTTCGACCTCGTACGTCCTTTTGCGATCGACTCGAATCGGGTTTTATGTAAAACGCTAGGTTGTCGTGCTGCGCTCGGACAACACGACGCTCTTTGACCGGCTCGTCGCCCGCGGCTACTCGGAGAAGAAGGTCCAGGAGAACGTCGAGTGCGAGATCATGCAGGTCGTGCTCGAGGAGGCGCAGAGCAGCTACGCGCCCGAGATCGTGCAGGAGCTCTCGTCCGTCTCGATCGAAGACATGGAGTCCAACGTCGCCCGCGTGATGGCCTGGGCCCAGCACTGGATTGAAAACAACCAATGATAAAGAACGTCTCTTCTACTGTACAGCAATCCGCATAGCGTCTCCTCACGGGTAGTTCACGTGCAGCTTTTCGAGCTGCGTGACCATGTCAAAGCCCCCCGAGCGCACGCGCCACGCGTCGCGGACCATGCGCATCCTGGCGCTGTCGTCCAGCGGCTCCTCGAAGTGCACCGACTTGGTGCGGCCGCGCAGCTCCTCGACGACCGGCGTCGGCTCGTCCACAAAGCCTGTGCCATACGATCGTATCCTCAGCTCGTTCCGAAGCTTCGTACCCGACGTGGCCTTGTACGCATTGAGATTCTCTCGCAGCCGTCGGCTCTCGGCCATGCGCCTTCGCGTCGCCTTGGCCGATTTGTCAATGTCGGCGAGGTCGGCCTAGGTTCCGGCCGTGATGCGTCGCAAGATGATGATAGTGGTGCGAGTACCGGCTCGACGTGCACGGCGCGCTTGATGCCGCCTTTGATGAGCTCCTCGTGGAAGATCTTGTCGTGCGTGAAGGAGCTGTCGAGCGGCAGCTTGAAGCTCAAGTCGTACTACGCGCATGAGTATGCGCAAGTGTATATACTCCGCTACCTTTTCCAGAAGGACCTGGTTCTCCGTGTGTTGAGGCAGCGAAAAGTGAAAGACCGCATCGGTCCAGCGCTCCATCTGCGGCTGACGGTTGCCCGCGGTGGCCGGCCGGAACCGTTCGCGCGTGATTTTGCCCGACACCTGAGTCTTCTTCCCGCGCCTTTCCGTGACCTCGGCCAGCTACTCTCACGCACGTTGGCTACAACCGCACGACGCGCAAAATTCGAGTAGCCGGCGCACGTACCGTGATGGACCGCGTCGCTGGCGCACTGGCCACGTCCCGCTTCGGCCGCGCCGGCGGGCTCTCGACATACCCAGGCTCGGTCTTCCACCACGCTGTTGTGGGCAGTGGCGCCACCACGGGCTTGGGCGCAAACGTGGCATTCGCCTCGACCCGTGCCGATCGGCGTTCGTCGAGAAGCGCCGACCGCGTCCGCCGCTTGGCGGGTGTCCCACTCTCGACTACAGCCGTCGCTCGAGGTGATCGACTGTCTCTGTCGCCCCGCCGTGGGTGCATGAGCCCTGACACGACGTATTTGTGTCCGCGCGCGACCGCTGGGGTCTTTTTCTTGTGCGCCAGACTCGCGGCCATGGCGCGGTTCTCTTCCCGGCGCGCGTCCTGCAGGTCCTGCCGCGTGGCGTGCGCTGGCTATTACATAGCGCTCGCTTGGACAGCAACCACCGAGGAAGCAACGTACAGTGCGCGCCCACGCTTCGGGACCCATGGGCGCGACGACGACGTCGCGAGGCGGCCGCGTCATGACCTCGTTTCGCAGCTGAAAATAGGTTGCCGCTTGAAGGCGGTCCGTGATTGGTCTCGGTACAAGCAATCCAGTGCCATTACACCGGCCTGCAAGGCGCAGCAACCTCGGACGTGCAACACCTCGGAGGATGTTGTTTACAGTATGGTGTATGTGCGGCCGCAAGACGAAGAGATCGTTCCACACCGTGTTTACGTCGCGATCCATTACGCAAGAAGGTCTATCGTAAAGCCGGCTACTCATGGTGTCTCTAGCAGAGACGGATGCTGGGTGCCGACGACCGAGCGCCGACAATGCACTTGAGTTTGTACTTCTTACGTGGCGCTCTCCGGCTGTCCAAGCACGTCGTCCGTTGTACCGCGGCGTAGCTACTTTCGATCAACCAACTGCTACTACACCTCGCGATTTCTTTCTTTTCGTAACACATCGGTGGTGGCCTCTCGTTCAACATCTCGGTCCGGAGCTATGTGCGTGGTACCTTAAAACTCAGAACCCAGCGGCAGCTGCCTTTCCGCACAGCTGCTTTGCGCTTTGGAGCTTACCCCGAGGGTAAAAACGAGACGCCGGCTCTCTACCTACATTTGCACACATTGCGAGAGATGTACGATGCTTCTTCGCCAAGCGACAACGACGCACGGTGTCGACCCCGATCACCGCTGCTTCCAAGACGGCGATAGAGGCTGGCATCGCCACCAGGTTCTCAAAGGGTATTGGCCTTTTACCGCAACGAAGAAGATGAAGAAGACGACGTTGCAGAGGCCATCGAATTCGAACGATGACGGCGATGAAGCCGCCATACGCCCGCCATCTGGCAGCTTCGCCACGTCATGGCCGCCACCCAGCGTGTACATTGTGGGGTTTCTATTTGCGGCCTTTCTGGCGTCGGGGCGCGCCACGTGGCGGGCTGGGTGTTAACCCCATCCGTGGCTACTACGAACCATCTGCCCTAGCGTTGACAAGAAGCCATGTGGCACTGGGCACAGTGGGCGTATTGTGCGCCCACCACGCGCTACCCAGCGGTCACTTTCCATTTCCACCCGCCACCCACACATACCTCCAGTATGGTCGCCAAGCCGAGCGACGAGTCGCACCACGACGGTGGCAAGTGCCGCTACAAGACGGGCAAGTGCCTCAACGACCGCTCGTACAAGCGCAACGGGCAGTTCCACCAGCTCTGCAACTTTCACCGCGAAAAGGCCAACCGCATTCAGCGCAAGTTTGACCGCCAAAAGCGCATCGTGGCCAAGTCGGCCAAGTCGACCGACAAGAAGACGCTCGGCGACTTGAGCCCTATGACGCACCGCAGCAGCGACGACTTCCTCTCGGACACGGACTCGTGCGGCCGCCCGTCCACCGACAGCTCGTGCAGCGAAAGCTTCTTCAGCGTCGACGACCTCTGCTGGCAAGAACCATCAAGATCGAACACACCATCTGCGCCGAGCCCGTGCCCGTGCACTCGCCCGAGGCGCACCGCGGCCGTCTCTCGTTCGACGAGCTCGACTTTCTCTGCTCCGCGATCCTCTAACGTCGCGATCCCCACGTATTTACATCTTCCACACCTCAATCGGAGAAGTGTACCCGTCCCTGTCGTCCACCCGTCGCCGTCCCTCGTTTCGATGTCTAACTGCTATTATCCATGTCTTGTGCTTTGTGCTCTCACGATCGATCTTCTGTCTTCCCACTCTCCGTGACCTCGAATGGGTGGCACGCACTTTCTCGCCCGAGCAGGATCGGCAGGCTACTGCGGCGCGTATGTGTACCAATAATGCGAACGCGAGTGAGTCATCGCTCCGACTCTGCGTAAATATTCATCGTTTCAGTGAAAAATCTAGATTACCTAGCGCTGGAATTCCTCGACGGCGGCCAAGGCGAGCAAGACGCCGAGAACGACAATTGCAAAGTCCCGGAGCGACTGGCGCCACGACGGCGCCACCCGCGGCTGGACGAGGATCTTGGTGTTGGTTGACTGCGCCTTGAGTTGCTGCAGCGCCCGCTGTTTGCGCTGCCGGTTCGTCGGCGACCCGTTGCGGTGCGCCTTTAACTTGGAAAACGAATTGTACTTGGTTGCAAACTCCTTGAGCGGGCTCTTCTTTAGCGGGCTCTCCGCCGCCATCGCCGGCAGCTCGCGCCGAAGCACGTTGAACACAAAGCGCTTGGTCGCCAGCGGTCCGTGCCGTGTCGCCTTCTTGAGCGGACTCGCCGGCTCCATGGGCATCGCCTCTTTGAAGGCTGCAAACGCGCGCCGCTTCTGCGCCATCGAGCGCGCGTATGCGTGCACCTTGCTGAACGCCTCACCATCATCATCGTCGTCATCGACGTTGTCGGTAGACTCCGAGTGCTGCTCGTTGTGCAATCGGATGAGCCGGCGCAGGTGGCTCGCGATGTCCTCGGGCGCGGGCGTCGAGAGCGTCTCGATGTAGTCGAAGCCGGCGCCCGTCTTTGCGAGCGGCGATGCCGGCCGCACAAGCAGCTCAGTCAGCGACGGTGACGAGCATTTAGCTTTCGGCGCGCGCCACGGGTAGTCACTCGTCGAGTCGGCGCACGACTCTGCATAGTCGAAGGACGGGTCGGTCTCGTCCAGGTCCACGATCTCGTTGACGCACGCCAGGATAAAGTCGCGGCAGTGGTGGACGTTGAAGCTTTTTTTCGCCCGACCGCTGCTGAACGTGACCGGCTTGCGCCCCTCGGCCTCGTTGAGCTGCTTGAGGAACGCGCGCCGCATCGTGTCCTGTTCGAGCGGCTGCGACGCGACCGCGTCGACCACGGACGCGACAAAGTCGACCATCGAGTCGTCGCGCTCGAGGAGCGCAACCACCTGGCGTAAAAGCTTGGTGCGCAGTTGGTCAGCGCTCAGCGGATCCTCGCTCGACACTTGGCCGATCGGTTGCGCGTCCGGAAGCCCAAACTTGGCGCGCATCGCCTTCTTGAGCGGACTACGCGGCGCGCTGCTCTGCACTTTGCTGGACGACCGAATGGAGGCCATCGTGTAAATTGAATTGTACGCGTCTGGATAACATCGTGGAGCAACAACGCTCGTCCTAATAACGGCGGCGGGTTGCCGCCATCGCGGCCGTTGACAACCATGTGCACCCAACACCGGTGACGCTTGGTGCCGCTTGTGACAAAAAAGGGTACCACCGTGGGCGCACGGCTTGCCCCAGCTGAAGAAGCTAGCTGAAGAATGGCTTCGAATGCGCTGACGTCGTATTGTACTACTGTGAGAAAGCTACTCGAGCGATATGTGCCGTAGACAAGGATCGGTTCGGGCAACTCGCGCAACCGAATCTCCATCGCAGCTAGCATCCCTGGGATATCAGAACTTGATTTTTGTCCTTTTATTTTGTCCCGGCGTATAAATACCTGCAATCAGATCGCGAGCATGGTCGAGGGCGCGAGCCGTCTCGCGACCGTCGGCGGCGGCGGATGCTCGACGCTGGACCTCATGAAGCGGCTCGAGAAGCCGTCGGTGTCGCCCGAGGTGCTCTCGGAGATGGAGCACATCCTCCAGAGCGACAAGCTCCACCGGCAGCTGCAGCGCGTACGTGGAACAACGACGCTCGTGGGTACACACCCTCGTTCTTCATAGGCGCGGCGCGGCGACGCGCTGATTGCAGACATCACCAAGCTCGGCGACGTGGAGGAGGCTCGGAAGAAGCTTCGCCCCATCTTCGTACCTGACAAGCCCCAAGTCGTACGTATCCTCCGCGACTTCAACTTGCAGCGAAAAACGTGCGCGTGTAGCGCACACTGCGGGCAAGTCGGCTTCTGGGGCCTGAGAACAATAAGAAGATCATTACGTCGCTGGTGCGCCCTCTGCCGTCGACCCGTGGTACATCGTCTGACGCCAAGTCGACGCCGCCGAGCTTACCGCCCAGCGCATCGGCGCCAGTGCTGCCCACCGTGCCGTTGACGGCAGCCGAGAAGGAGCTCGCGGCGCTCAAGGGCGCACGGATAGCGCTCGAGCACGACCTGCTGCACGTGACCAAACAGCTGTACCACAAGTACGAAAAGCAGGTGTTTCCGGGTGCACACACCAAGGGCGCCACGTTCCAGTCGCTCAGCAAGCGCTGGGCCGCGCCGTCGCTCTCGGACAGCGACAAGTACGCAGCGTACATGGACGGCCGGTACGCGACGCGGAACGACCTCGAGTTTTACAAGAAGCCGCCGCCGCCGAAAGACGAGACCAACAGCTTCCACCGCAAGCACAAGCAGCACACCAAGTACGGCGACTCGCTCGCCTTTGCCAAGCACAGTTTGCGTGGCACGTTCTAGCACTGCATAAAGAATTCGTGGTTTGCCTTTGCACGACAGCGTCTATTAGCGGTAGAAGGCGCCGATCCGGTCGTTCTCGAGAAGCGACTTGACACGAAAGTCAGCCTTGGAGTGCGTGGGCACGGCAGGGGAAAAGGTCACGTGCTCGGCAAAGCGAGGCGACAGCATACGTGCGACGTTCATCGCTTCGATGGACGATGGCTGGTTCGAGATGAGAAGTTCGACCCCGTCGTCCTAGTACGGGGTAAGTTTCCGTGCTGGAGAAAACGAGAGATAGGTACGAGGGTTTTGAGAGCGAGCTGGCGCCGCGCCTGGATTCGCCGGGCAGCAACCTTGGCGCCCTGCGCCATCGTCTAACACCTCTGCATTTCAAGATATAACGAGCAGCTCGACTGTCCACCTCTTGCGCGCGCTGCCGCTTGCTCTCTTGGTCCGCACGCTCTTGCTTCTTGAGAACCATCTCGTGCTCCATACGCAGCTTGATGCGCTGCTGGCACTTGGCTTGCTACGACGAGCCCCATCGATGATCGCATGCAGAATTACATCGAAGCGACATACGGGGCTAGCGGCCATCTACGAGGGTCATGTCAGTGCAACCGTGCAGTGCCCGAGCACTACCTCGGACGGCGTCGCGACAACCGACTTGCGCGGCGACGGGCGCGATGGACTCTCGCTCAGAGAAAGCCGCGGCTGCATCCGAAGTCACCAAGTATATATTTGGCGCTGCGTTACGCTTATCGATGCGGCTGGAAAAAGTCGGCGACGAGCTCGGCGTTGACCTTGTCGAGCACCGTGCGGCGGAGGAGGTCCTTCGCCGACGCTTGCATCACGTTGGCAATCGATCCTACTCGGTCCCGCGCATCTCCTTCCATTGCTTCCGCTATCGTGGACGCACCAAAGATGTCGAGGAGCATGTCGCAGTCGTCGTCCGAGAGAAAATGCAAGTTGGCCGCAAGGATGCCCCGCTCGTGCTCCTTGGAGAGCTGCTGATCGCTCAACTAGAATAGCGCGTCCGCCATCATGTCGATGCAATCCCATGGTCACTGCACTTTGTCAAAGAAGGCTCGCGCGCGCGCTCCGGCCGCGTACTGGTGCTTTTCCCGGATGTTCAGGATCGCCCGGAACGCCGAGTCGATTGAGGATGCTGGGAAGATGCACAACTTTGCATGGGACCGTGGCGTCATGAGGAGCGTCTGGACCTGCCGGTGGAGCCACGGAGGCATCGTCGCGGGAAAGAGCTGGATCGCATACACCAGGGAAAAGGTCGCTGTGGCCGTCGCGACCGCCACTTCGATCTCTTCGATCGAATCCCGCGCCGTGATCAGAAGGAACGGGATCGCGGGTGCGACGCCCGGCCGCGCGCAGAGCAGCACGTCGACGGGACCCGTCGCCATGGTCTGGCAGCGGAAGTCGTCGCGGGCCTTGAAGAGGTCGAGGAGCATCCCCGTCTTGATGCTGGTCTTGGCGAGGAGCACTTGCACTACGCAGCAGGAGGTCCATCGTCATGCGCTTCTTCCTCGGCCTCATGCAGCATTCTCTTCCTACTTGATGATCGAGAAGAAACGCAATGAAGCTTCGCGTCCGCGGATACGCCATTCCGCGATGGCATTGGCCAAAAGCTGCCATTTTTGCAGCAATGGCAGCGTCGGATTGGCCACTGCGTTTGATTTTAATGGGTTTTGACCAATCGCATCGCGGCCGCATGGACACTACAACTTTTTAGCACCATTTATTTTGCCATGTTGTCCCGCTTGGTGTCGACGGCCGTGGTCCGCTCCCGCGGGGCCGCGCGCCTGTACGCGTCCGTGGCCGCGGAAGCAGGCGCGCCGACCAAGCTGGTGCTGCGCGAGATGAAGGCGGTGCCCCGCGAGACGCGCCGCCAGCTGCGGCTCGAGGCCGAGACCTCATCGAGCCCGCTCACCAAGAACAACAAGACGCCCGTGTCGCGCCTCGTGCTCCGCACGCTCTTCGGCGCGACGGGCCTGGCTGCCGCCGGGTGGCACCTCTATCTCTCTGAGGAGACGAAGGCCGACATCTCGCAGCGCGTCAACGACTCGTTCGTGGGCGCGATCGCCGACTACATCATGGCGCAGATCCAGGAAATGGCCCGTCCGTTCACCAAGCCGTCGCGCGACAAGCTGCTGCCGGACTGGCCCATGATCAACCGTGGCGTGCCCGAAGGCTACCCGCAAATCCCGGTCCTTGTCCTTGGCGTCGAAGACGTCTTGCTGCACTCGGAGTGGGACGTACGTTGGCCGATGGTCGCCTTCCCATCGTCTTATATGTACTGTAGCGCAAGTATGGCTGGCGCCATGCCAAGCGTCCGCACGTCGACGAGTTCTTGGAGACGCTCGCGCGGGTACATATGCCTTGCGATGCAATCTGGTGAGTGACACAATCGACGTCTAGTACTACGAGATCGTGCTCTTCTCGAGCGAGCCGCGCATGATGGTCGAAGAAGTGCTGGCGCGCCTCGACAGCAAGGTACGAATGTGTAGCCTAGCCGCATCGCTCATGCATGGCGGGTAGCAATGCGCCTTCCACTACTTGACGCGCGAAGAGACGCACTTTTCAACGGGACGCACGTCAAGGTCGGTCGCTCGTGCGATTATTGTGCTGGTCGTTGAGTGCGATGTAGGATCTCAACCCGATGAACCGCGATCTGCGCAAGATCATTGTCGTCGACCACAACCCGGAAAACTTCCAGCTGCACCTGGGCAACGGCATCACGATCCCGGCGTACCTCGACGGCGCGGACCGCTCGGACCGTGTGCTCAAGGACCTCATCCCGTTCTTCGAGACGCTCGGGAAGGAAAACGTGGCGGATGTGACCAAGATCCTCGCCGAGTTTGCCGACGCGGACGGCGTCGTGCGCGACGTCGGGCCCAAGTGGAACGCCAAGCTCGCGGCCCTCGAAGAGAAGAAGCGCATGAACGAGCAAAAGGGCTTCGGCGGCTTTGTGCGCGGCCGCATGTCGACGCGCGCGTCGTCGCCGTCGCTTTCGTTCAAAAACTAACGAGAATATTGCGTCGTCTTAACCTCTTCTACCACGACGCGAGCACGTGCGTCAGAATGTCCTACATACACCACGAAACACTTCAAGACAATGTCAGAGATATTAAGCGGACGGACCTCGACAAACGCGGGCTGCTGCGACGGCGCCACATCGATGGCTTGCACGTGGTGTAGCAGCGATCTCCGGAGCTTCTCGCCCTTGGTCGTCTACACACATGGCACTCAAGGAACGCGCCGGAGGACGGAATATGCAAGTACCCGCTGCCACGCGTGGGCCCAGCGCGTCCGGCGCGGAAACGACTTGTAGTACTCGAGGAGGCGGATGACTTGCTCGACGCAGCCGCGGATGCTCTCGCCGTACCCGGTGCGGAGGCGCTGCAGCACGTCGAGACTCGACGGCGTCCCGTCTGCAGCATGCGAGCGCGGCTTGTAGCGGCGGGTTGTCGCCGAGAGCTCGAACGGAAAGTACATGAGCGGCGCTTTCGAGCGGCCGTTGATCTTTTCGCCGCGCACGTGGAAGTAGCGAAAGAGGCCGATCGGGTCGGCGCGCTTGGCGTCGTACGTGCCGACGATGAGCCCCACGAACGGGTGCGCGTGCGCCATCTCGTTGAAGAGCTCTTGGTGGCTCGCTTGGTTTTCAATGTCGCGGATCGACGGGTCCGGCGCAAACGTCGGGTGCGAGTGGTACCACCCGACCACGTCCAAGTGCGACTCTTCAATGAGCTGGCGCACCTCGAGCTCGCTCGCAGGGTCCATCTCGACGTCGGTCGCGCCGTCGTCGCCTTCGATCTGCATCGAGCGGCATGGAAACGCGGCGTGGATGTACACGACGTTGGCGTCGCGGTCAAACTTGCCGCCAAAGTAGCCAATGATCTCGCACATGGCCAAGTGCGCGTGGAGGTCGCAGACAAAGGCGACGTCCGGGTGCACGCAGACGCGGAACGGCTGCTGCGGCCGCTTGTCGTGCGTCGCGTGAGGCGCTGCGTACTGCGCGCACTCGACCATCATGTGCGGGTCCAGCGCGTTGCCCGCGAGAAAGTTCTGCCGCAGCTGGCTGTGCTGCACCGAGCGCTACACATCATCCACGTGTTCAACTCGACGAAAAAAGCAGACTTTCAGGCGTACAACGTTGCGGCGGCCGCGCGTCGGTGGCTCGTCGGCGAATGGGCGCACGTCGACGTCCTCCGAGTCGGTAAAGACCGTGTGGTCCCAGACAAACTCGCGCCGGCACGCATACGTCGTCGTCGCCGGGTCGTTCCACAGCATGGAGAGCGGCGTGGTGAGTGCGTTGACGTCTGTCTCGGCGGCCGACTCGGGCTCGGCCACGAACGAGTGGTCGTGCTGGCATGACGCGTAGACGACCTCTTCAAAGTCCTCGATATCGTCATCATCCACGTACACCTCCTTGACACGCTTGGGCTTGGGCTTGGGCTTGAGCTTTTTTCGCGACTTGGTGCTGCCGTACGCCTCGTCCGACTCGGAGCTGGTCGAGAACTCGAGCTAGTAGAGAAGCGTGGAATTTCGCTGTCAGATTGAGTAGACAGCATACCGCCTTGGCCTTTTTCGCTGGTTTGGCCGTTCGTCGCGCTGGTTTCGTCGCAGTTTTGGCCTGCGACGGGCGCGTGTGAAGGATTAGCGCAGCAGATATTGAGAACGCACCTTGGATGCCTTCTTGGCTGTCGCTTTCGCAGGTGCTTTCGAGTCGGCAGGCGACTCGGCGTCAATCTCAATGACGACAGGCGATGCGGGCATCCGGACTGCTTCCGGGCACTCCTCGACGCTCTCATTGCTGCCGACCCCCTCCTCGACGACGCTTTCGTTCTTGACGACCCCCTCCGAGACGACGCTTTCGGGCTCGATTTCCGTCAACTGGGCATTGGCAGCAACCAGATCGACCGGGTTCACTACCTCTGGCGACGTCTGCTTCGCGACGGCCATCGGCGAGCTCACATCGGTCGGTGCAACGGCGACCTCGGACTCAAGCTCGACGGCTCGAGCACAAGGCTCGTGCTCTACTAGAGTAGGTTTGGTCTCGACAACGTTGATCTGTGCCCCAGCGACTGGAAGAACGGTCGTTGGATCGTCGACCACGCCGAGTTGCACAAGTGGCTCGACCGCCTCAACGAGGTCATGCTGGACGACTGTTTCTGGGTCGACCACGCTGATAATGTCTGCACGGCCGGGCTGGACAACTGTCTCGGGCCCAACCGCTTCAAAAGAGGACGCTGGCAGCTCGACCTCGACGACGGAGGGCTCTTGTGCCGTCATCACGACTCGGGATTCTGGCTCCATCTTCTTGAGGAAGGACTCTGGCTCCGTCTTCTTGGGGAGGACTCTGCCACAGCCATCGCGAACGGCTCAATCACATCGGGGGAGGACTCTGGCTCGACCACCTTGAGGGAGAACTCTGGATCGACCACCTGGAGGGCGGACTCTGGCTCGACCACCTGGAGGGCAGACTCTGGCTCGACCACCTGGAGGGCAGACTCTGGCTCGACCACTACGACCGGCTCCATCACCTCGACAGAGGACTCTGGAGCAACCATTACGACCGGCGCGACCACTTTGAGGAAGGAGTTTGGCTCAACTATCCGACTTGGGATCTCGGCGTCAACCGATTGCGCTTCGGCAGCTGGCTCGATCATCGCGACCGAGATCTCGGGCACATTCACGTTTGCAGAGGTCTCTGGGTGCCCCGTCGCGGCAAAAGACTTCGAGTGGTCTGTCAAAAGTGGGCCTGCGTAGGCTCGACGCCTTTGGCCGCGGTCTTTGGCTCGAGCGCTTCGACAGTGTCGAGAGCTGGAACCAGCCCTGGTAACGGGCCGGAGGCTGATCGAGAGATGTCGCTTCGCCCTTCTCCAGCACGTCGACTGTCGTCGATACAGCCAGCGGAGCGGCGTCACCCATCATCTCGTCTCCCACAAGGGTGTTGGCGACGGAATGAACATGCTCCCTCTTTGTGCTCATCTCGGCTGACGCTCTCCTTGCGCTCGTCGCTTTGGCATCTGTGAAGCGCATCTCTGCTGCTGGATCCGCATCGACGGTCGAGATGGAGAGGTCCTACTCGCAGCTTCCATGGACTGGCACGCGCTGCAAGGGCTCGTACATGTGGCTTGTGGTCCTTTAGCGTCGCTGGCACTGGTCGGTCGTCGCGTGGCTTGCCCTACATCGCTTGCTTGAAGAGCTCGGCGGTGCCGAATGCTGACCTTTCGCCGTACTCGGATCGGCGACGATGCAGCGCGTGGCTCGGTCTTCAAAGTCTTTGGGGCGACCCCCTGTGTCGGTGACGCACTCTTCGTCGTCTGCGGCAGCTCCTACGCCAACGACGTTGGTGGCGTCCCAGGCGCCACGACGTACGCGCACGGGGGCCTCGCTCAGCAACACTATCGATCCGTGCTACAGCAGTCGTTAGAGCACACCGCACAGAACGCAAAACGTACCCGTGGTAGAATCTTGCGCGGCGCCTTCTTCTACATGCCAAGGACGATCATTTACGAAAGCTCGCACGGTCAACCGTACCATAGGAGGCTGCGGCTGCAGCAGCGCCCCGAATGCGACGGGGGTGTACACCACGCCAGGCGTCTCTTTGGCTGCTGCAGGTAGCTACAACGATTTTCATTAGTCAGTCGCAGTGTAAGCATGCGCAAGACCCACCCCTCGACTTCGACTCTGCGGCGACACGGGGCGGACAGTCTTCTTGTCGCGCGGCCGCGGAGGTGATTTTGGCTCGGTGGGTTTTGATGCTGCTTTCTTGGGAGGCGGCTTGGTCTCTTCTTCGATGGCCATCGCGTGAGTAGCCTTGATCGAGATGAGATCGACTGCAAGAAGCGAGGAAGAGCGTACTACGATGCTGGCTCGTCTTCGAGGTGCGGCTGGCTTCGAGTCCGTTGCGTTTTTGTGCTCGTTTCGCGAGCCTGAACGTTAGACGTCCAACCACAGTCCACATGCCCATAACGACGCACCGTCATCTTCTTGTCGGTCGACATGACTTTCTTGCCCACCTTGCGGCTCTACACTCGCGTGAGATCGCTGCAGCCTCCAAGTGCATACCGAAGCTGGCACCTCGACCTCGGAGCCGTCGCTGAGCAGCTTCTTCTTCTTCACAGCCGCTGCTGGTATCATGTGATGTATAAGCGAGCGCTATTGCCAAGAGTCACGTACGTTTTCGTGATGGCGCAGGGCGCTCCCGCTTCACGCGTTGCGCTGGCGGTGGCATCGCAGCGTCGGCCGCGTCGACGGTCTCGCTCTTGGGCGTTGGAGCGACAGACAAAGGCTCGGCGCCGCCTAGGACGCAGCGACTAAAGATGTCGTCCACGGGAGGATACACACCAGTCTCGTCAGCGGCCACACGCTGCTTCTTTGTTGGCTTGCTCTCGAGAGCTCGGTCGTCCACGGCCTCGTCCACGTCGTTGTCTTCGCGAATGGCTTCGTACTCTTTGAAGCTCCATCCTTTTCGCTACACGCTTGACGGATTGTATCCTCGTCCGCAAGCAGCGTTCCTGTACCGTGTTGAGCATCGACTGCGCGTTCGCGATCGCACGCGCCAGCTTGGGTTTGTGGTGCTTGGCCAAGAGAAGCTGCTCGTCGGGGTTGTACGCATCGAAGGCCACGATGTTGTTGCGGCCAATGCTGGAAAACTCGAAGGAGTCGAGGAAGCACACGATCGGCGTCATGCTCGTCGGCGGCTTGAGCTTGGGCAGAGGCAAGTTGTGGGCCTCGAGCGCCTCGAAGGACGTGAAGAGCATGGCCGGCCACCACGGGTACGACGACATGCGCGCCCATACCACATCGCCATCCTGGAGCGCGACCTCCATGTTCATCTTCCCGCCGAGGTTCGTCATCGCAACCGAAGAAAGCCACCGGAGTGCACCAGTCCATCGATTTGACTCGCGGTTTGTATACCCGACGAATCCGGATGCGACCGAATTCACGCAAATCGTGTTCGTACACCATTTACAGTCATAATATCCATGTATAGTGTATATCCTGGTTCATGCCTGACACGAGGCCGTTGCCTGAAACAAGGACCGTGCTGCTGGCCCTATACGCGTCGCTCATTGGTTCAAGAGAAAGGCCAATCAAACGCGCCGATGCTGCATCGTCACATCTGTGGACCAATCACAACGGGACCGGAACAATCTTGTCCTCCAATTGCTACTTCCGGATACGAAATAATTGAAACCATTAAAATGTGCGAATGTTTGTATGCACTTTAAAAAAGAAACGCGACGAGGCTATCCCAACTCATCGTCCGGATGCGCATTCAGGTCCGGCGAAGTCGCGCCACGGCCATCGGGCGGATCATTTCGGTTCTGTACGATGGCCCTCGCGCTGCACGCCACGCCCGCGCCAGTGCCCCGGGGTCCGATTCACGTGACGCCCATGACCCCCGCCCCGCTCGCCACCGTCAACGACGACCTGCTCAACGCTGTCACCGGCTTTTTGGCCGTTGAAGATGTCCTCGCCGCGGCCGCCACGTCCCGCGCCATGTTCCGCTCGATCCACGACCACACCACGTACTGGCGGGACCTCGAGCTCAATGGCGCCACGTCGGAGCTCCTGCAGCGACTCTTGCCGTTCGCGTCGGTCATGCGCTGCGTGCGCTTCCGCAAGTCGACCGCCTCGACCGACGCGTGGCTTGCGTTCGCGCAGTCCACTCGCGACCTTACAGTGCTTGATGTCTCGGGCAGCAAGCACGTCACCGACGACGTCTTCCGCCTCTTTTGCGCGCGCAGCGCCACGACGCTTCGCGAAGTCGCCGCCGACAACTGCTCGTGGATTTCGACGCTGGCGCCGATGCTGCCGTTTGCGCCCTCTCTGCGCGCGCTGTCGTTCAACCGGTGCCGGCAACTCGTCACGGCTGACGTTCTTGACGTTGTCTCCCAGGCACCGCAGCTCGTGTCGCTCGATCTCAAGGGCAACCCGAAAGTCAGCCCATCCACCGTCGTCATGACTGCCATCGCATCGTGCCCGCAGCTCAAGGTGCTGACGCTCGGCGGTAGCGGGCGCTACACGAAAGACGTCAACGCCGAGTTCATCCAGGCCTTCAGCTCTCAGAACCAAGCGATCGCGCTCGAATGTTTAGACCTCTCGTGCAGCAACCCGTTTGGCTCGCGGTCGCCCCTCGTCGACGACGGCCTCGTGCCCCTCTTGCAGCTGTGCCCGAACATGCGAGCGTTGTACTTGAAGGGGCAGTCGAACCTCTCGAGCCACATTTTTTGCGCCCTCCCTCCGCAGCTCAAGACGCTGGACGTTACAGGCTGCGCGATGGCGACTGCGAACCTCGATGGCCTCGCCTGCCTTCCGTTCCTGGAAGAGCTCGTGCTCTACGCGTGCAATAACGTCACGGACGATGCCCTTCTCCGCCTGAAAGTCACACACCCCCACCTCGTCAAACTGGATGTCGAGGGATGCACCGCAGTCTCGGCGGAAGTGCGGGACTTATTTAGTCAGTGTTGATTGTATTATCCTCTTAATATTTATACGAATGAAATGACGCCGCGATTGCGCTTCAAATATGCGCGCAGCACCTCCCTCGCCTGCACATCAGAGGTGGGTGCGTCTGGGCTGCATGGTCAAACGGGATCTAGTTGCCACCATTTTATTGGCTCATGAATATACTTTTCAACCAATCACAGAGCCCGCACCTCCTTGCGCGGTCGAGCCAGATGCAGTTGTGAGCACGAATCGCGATGAAAAATGGACTCGCTCAAACTTACCACACAGATAGAAGACGTCTTGGAGGACACGAAATGCTACTTCGCGTCGGCGTTTGAGATATGCAGCAAGAGAAACGGGTAGAATGGTTATTAGTGGCACTTGCCATATTTAAACACAAAGAGCCACGTTTTATCTCTTTGCGATATCGAAGAGTGTCCAACGATGGGCCATCGCTCTTGTGTGCTTTTTAGATTCAACTCCGTACAGGAAGCTCCTTACCCCGCACTGCAGCGGCTCGCTGGACCTGTTGCGAAGGAAGATCTCGAGTACGGGTAAATTGATTGGCTATAATTATATTTTCGACAATCCAAATCCTCCAATCTCCGGGCTCTTTACTTTCTACCAGTCATATCGCGCGGTGAAGATCTTGGCGAAAGGCCACGCAGAGCAAGATCCGCATCCACGATGTCGGAGCTCCAGCTCATCGTCGAGAAGCTCAACAAGGAGCCCTTCAACCACAACTTCACGCTCGTATGCACGGTTCCAGTCGCTCTCGCCGTCTCATGACTGAGCTGCATAGGTCGCCTTTGATGAAAAATCCAACTTTGAGCTGCTCCAGATCCTCAATGAGGTGTTCGCAGCGATGGACTCGCGTCACAACGTCGACCTCCGCGACGAGCTCGACGAGCAGCGCACGTACCGGTACATGGAGCTACTGCAGCTGCTCAAGTACCAGCTGCCGCCGGACCTCGACGGCTTTCGTGAAGGCTTGAGCCATGGCGAGCGCTACGTGGTGTACCCGATCTTGTACTGGGCGCTCAAGAGCTTTCCCGTGCACAAGAAGCGCGCATACCTCGGGCGGTTCCTCGCGCCGCTTCAAGTGCCGCAAGAGTTCCTCGGCAACGACGGTCTCAACAGCATGCACGAGCACTACAAGCAGCTCCAGAACGAGTTCAAAGCTGCGCACAAGCAAGTCGAACAGCTCCGCACGAGCAAGATTCGTCCTGGCGAGCTGCGAAAGGAGATCACGCAGCTGGAGGAAGAGTCGCACCAGCTCAGCGAGAAGATCGCGCATCTCAAGAAGAAGACGGCCAACGAGGTTCGAAGCGTATCTGGTGAAATGGACTCTGATGCGTGATTAGAGCGGCTTCAAAGACATTTTGGAAGCGACAAGTGCGCTGCGGAAAGAGCAAGAAGAGCAAGCCAAACTCGCGGAGCGGAAGCGCGACCAAATGATGGGGCTCAACATGGCGCAGAAGCGCAGCCGGGACTACGACCAGCGCCTTGGCGAGATGCGCCAGAGCATTACGACCAACATGCAGCCAGACCAGCTCTTTGACCAGCTGCAGAACCAAGTGGACCGCCACCGGGACATTCTCATCAACAAGTTCCCGGCCGAGTTCCGCCTCCAGCAAGAGAAGCTTCAGCACCTCGACGCAGCGCTGAGCGAGCCCGCCAAGACCGAGGCCGACATTGCCGACATGGAAGACGAGATTCAGAATCTCAAAAACTCGATCCAAGTACATTCTTGCATCCTTCGCCAATCGTCGACAGCTCTTTGTAGCACTTTTCCGACCAATTGAACGAGACACAGAAAGCTGCGGGCGACGACAAGTTGGCGATCTTCCGTCAGCACGCCAACATCCAAACCAAGAAGCTCAACGACAAGATCGACGAGCTCACCAAGGTCAAGCAAGAGAAACAGTCCCTCCAGCGCCAGCTCGAAGACCAAGTACGTTCTTGCGAGTACGTCGTGTCTAATATCACGTAGGAAGCCAAGATGGCCGAGGTCTCGGGACCAAAGTTCATGAAGCACAACGAGTTCAAGCAGTTTACCAACACGCTGCGTATTAAGACCAACCAGTACAAGAAGATGAAGGCCGAGCTGGCAGAGATCACGGCCGAGTCGGTTGTCCTCCACCGCACGGAGCAGGTGCTGCGGAGCCGCGATTCGGACCTCGACGGCCTCCTCAAGGACATTGAGGCCTCGAAAGGCGTTGTCGGCTACATGGACACGGAAGGCAAACTCAACGAAATCTCGGAGCGCAACGCTCAAGTGAACGCGTTTAAGGGCGAGACCCTCGAGGAAATCAGCCGCATTGTGACCGACATCAACCAGACGCTAAAGGAGCGCAAGAACCAGCTCGCGCCGCAGATCAAGGATCTCCGCGCCGTGCGCCAGCGCTACCAAGAGATGGAGCAAACGTACCTGGAGAAGAAGGCGCAGTACGACAACACGGCCGTGGGCCTCGAGACCGAGCGCATCAAGCTCGAGCAAGAGTGCACGGCGTTTCAGGACGACTGCCTCCGCGAAGAGAGCCAGTACCACCAGCTCCACGCGCTGCTGCAGATCGAGTCGGCGCGCCTCGACAAGGTCACGCAAGAGGAAGAGTTTGATAAAGGCAACGGAAAACTCCACCGCGACTTCCGCACGTTCCAAGAACTCTACAAGAACAAGGTCATTCAGCAAGAGTCGCTCACGAAGGAGCTTCGGAAGCAGCAGAAGACGCTCAAGACCAACCTCGGCGACTACGTCATCCAGCGCAACATGTTTGACCAGCTTCTCAAGCTCCTTCAGTGCAAGGTCAAGCTCACGACGAACGAGCAAGGCAGCGCCAAGCAGGATCTCTACAGCACGGCGGCCGACATTGCGCAGTTCGACGTCGGCGGCGCGGTACGAGGTGCCTGCTCTTCGCATGTCACCATGATTGTCTCTGTAGAACGTCATGACCATCGACGCGTAGCGCTGCCCCTTGTAGCTTGTCGTCTTTTAACTCGTTGGATACATTGCATGCCCGCATTTGAGTACGAGCCTTCAGCCACGACGCGGGAGGGCAGGCGCGTTCGTTTTCGCGCCAAATCTGGTATCCGGATCCGGAAGCCAGCGGCCGGCCAGCGCCCACTACAAATAAGAAAGCGAAGGATGGCCGAGCCCGCGCCCGCCCCCCGCGTCAACAAGGCGCTCATGGCCTCGTACGTGAACCGCACGGTCGCCCTCGTTGGCAGCATGGAGAGCTGGACGGGCAACAGCGCGATCATCAAGGCCTCGGACGGCGGCCTCGTTACCGTGATCCCGGCGCCCGGCGCCGACTACTCGAGGTACAACGTCCGGCCCATGTCGCCAAGAGCTCATGTATAAGGAGTGTAGCAAGTTCATCGAAGTCATTGGACTCGTCCAGCCTGACGGCTCGCTCCAAGAGTTCAAGTGCACGAGCTTTGGCGACAACTTTGGTACACGCAGCATCTCCGGAAGAGGCCCTTAGCGTCCTGTAGATCTCGGCAACTACGACAAGCTCGTTACGCTCATGCACGGCAAGTTCGCGCCGATGTTTATCTAACGCCCGTCTATGAATTTGCCGCGTCGACTGTGGTTTCTTGGGCGACTGGGGTGGGCAATGGCGGGTGCTGCTTGAAGCCAGCCGTGAGAGGCGCTACGGGCTTGACGCTGGCGACATCCATGCAAGCCACCTACAGACGCCTTCAACACACACGCCTGCGCGATACCCTGCAGTGTACCTGCACGATGGACAAGTGGGTTTGCGGCAGGAAGATGCTCTGATACAAGTGAAAGTGGCGGTAGTACGTGTGCGTCACGTAGTCGACGATGCGGGTGACGTCGGTGGCGTCAAAAATTCCTGTGCTCATCGGCGGCCGCTCGACGCTGTGCCGCAGGAGCATAGCCTGGAAGCGCCCAAAGCTTCCGGGCAGCGTCGGGAGCGCGCGCAGGTCCTTCTCGCCGTGAAGGAAGAGGTCCGTGAGCACGAGGCTGTGCACGATCGCCAGCACCGTCGAGGTGCGCTCGGCGCTGAACTCGTGCTGCTTGGTGAACGCGTACAGGTACATGTACATGTCCACGACGAGGTGCAATGGCGCCGGCGCCTTGCGCGTGAAGAGCGGGCTCGGTGGGAAGGTGAAGACATTGGCGAGGTAGTCGCGCAGCTGCGCCGGCTCGTGGATTAGCCCGAGGTCCAGCACGTGGTCCTCCGAGAGGTACCGCCAGCGCAAGCAGTCCGTCATCGGTGGTTTCAAGTGTTATAACAGTTGCAGATGAGTATCTATTCCGGTGTTACGTGCTTCTCTTTACAACAGCAACAAGTCGGGCTGCTCCATGTACTTCTTGAACGCCTGCAAGAACTGACCAGCAATGACGTCGTCGACGACTCGTCGGTCCGACGAGAGCGTCACGTTCATGAGCGTCGCCTTGCGCGGCTCGCCGTCGGCGGCTGCCGGCGCCACGAGCTCGACGCGGCCACGGCCAACTGCCATGATGCACGCCTGCGGCGGGTTGATCACGGCCGTGAACGAGTCGATGCCAAAGCCACCGAGGTTCGAGATCGTGAAGCTGCCGCCCTGGAACTCCTCGGGCTTGAGCTTGTTGGCGCGGGCGCGGCCCACGAGCTCCTTGAAGGTGCCGTTGATGCCGACGAGGCCAAGGTTCTGGACCTTGGGCACAATAGGCGTGATGAGGCCCGTGTCCGTCGCCACGGCCACCGAGATGTCGACGGACGAGTTCGGGACGATCTGCTTCAAGACCGGGTCCATGCCGCAGTTGGCTTCCGGCACGTCGCGAAGCGCGCAGGCGACGGACTTGAGGAGGAAGTCGTTGAGCGAGACCGCGACGCCGTGGTCGTTCTTGAGGCGCTTGCGGAGCTTCATGATCGCGTCGATCTCGCAGTCAATCGACGCATAGTTGTGGGGCACAGTGACCTTGGACGCGGTCAAGCGCTTGGCGATGATCTTGCGCATGTTCGAGAGCGGGAGATCCGTGAACGGGCCATCCGCAGCAGGCGCCGCCTTCGCGACGGGCGCAGCGACGGGCGCAGCGACGGGCGCGGCCACAGGCGCGGCAATCGGCGCGGGCTTGGTCTCAAAGTGGGCCGTGGGGAGGAGCGAGCGCTTGCCCAAAAAGTGAATGCGGGGCACGCGGTGCGCGCTCGTGGCGGGAGCAGACGCAGCAGCAACAGGCGCGGCAGCGACAGGCGCAGCAGCAGCGGGGGCAGGGGCAGCGTCACCAGTAAGCTTGGCGATGTCACCGCTCTTGAGAAGGGCGGCGTACGTTTCTTCGTCTTCGACAGTGAAGGCCAAGAGCGTGCCAACGTCAACGGACGTGCCTTGGGCGACGAGGATCTTGGCGAGGACGGCCTCGTCCTGCATCTCGTAGTCGACGGTCGCCTTGTCCGTCTCGACCTGGCAGAGAACGTCGCCGGCGTTCGCCATCTCGCCTTCCTTCTTGAGCCACGCGGCGATCGTGCCGGACTCCATCGTGGGCGAGAGGGCGGGCATGAGGAGCTTGGTGACGCCATCCGGGAGCGACGAGAGGCGGCGCATGCCCCACGTGGCACGCTTGGCGAGAGGCGGCGTCAAGGCGGCGAGGCGCAGCATAGCAATTGACTGTGTGGGAGTCACTGGATTTGTGGGTCACACGAAATGCACCAATCATCCGTCGTCCGGATAAACGGCGCAGAGGCTGCCCACGCCGAAAAATCCAGCAGCGTTTTTACCTCCGTGGAGTATGAAGAGTGGCCAATTTTAATTCCCAGCCCCCTCGTCCGACGTCGGCGACGGTGATGACGAAGGCGGCGGCCCATGATGTCATCGCGGCCTTCCCGCGGCCATGGACCTTGGACGACTGTCGGTCGACGCTTTGCAGTTTCCACCGCTAGGGACATGGTCCATGCATGTTCAATTTGCATCGGCGGGGGTTCCATGGCACCGCAAGCGGCGGTTGTCCGGATAAAGGGAAAGTCCCTCGGAACCGAAAGGACACGCTCTTCCGAATGGATTTCACCGAGGTAACCGGGCGTGAAACGGAGCTTAAATTAAGATGTCGGTCGCGCAGGACAAGGTCCCGAACGACGAGTACGAGGTGCTCGAGGCGCTCGGCGAGGGCTCGTACGGCAAGGTCTTCAAGGCCATGCACCGCAGCTCCGCGCGTGTCGTCGCGCTCAAGGTCGTGCCAGTCGAGAGCGACGACAAAGACATGGCCGACCTCCTCAAGGAGATCAAGATCCTCCAGAAATGCCAGTCGCCCTACATCGTGCAGTACTACGGCAGCATGCTCTACGAGGGCAGCATGTGGGTACGACCGGCTTTGTCATGAGTCGCATGCGACGCGTGGCGTAGATCGAGATGGAATTCTGCGAGGCGGGCTCGGTCGCCGACATGCTGCGTGTCTCTCCAGCGGGCGTCTTGAGCGAAAAAGAAGTCGCCGCCGTCTGCGCCAACGTCGTGAAAGGCCTCGCGTACCTCCACGACCAGCGCAACATCCATCGGGTGCGTCTGACGCTGCGAGGCGCTCATGTGCAGATCTTTGGCGCAGGACATCAAGGCCGGCAACGTGCTGCTCTCGTCGAGTGGCCTCGCCAAGCTCGGTACAAGCTCTCTGGACGACAACATTGTTTGTAGCTTTTCGTAGCCGACTTTGGCGTCTCGGCGCAGCTCACCAACACGATCAACAAGCGCAAGACCGTGATCGGCACGCCGTTCTGGATGGCTCCCGAGGTCATCCAGGAGACGCAGTACGACTGCAAGGTAGCATCGCCCATAGCGACTTGATCACTCAGTGGTACACTCAGGCGGACATCTGGTCCTTGGGCATCACGGCCATTGAGATGGCGGAAGGCGACCCGCCGCTTGCGTCCATGCACCCGATGCGCGTACGACGAGATACCTTGGCGTCGATAAAAATCATATTTGCTGTAGGCTATCTTTTTGATCCCGAGCCGGCCGTCCCCTACGCTCAAGGAGCCAGCCCAGTACTCGCCAGCCTTCTCGGACTTTCTCGCGCTGTGCTTGAAGAAGAGCGCGGCGGACCGTCCGTCGGCCGCCGATCTCCTCTCGGTATCCACTCTCTACCTCCGTCGACTTAAGCATGGACTGCGCGTAGCACCCGTTCATCAAGAGGGACGTCGAGCGCCTCGAGTCGACGCACGCGGCGGGCTTGCCCGTGCTGCAGGAACTTGTGGACCGCAACCTCGAAGCGATTTCGACCGACCGCGTCCACATCACAATGACCGAGTCTGGCGACTCATCCACGATGGTCGCGTCGACGTGCCGTGTGTCGACCGACACCAGCAGTGACTGCGGGACCATGGTTTACCGGGGCACCGGAAGCACCCCCTCCGGCGCGCGCGACACGACGGAGCTCTACGGCACAGTTGTGCACCGGGGTACGCGCCTTGCGGCTCCGTCGTAGTGCTGCATCGTCGTGTAGGGACATCGGATGCGTTTGGCACGATGGTGGCCAAGGACTCGCCGCAGAAGCCGCCGACGCAGATCGAGCGCGCGCCGGCCGAGCCTTCGTTCATGAAGTACTTTCGCCTCGGCAGCGGCAGCGATGCCAACCTTCTCGACGCCAAGAACAGCACGATCCGCCCGACGTCGACGACGGTTCTCAGCGCCTCGGTCCGCGCCACCACCTCTACTCCATCGAACTCACTCTTCTACTATCGTGCTAGGCCAAGTCGGTGACGCAGGCGCTCCTGCAGCTCGAGGACAAGTACGAGAAGGACCGCGTCGCCCTCGAGAAGACCTACCTTCTTGAGAAGGCGCAGCTCGAGGCGCAGCTCGCGACGCTTATGCATTAAGTCGTTTCTATTTTACCTCCTCTCGCGCTGCCACGTTTTTGTCCGGATACGCCGCAAGATCTCGATATCCGGATAGTCGGTTGCCGGCGATCCGCAAAATATAAGAATGCAGCGGGACGAGGAGCAGGAGGCGCTGCTGAGCGAGGCGACGACGAGCGTGCGCCAGAGCGCCTTCTACATGAAGCGGGCCATGGACGCCGGCGCCAACGATGCAGACATTGCGCTCGTGCTAAAGCACGCGGCCGACTTTCTGCGCGAGCTGCGCACGTCGCTGCTGTCGCCCAAGAACTACTATGAGCTGTACATGCTCGTGGCCGACGAGCTACATGCACTCGTGGCCTACATCGAGACGCACCGCGCGTCCATCAACCTGCGCAAGCTCTACGAGCAGGTACAGAGCAGCGGCAACGTCGTGCCAAGACTCTACCTCCTCGTCGCGGTGGGTGTCGTCTACATGCGCAGCGACATGAACCTCGTGCGCGAGCTGCTCAAGGATCTGGTCGAAATGGTCAAAGGCGTACAGCATCCGCTGCGAGGACTCTTTCTGCGCCACTACCTCGTTGTCTCGGTCAAGGAGCTGCTTGGCGCCGTCGACGTGGCGGACGCGCTCGCGTTCCTGCTCCAGAACTGGGACGAGACCAACCGGCTGTGGATCCGCATGCAGTTCCAGTCCAACATCAAGGACAAGAAGCAGCGCGAGAAGGAGCGCCAGGAGCTCAAGCTGCTCGTGGGCACGAGCCTCGTGCGCGTGAGCCAGCTCGATGACGTCTCGAGCGCCGTGTACGCCGCCGACGTGCTGCCGCGCGTGCTCGAGATCGTCATCAACTGCAAGGACAAGATTGCGCAAGTCTACCTCATGGACTGCATCATCCACGTACTCTTGCTTCAGCATGTAAATGCCTCATCCTAGTTTGCAGGTGTTTCCGGATGAATTCCACCTCCAGACCATCCCCGCCTTTCTCGGCGCGCTCAAGGACCTCAACAGCCTCGTGGACATCACGGAGCTCGTCCTCGCGCTCCTCCAGCGACTCACCAAGTACCACGAAGCCAACGCCTCCCACGGTACGAAGTTTCCGATGGATTGATATTTCGATACATGGATAGGGTTTCCGGAGCAGGACGCGCTCTTCGAGGCCCTCGCAGCGTGCGCGGCGTCGGCGGTCGAGCAGCGCGAGGCGTCGCTTCCGAGCGCGTCGCTCCTCGGGCTCTACGCCGGCCTTATGGAGTTTGTGTTTGCGTGTTTTCCGCCCCGGCCACGAAGTACGTTGCGAAACTCTTTGCCGCGGCCACCGACTTGCTCGTGCGCGTCAAAATGTACAAAATCACCCAACTTGTTTGGATGCTGACATGCGCGCAGGCGGTCGGATGCGGTGATCGCCGCTGGCGAGCGTCTCGTGCTCGTGCCCATGAACGCGCTCGGCCACCAGCTCGTGGACGACGCGGAGATCACGCGCTGCGCCAGCGTCGTCCTGCAGTGGCTGCCAACTGTCGATCGAAAGCGCCTCGCGATGCGCTGGGGCAGCGTGCTCCTCCGGCGCCGCGAGACGCTCGACAGCGCGGCGTCGGTCGAGAAGGCGTACACGCTGCTCCTTCCTCTCATCCGAGACGACGGCGACGACGGACCGCCAAGCTCGGTCGCCTCACGCGTGCGTGGCCCCTCGTCTCTTGCCATAATATGACACTGCATCGATAGGCGGCATTCGAGAAGGAGCAGCACCTCGTGGCCAAGATTGCGCACCTGCTCCGCCACCCTAGCGCCGACGTCCAGTTCCAGGTACTCGACCTCCCCGCTTCATGAGAATGTACCAAGTCGGAGCAGATGTACAGCCAGGCGCGGCGGCTCCTCGGCCAGGGCGGGCTCCAACGCATCCGGTTCACGCTCGTGCCATTGGTGTTTCTCTCGCTCCAGCTCACGCAGCGCGTGTCCAGTGACAAGAGCGGAGTCTCGCCGCGCGAGGTGCTGCAGTTTGTGCACGAGATGGCGACGGCGCTCGCGTCCAAAGTCGAGCTGGTCGAGACGCCCGTGTTTGTCAATATCTTTTTGCAGTGCGCGCTGACGGCCGACGCCTGCGGCCTCGAAGCGATCGCGTACGAGTTTCTGACGCAGGCCTTCATCGTCTACGAGGACCAGCTCAGCCAGTGCGCGCACCAGCTGGTCGCGCTCGAGGCGATGCTCGGCGCGCTCCGCCATTGCGCGCACCTGACGCCCGCGAACCTCGACACGCTCGCGACCAAGCTCACGCAGTACGCAGCCAAAGTGCTTCGGAAGAAGGACCAATGCCGCATGGTCGCGTCCTGCGCGCACCTCTTTTGGCGCCCGGTACAACGATTTGACGTCCTACGAGTAAGAACAGAGTTGCTTTCGCATAGGGCGGCCACGGTGTCCGCGTCCTCGAGTGTCTCCAGCGCGCGCTCAAGATCGCCGACGGCTGCACGTCGTCGGCGGCGCAGGTCGCGCTCTTTGTCGACATTTTGGACGAGGTTGGTCCATGTTATTGACATCATGCGACTTTTCACGTCGTGTCTAGTACTTGTACTTTTCCTGGCGCGCACGCCCGAGGTACTCTGCGACAATCGAATGCAATGCAATGCAATGGTCTTGTAGATCACCAAGCAGTACCTCGTGGGGCTCATCGCGCTCGTCAAGGAGCACCTCGAGAACATGGAGTCGGGCCCCGAGAAGGCCGAGATCGAAGCCCACTACCGCAACACGCTCAAGCACATCGAGACGGTCGAGTGGTAGGCGTGATTATAACGCTTAAGAAACGAACTCGACATGTACGTGACGCCGCCAAGCACGAGCGACGAGACGCCGAGCGCCCGCAGCACCATCATGCGCCACACCGAGTCCTTGACGCGCTGCGTGTCCTGGCGCTCGAGGTACTACGAGGCACGTGGTGAGCTTTTTGTTTTGCAAACACCTCGAAAAATGGCGTACGTCGAGGACGCTGGCGGCCGCGAGACAGAGTTCTCCGCGGCGCGGCGACGTCCACGGCACGTTGTGCTGCTCGAGGCTGGCTTGGAGCGCCGCGATTGCCTGCGGCTGCTGGACAAGCACGCGCAACCCGTCCTTGGCGTCGTCGTGTAGGCCTACAGAGCCCGCGTGAGGTGCACGCAAGCGACATGGCGTACCGTGTGGCCGGAGGTGTTCGACGTGGAGCCAAAGGAGCGACGGCGCAAGGGACGCGGGAAGGGTGCGCAGGTCGAGCAGCATCGGGTCGGTCGCGCTGGCCTGTGTGTGCACTTCGGCGAGGCAGTTGGAGTAGTCGCGGCTGCCCATGAGACTCAGGAGCACGTGGGGCGGCACGACGGCGCTGAGCGCGCGAAACTCGTGCAGGCCGACGACGTAGCCGCGGCGCCACATCTCGTCAAACGCGAGGTGGAACTGGTCGTACTGCTTGGCCTTGTAGAAGGCGACGAGCATGTCGGTCAAGATCGAGGTCGGCACGCGCGCGCCGGGGCTGAGCTTGTGCAGCTTGAGGTAGCAGCCGTACGCGTCGTGCACGAGGCCGCTGGTCACGAGCGCTTGGAGGAGCGCCGCCGAGCACCCATGCTCGACGATCGGGACGAGGTCCAGCGTGATCGAGACGCTGAGGGTCCGCGCCATTTTGCGCGAGAGGCGCGGCTGGACGAGCACCCGCAGCAGACAGTCCAGAATCTCGCTCGAGGGCGGCCCGCGGTACGCCTGGTGCACCAGCGGGATCGAGCCGTGGAGGTTGAGGTAGTCGAGCGTTTCGATCGCTGCAATCAAGAGCGCAGGCGATGGCGCCACCACCTGCGGCTCGGTGAGGTCGCGCTGCGCGAGCGCATAGCTGATGGTGAGGCTCTCGGCGTACGCGTTGTTCTGCGCCTTGAGGAGGTGGAGGAGGCAGGTCGCGTCCTTGGCGAGGAGCGACGCGAGCTTCATGGCCGATATCGAAGACGGCAGTACGATCCAGTTGGGCGGTAGCACCTTGGCGTCGTGGAGCGTCCGGATGTACGCTAAAAAGTTGGCATGCATGATGCTGCTCGATGCCGACGCCATCTTGTCTTGCGCGGGCACGGCGCCGTGGCCCATGACGGTCGTCGCACTCTTGAGCAGCTGCTGCTGCGTCGTGTGTGGCGTGCGCTGCCACGTCGACGGCGTAATGTGCGCGAGCTGCGCGAACGCATCGAGGTACTTGTACTCTTCCAAGAGTGCGTACACGTGCGAGAACTCGACGACGTCGCGCAGCGCCGCTGCCTTGAGCGTCGTCGGGTCTTCTATATCGAGCTCCTGTAGCTGACTTTGCACGCGCACGTCTTCGTCGCGGAGGCGGTCGAGGCGACCTTGGAGAATGGCCACCTGCGCGGCCTTGGCACTGTCGTTGGCCGCCTGCGCCAGCAGCGCCTTTGAGAGCTCCGCCAGCCGGGGCTCCTGGAGGCGCACGGGCTGCGGCGTGGACTCGACGATCTGGACAGCGCGGTGGCTGGCGTCGCTCGCGCTCAAGGAGCCCGCGGCAACGAGCGACTGGAGCTTCTCCAGCGCCCGGTACCGACGTTGCATCTTCGATGTCTTGACCAATCACAAATCCCGACACGGCCGCCATGTTTACGCGCACTAAATAATGTATTTACGGCAGCTAATTGTGGCAAGGAGAGGCGTTTCATGGATCTGGACGACGACGGACTCGTCGGGTGCTTGGTCCTCTCGGATGCGGGCCACGTCCTCGCCGACCACGCGCTTCGTCCTTCGGGCCTTCGCCCGGCGCCCTTAGCCTCGCTCGTCGCCACGCTACAGCAGTTCAACCACGGGTATGCCTACGTAGCAGTGGATATGCTGCTAAGCGCGGCAGGTAGGCAGCCCATGGCCATGCTCATGCTGCAAGAGCAAGCAGTTGTCGTCGTGAGCTCCAATGCGGCTCCGATCCTCGTCGTTCTCGTGTGCGCGGCAGAAGCCGACGCGGGCTTTGGGCGGCTGGTACACGACGGCGTGATGAGGCAGCCACTGACCTTGCGTCGCAGGTCGGCGCCAACGTGCTGCACATCTGCACTCGGTACTTTGGCCACGCAGCGCTCGATGGTATCGTCGCAGGTCTCAAGAAGGAAACGGAGGCGCAGTCGACGGCCTACACCCTCTCGTCGGCGCTCGAGGGTCAAGCACCTGCGAATCATTGCGCGTTTGGCGCCTTTGAAGCAACGGTTCTCAGCCCTTTTCTGGACACTGCTATCAATCTGAAGCGGTCCCTGCAGCGACATCCTCGCGCCTTCTTTATCAACAGCATATTGGACGAAGTTGTGCCGCCCGCGCCACACGCTTCGGCGCTCCTTCATGGTATCCTCTGCGTTGCCCGGGATGTCGTCGACAACGCCAGCACCGGATTTTGGACCGCCCGACCGATCGGTACAGCTCGCATGCGGCAACCATGGTAATATACCGCTGCTGTCTTGCAGGGTCGCGCCAGACGACCTACGTGGGACTCGCTTCCTTTGGGGTGCGTGCTTTTAGCTCGAAAAAGTGCAGTGTGCACTCTAAGCCTACAATAGGTCCCAGGCTTCTGCGCTGCGTTTGTCTACGAAGGGCCGGATAAGTGGTTCGATGCGCTGCCGCCTTTAACGACGACGACAGTCCACGTCCCTCACGCGAGCCCGTGGAGCGTGGCCCAGGGCCTTCATGCAGCCAATGCCCGTGGAGCGCTCGAGGATCTTTGCGCTAGCTTTGCCAGCCACGACGTGTCACGCGTGCTCGAGTCACCGCGACCACCCGAGCCCGTAAGGCAGAATGACTAGCTTTCTTACTTTGACTTGTGCAACTTGGCCTCCCGCGCTTGCTGTACCATGCGCCGCGCCCGTTCGTTCACTCGGTCGATTTCGATCTGCGCCTCCGAGGCTTCGCGGTCCAGCGCTAACTGCAGGCGCGCGAGCTTCTGCCTCCGATACGCATCGTCCAGCGGAATCGCCTCGGCGCGAGGTCGCAGTGATGTGGGCGAAGACGTCGCGACCACATTGCCATCGGCGTCGACCTCGATGGGGATTGGAAACAAAGACTACAGCACCAAGAACTTAGTCGACGCGAAAAGCTGTCCTCGTACCCGAAGCATCTTGCAGCGGGGCGGCGGCCGCAAGCACGCGCCGGTTGCTATCGATGTAGCATGATATGCAAAAGGAGAAGCAGCAAGGTCAACGTACTCGGGTCGAAGAGCGCGCCGTGGACCTTGCACTGGAGGACGCCATGCGCAAAGAACTCGGCGTCGCTCCAGTCCATCTCGAGCGCCACGTGGCTGCACTGGTTGACGTAGGCTATGGGGCGGCCGTCGTCCAGGAACACAAAGGCGTCGACCTGCCCACCCCACTTGAACTTGAGCGCTCGCGTCGGCGGAAGCGCGCGCAGCGCCGTCACCGACGCAATGACCTCGCGCCCGACGGCGTGGCACCAGCGGCGCCCCATCATGGTTCCGGTTGCGCAATCGCCAAGAACAATGTTCCGTGTTATAACTGTTAGGTCAGTGTTATTGCCACACAGGGTGCCACGTCATGACGGCCTCCTACTTGTGGTCGTGTTTAGTGAACGGTCCGCCGCCGACACCAGCGTCCAAGCATGCTTCGTTCGCCTGCGCGGCCGTGAGGAGTGTGCTGGGCGCGGCCGCTTGCGGTGCTTTGGCGGCGCTCGACGACGCCTCGAACCGCCCCTCGTAGGCCCAGAGGCCCATCGCAGGGTTGGAGATGTAGTAGAAGCGGCGGCCATTCGCCTCGTGCCACCCGTCGCGTTGCGCCGAAGGGTTGGCGATGCTGTATTTCTCGAGCATGGCTTGGAGCGGCGCGTACTCGAAGCCGACGCCCTCGACCTCGTCCTGCGTGAGGCCGTTCGGCGCGCACGCGTAGACGATGCGGAACCGGTTCTCGGACGAGCCGTGGATGAGGTGCGCGGCGGCGCTGAGGTTCTTCATGAGATCGCGGTTGGCGTGGATGTGTGCAAGGACTTGCTACAATCGCAAAGAGATTATATCACATTGTCCACTATGAAGAGGGTGTACCGGCGTCGTGCGGTAGCCGTACTTGCGGATGAGCACGTCGATCTGCTTGTCTTCGCCAAAGTGCGTGACGCCGGGCGCAAGCACGACCAGCGTGCCGTGGTCCGCGATCGCCATGCGCGTGCGGTAGATGCTCTTGTTGCCGAGCCACGTCGTCTTGAACTCGTCCGGATCCAGATACACGACGACCTACAAGCGCATGAGGTACCATGCCGCCGCCACTCGTGTCTACCTCGTCCAAGGGCGACGGCAATAAGGTGAAGTTGACTTGGAGCGAGAGCGCAGCCGCGCGCGTAAAGCACTCGTCGTCGTCGCCGATGAAGACGCCCCGCGTGACGACAGATCCGTCATCGCTAGTGCGTCGTCATCAGGTGTCAGCGAATCAAAACGGTCCGACGCACCGCCGCCCGATGACGGTCTGTACGTAGAGCAGCGGGAGGTCGCGCAGAAAGTGCTCGGACGCGTAGTTGAGGATGCGTCGAAGCGGGTTGTTGGCGCGGCCTACCCCACGCATCGCAACCGAGTCGCTCGAGATCGAGTCGTCGCACCCATCATGCGCTCCATGCCGTAGACGGCGCCGATGAAGTGCGAAAAGTTGATTGCGTCGCTGCCCCCTGCGCACTCGCGTTGCGCAAAGCCCGCGATGAAGACAGCGTCTCGCACCTGTGCCCACAAAGAGGTTCTTGTTGTAGTTGGCCATGCCCATGACCTCGTGCGGCACCACTTGCCCAATCGAGAGCACGAGGTCGTGCTGTCCCTCCCAAATCTACGCGAGTGTAAGCTAAAGAACAAGGGCTGCGTACGAGCTTGTTGAGCTGCGCCGGCCACGGCTCGTTCACTTGGCCGTCGCTGGCCTCTTGCACGAGCTCCTTGGGCACCTCGCCGATCGTGACCACGTCGTTCCTGCCGCAATGTAGCGCGAACGTTTTCAAGGCATAGCGCTCACCGCCAATCGTGCACGCGGAAGAGGTCATGCGGCACGTCGCCAAACATCTAGGCAACCGGCGTTGCCTGAAAATTGGCCCGATGCTGCGCTACCTTGGTGATCTCCTCTGGCGTCATGGGCGCGTGCGTCCCGAGGGCGGGCATGATGTCCGTCACGTGCTCGCCAAAGTAGGCGTAGGCGTGCTGCGTCACGATGCCCGACTTGCTACGCAGCTGTGAGCGTATGATGCTACGGCCCATGGCGTACGAGTGGAAGCGCGTAAAGTCGGGTGGCACGAGCATGACCTTGCGCTTCGCCTTGCCGTGGAGCTTGTCCAGCGCGGTGTAGAGCGCGCACTTCAGCCCATCGTCCGAGATCTCGGTCGTCGGCGAACCCTCGCTGTAGTAGAGGACCATGCTGATCCCCTGGCGACAGAATAGACAGTGGGAAGATCGCACGCCACCTGCAACGCGTGTTCATTGGCCAAAAGCCTGGCATTATCTCGCTTTTCATTGGCCGCAAGACTCTGATGTTGATTGGCTATATATCCAGCGATTATGCAAACTGGTGCACTCAAACTGGCCGAACCGCTGCGTCGATCGCAGTCGGTGCTGTCTCTATTATACCCTCGGAGGACTCGGTCCCCACGCGTTGCAGAAGCTATCACTACTCTTGCCCAGCGTGCTGGATACATAGTACTACTACCTACTGAAGAGCTCGCGTGGACCGAGGTCTTTGCTCCATGTAATAGTACCGCCACTGGAATTATTTGCCATCACAAGTAGCCCTTCGCCCAGGATGGGGCAGTATATCCTGCAGCTATTGAGGACGGGGACGGCGAAGGGCACTCCACTGCTGGCCGTCGGTCGCATCGCATCGACGCAGGAGCGGGCGTCTAGTTGGAAGTTGCCTTCAATGGTTGCCGTTTCACCTGGATTCTTGACGTCCGGATACGGGTTTATCCGGCGATTAGTTGACTCCCCAGGCTGGCAGAAGCGTTCAATTGTCGCCCGACGCAAGCAGCATGCTCACGAAGCTCACCCGCCGTCCCCACCTCCGGTCGCTGGCCGCGCGCCATGCGACGACGGCGTCGCTGCAGCTCAAGGAGTACGACCTCGTCGTCATCGGCAGCGGGCCGTCCGCGGTCCAGTGCGCCATCGAGTCGGTCAAGAAGGGCAAGACCGTCGCCGTCATCGACAAGAAGGCCGGCATTGGCGGCGTCTGCGTGCACACGGGCACGATTCCGTCCAAGACCTTCCGCGAGTCCGTGCTCCATCTCTCTGGCTTCCGCCACCAAGGGTACGCTCCGCCAGCCGCCTCTCGCAGCGCATCATCGCACGTAGGTTCTACGGCAAGTCGTATGCGCGCGACAACATTACGCTCAACGACATTCTCGAGCGCGTGAACACGGTCGTCTCCAAAGAATGGACGTGATCCAGGCGCAGCTCAAGGCCGCGCGCGTCGACCTCGTGCCCGGCCTCGCGCGCTTCGAGAACGAAAACGAAGTGTCGGTCGAAGGCGACGACGGCCAGCCGTACGTGCCAACGCCGCTCGCTCTGACCATCTCATAGCCTTGTAGCACGCGCCTCCGCGGCAAGAAGTTTCTCGTTGCGTGCGGGACGCGGCCGGCGCACAGTCCGCTCGTGCCCTGCGACGGCAAGATCATCCTCGACAGCGACCAGATCCTCAACCACGACACGACCAAGCTGCCCAAGTCCTGGATCGTCGTCGGCGCCGGCGTCATCGGCATGGAGTACGCGTCGATGCTCAACGTGCTGCCGGGCATCAACGTCACGGTCGTCGACGGCCGCGCCGAGATCCTCAGCTTTTGCGATGACGAGATTGTGAGCTCTCTCAAGATGGAGATGCGGCACAAGGGCGCGCGCTTCCTCCTCGGCGAGTCCATCAAGAGCGTCGAGCACTTCAAGAACGGTGTCAAGGTCGAGTTCAACAGTGGCAAGGCCATGTTCGCCGAGGCGCTGCTCTACTGCGTCGGCCGCCAGGTACTACGACAAGCAACCACCTTGGATGCTATCTTGGAGCGTGCTCGTAGGCCAACACGGATGGCCTCAACCTCGAAGCGGTCGGGCTCTCAAAGAACCACCGTGGCCTCATCACGGTCAACGAACAGTACCAGACGTCGCACCCGCACATGTACGTTCTGCATATTCGCAAGTGAAAGCGTCGACTCGTGACGGTGTAGCTACGCGGCGGGTGACTGCATTGGCGCGCCGTCGCTGGCGTCGACGAGCATGGAGCAGGGCCGACTCGCGGCGTGCGACATGTGGAGCGACAAGGACCAGACGACGTCGCAGCTCGAGTCGGGCAACTACCCGTACGGCATTTACACGATCCCCGAGATCTCGATGGTCGGCAAGACGGAGCAGCAGCTCACAAAGGAGGGCGCCAACTACGCCGTGGGCCTCGCCAAGTTTTCCGAGCTCGCCAAGGGCCAAATGAGCGGCGACATTGAAGGCATCCTCAAGCTTCTCTTCGATCCCGTCTCGCTCCAGCTCCTCGGTGTCCACGCGATCGGCCACGGCGCGACCGAGATCATCCACATTGGCCAAGGTACTTTTAGCTTTTGGTGTTTCTGCGGCTCAGCACTTATCTAGTGGCCATGGCCATGAACTGCAAGATCACGTACTTCCGCGACGCTGTCTTCAACTACCCGACGCTCGCCGAGGTACGACGCATGGATTGCGCCCTCTGCGATTGCTTAACACACTGGATTAGGGCTACCGCGTCGCCGCGCTGAATGGTCTCGGGCGCCTGACCAAAGAACAAAATTAACCTGCAATACACACCCCTTGACGCGTCCATTTCAATTCTCCCCGTTAACACTCCACGTGCTTCCAGGTCCGCGGCAGTCGGAGAGAAGCAAGGTGTAAAAGGACAACGTGGTTTTATGTTAACATGCACAGCTGCGCTCGCTTCTAGCTGACCTAACGTCTCAACGCGGCGCCCAAAGCGACGCCCGCAACGCCCGCCGCCGCCATCAAGGCATAGCTGATCGAGATCGGGGCAGCGCTAGGATCCAAGACACTGTGAGTACTGTTTTGGTGGACGAAGGCGCTGGGCTGCGCACGCTGCGCGTCCAGGATCGTCTTACCAAGGAGCTAACACAGACGATGTTTATGAGTCCTCGAGTCTCCATCGAGGATGGCAACGTACTTGGTAGGCGTAGTAGTGCGCGCCGCGCTCGCCCAAGTCTTCGGTCAGCACCAAGTAGATGGGCAAGACCTTGAGGGCGGGGCTGACGCGACCCTTGTCAAAGAGCGCGTCCAAGAAGAGGCTCGACTTGGTGAAGTAGTCGAGGTTCTTGGGCGCGAGACCGCCCGTGATGTAAAAGCCGCCGCGCGGGAGGTACTTGAGCGCAGCGTTACCGGCTTCGCGACCGTAGGCACTAGCACGATGGTGAGCCCACGAGGTTAGGCTACGGATGAGCGTACCGAACAAAGATGTCCATGGCCTGGTTGCAGAGGTCGTCCGTGGGCGCGTTCTTGCCGACGACAGCGCCCTGGAGCGTATCGGCTTCGAGGAACTCGGCGTGGAGCGTCTGGTTGACCTTCTCCGGGAACTTGTCGGCCAAGAAGGCGTAGATGGTGGCGAGGCCCGGGCCCGAGACGATGCGCTCGACCGAGAGGCGCTTGTTGGGGCCAAACTTGTTGCGGAGGTGGTTGTACAGCTCGATTTCAATGTCCGTGACGGGCGCAAAGTCGCTGTGGCCGCCTTCGCACGCGTAGCACTCGTACGTGCCGTCGCCCGACGGCGTCAAGAAGCACTGGCCCAAGCCCGTGCCGGCACCAACGGTCGCGATCGGCGCGTGCTTGTCGGGCACCGCGTCGTTGAGCGTGATGTACTCGTGCGGGCGGAGCGTCAAGAGGCCGTAGCCCATGGCGGCAAAGTCGTTGATGAGCTTCACGTGCGGGATGCCGAGCTCGCGCTCGAGCACTTCGCCCTTGATCGACCAGCCAAACGCAATGTTGGTAAAGCTACGCGCCGCCGTGAGCATAAATGGTGCACATGGGACACACGTACACAACAGAGTTGTCCAAGATCGGGCCGGCGCAAGCAAGCACGCAGCAGGCCGGCGGCTCGTCGACGCCAGCCTCGTTGAGGAAGAGGAGCGCGACTTCGACGAAGCTCGCGTGTTCTTGGTTGAGGTACTTCTTGTTGAAGATGACCTCGCCGGGTGCAATCTTGCCGACGACTGTAGCATGCAGCGTGTGAGGCCAACGTGTCTGCAATGGCGCGACGTACCCGAGGCGTGGGTCTGCGAGCGGGGCACGCGCCAGAGCGAGAGGCGGGTGTTGGTACCGCCGCAGTCGCCAGAGACGATGAGGTCGTAGCTAGCAGGTCGTATGAGTCTTCGAGTCCGTCTTAGTCCGTACGTACTCCTTGTCAGCGAGCAGTTCTTCGCGGGTGCTGGGCATGGTGGTGGTGGAGGGATGGGGCAAAATGCAAAGTGAGGCCGAGATTCTTCGAGGGGCTCCGTCGCGCGTCCTGATTGGTCAAAAAGAAAGATTGCGGGGGAATAAAAATGTGCTTGCACAATACAAACTTCAAGGTGCGACACACCGGAAATAAAAATACGCTTCAACCTCAACAAGCTCCACGTGTGCAACGGGTGCCGGTGAAAATCACGTGAAAATCCAGCGAAATCAAGCAGGCGGCAGTGGCGACCGTCGAGCGCAACACAAGGCGTCCTACTAATACTCGGAATCCTTCGAAGAGGGTTACCTAACCCTCCGAGGGGGTAAACGACCAACGAGGCTCGTGAACGTTGACGTCCCACTGCTGGCTGGTCGGGCGGCTGCGAGGGGACTTCCTCCTTTCTCTGGTCCTTTTTCAGAAGGAACCCATCGCCGACGAACCAGTGGATGGAGCTGCAAAGGCGACCAAGTTGCAGTCACGCGGCGCACCCGCTTGACACCCATGGTCGCCAGGCTTCAAGGTCGACCACGCTTTGTTTGGATCGAGCTGCCATCTGCGCCGGCCAAGAAATCCATCGCGGCAGATGGCCACCCACAAATTCAGCTCCGCACCACAGACAACACACAGCGCCGGCGCAGAGCCAAGGGACCACGCATAAAAACAAGCAAGTCGCGTCGATTGGGTTTAAATACGCAGCGGCGACGCGCCTACGCACCGCACGACAAGCACTCCTCTTCCTCGTCTGGCTGCGCGGCGGTCGGCGCCGGCGCGGCAGTCGGCGCTTTGCCAGCGTTGGCCGCCTGCTGGCGCTTGATGGCCGACTGGTCGACCGTGAACTGGATCGCGTCGGCTTTCGGGCGCGAGCGCATGTAGTACATGCCCGTCTTGAGGCCGCGCTTCCACGCGTAAAAGTGCATCGACGTGAGCTTGCTGACGCTCGGGTCGGCGATGTGCACGTTCATGGACTGGCTCTGGCAGATGAACGCGCCGCGGTCGGCCGCGAGGTCCAGCACGACCTTTTGCTTGATCTCCCAGACCGTCTTGTAGATGTCCTTGATGCGCTTGGGGATCGTCGCCACGTTCTGGACGCTGCCGCCGTCGTGCAAAATCTGGTTGCGCACGTCGGCGTTCCAGAGCCCGAGACCGATGAGCTCCTTCATGAGGTACTTGTTGACGATCGTAAACTCGCCCGCAAGCACGCGGCGCGAGTACATGTTGCTCGTGAACGGCTCGATCGACTCGTTGTTGCCGAGGATCTGCGCCGTCGACGCCGTCGGCATGGGCGCGAGGAGGAGCGAGTTGCGCACGCCGTGGGCCGCGACCTGCGCCTTGAGCGTCTTCCAGTCCCAGAGGTCCGTCGGCGAGACGCCCCACATGTCGTACTGGAACTTGCCCTGCGAGACGGGCGACCCGGCGTACGTCTCGTACGGGCCGAGCTCCTTGGCGAGCTCCATGGACGTTTCCATGGCCGCGTGGTAGATGGTCTCAAAGATCTGGATGTTGAGCTTCTTCGCTTCAATGGATTCGAACGGGTAGCCCATGAGAATGAAGGCGTCCGCGAGGCCCTGGACACCAATGCCGACCGGGCGGTGGCGCATGTTGCTCTTGCGCGCCTCCTCGATCGGGTAGTAGTTGACGTCAATGACCTTGTTGAGGTTGCGCGTCACAATCTTGGCGACCTTGTGCAAATTCTTGAAGTCGAAGACGCCGTCGGTCACAAACTTGGAGAGCGCAATGGACGCGAGGTTGCACACCGCGACCTCGTCCGCGCTCGTGTACTCGATGACTTCGCAGCAGAGGTTGCTCGACTTGATCGTGCCGAGGTTCTGCTGGTTGCTCTTCGAGTTGCACGCGTCCTTGTACAGCATGTACGGCGTGCCCGTCTCGACCTGCGAGTCGAGGATCGCAAACCAGAGCTGCTGCGCCTTGATCGTCTTGCGCGCGCGGCCCTCCGTCTCGTATTTGTGGTAGAGCGCTTCAAATTCGGCGCCCCAGCAGTCGTGGAGGCCTGGCGCTTCGTTCGGGCAGAAGAGGCTCCACTCGCCGTTCGACTCGACGCGCTTCATGAAGAGGTCCGGGATCCACATGGCGTAGAAGAGGTCGCGCGCGCGGTGGAGCTCGTTGCCGTGGTTCTTCTTGAGGTCGAGGAACTCGAAGATGTCGGCGTGCCACGGCTCGAGGTAGATGGCAAACGAGCCCTTGCGCTTGCCACCGCCCTGGTCGACATAGCGCGCCGTGTCGTTGAAGACACGGAGCATCGGGATGATGCCGTTGGACGACCCGTTCGTGCCGCGGATGTAGCTGTTGGTGCTGCGGATGTTGTGGATGTTGACGCCAATGCCGCCCGCCCACTTGGAGATGCACGCGCACTGCTTGAGCGTGTCGTAGATGCCTTCGATCGAGTCGTCGCGCATCGCGAGAAGGAAGCAGCTCGAGAGCTGCGGGCGCGGCGTGCCGGCGTTGAAGAGCGTCGGCGTCGCGTGCGTAAAGTACATTTGGCTCATGTACTCGTACGTGTCGAGGGCGCCGGCAATGTCTTCCTTGTGGATGCCCACGGCGACGCGCATGATCATGTGCTGCGGGCGCTCGCACACCTTGCCGTCGACGCGGAGGAGGTAGCTCTTCTCGAGCGTCTTGAAGCCAAAGTAGTCGTACTCAAAGTCGCGGTCCGAAATGATGGCCGAGTTGAGGAGCTCCTTGTTGGCCATGATGATCGCGTACACGTCGTCGGCGATAAGCGGCGCCGGCGCGCCCGTCTTGGCGTGCTTGTTGTTGTAGAAGAGCTCAATGTTGTCCGAGAAGACCTTGTGCGTGCTCTTGTGCAGGTTCGAGATCGAGATGCGCGCCGCGAGCTTGGAGAAGTCGGGGTGCTGCGTGGCCTGGTAGGCCGCGGTCTCGGCCGCGAGCTCGTCGAGCTCGGACGTCGTGACGCCCGCGTAGACGCCGGCGACGACCTTTTGCGCGATCAGAATCGGGTTGACGTAGTTGGGGTCGAGGCCGTAGCAGAGCTTATTGATGCGCGCGGTGATCTTGTCGAACTTGACTTCCTCGCTGCGCCCATCGCGCTTGACCACGTACATGCTGCTTCTTCGTCGGCGGCGGCAAATGCGGAACTGACCCCTCGTTTTGGCGCGATCGGCAAGACCTCTATATACTGATATCGCTTCCGAGAGGCACTGGTCCTCCTGCGGCGCTAATTTTGGCGCCAAGAAGATGGCGCCGCGCGCCTTCAGAGCGGTTCGCGCTCGAAATAGCGCGCTAACAAGGGCGATGGAGTCGTCGTCAGGTAGCGTAGTCGATGCTCAGTTCTTAGTCGAATCCAGTGTGCATGGAGAAGCCACCGTTGCTTCACGTTTAGGCTCCGGAAAGCTGGATTTGGCTGCTGCTGGACGTGTAGCAAGGCGGCGGGCGGTTTTACAACGAGCGATCCCACGGCGACTCTGCCCCGTGCTTCCTGCTTAAGGCCCGAATTAGCAGCTGGTGCTACACTCCTCGCTCGTATTGGGCAGGGCCACGTCCCGCCACGCGCTCGCGCGCCCAGAACGGCGTCACAGAACGGGCCAATCGCAGCGCGCGGCGCCAAGTGGCTTCTTGAAGGAGCCCACTACCATGTCTTGCCAACCGTCGTTGAGAGAAGCAACTTCCTCATGAAAGACGTCATGTTATCTAAGGGCTTAGTCGAGCGAGTTGCTAAGGTGAACGTAAAATGTTGGAGAGGTTAATCCAGACCCGCTGGACTCGTGCGGGTCTGACAAGTGCTCTCCCCCCAGCGCAGCCGAACCTTCTACGTGCTTTTGACAGATCCAGGTCCCGTGACCTCAGTGTCCACTCACCCGGAGGCGAGCGACGATAGTATGTTTAGATGGAGGGGTATCTCGTGTGAAAGAGGGCTGCGTCTGGGGCTTTGCTCTCGCAGGGCTGAGGACGCGGACGTGCCATGGAAGGGCGCGCCCGCGGCCTCTCCTGCTGGCGCTTCCGACTGAAAATGCAAACTCGGCACTGCCACAAATTTGCCAGCTTCAATAAAACAGCCAATCCGATGCGGCCAAAGATTCCACCAACTAAACGACTAATCGACTAAACAACTAAATACATGCACTCTCAGCGACTAAACAACGAGAACTAAACGACTAAACAACGGAGCACTCAGCGCGCTTGGATACACAACTGACTGAGAAAGGATAAATGAAGCATTCGTGCGAGTCGACAATGATAAGAAACTATGTAGCCTTGCACAGCAGCGCCACTCGCCGCGTTGCGGTCGTCCAGCAGCCAAACTGGTTAGCACCTGAAACTTTAATTTAGTCAAGACGTGCTAGTTCGCCACGAGTTCGCTGGTCGCACGAACCGGCGAGTGGAGACGGCGGAAGACGCGATGACGCTCAGGCGAGACAACGCCAGCAACAACTGTGATTCTTCTGCGGCAAACGAGACACACGGGGCAGTTTGGTAGATTCTCCGACCACGCAGCCCATGGTGATGGCCGTCATTTCCCCATTGTCGTCGATGCACTGGATTAAAACGCTGCTTGCGCTTCTCGTGGCGCCCGTCGTCAGCCAAGAGGGCGCCTGGTCCATCAACGTCAAGATGACCAACTCGCTCGTGACCAAGTACTTTGACGTAATCAGCGCGTCGTCGAGCTACCTCAACGCGACCTCCGACAAGATTTGCACGACCACGATTGCGACCGTCGACACGCAGCTCGTGTCGGGCACCAACTACCGATACCACGTGAGTGGCTGCGCCATCAACACAGTCCCGGCCGCCAACCGCACCTGTTCGTGCGCCAACAAGACCGTGCGAGCCTACGCTGTTAGCATCTACGAGCCGTGGATAAATACGCGCTTCATCACGGGTGTCGAGGTCGAGCAATCGGCCAGCGTTCCGGGCCGCACGTCGTACGGCCACGTCGTCACAAGCAGCGCCATGGCGTACTACTACAAGGCCTTGAACACGGCGCGTTGGCGTGGCACCACCAACTTCCCCACACTCTGCGCGAACCGATTTACGAGCCTCGACATCATCGCTGGCGGCTTGTACACACTGCACATCCAAACGTGCGCCGTCGAGAGCCATGCCAAGACCGGCCCCGGGTGCAAGTGCAACGGCGCCCCGCTGACCAACTACGCCGTGACGCCATGTCGGGCCTCCTGCGGCTTTTACAACGTCGCGATGGACGAATAAGCTGTCACAATACATGTTGTTTCTGCAAAGACATCTGAGTCGGGCAGTCGCCTCGAAACGAACCGCACGGACAGATGCTTGGTGCGAGGGCTAGAGCCGGGCGGCGCTTTTGTGATGGGACTAGGTGTGTACTATTGCATTATTGCAGCGTCGACTGCTTGGGGATGTTGTTGGTCTCGAGGAGTCGCTGGATGCCGGGGACCAGCGGCCGGTTCTTATGGTACTCGACGCAGCTGTAGGTCGTCAGAATCATCACCACGGACCCTACGCATCAAATCAGTATGAGTCAAGTGCAGGCGATGGCCGCCAACCGCGGAGAATGTCGTCGGGCACACTCAAATGCGTCGACCACGGCGTCCCGTCCGGCGCCAACGAGCCCGCGGGCCACAGGCTTTCGTAGCAGCCCGCGAGGTAGACGGCGACAGCTGCGATGTGGCGCGGCTCGTAGCGTAAGCACACAGTGCTCTTGGATGTGTCGTTGATGAAGCTCCACGCAGCCTTCTTCAAGGCCTTGGTGTTGGCGTCCGAGGTCGCGGCCGCCGCGTGCAGAGCGGCCGCGACAAAGTCCGCCACAAACGTGTACGGGTGTATGACGTTGAGGTCGTACGCAAGCACGTGGAGAAGGATGCACTCGGTGAAGAGGATGGTCTCGGTCTCGGCCTCGACCGTCGGGTTCGTCGGCATGGTCGGTCGGATACTCTCGGGCAGCTTGGCATCGTGTGCGAGCTTCTTGCGCTGAGCGAGGTAGTGCTTTGTGTAGTCGGGGATCTTCATGTAGTGCTCTTCGACTTTGGCCGCGAGGAAGAGACACGTGGCCGCGATGCGCCAGGCGTCGTAGGCCTTGTAGGACTGGACAGCGAAGAAGCTACACGCAGCATGAGACGCGCGCACACTGGCATCGCATTGCGCACCGGTGGAAGAAGATCTTGCCGCTAGCTATAGACAGGGGCGGGAGGCGGAAGATCGCGCCCATCTTCTCGATGAACTCGCAGCAGCGGATGCGGTACAAGTCCATGGTATGGCGCGGGACGCCGTCCCGGCGCGACGGACTGTTCATGAGCTCTTGCTCCGAGAAGATCCACATGTACACGGAAGAGCTCGTCTCGACGTCCGATGATGCCACGTACCGTCGCCGTCTCCTGGGTTCGTCGGCGGGCGCTCGTCCTTGCGCACCTCCCAAGCTGCTGCCAATTTGAACGTAGTCCGTCACGCCGACATCTGATTGGCCAAAAAGCCCCCGTCTCGGCCAATCCGGATCACTCCACGATTAAAACGAAGTGATTTTGCGCGAATCCGGCGCCAGCAGCGTGGCCTTCGATAATCGACAAGCGCGATGAAGGCCGGCGCGACCACCGGACGCTGCTGGTCGTGCTCCAGAGCATGCTCGGCATGGAGATCACGATCGAGCTCAAGACGGAGCACGTGCTCACGGGCATGGTCGAGGAAGTGAGCCAAGGCATGGAGTACGTTGGTGGCCTCGGCGGTGGCGCTCATGCTCTGCCAATAGCGTGCGCTTGAGCCACGTGCGCCAAGTCGGACCCACGGTGCGCGCGTTGCAGACTGTAGCCAACTCACGTGGACCTAGGGAAAGGTGCTGGACCTCGACGAGCTCTTTGTGATGGGCCGAATGATCCTCTACGTGCACATCCCCGACCGGTACCCGCCTCGATTCCGCCTCCACCTCGTGTTCTTACAACCACCTAGGATTCACATCAACACGCACATGAAGGACTACGTAAGCGCCGCAATGGATTACGGTGCTGAGACCTCATGCGCGTCTTGTAGGTGCACATGGTTGAGCGCAACAAGAAGATGTACAAGCGCGCGGTGCGCAAGCCGACACTGGTCAAGCCAAACACATAATTTTTACGCAAGTTATTCATCCAGACAAGCGAGCTGCCTTGGCACGAGGGTCCTAGACTGGCGTGATGCTGGTGACGCTGAGCATCTGCATCCACGGCGCGTCTGTGATGGCGACGTCGTAGGCGGTCGACGGCGCCGGGCACGTGCAGTCGGCGCCCGAGTCGGTGGCCGCGTGCACGGCGCAGCCCTCGACGTGGAAGATGTAGTTCATGCCGCTCACGACCTGGGCCGAGACGCTCGTGAGGCTGGTCGCGCAGACGAACAGCGTGGCGTCGGCGGCGTAGCTGGCAGGCGACGCGACCGCCGAGTAGTATGTCTCCACGAGGCCTTCCGTAACGTTCGTCGTGTTGTGCCAGCCACCGAGCATCGGCTGCGCTGTGAGGAACGCGGGAAGGAGCGAGGCGAGGGCGAAGGCGAGGACGCGGACCATGGTGACACTTGGGTTGGTGGCGGTGATTTGAAAACTGAGGAGTGCAATCTTTGCCGACCTCGGTAGAACCAGAACATCCAGCGGCCGAAGAAAGCCGTTGCAGAGTCATGCGTTGCGGCAACACGATCTGTGGAAGGCCAAGCTGGAAGCCGAGCCAGGTGGGACATAATAGGCCGAGCCAGGTGGGACAGGACTCCTCTACGCTCGACGAGCAAAACAGATGGCGCGTGCATGAGATCCAAGCTGGGCAGCCGGAGCGTCGAACCCCGTGACGCGTCACAGAAAGCACCCGCTCTCGCCATGCTCATGGTTCAAGTGATCGCTGCGCTACACCGCGTCCGCTGATGAAATGTTGAGAATCGCAAGCATGGCGGCCGTCGTAATGCACCACACATCGAGCTGCGTACGCCTTGCTGTTCGACGTCGCGAACAAGAAGGAAGCAGCGTCATCGCCGACGCGTCGTAGCAATACAACTGGCCACCCATACGTACGTACTGGCCAGCGTGAGGCAGAGGACCACCGCGATCTTCCTTCCTGCTGGCTTTTTACCGGCACATATAAATTTCAGAGAATTTCCGCCAGGTTTTCCAGGAGGCGCTGCATCTCGTGTTCTCTCGGAGCAAAAGACGCTTGTGGCCTGGGAGTAAACGCCATGACGCGCAGGCGCGTCGTGTGGACAAGGCCGTCGCCTCGCGGCATCGCAGTCGGACGCTGGTGGTCGTCCGGATACTGTGGCTCGAGATGTAGCGACTCCTACAGCCTCGTGCCCGAGGCAACACACACCAACTCGTGAATTGCTCTGGCGACGACCACTTGTGGTGACCCGCGATGCTCCCTCGTTGAATCCTCGTTCGATGCCATCACAGCTTCAATACCTCGTCAACTGATGTCAAGAAGGCTACCTAATAGCTAGCTTTATTTGTCCTCATCGTTGCCGTAGCTGGCTGGCGTAAGCTTGTATGAATTGGCAGACAGCGCTCACTTGGTATCGATTGCGGACTTCGACCTCGAGCTTTTTGTCCATGGTACGAAGGCACGTTAGGCACTGAGAATTTATGTAATCTTATTCATGCCAGGTCAGGAGGTCGACAAAATTTGGCGTTCAAAAATTAACACGCCAAGACATGGCAACTGGGTTGACTTGTGAGGACGCTTTGGAGAGCACAACGAGAAAGGTCGCATCGACGTCCGAGGCGTACAACAGTAGCGAGTCGAGATACATGATTCCAACTACCATCGTAGTGCCATCTTAGAGGCAACACTACGGGACGCCGATGCCACTTGCCGACATCATCACGTTTGAAATGAAGTCGCCCATAGTTGGCACATTGATACAAGACATTTTGGGGTGTAGAGCAGGCCACGCTGTGTCACCGCTGCCCTTACAACGTGCGCAATGCATGAAAATGATACGAAGCGTTAAAAAGAAAGTTGCCGCATTCGCGAGGTGCAATCCTCGGCGCGTCCACGAATGAGAGCTCGACCTGCAACCACATTATTTCGCCTCAACGAGGTGTCGAGGAGAAATTCAGAGCAATCGACTGCGAATCGTCTGCTTGCACTTGTCAATACACGATGGAAGCAGGTGCGGTCTTGGCGATAGCTTCATTGGTCACTCAATACCTTATCGGAAACATCCTCGTTGTGTCTTTAGTGATCGTGGAAAAAGGTGTGACCGGTTCCGCTCCCTGGCAACAACTAGAACGTGAAACACCAGACAGAGGGAGACCGTACTCTCTAAACACCGGCTAGTGTACCGGTACTACAAAGCAGAACAGAAAGTGACAGCTAAGCTACGTCTACAGACTGCTGCCAAAGACTGTACAGTCCCACATGAACAGGCTTCTCCCGTAGGACTAAACATGCACACACACATCGCCTTGTCCCGGCCTAGTGGTGTTGACGTGGGCTAGGTTCACACCCAGTGCCCCACCACTGTATGCGACCAACGGTCACAAAAGGTCGTATCGCTGGAGGGATGGAGGCTGTCGTCTAAGCTCATTGGCTGACCCAGGGCAACAGATCGCGGTTACGTATAGCATTTTTAGAGCTGCGACGTGCCGGTCGCGCGCGTCGCTCGGTCGTCTAGATAGCGCAATGGCTCGATGAGTCGTCGTGCGCGGGTTATGTGTTTGTAATTTGTTAAGCCTCAACGACGCCAACAGCGGTTTCAGACCTGTAGAGCGGTTTCAGACCTGTAGGGTTATGTGTCGAAGTGCGGAAAGCCACAACATGCATCGCACCGAGGTGTCACCACATTTCCAATACTTTTTGGCGAGCTTTTGTGATCTACCGACGGCGCCAGCAGCCACCGAATCGAAATGACCAAACAGCCATCCATTGCGAGCTTGCTGCGTTGGGTGCCGAGGTGCAAGAGCTCATCATTTGCATTCAACTACCTTTTCAGCACTTTGCCACAACACTTAAGATCGATGCAAGTGGCGTCAGCAGCCAACATGAATGGATTATTGACCAAACCGACGCTAACGGCGTTTTCGCCGCGTCTGACTCCGGCGTGCATGTCAGCGGAGGATCCACCTTGCTACCACAATTCTTAGATGGACTGAAACCTACAGTCTTGTCGCTGTTGCGGGCAATGCTGTGCAGAGAAGCACCACGCACCAAACAGAAACGTCACTCAACACCAAGCGTCGTACACTGCACAATTTCGTATTTTTCAGTCTTTCTCGTGGCGCGATTCCATCCAAACCAACGCCAGGTCGACCACATTGCGTTTGAAAATGAACTCGCCAAGATTTGGCACATTTGTAGAGGGCGCTTTGGAGACCACAGAATGCGAGGTCGCGTCGACGAGCGAGGCGAACAGTGGCAGCGAGACGTGATCCAAGATGCACGCCAAGCTAAGATCGTAGTGCCAACTGAGAGGCACGACGCACTACAAACTAAGATCCTAGTGCCATCTTCGAGGCACCACGATGCGAACACCACTTGTCGACTACATCACGTTTGAAATGGAATCGCCCAAACTTGGCACAGTGATAGAAGACAATTTGAAGTGCAGAGCAGGCCACGCTACGTCGACGCTGCAGTCGTACCGCACGCGCAATGCTCCACCACATATACAAAGCGCTCTTAAAACGTTAAAAAGCAAATGACCGCAGTGCCCGCGACAAGAAAAATTATCGCTTAACTAGTCCATCCCATCACGGAAAGGTCGCGAGTGGGAAAGATCGACTCCATGACAGATCGCGACTGAGTGTCCTTCTCCAACTCGACGCAGTGATGCGCATCCAGTATTGCTTTCTCCGCGTCTCCGTCACATCATGGTCAAGTTTGTCGTCACCTCGCTCGCGCTCATCGCTAGCACTTTTGCGGCCGCTGCTGCCGTCGACACCCCGGCGATGGACGTCGCCGCCAAATTGGGCACCGAGACACAGCAGCATCTTCGCGAGGGCGGCCAGAAGGAGTGCTTTGGGTCGATCTGCGGTGGTGTTGGCTTTGGTTGGGGTCTTGGTGGCGGCTGCGGTCTCTTTTCGCCGTTCCGTTGCGGCGGCTGGTTCTAGACGCCACGTTTTGTGCCTAGCAATGAACGACATACTACTAACCGTCTATCAAATCAATGCTTCTCTTCGATCTACAGCCGTCTATCTCACCGAGGTAGAATTGACGCACTCATATCGCAATCTCCTCAGATACATCAAGACCATGTCATATATTTCAGATCTAATTAGCGGCTGTGTCATGGCCATTGAGCGTAGCGAGCTTGTCGCCTTCGGAGTCCGGATGCGGCAATCTGAGGAGCTGGCTGACCAAGGCCGCGGACTGATAGTCACGGGTCCGTAAAGAGCGCTTTGTGGTGCGTGAAGGCATGCTTGATGGTCATAGAAGTAAGGGCATAAACAAAATTTATGCATTCGGCAAAAGATAGCGTCGTTCGGCTACTTGAAGGAGGCTGCGGTTGGGTCTGTCATCGCCTATTTCTTACAAATGGCATGTGCCATGTAGACGTCGCTCGTGATGCCGCCAATAGTACAATTCGGCATAACTTCGGACACCAGTTTCTAGCGCTGCGGACCGCGCATGATGGTGCAACTTGGTGCTACGTGCTACAAAAAGCATACTTTACAACTGTACCAGCTTTGAGCCATTTTGTATTTTTGACCGAGAGTGGCCATCCGAGACGGGCAATTCCCAATTCCTCGCAAGCAGGAGCTCGACAAGTTGCGTGCTGTTAGCCACTTATCCGGATATCTGGTTTGGGTCACGAAAAGACGATGTTGCGGCCGCCGAGCTCTTGTCCATAGTGACTGGCGCGCCATCTTGAAGCATTCAAAGTATCACCAGGCCACACATTAGACACCATTGCGTTTGAAAATGAACTCGCCAAGATTTGGCACATTTGAAGAGGGCGCTTTGGAGAGCTCGAAATGCAAGGTCGCGTCGACATGCGAGGCGTACAGCGGTACCGAGACGCGATCCAAGATGCACGCCAAACTAAGTTCGTAGCACCATCTGAGAGGCGCGACGCACTACAAACTAAGATCGTAGTACCGTCTTATAGCCGCCACGCTAGGACGCCGACGCCACTTGTCGACAACATCACGTTTGAAATGGAATCGCCCAAAGTTGGCACAATGATAGAAGACACTCTGACGTGCAGAGCAGACCACGCTACGTTGCCGCTGCAGTCGTACATCGCGCGCAATGCTCCACCACATATACAAAGCGCTTTTAAAACGTAAAAAAGCAAATGACCACATCGGTACGCTGTAGTCTTCGTCTTTTAACTTACTTGTAGCGACGATCGATCGCCCTTCCACTGGATCGAGAATGTGATTCCAGCACCTTTCGTTCGAATACTACGTGCAGGAGCCATCATATCCTATGGAGTGATTGGGACGAGAGGCTTTGAGCTCACAGTGCTCGGATTGCATGGACTTTTCTTCCGCACTCTCTCGCGGTGATTTAATGTCGTCTAATATCACTCGTGTAAAACGTGTGCCAGGCTACAATGCGTCCTCGTATACGAGAGATGAGGTATTCACAAGTTTACTCGATTTCTATGACGTGGCACTCGGAGAAGGTCCCATTTCCAAGCAAACGTTCAGTCGTGTAAAAACAAGTGTAAAAACGAGCACGACGAAGGCGAAACGCAGTGCTTTTACAAGACAATCAGAAGAATCTGAAGCGCTGTTCATTCTGCAATTTGCGCTCGAGGGCCTCGGTCGCACGGCAGGGCGGTCGCTCCTGCCGACTGTGAACGGTGAAACTCGTGTGGGCGAGGACCTTCTTTCGTCGTTCATACCTTCGATTCAGGACATTGGATCACCAGGCTAGCGCTTGCAACGACCGCTGCGTTCTCATGCAGCGTGCGAATGCTTCTCGTCGAGGACCCATGTCACACCGAGCCACATCAAGCATGGCGGTGGAATGCGTATCCGGACAAGATCCGGATACCTACAGCACGCGCAATACCAAAACGGTCGACACAGCGGCAAGTCACGACAACGTCGGCGGTGGAGAAGGAGCTGCGCAAGCGCCGCGTCGTCTTCAGAGCGCGCGCATCATCTCGCGACATCGAGCCTGATTCTTCCGAGCTTGAGCACCTCACGCTTGACGTCCTGCTGCTTGCACGGCAGTCGGCACCGGGACCGCTGGCGGCCCAGCGACAACATACCACCCGTCACAAACGCCTCGCTCCACGTCGCATTCGATCCGTTCTCTGCTCGAGCTTCCGGCGACCGGACCTTTCAGCCCTTGGCGGCCACCTACAGTGGTCGCGCGCGCATGCTCGACGGTATTCGTGGCCAGACCTTGTTCTCCAATGCGTTGGCCCGGCGCGCGTTCCCGTTTGGCAATAGGTACCACACATCTTTGACGACACTTGCGTCTCACAGATTGACTAGTTTCCTAAATCGGTATCCTCCGCCGCAACCTGTGCGCGTTCGCCCGAGACGCACGAGACTGAGAATCTTGCGCGCTTTCCCCGCCTTCTCGTGCTCTCGCACCACCTGCTTGTCGTACACGGCGTGCGCAAAGACACGACTGCGACTCCAAGTCCGGTTCGCCTCGGGAGACGACCTCGCACCGCCAGCCCAAAACGATGACGAAGACCACGATAACGATGAGAATTATGAGATGCGCGACCACGTCGACGCCTTTTTGCGCGATGCCGGATCTCACGAACGCGTTCCTCGAGACCAAGGTCTACGCTGCATCGCGCCTCGAGTTTGCCGCCAGCGGTATTAACGAAGCGCGCGTCTTGAGCAACGTCATCCAGTCGCGCGTGGTCACGACGCTCGAGGCGCTGGCAATCCCCAACGCCGGCATTTATTGCACGCTGGACGACACGCTATACCAAGATCAAGATGAAGGCCGCTGGGAGACGCAAGTTCGCGAGGAGCTCGCGTGGAAGCGGGCTACCGACCCGAACGCGGCGGCCAAGAAGGTCAAGAACACCGAACAAGCCCTCAAAATGCTTGGACACCCCAACAAAAGGGACTGCGCAGCAGCTTGCGCCCGGCGCCTTCCCGAACCCTGCCAAGATGGACAACTGGAGCGTCGAGCCGGATCGGTACATGCGCCAACGGCGCTTCCTTCATCGCATCGCCCGCCTCGGCGTATCTACCGCGGCTTCCGCATGGTCGAGATCCAAGGCACGTCCATTGCCGGCTACTCATACAACGAAGTTATCGAGAAGATCAGCCAGACGCCGCGATCGGCTTTTGCGACATTAGCCGCGGCCTCGTACGCGCGCTCCTCTATCCTCTTTGTACGGCTCATGCACCGTGTTGCGGCAGAAAGGCGACCCGGTCGACGACGAAGAAGACGAGACCGAGCTCGAGCCCGAGAAAGAAAACAAGCTGCGGCTGCGTGCGATCGAGTCGGAGCAGATGAAGACGCTCGTGGTCACGCAGCTGCACAAGGAGGTGTGGGCCATGGACAAGAAACAGCTGAAGCAAGTGGTCATGGCCATGACCAAGAACGTCGACAGCATCCTACTGCAGCAGCGCCGCAAGCACATCAAACAACGAATCGCCAAGCTCCAAGATCGGCAGCACGGCAGCAGCAACGGCCTGCGATCCGAAAGCAGCAGCAACGACTCGGCGCCGCACGACTGCCTACAGCAGCGGGCGCATATGAACTCGACGGAGCTGCTCGTTGGCGACATGGACCGCGCGCGCTTCAACGCAACCGAGCTGCTCGCTCGCCCCGATGTCGACGCGCGCCGGCTCAACCACACCGAGCTGCACGTTGACACCCGGCGGCGGTTTGGCGGCACAGAGCTGCACTAGGGCAGCTCGTCCATGAGCTCCGAGGGCAAGCGCCGGTCCAACTCGGTCGAAGGACGCGGCGTCTCGAGCCACAGCAGCGTCAGCAGCAGCAGCAGCAGCAGCAATGGCATGCGCTTGCACGACCCAGCCGACTATGCGTCCTTGACTCTCGACCGGCTCGAGCACGAACTCGTCCGTGGCGTTATACCCGCGTGCTCACATGACAATTCTACGTAGCTGGTCGTAAAGGTAGCAATGCAAGCGCCACAACTGGATGGACTCACAAAGGACCGGTACCGACGACAACTCTCGGAGCTCAACGCGCGCATCGCACGCGCTGAAGCCGACGCCAAGCGCGACAGCTCTGTCCAGCGCTCCGAGCTTGCGGAGCTCAAGCAGCACCTCAAGGCCGTCGGCACGCGGCTCGAAGAGACGACGCACGAGAAGACGTTCCGTGCGCTACTACAAAAGCGCGCCGACCTCAAAGGAAAGATCGCGCGCCTCGAGCAGCAGCTGGTGCCCGAGATGCCACCGGCGCCTGCGCCACTGCACCCGAACGCGTCGCCAGCCGAGATTACCATGTACATCTCGGGGCACAAGCGCGAGCTGGTACGACGACGCTGCACTACGAGCGATCTTATGGTCTCGAATTAGCGCGACGTGGTGCAAAAGCTCATGAAGACGACTCAAGACAAGGACAGCGCGAGCAGCAGCCACTACATGGCCCGGCGAAAGAGCTCAAGCAGGCCATCCTCACGGCGCAGGAAGCTCTACAACGAACGTCGGCCGTCACGACGGCATCCACGGACGTGCCGACGTCACGCGCGCCGAGCGAAGCGATGCCAGAGACCATGGACGCGCCTGCTGTCGAAAAACACATTGCGGGTCTCAAGCGGGAGCTGGTACCCAACGTCTTTTGCAACTAATCTCATGTCGTCGGTGGCGCGAGATTGTGTCGGCCGTCGCCCAGCCCACGGCGTCGACGGCCCAGAAGCCCGAGCTCCTCCGCCGCCGCAGCATCGTCAAGGACCACCTCGCCGCCGCGCAGGACGATTTGGCTCAGATTACGTCGCCCGACGTCGAGAAGGCGAGGCACGAGATCGCTGTCGTGCAGCAGTACATTGCATCTCTCCAAGACGACCTCGCTGCAGTCCTCGCCAAGATCAACTCGAAAGCGCCGGCCGATTTGGCTAAGTCGTCGCTCTACATGATGCGGCGCAACGATCTCAAGAACAACCTGAGCTTTGCCCAGGACCAGCTCGTGGAGCTGACGCAAAACCTCAGGGCGGCGCTGGCGAAGGCGCGGCCGATCCCGTCGCGGTCGTCGACGGCCTCGTCGGACAAGCGCGACTCGTCCAAGGCCGAGATACTCGACGAACCGATCCCGCTCTCGAGCGAGGACCACGTGCGCATGACGCAGACGTACAACGCGCCAATCCCGATGCAGACGGGCTCTCGCTCAAGCTCTTCCGCAAGCGCAAGGTCGTCTGGTGCAGCATCGAAGCCAGCGGCTGTCTCTGCTGGTACAAGAGCCAGCGCGACCTCAAGCACGTGCGGGGCTATGTCGACTTGGCGAAGACCTCGGCGCGGAACGTCTTTGTCAACTACGCGCGCGGCAACACCTTTGACCTGCATGTCGTGAGCCCCGGCTTGCTCGCCAACACGGAAGAAGTATCGCGCTTCATTGCGCCGAAGCGCAAAAGTAGGTTCGCGCCATCAACGACACGATCAAGGTCCTCGAGACCGCCACGCCGATGGGTGCCGACACCTTTGGCCGCAACTCGGTCGTCTTTTAAGCAATCAACCACTATGAACCTAGTCGTTGGAGAAGAGGGAAAATGTCTCGTAGCATCCTAGCATTCCTGTACGCGCCCAGCGACACGATCGACCAAACGCTCACTTATAGTGGGCTCTGTAAACTCGAGCAAGCCAACACCCACTCGTAATCTCCTTTTTCATGGGTTTTCCACTAGGCTCACACCGCCAACGCATAGCCAGGTCGCGCGGTCGACCAGATTGCATTTGGAACTGAACTCGCCAAGACTTGTCAGATTGGTCACATTGGACGAGGGCGCTGTATGGACCTGCTGCAACGTCCTGCAATACTGTTGTCTCCACCAATGAGAAGTCTCAATTGTTCGCTCACCTTTGTCCCCTTGGCCTATCACATCGTGGTATTTAATTTGAACTCAATGAGTGTGGAAGGATAGCCATTTAGTGGCGGCCGAGGCCACACGACATGCACCAACGAGCAAAAGACGCGGGAAAGATCGTATCTTTCGCCCCAGTGGTTTCATGTAACGTTTCACGAACGGTCTTGAATCTCATTGGTGCAGATAAGGCATCGCAAGTTGTGATTGGCTACAAAATTTTGGTCGGGCGAGCGCCCGTTCAAATCTCCCGCCAACAATGACGCCACACATGGTCACATCTCGATTTCCCCACCAACGATGAAGACCCGCATTGGAGTGTGGCTTGCGGTAGCCATCATCATCCATGCCAACGCTCACAAAGACGTGGCATCTGTCGCGTCGAAGGACGTCATGAAGGCGACTACAACATCCCGCGCTCTCGCAGCGGCAGAAACCGAGCTACAGCCGCAGTTCTTCAACACCATCACCAACTTACTCGATCCCATCACGGCCGTCATCGCGCCCGTGCTCGATCCCATCACGGACGTCATCGTGCCCGTGCTCGATCCCATTACGGGCCTCCTCGATCCCATCACGGACGTCATCGTGCCCGTGCTCGATCCCATTACGGGCCTGCTCGATCCCATTACGGACGTCATCGTGCCCGTGCTCGATCCTATTACGGGCCTGCTCCGATCCTACTCACGGACGTCATCGTGCCCGTGCTCGACCCAATTATTGACATCGCACCCATCACGAACGTACTCGATCCGATCATTGACGTACTCGATCCCATTCCGGACGTGCTCCAGCCCATTCCGGAAGTGCTCGAGCCCATTTTGGACGTACTTGATCCCTATATTGACATCGCACCGATCACGAACGTACAGCCAACGTACTCCAAAGGGCCTCGGTATGGGCCAACGCACGTCGACTACGCGGCCAACCACTACCGGGTGGACTCGGCTGATGTTGACACGGTGACGATTGCCAGCGAAGAAGGGTGCCCCGAGGTTCCATGTCGCGAGGTCTTGGACTTTGAGGATGGCAAGTGCACGTACACGCAGCTGCCGCGCGGTACGCTCTGCCCGGGCCAGAGCGGCGACAACGGCGGTCCGTGCGATGCCGACGAGAATGACTACTGCGACGGCGACGGCACGTGTCTTAACGGCTACAAGGACCAAACCATCGTCTGTCGCAGGGCCCGCAACCTCTGCGACGCGGCCGAGCTCTGCAGTGGCGACAGCAGCCAGTGCCCGGACGACGAGTTTGCGCCGTCGTCCAAAGTGTGCACCAAGATGGGCAAGTCCACGGACGGCCCGTGCGACGCACCCGACTACTGCGACGGCCGTGGTCGCTGTGTGGACAAGTTCCAGCCCAGGAAACATGTTTGCCGCCACGCCGTCAACGTCTGTGACGAGGCAGAAACGTGCACGGGTGTCAGCGGCGACTGCCCCAGCAACAGCTTTGCGCGCAAGGGAATCGAGTGCACATCGATTGGCGAATCTTCGGGCGGCGCGTGTGACGACGTTGACCGTTGCGATGGCTACGGCAAGTGCATTGACCACTTTAAAGGCACGAAGCATCTCTGCCGCCGGGAAGTCGACGTTTGCGACGAGCCCGAGTATTGCTCGGGTGAATGTGGGGTCTGTCCCGACGACGTCGCCGCGCCCGTGGGCAAGGTCTGCACACACATTGGCAAGTCGAGTGGTGGCAAGTGCGACGGTGTCGATGTCTGTGACGGCCATGGTCGCTGCATCGAAACCTTTCTTGGCAGCGACGTTGTCTGCCGCCAAGCAAGTGATATTTGCGACGTGCCCGAGTATTGCACGAGCTACAACGGCAAATGCCCCCACGACACGTTTGCGCCCCGAACGACCGAGTGTACGTCGATCGGAGAGTCGTCCGGCCACGCGTGCGACGGCGTCGACTACTGCGACGGCAGCGGCAAGTGCGTCGACACCATTGCGAAGGACACGTTGTGCCACGCCGCCGAGGACCTCTGCGACACGAGCCGCTTTTGCAACGGCGTCCACGCTTCGTGCCCCACAACAACGAGGACGCAAACTACGGCGACGACTACGCCTCGGCCTTTGCGTACAAGGCGCGCCAGTGCTCGGCCAAGGCAACGCAGAAGTTTGTTTCGGTGTACGATGCGCCTGGGGGCCAAGCGGCGCTGCTCTTGGTTGCCGTGGCCATGGTGGGTGCTGTCGCGGCTATGGTTGCCGTCTCTGTGTCCAAGAAAGAGGGGCCGTCGATCATCTCGATGGAGGATGGCTACGTGCCGCTGACGCAAGACATGCACTAAGTCATCGCCCCCTCGTTGCGTGTCCAGAAGTTGCTGTTAGATTTCGGTCCAAAATATATGGTCAATTTTTTCTATGCAAGTATTGACTTGATTGCGCCACGAGAAGGATGCAAAATGATGCATATTAGGTTCCCACATAATAATAAAAAAGCGCTAAAGGACGAGCAAGCGATGGGCCCGAGAAAATCAATGCAATCGATAGAATATTGTACGTTCGTAGGCGTTTATAGCCCCTGAAGTGCAGCTATTGTGCGTTTTAGCCTTCCAGTCGTAAGCGATCCATGCCACGCCACTCTAAAAATGGATGTTTCGCGCCAACAAGCAGTCGAAACGGCCTTTCAAGAAAAGCCGCCTTAGCAAAACCAACGACTGGTCGGCTTTCGATCTCGCTACTCATGGTTCGGTGTCAGTACTCGAGCGTCATGGTTCTTCCCGAGCAAGTCTCCGACGAATCGCGCGCGCAAGTTGCGAACGGCGCGCTCGAACGGCCGGTGTACACTTGCATCCAGAGGTGGCCAATGCGAGACGCGCCCCTAAGGTGCTCACGTTCACGACCCTGCCGATGGAGAGCTCGCTCGAGACCTCGTTCACGGCGCCAAAGGACGAGTGCACATTCGCATGCGCATCGGTGTACGAGGCCTGCTCCAACATGGCTCTTTGCTGCGCCGGTTTGTCCTCTTTCACCACAACGGTTTGGCGACCACGGGATGGATCTCTCCCAACGACCAAGTGCTGGTGTCAACTCCCACGCATTCAGGCGTAGCACTAATATGCAAACTCTTTGTAAGGACGATAACGCGGAAGACGTTGATATATAAACTCTCAACCTTCAGCAACCCTGTCGCCGCACTTTTCGTGCACACGGTGCCGCTCGCATCGGTCCTCATGTCGATCACCGAGTCGGACGAGGTACACACCCAACCTCGTGGCCGTAGCCTGGCGACAGCTCCCCAGCGCTGCCAACCTGATGAGACAGCACGGTGTCTCGGCGTTCAAGAGCTTTGTGATGTACGCAGCTCAGATTTTCTTCGCCTAAAAGAGATTGCAAGACAACGTGACAGCGCTGGTCGTAGCCATTGACACCGTAGCGGTAGCAGATACCATTGCTTTCGCGTTGGGTATTTTGGCCCTGTGCGTTGTGTCGTCGAGACAAACGCCGACAACCTCGAGCACCTCGTGCGAGGAAGTGCGTCCCTTGTCCCGCTAAGGCGTATCCGGACACATTCCGGATGCCAAAACCAAAATCAATTCCAAAATGGTCGACACGGCGACAAGCCACGACACCGTCGGCGCCGGCACTAAAAGGAGCTGCGCGAGCGCTGCGTCGTGTTCGGAGTGCGCTCCGTCTCTCGGCATCGAGCTCAATGCGTCGGACCTCAAGCAATCACACAGGACGTTCTGCTGCTTGTGCACGGCAGCCAGGACCGAGACCGCTGGCGGTGCAGCTATGACGTTCCGCCCGCCACGAGCCTTTCGCCCGCTGCGAATCCTTCGTTCAGCGTTGCCTCCGATCCGCTCTTTGCTGTAGGTGGCTACAAGCGAAGCTCCTACTAGTTGTACAAGATGCTCGCGAAGGCTGCGTCACCGTCTATTGTCAAATGGCTCTTGGCGAACAGTGCTTGCTGCTCAAGGGCTTCGAACCGCTCGTCCGAGCGTATGTGAACGCCTTGTAAACGGCGTGACCAGAGTGGATACGGTACGCTCTCGCTACAGACCCGGGCTGGCTCCTCACCGTGTACTACACGCAAGAGGTCGACTACACACTCGAGTCGGGCATCACTGAGCTGCTCCAGAACCCGACCTGGCGCTTTGTGTACGCCGAGCAGGTGCTCCTCCAGCGCTGGTACGTGCACTCGATCGCTGGCGACCTTGGCCTAAGCGGGCGTCCGTGGCGCGAGCAGACGCACGTGATGAAGATGATCGCCAAAGCTCGTGAAAGAAGGCTGCTTCGACTTGTCGATCAACGGCGGCTGGGTCCTGCACGGCGAATCGTCCTACCTCTACTCCGTCATGATCAACCAGACGACGCTCGGCCACGCCTTCTTACTCCACGAGTTTGGGTACCTTGCACCATGCGTTTGCTTCGCCATATCAAAGTCCTGCAACTAGCGTCAAGCCGCGCATCGTGTGGCAGATCGATCTCTTTCGCCATTCGTCGAGCTCGCTCCTCTCGGCCGGCGTCAACAAGAATACGAGAAGCGCAAGGACAACAAGGACCTTAGTACGCACGCCTAGGACGCCGAGGGAGATGGCTCAACAACGGCGTATAGTTCATGGGTGAAAATTAAATTCTAGCGGATTTTCAATGAATCGTCTAGCGGATTTCATTCCAAGACCGATTCCTCGCAAACTGTGCTGCGTGCGTCCCCGTAAGCCTAGGTGTCGCGTGCCACGGAGTAGTCGCTTGTATCACGCAGGTTCCTCGAGCGACATGCTTCGTTGTCGCCCAACAATCGGACTTTATGTCCTTTTTGGCATCGACGCCGCCAGAGGTCGTCTTCGCCGCACGGCTCACGCAACCGCTGTCGGAGTCGCTGGAGTACCAGCGACTACTCCTTGGCAAGCGGCACCGAGGCTCACGGGGACGCACGCCGCACGGTTTGCGAGGAATCGACTCTAGAGAGGATCCGCTAGAAATTAAATGAAAATTCGCTAGAATTTAATGTTTGCCGTATAGTTCATGTCGCAGCCGTCGCCGTCGCGCAGCGAAAGATCCAGGACGGCTACGGCGCGCTCATCTAGGACGGCTCTCCCTATGGATGCCCCACATGCTGTGCCGCTCGTTTAGAAGCTCGACATCCCTGTACCTGCCACGCCTGCGCTCGACAGTGGCCAGTGCAGCCCCAGCCAGCGCAATGCTGCTTATGCTTTCATCGACTTAGCTCGTAGATGGATGTTTTCGCCCGCCGCGCTCCCCGAGATGGTCGACAAGGGACTGCTCAAGCGCGATGCAGAGCTCAAGCTGCAGGCGTGCACGGCTGACACGCTCATTGCTGCTACAGTCGTCTCGTTGAGGTTTCGACGCTTCTGCCGCTCCGCGATGACGACAGCGCGTCGTAAGTAAAGTAAGTAAAGCTCTCGCGCTTCTTGATCGTCTACCGGTGTTTGTCCGCGACGGGTTTTGATCGCGTGTGGCCTGCGTTCGTTGTCATGGCGCTGCTTCTGCAGATCTTTGCGCCCAACGCTCCAAGCTTTGCCGCGACAATGGCTTGCCGTTGGCAATAATCGAGAACCTCGTCGCTGCTTTCTGAGCTCCACAGACGTTCATGCCACGGCTGTCGACGCTCTGTATTCGCCTGTAGCTGGCTCTGAAAAGACGAAATACTGTAAGAACTGTTTCCATTTATGTATTCTCTTGGCCCATCGCCAAGTCGCGAGGTCGACTCCATTGCGTCTGAAAATGAAATGGTCAAGGTTTAGTACATTGGTAGAGAACGTTGCGGAGAGCACGGAAAGCGAGGTTGCATCGACGTGCGATGCGTACAGCGGTCGCGAGACGCGATCCAAGATGCCTCTCGACTAAGATCGTAGTGCCATCGGAGAGGCACAACGCACGCCAAACTAAGATCGCAGTGCTATCGTAGAGACACCACGCCAGGACGCCGACGTCACTTATCGACATCATCGCGTTTGAAATGAGCTCGCCCAAAGTTAACACAGTGATAGAATACATTTTGGGAAGCAGAGCAGTCCACGCTAGGTTACCGCTGCCGTCGTACAACGCGCGCAATGCTCGACTTAGGACACAATGCGGTTTTAGAACCTTAAGAAGCAAAGGATCGCATTTGCATACCGTAGTCTTCGTCTTTTGCATTTGTATCGACGATCTCCCTTCCACTGGATAAAGATTGCGATACCTAGCGACGTTCATGGAGTTACTAAGTCCAGCGCCATCGCATCCTGTGAAGCGATTGGAACGAGAGGCTTGCAGCTCACAATGCTCGGGCTTCTGCACTCGCAGTGATCTCTTGTCACAACGCATGCGATGGTATTTATGCGTCCTCGTATGCCAGAGGCCGCAAAATGTCGAATCCAATGACGTGGCACTCGGAGAATGTCTCCTTTTGGCGCAAACGTTCAGTCGTGTAAAAACAAGTGTAAAGGCGACCACGACAAGGCGAAACGCAGTGCTTTTACAAGAATGTATAGCAACACAGAGCGCTGCTCATTTCGTAATTTGCGCTACAGGGCCTCGACCGCACGACACCGCGTCGCACGGCAGGGCGGTCGCGAGCGGGTGTCCTGTCGACCGTGGACGGTGAAACTCGTGTGGCCGAGGTCCTTCTTTCGTCACACATCCCTGCAATACAAGATGTCGGCTTAACAGGTAAGCAAAAATCGCTGCGTCCTCATGCAGCATGCGAATTTGCTTGGGTCTGCGTCGTCGAGGATCGATAATGGCAGTATCAGTACCGAGTTGAGCATCGTCGCAGTTATCGAGCGTTGGCACTACGTGTACTGCCTTGGCGTAGGTGCATACATGCGTGCAAGAGGCTTGTCGTATCCGTATTGGGTCGTGGTTGCTGGCGTTGAATCGATGCAGCGCTGGTCGCAGCTATCGCCGCCGAAGCGGTGAAAATGCCATTGCTTTTACGCTGGGCGTCTACGCGCTGTGAGGTATTTAGTCAAAGAGACAAACGCTGACAGCGACAACCTCGGGCGTTTGTGTGAGGAGTGCGGACGAAGGCCTCGACATTGTCGCGCTTATGGCGTTTCTCGTCATCCGGATAAATAACCGGATACCAAAAGCAAGGGCAATTCCAAAATGGCCGCCGCGTTAACAAGCTACGCCGCCGCCGGCGCAGCAGTGGGCGCTGCGCGCGCGGCGTCGCGTTCGGAGTGCGCGCGTCATTTCGTAGAGAAGAGCCAATGGCGCTCGTCTCGAGCGCCTCACCCTTGACATCTCGCTGCTTGCACACGGCAGCCAGCACCGAGACGGTCGCGACGACGTCACGAACCTCTCGCCCACCGCGAATCTCTTGCTCGAGCTACCAACGATT